GAAAAGATATTTACACACAATCCTTTAAGTGATAATTATAGAGCAACGAAGAGAGAAATAATTGTCAAATCATAAGTGACAGCAGCGGCGGTATTGAGGATCTCTCGAGACTCGTGCTACACCTCAGATCAATGATAAACCAGAAGAAAAATATATTGAAAAAAGAGCAAGAGGGCAATAGATTTAAAGCGAGTTGACAATCAAGTGCTGCTGCTTACCTACTTTATTAAGCGTTCATTTATCTCCTGATGATAATTCGTAAAAACAATGCCTCCCCGTAGTGTTTGGTTTCTCTGCAGTAGCTGTTCTTTTTTCAAAGTGCTCAAAAGCAATTCATTATCCAGCCATCCTACTAATGGTTTTGGTTTTAATTCTCGACCTATGTACAAAAACATGAACGATGTGTGGCAATGTTCATTACACAACATATTATTCGATCGGAACTCGGTAGCGTCGTGCAAATGATTGCGACGTGAGTGTGTCGCACAATGTTCTATTCAAATTGATGCCCATTCAAACGTTGACGGGATCGAGGAAGCAGGTCGTCGCATCGAGACACAATGAAGAATGGCTCACAAAATGCCGTCGTAGATTATTGTTAAACAAAAAGCAAACGATAACATTCGCCAGTGAATATAAATTGGAGTTGTTCAAACATCACGGCGAAAAGGATAAAGGATCAAAACATTGGCCAATCAAACTTTTTTTGGTTTTTTTTTTCTGAAAAAAAAACAAATGACAAAAGTGTTAATGATGTTGATTATAATTATTACGTTTAAAATGGATTAAATTAAAGGAAGTTTGCTTAATTCATGGAATCGACATATCAAAAATATGTAAATATGCACTTAGAAAAATTCAAACATATAAGTAGTTGGACGATTATTTATGCCAATAAGCGATGATTCCTTGTTAAATATTCAGTGAGATGAGATGAAAGCCAGATAAAAAAATCTAGGCTTCATTCTAGTATCAATTTTTGTCTTTATTACTTTTACACTTTTAAAAAATATTTTTCATAAAATGTTCATAATCCGATAAGCTTAATACTCAAAAGTTTCTAATAATATTTAATAAATGAATTGTAAATAGAACTCAAAGATTCCTTAAAATCCGTACTATGGTGTGCCAACGAAACACACTGCGGAAAAATCTTGAATTATTATTTTATTGATAAACAATTTGTAACGAAGTATGTGGGGGGAGTGGGGTGGACAAGATAGCGGAGATTTGATCAATGAAGACTGATGCCAGCAATCAAATCGTTAAAAGTATATTACGGAAAATTGGTTTTATTTTGTAAAACACATTTCACTAAACAATTTTGGAAATTGCTTTGAATATTTTTTTCATACATATATAATCTTACAAGTTCAACCAAACTATAATTGTTCAAGTGCTCATTTGAAATTTTAAATGCAATTCTGCTTCTTTTATAAAATTATCTTACTCAGAATAAAAAAAATATCAAACATGCATATATATGTAGATATTCATATAAATATAATCACTCATGAATGCACATTTTACCTTGTTACAGCCCACCCTCGAAGTAACAAAATTATGAAAAAAAAAACAAGATATCAAATTTCAGTTTGCAGTTATTGGATTTTGGTATTGGATAAATGATAAGCATCACCAGCATGAAGTGAACGATAGCCATTCGACGTTGATTTCGGCCTACCCAATTCTTTGCTTCTTTTCCACGATGTTCTCATCCTCTTTTTCATCATCATCATCTCCATTATCATCATCACCACCTCTGGAAGTAGATGCCTCGCTGGCGGTCGTCGCTGAGCATTGTAGGTGATTTGCGGGCTCCGTCACGACTCTCTTCATTGATTATCGAGCGTGTTCTCTATTGCGTTCGATTTCCCCGACTAACCCTGGCCGCCGTTGGAAACAAGCGCCCTCATTCCGTGAGCAATGCAGGACAAAACGCGCCGCTCGTCTATTATTGTGTTTCGATAGTGAGAAGCTCCCAGGCCAATGAATAATTGATAGGCGTTTGGCAGGAAGAGGACAGTTGTCTCAAATCTCCAGGGTTCGTGTTGGGGTTGGGGAGGGCATCGAGGAGGGTGATTGAGCCGAATTTGAGGTGGTGGTCTATCCTAGCTCAAAGAACTTATTTTATGACGTCAACGAAATGTCACGTTTTATTAAAACAAAAATAAGTGCTCGTTGATTTTCGATTTTATTTTCATTTTTACTAGTAATTTCAAATATCTACATTTAAGTTCAATGGTATTTAGATGTTTATAACAATGTAAATAAAAATGTAAAAATTTAACATGAAAGAATCTTGCTGAAGAAAACAAAATCTCATAAAATCCACCAGGATTCAATATCGCACAATTAAAATCGTTTGTTTCGAAATGTAAACACCGCAATCGTTCAGAAAATACATTTTTCTGTTGAAATGAAAATTCCAGACACTGCCTTTTCGCAAATAAATTGCCAAATAGGAAGAAAAAACAAATATTGTCGAGATTGATCAACTTCATGAACGTATTCCATTTTAAAAATGCAAATTGTATTCTGCCACCGGCGACTGCTGTAATATATTTACGAGTTTGACCTTTCTGTTATGGTATCATAGATACTAATTGGTTATTTCAAACTCTAATGCTAAATTCAAATGTTTTGAAATTTTAATACCGCCAGAAATGCAAAAAACCGACAAACTTCTACAGAAATATAAAAATTGCGTTTTAAAAATAGTATTTTTCTTATAAATAAGTAACATTTAAACTGTTTTCCTCTTCTTACTTACTTAGTCACTTAGTCGGTTCGTCCTTCGCCTGTTGAGGCGCGAACCACAGCTTTCCAAACTTTTCGGTCCTTGGCTTGGGTGGACTACGGGGTGATAACGGCTCCTTCAGCTGTTCTTGTAGTGATCTCCTTCCGAAGCGAGTCCGACCATCTCATGGGAGGCCTTCCTCTTGGCCGGGTCCAATTCCACGGCCGCCACTCCGTTAGAAGAGTAGTCCATCTTCCATTTGTTCTTCTAGCAACGTGTCCAGCCCAGGTCATCTTCCTCTTCGTGATGTGGTGTAGGGGGTCCTGAACTTTAGACATGATGCGGATGTCCTCTCGATCAAGATCTTGTTCACGTTGTTGTGATAACGTGAGGCCAACCAATCTTCGCTCAAGCGCAGCGTGACTAATTCGGACTCTCTCGGCAAGAGCTTTGGTGAAGGTCCAAGTCTCTGATCCGTAAGTCAGCGCTGGGAAAACGATGGAATCGAAGAGCTGTGCGCGGGTTTTGTTACAGGAAATCAAATCGGTGGTGTTCTTGATTCCATTAAACGCTGCCCAAGCTGCTCTTCTCCTTCGGAAGATCTCCTTGACTAGCTCGTTTTTGGGGGTGAGTAGTCTTCCAAGGTACACGTATTCGTCAACATCGTCAATGATACTGACCGAATTCTGGTGCGTTTGGGTAACCTTGGCGGAGTCTGCGAAGGGGTTACGTAGGACTTTGGTCTTTCCAGCGTTAATCTGGAGCCCTACTTGTTCGCATCTCGCAACCATCTCACTTAGCATCTCGGATGCCGCTTGCGGACTGTGCGCTATGAGCACGACGTCGTCTGCAAACCGCAGGTGTGTGAGGTTGCGGCCATTCACTCGTAATCCTGGAGTGTTCGTATTGTCTTCTGACAAATAAAAATAAGAAATAAAGGGCAAGGTTAAAATTTCTTTTCTAAATACGTTTTTATCCTAGAAAAATATGTTTGTAACTCTTATACACAAAATTGTTTTTTTTTTATATACCTCAATATTTATAATAACATTAAGCTTAATATTAATAATAATAATAATTTTTGATGTTTTTCATATTTTTGTCAAATTACACATTCTGAGTTGTTTTTAATTGTACTACTTTTGAACACGCAGCAAAAAATACTTATATGGTTGATTTATTGCCCAACTGGTTGACCATATGAGCTTTTCAAAATTTTTTCTCGAGAGTTATCGAGGTTCGAGAACTTCAATCAGATTCGAACAGTCAAAATTTCTTGGCTACTCGACAGATTGAGGACGCCAGATAAACACGAAAAATAATGCACTAATGTAGTATTGTATATATTTTTATAAATATTTATAAACATGATAATGTCCCAAGACTACTCTCGAGAACCGATATGAATTGTCGTTCCAAAGACTGTTTGAAGACTTTGGCTACGGTACATATATGTATATATCCGCCTGTGGACAATATTCGAGGCCAACAAATTTAATGATCATGTTCCCCTAAAAAATATGCATGAGATATTGGGCATTATAACAGCTAATAAGTTGTAAATTAATTTTCAACGAGAAAGTATTTTACACTTTCCACGTATAACTAAAATTAAATCGTGTCTACGTATAATAATTTTCTTTTAAATATAAATTTAAAAAAAAAGACAAAAAAAAAACTAACTTTTCGTAGAACGTTTTCTGATTAACGATAAATTTCACTTAATTTCTGCAAAGCATATAAAAAAAATATGGAAATAGCAATTCATTATCTACTTTGACAGAAAAAAGCATGTAGCAGAAATCTCAAAACAGTAATGATGGTAATAAGAAAAAGGAAAATATAACAGTAAATAAGATTTAAAAAATAATGGGGTGGATAGATATGGAAATATGACTACAATATTTGAAAAAAAAAAGTTCGGTTAGAAATCATCAAAAAAATAGATTTCGTGAAAAATGTCAGAAATTGCTAGTTTTTAAGATTTTTTTGTATCGATATGTGAAGCAAATAAATCAATAAAGAAAACTGCAATTCCAAAATATTTCACTACGCTATCCGAAAGCCGGCAAAAATTGAAAATGAGGACAGAAAACCATTTTAAAAGAAAGGTAGCAAGAAAAAAGAAGCAGTTGCAAACTTGAAGATGAACAACATTTAACCGGAGAGGAAATGACTCTCATTTTCAGTTATGCAGAATAGATATTTGATTTTTTCGGGAATATTTGAGGAATGGACAACTCAATTTTAATCTAATCAATCAATCCTCAATTCTGTTAACGATTTTCTCGGTTGTAGTGTTCTCTTGAACAAAGGTCGACTCGCTTCCATCAGCATGCTTAGTAACAGTAGTAGTTTTAATGATTTTGGTGTCTCCGTCTTCAATGGCCTAAACGAAATAAGTGATCAATTTAGATAATATATATTAATTAATATATTTATTAATTTATACTCACCTCAGTATAGACAATCGTTTCCTCTCCAGCCTCATTTTTAAACGCCTCACATGTTGGCAACGAATTGTGAGAGGATGACTAAAATAAGATTTTTTCTGTAATAAGAATCAGTTTTTCCTACCGAGTTCTTCTCGGCCTCATCGAAATGCTGCTCAATTTTCTCTCTGGCTTCCTGGATAATTTCTGGAATTTCAGCAGTTTCAGCAACACGAGTCTTCGACTCTTCCACAGAAGTTGTCTCATTTCCAGCAGCATCAACAATGGTCTGAACGATTCTATGTCCCTTGAAAACACGTTACAATATTGCATACTGTCTCGATTCTCTCGGTTTTGATGCCATTATCATTAACCGCACTTTCTTGAACAGTTCGAACAACCTCTCCTTCCGTCTCCACAACAGTTTCCTCCATGGTTTTTGATTCATGACCATCGGAGTGTGTCACAATAGTACGCGTGGTAGTGACAATAGTCTTCTGCAAATTTGTACAATGTATTTTTTCTTTACGGTGTATCTGATTACTTCTGGTTCAGAATGTGTCGAGTGATGCGAAATTTGAGTGTGCAATGGAACTTCAGTGTGAGCAACAGAAACTCCATTTCCAATTTCCTTCAGGTTTTCTTTAGGATATGGATAAATTGGAGTGTACACAAATGGTCCATTGACGGCAATTTTGCCTTTTTCGTCGGCTTCCTCAACCGGCTGTGGTCCCGCAACAAACAGTTCCCGAGAGTTGTTCTCGCTTCTTGTCGAGAGCTCTCCGATTTCGATTGGAATTTCCATAAGAATGTGCGTACCAAGAGTAACTTGGATTCCGTACTCAATCTTGATGAATGGAATCTTTCTGAATTTCAATGTTGCAGTTGATGGACTCTCGAGAAGTTTCCCGAATGGAGATAGAATGTGTTCCTGCTTCGATGGATCTTCATAGTCTTCTTTAAATTGAATATTATTAAACATTGTTTTATGCTGGCACATTAAACCTTTGGTACTCGGACAGACCGGCGGGATTGTGAGAAGGAACAATCCGTTTTGTTCAATGGCCCCCTTCGTTTTATTCGGAGTCTCATGAGTCGACTCAAGCTTCCTAACAAGCAATGTTCTCCAAGGCGATGCAGCAGCAATTTCCGGTGCTCCAATTCTGCGAACGCGATCAACCAATCTCGCTTCCATCTAAACCACAAATTAATTTTCAAATTAAACAAAAGAGAGCCGTACATGTGAGAGGATGTCCTTTGGATGTTTATTTCCAATTTTTAAGTCGCCATAAACATTTTCGCCTGGCAAATATCCGGTCTTCGGAATTTTCAACTCGGCCGAAATTTTCGATTTGCAACAGCACTTTCCGAGAACCGCTTTGTCGGCAGCTTCTGCTGGCTCTCCAACGACCAGATGTCCTTCAGAAGGTGCGAGAAGTGTGAACGCTTTCTTTACATAATATTCATGCTGAAAAAAAGAAATTAATAATCGAAATTTCACACGCAAAATCATACAATTTTTTCGAATTCATCCTCTTGGACCAAACTAGCACGAATGAAATATCTGATATAAGCATGAGGTCCTTCATAGGAGCTCGGGCATCCTTTCGGAAGTGGACACTCAAATGGCAGACTGTATGTAAAATCGCCAATCCATTGGAAATGACCAGGTTCCGGTTTGCCTGGAGGACGTTCGAGCAAGGTGAAATCTTGATCAAAATAAACCTACAAAATCTCAATTTGTGTTCATTCATTCAAACATAGAGCAGTTTTAAAATAAATTCTCCATACTAATTCGATTAAGAACCACACTTTGAAATAATTTACAGCTTGTCCAAACTAAATTTCCCTACCTTTTCAATGTCATCCTTCTTCATTGGATCATTAAGCCAAACTGCACGTCCTTTCATTTGCAATTTAACCGCATTAATAATAATTGGTTTGCGAAGCTCAATGAGCAGTTTTCCCGTGATGACTTCACCACCTGAATTGTAACAATGGGACATCTAAGAAGATATGAAAATAATGGAATACCTTTAAAAATTGGATCGCTACCAGCGTCAAGCGCGATATCGAATCTAGCGACTATGTCGTTTTCGGTGCCCATGTCGTTGTTATGAGTTGGCTGCAATGAATGATTTCAAATATTTATGAAGTGTCGATAATCTCAAAAAGGATAGAATTGCAATATATATCAATGGTCGGAAATGTTTGTTCAGTGGGCAGGATTGTGATTCAGTGAAACGAACATGAGAAATGTGTACACAGGTTAATGGGCATCGAGATTTCGAAACAAGTCTTAAAAAAAGAAACTGGCTTCCTTCTTTTAAAACGCATTTTTTCATCTCATTTTCATGAGAACAAAAACGTTTACGAATGGCGGTTCACTTCAAAAAAAGTGAATGTTGGGAGAGACCTGCCCAACATACCGCAATTGGTTTCATTAGTTGGAGGGAAAGTAGTTACACACTGCGAAAATTTTGACCAATTTTTTGATACCGGTTTTTGTATGCGAAAGGTAAAATACGCAAAATAATGATGGCAATGTTTGCCTCATAAAATTCATACATACAGACCATAATGTAATTGGTCGATAAATATAAACTTCTCTCATCGAAGCACCGAAAATGCTAACATCGTATTCATCACACAATTGTACAAAATATTTTGTATTTTACGTATGCCTTTAAGAAAACATTATACGATTCTAGTGTGTTTGATAAATAAACTTTTAATCTAAAAAATCATAAATTGATTCCTGATTAAGTATCCCACTTTTTACATTTTCAACCTTTATGCTATTTCAGAACGTGTAATATTAAAAAAAATTGTTTTGGCTAATACCTCATGCAAAGGAAAACATTCAGGCAAATAAGTTTTTGAAGATTATATCCTAATTCAAATCTGGATACATCCTACAAAATGCGCACATGAGATAAGTAATAACATGATAATCCAAAAAAATAAATTAATAGGAAAGTGAATTCAAACCAAACCACTATGCTTAAAATCACATCATTGAAACAGAAATGCCTTCAGCTCATTAAATATTCTACATAATTTTCAATTCAAGTGCGCGCAAAGAAAAAACACGAATGACATTATTGACTTATTGTTAAGAGACTGTTGAATTGTCGCAAAAACATCCACTGTAAAGCACAAAATTCCAAAGACCAATTGAAAATATTCGAATACCCCCAATTCTCAAGTCATGGAGGTAAAGTTTCATGCACTGCGGCGAAAATTAAAGTACATTAACGTTGAAAGCAAGCAAACAAACGCTATATACTCCAACTCTTCTACAGTCAATAAAACAACGGGGGCGCAAAGGTGAGACTGACTTTCTTTCAAAAAAATTTTCCGTCTCTCCAAGAGAGCGTTTTGTGTGTATGTTTGTCTTAAAACGACGTGTGGATATAAAACAACGCCGTGGCGACGATAAGCAGACGGTGGAACGAATAAAAGATGAACGAGACGCAACAAAAAGTTGCGTATGTACGACCTAGAGGAGAACTAACGGTTTGATTGAACCTAATGGGCAAATTTGAAAAAACATAATACTGAACATATGAGTCATCAAACAAACCATGTTCTGGGTCAATACTGAAAGATATTTTGACAAGTTCTCTCAAAATTTCTTGTACTCGATTTTTAAACGAAGAACGGTATTGTGAGTAGGGTTTTTCTAGAAAAAATAAGCAAATTATTGTGAAATAAAGGGCAGGAGACACTTATTTCATGAAGCTGTTTTTCTTTCAAATCCATTTAAAATAAGAAAAATGTTTTTCTTAAAATGCAGTCTCAATAGGGATATAAACAGGAAACTTCCATTTGATCTACCGAAAATGTTCCATGCACACAAATAAACTTCTTGGAAAAATAAATTTATAACTCAAGTTGTTTTTTTTTTCGGAAAGTTGTGGCATTCTGAGTACTTATAAATTAGCGGCATAACCATCGCGAAGCAAATTAATGATATATTCAGCATACAAGAGCACAACCTTTAACTTATTTATGTGAAGCTGAAATGAGTAGAAGGGCGTCTCAAAATTGATATCATATGTGATAATGCGAAACACATCACTGAAGGTTGGAAAATGGATGAAAAGAGGATCTGTGGCACTTTTGAAAATTAGACTAGAAAAAAACGTGGAGAAAAATGAATAAAAAATCGGTCATCATCAGATCTCTTTTTATTTCCAACGTGCGGTGAATAATGTGTCTTCTGCCAAATAAAAAAAATGAATATTAATAATTAGACAAATTTTCGAGTTAGATATTTGGTCAACAAGATATTTCGAATTTTTTTTTTGAATTTTTCAATGGGGGTTTTTTTTTCTAAAACATCTGGAATGAGTTATTGCGAGAATACACAAGACGTGTTTGTTATAAAAGCTCAAAAAATTGCTCAACAAACAATATTACAATAGGTGTTTTCAAAAAAATATTTATTGGAAAATCTAACACCGAGGTTGCATTTAATTGTTTTGTTCAAGGTATGGTAAATTGGGAGACGAAGAAACAAGAACAAAGTGGGCGCAAAAATGTCACATTATGAGGCGAATACTTCCGGAGAACAAACCATATTAGTCATGACTATTGTTGGTTTGATTTTGATACAAAAATATAAAAATTGCATTTGAAAAGTGCATGCACGCGAGCAAACATTTCAGTGGCGAAACCGAGAAGTTTTAGGCGTTTGTGTGTTTGCAATGAATAAATGAGTAAAGGGACGAAGAAAAAAATGCACAAACTGCCCGATTCATTTTATACCTTTCTTCGCACGAGGAACACACCGGTGTAATGTTCGCGTTTTGCAATTTTCCTTCTGCTCACGTTGTCGAGTCAAATCACAAAAATGCCATTCGAGAGCTGACAAATGAATGAAAGAAAATGAAGCGACCATAAAAGTAGCAAGAAAACAACGCAATTGTTTGACCATTTCCGCACCAATAAAACTTCGTTTTTTTTGCAGTGAAGAAAACGTGTAATGTAGAATGAATAATGAGAAAACGCGAAATAGGAGTGCCAAAAAGAGGTCAAGTTTTTAATCTCACAGTGCCCAAAACGATTAGAAGCTTAACTTGGTTTTGTAAAAACGTTTTTGCGACAGTAAAAAAACGGTGGAAGATTACACTTTATCAAGTTTAAAAATTTCATAATCCCTGTTGCCGGCTTATGAAACAGCAAAAACCGAAATGATGAAAATCGTATTCAAAAATGAAGGCCTAAAACTATTGTTTTCATTCGGTTCATACCAAATGTCCGATAGAGCCGAACACGAAATGCAATGGGCATTTTTATAATGGGAAAACGAGAACCCGTCATATTAATTGTCTGCCTCACCCCGCGAAAAAATTTGCATATAGCCATATTGCGCAAGAGAGAAAGATGGACGATAAAAAAAATGAATGAAATAGTCGATAGGCGTCCTTTGCGATAGAATCGATGACGACGACCGCAACAATGTCAATGTTAATTGGAATGAAACATTCATATACTTGGGTTTTTGCTTGTTTTCTTGAGTGGTTACGCTGACGATTAATTACAACGGAATTGAAGCATGTTGCGGTTTGGGGTCGAGTAATTGATGACACTGAACGCCCCATTGTCAACGCTGTCACGTTTTTCGGTCTTGTTTCGACGACACAAAGCTCATCATTCTAAATTGAATATTGCCGACGGCGCGCGCACGACCCTCACCCGCCTCATTTCCCAACTGCAAAATGAGTAATTTGGCAAACCATTTTGAGAACAACTCGGAGCCATTTCGGGCACACCGTTAACAACATTGAGCGTTTTTGTCAATCAAGCGTAGCCCAAAATGCGAAACAGATGGAAAATTGGACGGTGAATGTGGTTAGTGTTGATGAGCTAGTTGGCAAAAAAAAAAGATCCGTATTAAAGGGAGAACAAAAAATGGACTTGGGGTGAAGAGCTCTATAAAAGGAATAAAACGGAAAGCTAACTAATTGTAAATTAATGCCATAAATTTTATTAGAAATAGAGGATGATCAGAATTTCGAAGATGCTGAGAAAACTTCATTAAAGAATCAGCTTTTTTCTAAACATTTTTGATCATTCTTTAGTTGTTACTAAAACTCAAAACATCAATATTAAAATCGGTTTCTCAGTCTTGAAAAAAATAAGAAAAAAAGCGAAATCACTTAGGATGAAATGGCTGCGCGGATATCTAATTTAAATTTAACTAAATGAGTATTAAATTTCAATACACTAGCCAACAAGTAAAAACGCTTTCGAATAATCAAATGAATTGGTTTTTCACAAGGTGTAATTCTCACGGCTACACCAATGCTGGGAAACCGCGTTAGTTTTTAGAAAAATACGATTTGCGTCATGAGAAAGCTAGGTGGAAATAACCGTGAAAAGACGACCTTATAAAGGTTTGTAGGGGAACGTTTTCAAAATTAAGCTACTTAAGTTTGAATTTTTCTTCGTCGTCGCCACCAAAAAATAATAGCTCATTTTTTTGACGTTCTGAACCAAACGAATATGAATTGGAATTGTCCGAGAGTGCTAGGGCTAGGCATCCCAAGAGAATTATATGTCATCTTAATTTATTCTATTTTGACGCTGCTCGATTGATGTATCACCAATTTGGCTCTCTGATTCACCCGACAATGCATTAATTGAAAAACGCAAATCGGAGAATTGAGCATGTGGATTGATGACAGCGAAAAAATTCGAGAACGTTGGAAAAAAACGTAGACGAGGAAGAGCAGAGCGGAGGAGCTCTGGCAACTGATGGATTGACCCTGTAATCTAAATGGCGGAGCAGGAAATGCACAAATGTGAGAGAGGAAGAGTGGTGGTGCGCCACATGCCACCCGCACTGTTTGTGGATATTTCGGCGGTGGAGGTCACGAGCCGTGCACCGCGACCACCACCGTCATTACCACCATAACCTCCGCCATTTGCCATCACACGTGTTTTATTCATAACCTGGCACATTACCAACTCAGTCGACACTCAATTAATGTGCCACTCAACGAGTTTCCCAAGAAAAGACGTTGGCGAGCGACACGCACCTTACCTTGTTTATTCATGAGAGGACTATTGAAGCATTGAGGAGAAAAAAAAAAGAATTTCGATTGGAAATGACTAGTGCGAAGCGGATCCAATTAACCAAGTCAAACATTAATTGGCGTTGCGAAATAAAAAATAAATTGATGTTCGATTGCAATTGCTATTTCTTTTCCCGCAAACAGAAGTGCTTAGAAAACGAACATGCATACATATATATATATATATATATATATATATATATATATATATATATATATATATATATATATATATATATATATATATATATTATGAATTAGATTCTCTCTTGCGCCAAATATTTAATCAGGAAGAACGTGAGAGATGCGCAGTAAATAGGTCAAAATACCGATTTTTCCTAATTTCGGAACGGATTGAATGTGTGTAAACACAAAATAGCGATCGAGACAAAAATTAGAAGAGAAGGTGTTTCAGATTCGCAAAATTGCGTTTCGGGTTGCCCACCAATTGATAAGATAAAAATAACCAACAGGAGCAAAGAATAAAAGAGGAAAGTTGTTAAAAAATGTTGGTTCAAGAGAAATTAATAAAAATGTGCCTTATGGATTGAGTATTATGTAGTTCTCGAACAACTTTCATTAAAGATTGATAACGAATTCGACAATCGCACTTTTCACAAATTCGTATTTTTTTTAGATAAAAATTGTTATAACTTTGAAGAATGCATTAGAGACCATACAACGGAAAAACACGTTAAACAACACTTGAAGTTGTATCTGAATAGTGTTGTTATTTATATTTCTCAAAATTTTTCAAAATGGAGAGCTATCTTATAATCGTAGGATTAATCGTGATGAAAATTTCAGCAAAATGCGTGTTTATAATCATTTCTGTAGTGGGCGATCAATATAGCAATAAAATTAATAAAAGAGACAATAATGAAACATGAATTATTAAAAAGCAAGCCTATGAAGCAAACTTTAATAGAGGAATCGATAATCTTAAACGTATTTTTCATTTGATTTATTGCAAAATAAACATAAAGGAATACAATAATACAATTTGAATGCTATTAACAAAAAAACTAGGAAAAAGTCTTTACAAAAAGCATTAAGTGGTTTTCATATCAAGAAAAACTACTGACAACTGAGGCAATTGTAACAAATACTTGATTTGTTGTGTTTTGCATTAACTTGTTATTTTCGGCGAGCGATATCTTTCGCAAAAGAACACTGCAAGCCACCCACTCGAAAGTGTAATGAGTGCATGTTTTAAGGTTAAAATGAGTTGCCATCAATCAATAATAATGTATGGGCGATGGATTAAAAAAAAGAGAAATCGCGGAACAAAAAATAAAAACAGGTGTGTTTTCATAGTTCCTCCCAAAAAAAATGTTATTTTTGTTTGGATTCCTCATATTTTCTATGTTGCTTTGTTTCTTTTATTAAATGGCATATTTGAAGAGAAAAATTGCAATGAAATGAAATGCGTATTGTCAATATTATCGCATACAATTTCATATCAAATTTATGACCATAAAACGATGGCAACGAGTATTTTAGCACTCATCGCTTTCACTTTTTTAATCGTGTGTTTATTTCATGACACATCCTATTCGAAATTTCCGACAAACTATAGAAAGAAATTTCGGATAGAAAACTGAAAAGTTTTGTGGAAAAATGTGGCGAAAGTTTGAAATAGTTTAGCTCACAGCTGTTTTCTGACGGAAACTCGATAATATCAAGTATCAGTGAATTTTCGATGAGAAAATAGAAATCTACGATTCGAAGGATATTGTTAATTTAATATATAAACATATAATTGATACAATTTTATTTTCAAAGAGCACTTTGCACTGCAATATAAAATCCAAACATATAAATCATTTTTTTTATTTGGCTACATTTTGAACGTACAAAAACTAAACGAATAAACCTGCTTTGGTAGTCAACAAAATTCGATTGGAGTAGAGCCAATTATTCATAAAATTTGATAATTTCAAACTTTCCGCTTATTCCCGTTATAATTTAAAAATTTTTAAATGAGATATATAAAATATGATAATAAAATAAGCTAGAAATAAAATCATAAAATAAAAATTTTTTAGGCAAAATATTAAGATTTTTTTGCATTCAAAAGATCTTCAGAAAATTATTACCTATTTATCAACTTCAATGCAGTTTTCAATACTTCTAGAAATACGCAGAATGTTGTGTTAGCACGTGAGTTCGAAAAGAATCAAAAAACACGACACGTCAATCACAAAGTGTCACAATTTAAATGTCTTATGAGATGCGATGATGCCCTTTATTTTTCAATAAACGTTTTTAAAATAGATTTTTTATTTGGACACCAACTTTCTTTCTTCGCTGCAATAATTGTTTTCTTTTGAAGTTTCCGAATTGCTCATCTGCAATGCTCATACGACTATTATATTAGTAATAAAAGAACACGAAAATGCAATTTATTCTATACTTTATGGGCTGATTACTCGTAAACCGCAACAACAATAAATTGCCGATGCTGCTCCGAAAATGCGCTTGCACATCCAACCCAGGAAATTTCATCATCATCAAGATAGTTACGAACTCCGAATTCAACGGCCTCATCAAACCAAACATCAGCGATTGCTTCGCTGACTCGGCTTCCCATCCAGATGTTCATTAATCGATTACGATCACTTCTATCAATATAACGTAATAAACAAATATTTAAAAAAAGTGAGAACCTGAATTCTCCACGCAGAGCTAACATTTTCGCCCATTGCGCTGCAATATCAGCAAGCCGAACTGATGGTTGAAGAGGAGCAAGTGCCAAAGAAGTTCTGATTTGGTTCATGTGATCGATAAGGCAGTCTAATGGCTCTCTCCATTCAACCCTCGAACTTGTTGGTGTTACATCTCGATTTCTCTGATCATTTCTGCAAAATATTCATTACTCTCAAATTATGTATTTCTTTATGAAATTCTGTTTCTCGTACTTGAGAATCGATGTTTTTCTAACATAGGAGTCTGTGGTTCGATATCCGTCATTGGTAGAGTCGGCAATAAATTCCCTCGGTGCTCTCACTCGCTCGACGCGTTCAATTCCTTAATTAGATTGTTGCCACCAAATAAAGTTGGACGTAATTAAAAATGTACTTCTGATGGGGTGCTCTCTTTCGATTACTTCTCGTTGATGTCGAACTTCTCTATTATTCAAGGGTTGCTCTCTTCGTCGAGATGTCGTGGTGGTAGGAGTCCGATAAGTGTTAATAGTATAGTAATCTGAATCGGAATCTGGATTGATTCGAGACAAATGTCTCTGAGGACGAGATGGAGAATCATCGAAATACTTGGTTCTCTTAAAGTTGAACTCGTTACATTTCCCGTTTTTGGATTACAACTCACAACATCCGTGACGCTCAATAAATCTCCGTCGGCAGTAAATCTCTCCATTCTTTTTCGTGTAATTGTATGATGTTGCTCTTCATGACTGTGGACAAAAATCGGCGGAATGAAAGCGTTGAGATTCATGAATGAAGAAGTGAGAAAAATGAAGGAATGCGTTTCGCGAACAAATATGGAAGACGGAAATTGTAAACATATCAAATTTGCCGCTTCAAGGTATCTGTAAGAATTCGAAGCGATGATTCATGGACATTTTGAATTGAATGATTGCGAAAAAAATTTGAGCAAACATTGTTAAATCGAACTGCGTAATGGGACGAATCTAAAATATTTTTCGTCAATGCGTGTATTATATTTTAATTCTGAAATATGATATTCTGGAAGGAGTTCACCGATTTCCCCCCAAAATCCAAAGTCAAAGTTCGAAGGCTGCAATACGAGAACCTTAACGTCTCTTGCCGATGAGAGTTTCACAAAAAAAAAAACATGGAAGCAATTCCGAGAAGATAATCTTTTTGAAATTCAATTTGTGACGAAAGCATTATTCAATTTTCTCCGAGAATATTCTTCATGTTCACGATGAGCACGCTTCCATGAGATCTTCTCTTTTATTGTAGTCACGGCGGTCAAGAATAAAAATACCTGAGACGATCGTCATTTTCTTCCAGAATTCCTTCTACGGTTGAAGTTCTGTATAATGCACTTACGAAAAAAATCTTTATTTATTATAGTAATTAGAATAAAATATGGATAAATAGACATAAGTTTCTCTATGTTTATTTTAAATATTACAATACTTTATTAGTTGAAACCCGAGACCTAAAATGTATCAAAACAGATGTTTAAATCACAATGAATCGCATCGGGGATGAAGAATAGCTAGGCGTTTCGTCGGCGATGAAATCAGCAGCGTGTCCGGACTGCATTCGCGATTTGAGCCGATTCAATAAAACGAAAAGCTGCACGTCGTCTCCAATCACAGAATTTTCATCACAAATGTTTTATCTGAAAGCTTTTAAAAAATTGTTTATCAAAAAAGATGAAAAGAAGCTCACCATTGAAATCAAAATTTGAAAATGGCGAAGGAGTAGAAGAAGAAAAAGAAGAATCTCACGTTTACCATTATGTAGCAATCTCCCAAGTGTCCTCACATGCTTGTCTCCTGGAAAAAAGAAAGAAAAGAATGTTCGATTCTCTTAGAAAATGTTTGAGTCGCGGCCACTAAATTGATGGAAAACACGAGAGCATCGAATATTCAATAGGAGCAACAATTTTGTGGACTAACAACCACGTGAGTTACACGAACAAAGCAAAATTGTCAAAAAAATTTTCAACGAGGAAGAAGAAAGTGAATCGAGAAGAATATATGAAAGAAAATGAATAATTTCTTGACAAGACAGAGATTCTAATGAAAGGTTTTCTACAAGATGTGAGAAGTATTTGCAGTGTTATGAATGTGAATGTTACAAAATTAGCATAACTCAACGCAGAAAATAAAGCCAATATTAACATTTATGTAGTTTGAGATCTTTATGCTAATTCTTCAGATATAGTTATGTTTGAGCAAATGTTACTGCTCATAACTAAAATAATAATAATAATAATAATAAGTAAGGTATTGAAAATTGTCGGTTTTCCATGCATTCATCAAGAAAAGAAGATGGAAAACAACGAGTGTGGAGAACGACAGAAGCGAAAGGGACCCCTGAAAACCGAAAACTGAATGTGTGGGGGGGGGGGCAGGGAGTTGATGCTGCTATACGCCGAGAAGCGACGAATTTTCGCCGTGAGACTAGGCGAACATGAGAGAACCATTTGAATTGGGATCCGGTGAAGCGAAGAAAAAGAAAAAAGAATAGTGAGTAGCGATTGCTGGCAGATGGCATGTTAGGAACAGCTGCCGGTCGGGCGCAACTCAACGTTGAGAACGCTGCCGTGTTGATCGTGACGATGGGTTTGAGAAATAAAAAAAACACAATGATTGAAAGTAAACGTGTGCACAACGCACTCGCCCTATTAAAACGATCAATCAAAGTGCTCATAAAATGAATGATGCACAATAAATGGAGGTATTTTGCACGAAGCAATTTGGGTGGTCCGTTAATAACTTCTCAAAAAAAGAGATTAAAAGTTTTGTGCAATAGTTGGATACTGAAATTCGAAGAATACCTTTTTTGAGTGACATAAGGATGGCGTGCTTCTTCGAATTTTCGACAATCCACATGGATTATAATAGCCCACAATTTGTAAGAATTATGTCCAATTGTTTAGGGGAAATGCATAAATTTCTTTAAAAAAATAAGGATTTTCTGGTTCCAAACTACTATTAATCGATCAAAATTTCTTCTTGACCGAAATAGGCTTAATCTATTTCAAAACAGCGATTATCAGATTTTTTAAAATGATATCAGGATTTATATCAATCAAATATCAAAACGGATTTGTATTTAACATATGAAAACGTTAATCCTTCAAGCGGAAAAAATTTAAACACCAAAGGGAAACTTCGTTTCACTATTCTTTGCCTGGAAATGTAAAATTTTTTGTTACACAAGAAATGTAATTATTCTCTAACAAGGGAAGTGTTTTTACTTAGGGGTTTGAAATTTTTTCCAATTTTGCACACAAACAATTCGCGAAATTTTGAAAAATGCTGTTTTCTGTAGAGATTTCACAAAGTTTAAAAATTTTGAGTTCAATTGTTTAGATTTGGTACTTGATTTATTCCATTAATTTGTTTTACTCCAACTGCTTACACTCATATTGCGCGGGGAGCGTAAGATCGCATTTTTTTTGTCAATTTTTAGGCAGATACTCAAAAAATTCAAAAAATTGAAAAGCATTCATCAGCACAGTTAGATTACAATTACTTTCCACTTGTTTTTTTTTAAATTTTTTTTGGTTTCGGGTACCACCAGTTCAAATGAGAGTCAAATGTGTATTAGATTCCTTGTGTTGTTCAATGGAATTCGAACATAACTGATGTCATTCCGCCGTTCGCTTTAACATCAAAGTTATCATGCGACCTGTTCACAGTACGATATCAACAAAGAATGCCGCTTTTTATAAAAGATGGCTACAATTATAATTTAGCTACAAATATTGCAGTAGCCTTTATAAAAAATGAAAAAAGTCATGACTAGAGTTGAAAATCGACGTAGTCATACTAGAAAATTGCAAAATCAAATGATCAGCGTAGTATAAATATCAGAAGGGAACTGCGAAATTCGAATGCGAAATCATGCAAAGTGTTCTTATTCTCCTCTGGCTTTCTTTAATTTCACTGGCATATTCTGTAATATTCTCAAATTTCAACCCGTATCAAACGTCCGGCGTGCACTACGATAGTTATGGAAACTTGATGATTGGAAATCGGGAAAATGGCTTTTATTTCGGACCCTGCTTCGGACCCGAGTGCCCTTGGGGGCGATAAAATCAATCCGGACTTTGCATCATTGTTATTATGTATATATGAATTATTCAATGAATATTTGTTTATATGCCTGAAGTTATTGAGTCAATGCACTTTATATATCCATTCGATGGTATCCAAACAAATAATAAAAACGCAGGGCAACGTTGTTCCATTGAATTATGCCAAAAAATTACATGAGAACAATTCTTGGCAAAATAAACGTCAATATTCGTTGCCATCGATCGCTACTCTCGCATTTTCGAATGCTTTTCGAAATCAATTCAAACATATTTTGCCATCTATTTTTGTCCGTAAACGTGCACCTAAGGACATTTCCATTTTGCTTGATCATTGACGTGATTTATTTGAACAGCAATTAAATTGGTTTGTCAAATTTTCGTTAATCCCGTTTTTCTCGTCCAATTTTTTGTATTTGTTGTGCCGATTTGTAAAACTAGAATATTCATTGATAGATTAGCGCCTCTTTGCAAGCGTTCACTTTTTCAGTAGAATGATCAAAAATTAGTTTGGATATCCGTGTTATCGCCATTCTGGTTATGGTGTGCATTCTATCAATCGATCATTCTTTACCGCACAAATAGAATCAACGTCCAACAAAAAAAATTCGAGACTTTTTTCTTACTTTGCATATTTTTATTTCTCTCGTCTTCGTGCCTTTCTATGTCTGTTCCATTTTTATTATTTTCCAGATTCGTTTCGAAAACAAATAATGATTTTTGATATATATTTTAGATATTATTCGCATATATGTGGATCCCAACAAAAGCATATCGGTTGAATAATTGATAAGGATGATGATGATGAATACACCAGACGATGTCCGCCACGCCTTCTCAATATCTGGATTTCTATATATGAAGCAGAATGGAGGAAGTAAATCTTTTCCATTTCAGTTCGAAAAGAAAGGAATAAAATTCCTGTTGAATAATTGAGGAAAGAAACAAAAAATGACACGAGGAAAGATTGAAAAAAAATATATTTCATAATCTGATTTGTTTTTATTGTTTTTTGTTTATTGATTTTACATTTTTATAGCGACTTAAGGAATCGATTTGCTAAGAAAAAAAATGCATCCACCAAAATAAAAATAATTCAATACAAAATAGATACTTAGTTTACCTAGTTTCAGAAATTCTTTTAAGGATACTTTAGAAACGACGTTTCACGGATAAAGCTGAGATTTTTGCTCGAATACTAATATTTTGATTTTAAAATCAGCGTGTTCCCGATCATTTTTTGTAACTGGCAGTAACAGAATATCAATACGTCTTTAAGACACAGCTTATATTATTGCAAAACGAATTTAATGCAGTCTTTATTTGGCTATATTTATTTTACAGAAAACAGAAAAAAAATTTAAAAAAAAAATAATAACATTAGTCAAATAAAATAATATTACAATTTCGATTTTAGTGCTTTAAAAGTGAAAAAAAAATCAATTTCTCATCTCTAAAAAGCGAGCTTTTTTCTCACATTATTCTATCGAACAGGCAATAAGTTTCGTTGGTATGGCATTGACTACGACCTCATAAATTTCATTTCAAACTCTTTATTTTCTATTTTTAGCGGATTCATTATGAATTGAATAAAAAACTAGATTTATACAAAAAATAACAATTGCAGCACTCGCAATATGGAGGCCAAAGCGTCGATTTCACTTTGCGATTGATGAAATTTGCGAAGAACTAATTTATCACAAGTCTGAGGTTGATTTCGTACAACATCGCGAGCCACTTGGAACATTTCCAATTTCGACGGCAGTCATTACGTTGAACGAAAACAATAATTGTTCATTCATTCTTCAGTGAGTTGTTATTAAGTGTGTATTTGTGGTTTAAGCCCCGCATACATGACAAATCCGATAGTCTCATCGAATTGAATGTTTTGCCATCGGCTAGTTACGTAACTGTTTGTCATGAAAAAAATACGAAAACATTTGTGCCAAATGTTCAATAGATGGTGATTGAAACAAAGGAAACAAAGAATATGGCGTGCGGATCTGTGCAAATAATATGAAATCGAACGTAAATCCCGCCAAAGGCCATTGTAAACTTTCAGTTATTCCGATAAAAATATTGAGTTGGAAGCTGAAAACGAGAAAAGCTGCCGCTCTTGGCTCAATATTCTTTCAAACAGGTAATTATTTGAAACAAATTCTGATCGCTGCTTCGTTCAAGGTATTCCGAAGCGGATAATCTCAAATTCTCGATGGACATGTTTCGAAAAATAAAGCATAGCTCCAGTCTTCCTGTAAGCTACCACAATTTAAAATTTAAAAGAAATGATTCAATTAAGGATTATGAATCATTAAACTCTGGAACTGATCATAATATACCTCGACGTAAATGTAATTTTTCAAATTTGGTTTTCAAAGAAACATTAATAATTGCAGATTCAACGCCTAATAAAGTAATACGGAATGAGAAGAGATGCATGATGACTAATGAGTTCAATATTGACTCTACAAATGTTAGTTAGAAAAAAAGAATTCAAGAAAAAAGCCAATTGCAGGATCGATATTTGATAGATAATGACATGGATGATTGGGTTTCGCATTGGTTACAAAATGAAAAATTCCAAAATTGTTCGACGTAAGCTCTCCTTTGTACGGTTATTTAAATAGTCAGGTTCTGAAGGCCCACCGACCCTACTACAGCTCCTTCTACAACAATCGATAGTCAAACTGGAAGTTGCAGCAGCAGTGAAAGGTTTTTAAAAAAATATTTTACTAGTATCGCATATAATGCAAACCGTGAGACCTGCTATTTGTATTCTATTGAAGAGCGGATAATGATGAAATTGAACATTTGCGAGAAATAACCAACAATCAGAAAACGAAAATCGAAGAGCTCAAAAATGAAATGAATTCTTTAACGAAACATTTAGACGAAATGAGGTATATTTGAAATTTTGTTTCAATGTTTTAAAAAGTTGTCTCATTTCAGGAAAAATACTGATCTCCCAAACCTTTCTGATCGTGAAAACTTAGCGACTCAGAATAAGTTTTTGAATTCTGAAATTCTTCGGATAAGTGCAAAATGTGAAATTTTAGAACTCCAAGCTGGAAAAAGCAGAATGTAGAGATCAATTAACTAAATTAATTCTTTGAGATATGAGTTGTTTAGGGAAAACAGAAGATTATTTAACGAGCTTCAAATGCTTCGGTGTGATTACGTTTATGCCGTGCAGTCAACAATACGAATACCGTTGCATGACAGTACTGCAATGGATGTAATGAGCATGAAATTGCTCGGCGGCGACGCAGTAAATAAATCATAGTCATTTGTTTATTTCACAAAAAAATTCCAGCACAAATCTCGTTTAATTCAATTAATGGCTGAAGCAAGGCAAGATGACCCAAGTCTTCCAACATTACAAAGTCTGCTGCTCGGAATCTACGTGGATTCGTTTGGATTCCGAGTATCTTTCAAAGATGAGGCCATTGCATTGCACTATATGGCAACGAAATTACATCAGTTTTACGCAAGTCGTTCACAAGCCGCACTTGAGCATAAGAAAAATTGGAAAAAATTTCTGGAAGAACAAAGCTATATTGAATTGAATAGTGAAACAAAAGAAATGTGCCGTCGTGGTATTCCAAACTCATTAAGAGCAACTGTGTGGAGAATATTGATAAATCAGCAGGTGAGCATCAAAACTCATAACTTTTATGTATTTCGTATGCTTTAGGTCGAAGATTTGAAGTCAGCTTATGGGAAATATTATTTCCGCAATTTGTGCAATACTCAAAGTGGAGAGGATGAGAAACTTTACTCTGATGTTCATCAGAAGCAGATAAATCTTGATTTGCTACGCACAATGCCGAGTAATGTACATTTCATGAGTGCGAATAGTAAAGGGGTACATATCATGTGTAATAAAGTTATCTCACAACAAATTTCAGGTGACACAGCTTCTTCAAGTGTTGCACGCTTTCTGCTTACATAATCCTCAAATTGGATATTGTCAAGGAATGAATTTTTTAGCTGCAACTGCTTTATTATTTGTCGGTCCCGAGGTTATTGATTTCAGTATGATCTCATACCCAAACTTGAATTCAGGATGCGTTCTGGTTTTTGATAGCAATTACCGAGCGATATTTTGATAAAACTTACTTTGACAGTAATCTAACCGGCGCACAAGCTGATCAGGTACATAATTCAAATTTAAACCGATTTAGATATTATTTTTCGTTAGGAAGTATTTAAAGAGCTATTGGAAGTACAATGTCCAAAAATCATGCGGCATTTAAATTCTCTTGATATCGATGTCGCTTCAATCACATTAAATTGGTTTATTGCATTATTTTTCGACGCGGTTCCCTTCAATGTAATACTTTACATTCTATAATTTTTTCACTTTTCGTTTTCAGACATTATTACGCATCTGGGATTGTTTTCTATTAGAGGGTCCAAAGGTTTTATTCAGATTTGCTATTGTATTGATTGGTTAGTTATTTTCAGACATTAGTTAATGCTTTAAAATATCCATTTAGCAAGACACGAAGAAGAAATAACAAGTCGGAATGACGCCATTGGAATTATGCGAGTTTCCAAAGCTGCAAGTCGTTTAGCATTTGATGAAAACGCGATTGTCGATGTTTCCTAACAATCTGCTTTAACATTTCAATTTTTAAAAATATTCAGTTGGCTTTCCGCTTGGCGAATCTTCCATCAAGAGGTGAATTGAAAAGTTTACAAATGCAATATGTGGCAGTGCTTGGTGAGAAATTGGAAAAGAAAACTAAACGAGCAAGTGCATTCGTGGTATTTTACAAATTTTAAGAATCTACAATTAACAAGCTATCAATTTTCAGAATAGCTTAACAGATAATATTGCAAACGACAAAATGATCACAAATTTATTTGTTGATGGGTTCTCATCAAATAATGGTATATTGCATTAGAATTGTCACTAATTTAGCAAATGTATTAAGCTTATGTTGTCTCTGGTCATCATATGCTCGGTAAAGTCGCAAAAATCAAGATAGTCAATGACCGCGCATTTATGAAAGACATTGATATTGAGGTATGAATTATATAATAAGGTGATCATTATTATTACGTTTCCAGTTTGACTGTCGAATTATGGCAATTTGCACAGTGAAAAGTGATATGGCTTATGTCAGCCTTGTGTCGGGATATGTTATCGCTGCGCATATTGGTTATGATGACGAATGGTAATGCAATAACCAGTAACACATTAAAAAACATTTTTGCATATTAAGGAGCATTTTGTGGGAATTAAAATTACCGGATGTTGCTACATTCCTTATTAATCGAGAGGACACACTATTTGCTGGGTTGGCGAATGGGACCATGACGGTGTTTGAGGTTTATTCAATATGTATTCTTTCCCTAAAATTAAAAAAAAAATAGAATGCCGCTGATAAATGGCCAACAAGCGTTCAAATGTGGCATCTTCCATTAAGTTCATCCCCATTAATGAACGCTGTTCTTCATGACGATCTCTTGATTGTCGCAACTGCTTGTAAACTGATTACATTGGATGCGATGTGAGTTTTTTTGAGAGAGAATATCTCTAACATCTCTTCTAGTTCTTTAACATTGTTATCAACAAGTCATGTCGCTTCATCAAATACCGGATCGGGTGTGTTCTATTTTGATAAAGTAAGAGGAAGACCGTTGAGTAGAAGTAATAATTTATCAACAAATAGATAACTTGTTTGTGTGAGTCGTCTCATGGAATATTTCTCACTACTGACCATTCAACTCTAATCCAATTATGGAACGAAACAACTTGTAATTTGTTATACGATATAATTTTTGATCACAAAACAAGGTTGAAATACAGTTTACCTCAATGCTGGAATAATAGATTTTCAAGCTTCAGAAAACCTTCTCTAACAGAGTCTGAAGCCATTACTTATATCGAATCGATATTATTCATCGATTCCCATTTATGGATTGGAACATCGGATGGTTATGTGTTTGTATATAGCGTGGAGAGTTACGTTGATTCGGACAATGATGACGTCAAATATAGGCTGAAAAGGTTATAGAAATTATTATAAAATTAATTGATTAATGAGTTATGAACAGGTTTCCTAACGAGAAACGACATAACAAGTCAAGTTTGATGCGATCACAGAAACTTGGATCAGTTATTGAAAATAGTGAGGAGAGCGACTCGGCTGATCAGGTTTTCCCACCAACTGACAATAAGAAAAGAGCAAGCCGAGTTAGTATCAATATCGATCGGGAAACGCAACAATACAGTGGTAAGAATTATTAGACTGTTGTTGGCATTCAATGAAAATTTCAGTATCAACAAATATTCAAACATCGAAAGATATTGATGAGCAACCCAGTAGTTCTTCAAGGTGTCAATTTTTATACATAAAACCAAGAAGGATTTTCTTTTAGCAGGCTTAATAGTGGTTCAAACCGAACTATACGTTCACCAATCAAGAAAGGATACAGTGCGGATTCAGCAGTTTCAGTTTTTAGTTCAGGTTTTGTTAAAACACGATTTTCATATTTGAAATTTTTTTAGAAACTTGTGATGGACCGTCCAAAGATGAGTTGATTGAGAAATGCGAGCAAGAATTTGCAGTACCAAAAAAGGAATATATTCTTACCAAGACGCACGCCACTCGGTATACGGAATCAACAATCACACCCAGGTCCACTATTTTCGTCTTTAGATTGCTCAGTTCAACAGATTCCAGCTGTACTTCAATGGAATTCGATGACACTTTTGAGTTGTATTCGGACGAAGAACGGTCGCGGAGACAAATCGCAATACATTCTCCAAAGAAAAAAGGCAATCGGCATAGTTTTAGAAAAAAGATAAGAAATGATGATTGCAGCATGCGCTTCTCAAAAAGAAGTATTTCTGAAGCGGAGAGATTTAAAATTCGACGAGCCATATTTGATACCAATAACCGGTAATGATAAAATAGAAATTCGTTTACAACTGTAATTTTAGACAACAATGATCGTGATGAGCTGGAAGTTGAATCGTGCCCAGTGTTGGACAAAATATGAATTATTATTTTAAAAATATACAAATTTCAGCAACTCAACTGTCAAACTCAATTTATTAATGAAACTAAAAATTTCCGATTATTCTGTGAAAAGAATCGTTTGTTGTGGGTGAGATTTTATATTTTCTGACAAGAAGAAGCTATCGAAAATAATGTTATTTAGAAATAATAATGTTTTAACCTGTTCTGGAGAGTTTGGTGCTGATGAAGCAGTTCTTTTATGGCGCAAAGATTACGTCTCAGTTATTCAATTTCCCAATTAATAATGTTTAAAAAGAATTATTTGCAGAATATTTGGATAAACGATCCGGTTATTCACAGTGCTGCGCCATCAACACGAAATAGCCACACAACACCAAACTTAAACAATGGGTTGTAACAGATTCATATATTTATTTGTTGAATAATAATAATCGTCGAGAATCAGAGTAATAGCAAAATTGCCACAGCTCTGAATGTATTTGGGTTCTGTGAGTATTTAGTTAAGTATGTGTTTGTTCGATAAAGATTTTTCTATTTTGAAAACACTTAATTAATAATCACTTAGTGAAGAGATAGTAGATGAATCCAACGATAACAGCTAATAGCGCAAAGTAGACAAGATTGTCTGTTGGTGATCCTTCGCTGAAAAAAAACAATTTCAGTTATTCAAGCAATTAACTTAATACGGTACTTTCTCTGCTTGTTCTCAGATGGAGCCGGCTTCCAAGTCTTCTTTTCGTAGGAATAAGTTTTTCTCTCGCCCTGAAGAGTGTATAAAAAATCAATATTAAAGTATCACTTTACTTCTTCGATTTCTCCGATCAAATAGTCCTCCTTGAGAGTGCGAGCGTCGGTGGAATGACCGACATCTTCAAACTCCTCAGTTCCGTCACGACCAGCTTGCTCCAGAAGAACTTCACAACCTCCCGGATGCTAAAAACCGTTTCTTGAAAAAATATCAATTTGCTCAGTATGCATACCTCATCAAGGAATTTGGTCACGTCATAGACCTTGTTTCCAATGATAATCCATGCCGATCGATTAGTATTGTGCTCGGCAACTTCCTTTGTTGAGAACTGTTTCAATGATGCCATTTTTCTAAAAACTTGAATTGATTGAAAAATGAGTGAACTGAGCAAACAGAATTGTTTGTCACAGCACGCAAACAATATTTATCAATCAAGTAGACTATGAAAACAAAAATTTAAATGAAAAAAAACAACAGGAAAATGGTTGCAACTGAACAGTACGCTATTAATGTGAGGAACGTGGAGGCAAGTGAGGGTCACAACACAGTATGTAGGTCGATCGAAAAAACGATATGAAACGTGGTGAAGGTGAAGAGCGCCTAGTGTGTTAGGACAGCAGGTATTTGTCTTGATTTACCAGACTACAATGGCCTGATAGGAGTGCCGTTTTTGGTGATGTAAGAGAAAAAAGAGACACATACACATGACAAAACATTGTGGTTTGTGCGGCGGGCACAATTAGCGTTATTAGTCGCAAATGTAGTGTTCGTAGTAAATCAGAAAATATATCTTATTTTCACTGAAAAACCATTAATTTTAAATGCGTAAAATAGGTGCACGTGTAAAATTAATGAACAAAATCAGAGAATCTTTATCAGTGTTTGATATAGACAAGTCAGATCATCAGTGTGCGAGACAGCAAACCACACTTTACCCAATTAAACTTGTGATCGCCAAATTTTCTATTGCTGACGAAAGTAAAAGAGGAATTGATAAACTAAAATTGTGTACGTTCGTATAGTAGTTATTCCAAACTTCGTTTATTCATTTAAAAAAATCACGTTGTTAATGTCGCAGGCATAATTTGACAGCAACAAAGGAACGTTAAATAAGTAATGCAAGCAATATCAAGCAATGCCGAGAAGAAATGAAAAAAAAAACTAAAAAAAAAAATAGATAAAATTTCAATGCAAAAAAAAATAAATTTTTTTCTTGTTTTCCTTATTTCTGCATTGATATAATGTTCTATTTTTTGATTTTTTTTTCCTGTATTAATCCTATAGGGAATAGGCATATATGAAAAAAAGGAAGAGAAATTCTCGGATTTTAAAACATCTTTCATTAATTGTAAAAATATAATAATTCGTAAAAATAGAAAATTGTTGATCATGAAATATTATGAAATACATTTCGTGTACAATCTCTTGTCTTTTAAAGGCACATTTCATGTAAATAAAACTTTTTTGATCTTATTTAAAAATCCGAAAATATGTGCAATTACATGTTAAACGTGAAATGTTTAGAAATTTTTGTTATCTCTTGTTCAACATAAAATATGCAAAGCCCGTCAGGATGGTAACCCTCCAGAAATTGTCTGTAAAAGATTTTCATAAGGATTTTTTTGTTATTGTTGGGTGGACAATAAGGTTCAGCCATGACTAGAAACTCATTTACGCCATTTTATAGGTCTATCATGTTTACTGGAAAACTGCTCTAAAACAAATAAGTTTAGACCTGAAAATTTGCGACCTCTCCGTCTCTGCCGTCTCAGCGAGAACCTTGTTCTCAAAGTGAGCCCTCCCTGAAACCGTGAAACAATCGCTGTCTGCCTCTTAATGGAATTGTTAGTAGACATCTTTAGTTTATTGTTATAGAATACACATTTGTGGCGTAATGAAGCTTCGAATCCATAGAACCAATAAAGAAATTGAAATTTTTAAGTTCAAAATATGTATATATGTATGTATATTTGCCCAAAAAATGCAGGCAAAATATTAAATTACCAGATTCCTATAACCAAGCGGAAAGAAAAATGGATTCACTTAAAACCAAAAAAAAACAAAATAATTATGATACTAGTTGTTTTTATCAGTTCTTTTCTTTAGGAAAAACCTTTTCTTTGAAAAAAGCGATTTATACCTGTATGAACTAATCTTTACCTTGGTTATCAATGGTTTATAATGGGGTGTGAAATGAAGACATTCATAGTCATAATGGAATTGATTTTTGAACACTGTAAATTGTACATCTCCATAAAACATTCAAGTATTGAAGTGAATCACCTTGCATAAATTACTGCTCCAATAATAGTTTCTTCTTCAGTGGTGTAGCATACGTATATCATTTCCAAAGAATACTATTGCTTAAAAAAGTTACGACGAAATAAAATTTCCTCCAATTAGCTATGCATATGTTTTATAGTTTTTACTTCTTGTATGAAATGTGGGTTTGTCACTTTTAAAACCAGGAACCTTGATTCGAAAAAATTCTCACAGTTTGATTCCTTGATGAATTACATGGTACATGAAAACAATTCTCATCTTTGTTTTTTTTCACGCTTTCTGTGGACACATTGGTTTTTCTCATTGCCGTCTTCTCCTTTATTTTACAATTGACTTCTATTTACTTGAATTGGAACTAGTTTATAAAAATTTTAACAATTTCTTTGTACAATGTTGTGCACACAGAAGACGTATCGCTGCAGTTATAATATCAGCAGTACTGGCTCTAGATTATTAATGGTCACTGAAGCGTGAGTGAGATTATGATACTCCTCCAAAACTTCAATTCTATGGGTCGTCGTTTTTTCAACATGTTGTCGTTCCAAACAAAATTTTGTTTGATTTGTTGTGCATTACCCGGTGAAGATAATTTATTAAACAATTGTATCTGAAATAAAAACTTCTCTCCTTTGATTTTTAGTTTTCTCGATAGCTACATTCATCGGTTGGTGTTTTTCGTCTTTATTTACTGTATTATTTTGCTTTGCATGATCATCATCATTAGCGTTGTTAATAGCGTTCCTTTTAACTCTTCTTTCTTGCTTATTTAAATGATTTTGAAAAAAATGCCTTAATGAGTTCGAATTACTAGAAAAATTTTAAGCATTGAAATTTTCGCAAAACTAGATGACAATTTTTCTTTTCTCCTCTTTCTGATAAAAAAACATGTTTTATTAAAATATGCTAGAATTCGAATATAAATAATTTATAAAGAGACACATTTTTTTTACGAAGCATTTCAATTTTTTATATACCGTTGTACGACAAATATTGTAATATCAATCAGCATCTAATACAGAGGTAGTTTTTCACCTTTTTAGTTTTTTTTCTGGCGAAATCTGCTTAGTACCATAAAATAATAGAAAGTGCATTGTTCTTTTTATATTTTTCTAGTCTGGTTGGCAAAAAATCCTTTATAAATATAATTGGGTCATTTACAGATAGAGATTTCAAGCTTCTCAAGCTAAGGACCGAAAAGCTTGGAATGCTGTGGTTCGCGCCTCAACAGGCGAAAGACGAACCGACTAAGTGACTAAGTTAGTAAGTAAGTAAGTGTCAGATAGAGATACCTAGATGGATTTATCATGTAGCATAGAACAAACATCGGCGGTACTGAGAAATGGGTAGCATGGAATTAGACGTTCACTAATTTGAATAGCACCAAAATAATCAATCTTCGCTTCTATCGTTTCTTCCATCATTTCAGTAATTTCGATTTTAGGTTCTTTCATTTTGATATTCTTTTAAAAAGATCTCACTTGAATATAGAAGCTCATAAAATTACAGCTACACGTGTATTTCGGATTACTTGATTACCTAACTCCACAGTTTATTCTCCAATGGATGAATTATTTCGAATTCACAAAACAATCAACAAATTTTCCATGTTACTCTAAAGTAATCCTGAATATCACCAAATGTTTTCACCCATTTGAAAGGGTCTCTATTTGGATAATATTGTTCTGTTGTAATTTTCTAAGATTAAATGGTAATTTTAGACGAATTCCAGACCTAATATTCGTCGCTAACTATTTCATACTTTTCATTCGTCGTGTGAAATATTTTATCTAAAATATTAATCAATGAATATAGAGAAAACAGGTGCAATTCCATTTGGCTGCCGCAATTAATTACTTGTCCCTGCGTGGTTCTTAGCCGAAGAGCGCACTTTCTCAATAGAGCGAGCTTCGATACTCTGCATGCCTCTCTACCCGATCGATATCTCTGCATAAAGCGCTTAATGCCAGGCAGAAATGCGCGAACCAATAGGCAACGAGAACTACTGTAGTAACGCGGAGTTTCACGTTGTGAATTAGAATAATCCAAAAATTGCGGGCTTCGTGCGAATTTCCGCAGATTATTTTCACACCAGAATTTCTAACACCAGATTTAATTGGTATTTATTATATTCATATAATACTTTATATTGCCATCTCTATTCATTTTTATCCTTGCTTTACATTTTTCGACGCATTTTGGCTACAGATTATTGACTTACATCATTGATTTGGTAGGAAGCGTTATAAACGAAAAGGAAATTGAAATATTTCCTAGTATTCTATTACCAGAATGAAAATTCATATCAAAAATACATTAAAAAAACAAAATCATCATTATTTAAAAAAATTTATTCTCAGAACAACCATTGTTCTAATATTGTTCCATCTAATATCCACCCACACGCCAAAAACTTGCAATTCGTTGTTTGACGAATTTTAATAATGATTTATTGGAAATCGTGGCGAGACACCGCTGTCGCAGAGCACAAACCAAAAGCATAAATTAAACGAATTCTCATCTTTTTCTCGCCCAGGTATCATTGAAGAGCGCTTCCCTTGATGACGGATATCCTCTTCTAAGTGTTCATTAAGTTTCCCACTTTTCCTCGACGGAAAAATAATTTCATTCTATTCCTCAAGTCTTATTTATTATTTGGCAAACGAAATCCTGGTCTAAATCACCCATCCCGTCTCTTAATAAAACATAGCTTAACATTTTTTTTGTGTTTTTCCCAAGACGCTTGGTCTTGAAAATTCAGAGGTAATTGATTTATTACTGATTTTCCTGCTAATCCGCCGCAATGATCTTTTTACGTGTAAATTTCTGCTCTCCTATTCACTGTTGAACAGTTATTAGTGTCGATTTGATGAGGAAATATTATGCATATCTGGAGTTTTCTATTATTCTCAGCAATAATTACATGTTAATATGATTATAAATCACCAACTTTGCAATTTTTCCTATTAAAATGCATTTGTTTCATATGTCCAAAGTACTTTTATACTCCTATTCAATATCAATTGTGCGACCAAACGGCATGTGTCTCTCACAATTGCGAGGAGGAGAGGTGGCATTCGGCCAATGCACTAAACCGAGAGCAGTGTACACAGTGGAGCGAACGCTCGCGGTCTCAACGCGTTTCCCTGCCGCTTGGTGCTCCTTTAATGGTCAAACCCTCTGCACTTTCAAATTTTCATGTGCTGTTTCACTCGCGCCAGATGTTTTTTTCGCCCTCTTGAGCCGCATTATTAAATAACTTTGTCGATCGATTTTTTCCTTTCTTTCTCTTTTTTCCTCTTCAATATTCACGTTCTGCCCCAACGAGACGACGCAATTTATTGTTGCATTTGATTCATATCTTCAATTCATATTATTATTTTTTATAGGGTAGTCGGGGCCGTCCCTTGTCCTTGCGAGATGGCATCCAATCAAGGTATAAAATAAAATTTCGACGAATTGTGAACTAACGCGATTTTTTTTTAGAACCGCATGTCATCTACCAACAGACCTATCCAGCAGCCAACTATCAAGGAGCGCCAGTGAATCAGGTGTGGAATCAGCCGCCAACTCAAGCGGTAAGCCAGTTATTTGCTGACATTGGGAACTGAGTTTCGCTAACACAAAACAATTTTTGTTAGCGAAAAATGCTTATTTGCTTCTAATACAATAATGTGCAATTGCCAGGTGGCATTCATCCCATACCACCCCGACGTAAACTATGGCGATAAACCATACGGAGCTTATGCGCCAGTAGCTTATCAACCGACACCGGATAACGGACAACATTTCCAAGCGCCGCAATTTGTTCAGGTATACATAATGTAAAAAAAAAACATTAATGGAAATAAACAAATATCGATTTATTTTCTCAATTTATGCATAAAATATTTTATTTTATCATCAGACTCAAGCTCCATGGCAGTACCAACAACAAGGACAATCGCAGTTCATTCCATCATATGCTAATACGTTCAACGTCGCAAATGTTAGTGAATATCTTATAAATTCTCGTAAAATGTCTAGAGAACATTTTCTGCTTTTGTCTTTCTAATTAGCCGTGCACTATACTATTTCTTATATTCCGCATTGCTCATTATTTTTCATAGGGCAATGACATTTCGTAAATTTCAATTACAACTATATTTTGTTTTTTTTTAGGACCCGCAATATCAAACCGCACCACTTCCGACAATGAGTCAGCCACCGCCAGGAATGCCTCGCGAGGAATACCCTGGTACATCTTTTATATAACATTATGTCGGCTTTGTGCAAGAAAGCATTTGCTTTTTTTAGGTTCGGTCGGGGTAATCGATAGTTCGGTGCATAGTGCAGCTGCCTACACAGCAAAGTGGGTGAGCTCAACATCTAGTATTCCACCGGATATGCGCGAGGAGCCTGAGGTTCATTTATTATTATTTTTTTCATTTCTTCATTGCTCATTTCTAGAGCGATATCAATTTGGCGCAATGGGAGCAGGGGCAGTGGCCAGGATTGAACGAGGAGAATAAGAAGGATGAAAAGAGCACAAAGAAGTATGTCTTTTATGAGGTCGAGAGGTCATTAAAATATGTTTTTTTTTTCAGAAGTGGCTCGAAAAATCGTGACGAGCAAAAGAGGGAGCTCACATTTGATGAGCGCCTTGAAAAGGCCAAAATGCAGAAGGACCGGGTTGAAAATCAAGGAAACGATTCAAACAGTGTGTCAGAGTCGACTCCAGGAGCCACTTCACCTACGGGTACTCCAACGACTGCAGCAGCGCGCGGCACTAGCGGACCACAACGTGGTGGACGCGGATATAGTCGCGGTGGACATAACGGACCGAATAATAGACGCGACGTAATCTAAATAATTGATTTAATAATTTCAGTCAATTAATTTTTTAGGATTTCGTTCCAGAGAACCGTCACGAAGGCGGTCAATCGAACTATCATGGTAGAGGAATGAGACGTGGGCACGGTGGTCCGCATAATATGGGAGGAATGATTCATCAAAATGCTCCGGCTCAATTTCAGCAGGCGCCTGTTTTTGTTCCACAGAATCAATATCCATACCAGCCAGCGCAGCCAAATATGTACGATGCCCAATTGATGGCTACTATGAATGGTACATTCCCGCTCTATTTTGAAAAAATATGTTTTTTGTTTAGCATTCCAAAACACTCACATCACGCCATACAATCCACTTCGACAGTTCCCGATTATCCCAGGATACAACTTCATGCGCTCTCCAATTCAACAAGACGATAAATTCAGAAACACCTGGCTCGATGTCCAATCTTTTCCATTGCCGTTCGGACCAATGGCAAGATCTGTTTAGAAATGAATTAATATTTTGATAATTTCAGTTTGGATTCCCACGCGGTCGCGGCGGCTTTCGTGGCCGCGGACGTGGAGGACCATGGAACTTCCGCGGAAGCGGCCGTCGTTTCGAGAGACGGGTCGATGACAGACGGGACGAGAAACGCGACGAACCGGGCCAGGGCGTTGCGCTTGAGGAAAGCTCCAAAGAAGAAAAGCCCGCGCCGGCTGCTGCCGCCTCTTCTTCGGCTGTTGCTGCATCGGCTCCGATGGCTGCCGCCCTCACCGTTGACGAAACTGCCGCTGTTGCTGCTCCTGCTGCTGCTGCCGCTGTTATCGCCGCCAGCGTTACTACGGAAGACATGAAGCCAAAGGCCGAAGCAGAAAACGACTGCGCTGCTGCCGAGAACGAAGAGAGCGAGTCATCATTGGCGCCAATTGAGACGTAAGATTCGTCATTTCTCATCCGTAAATGCACTTTTTATTCAGTTCCGAGGAAGATGCTGAAGAGAGTGAGGAAAATGAGGAGAAAGAAAAATCTGAGGAATCCAAGGTTCTCGAAAAAGAGGAGGAATTGGAGAAAAAATCTTCCTAAATTATGCTATGAAGTAATTTGATAATGATCCCAATTGGATTCAAATGTTATTATTTTCAATGACTGCGAGCCAGTTGTTGTCTAACATGTTTTTTCCCTGTCTTTTCTATTTTATTTAAAACCTTTTCCTTTTTTTAAATGTTTTTCGTAATTTTCAATTGACTTGTTTTGAATTCTTAACATTCTTTTCAATTATTAATTTACTAATTGATTCTGTTCCATCGGTGAACCCACAATTTATTAACAAGTCCAAAATCATTTTTTTGTGTTCTCTCATTCTTTTCAAAAATCTCGTTTTTTATTTTCTCATATTGTTTTTCCCATCTTAAAATATTCTCCTGCAATTGATATATTGTATTTCGGTAGTGTTTAACATGTTTTATTTGCTATCCCGATATGAGACAGGCTCTCGCAAGTTTTGTTTCATAACGCTTATGTTTGTGACAGCAAAGCTAACATCTATTTCAAACCGCGCCCTATTTTGCAAATCTTCAGTCAAACTTCCCGGCATTGATTGTTGATAAGCTGAACATCTCTCCATGCGCGATGCTGTTTTTCAATTGTATAGCTATAAATATTTTGGTCAAATGCAAGTGATCATAGAAAAACATACAGAGCTGACGGTCTGAAATGGGCAAACACAATTCGCTGCTTCCGAATTTTAAGAACTCTCATTTTTTGAGATAGCTCATCTTCGGAATTGGTTGAAATGATATGCGAATCTAGTGAATAGTAACTAATCTTGCGACTGCCGATCAGCCCTCTGGTAACGTACCAGTCATCCATCTGGAAGAGTATTGAATTCTGGATAATTTGCTGGAAACTACTTGCCCAAAGAAATTGGGTATTTTCGATGTTTTTTTGAAGATGAGAAATCAAATTTCCACTGATAATGTATGCCATTCCTTGACAATAAGTGCCAAGATCATTGTAAGCATAATCAGTTTTCGATAAAAACCTAAAACGGTTCCTTATCGCAGACATTACATATTTCACGTATCTCACCATTTTGATAATGGATTGCGCACGACTGTTCCATGTGTGAAAACTCGGCAAGCAATGAAATCGTCAAGGGACTTGTACCTAAACAAAAGCAATCATTATTCCAATATTCCATTATCGCGTGTTCTTTATTTGGAGCGAAAAATAGTTATGAACAAAGAAAAGTGGGATTTCGAATCTTCAAAAAGAGATGTAATTATTCCCGCTGTTGTTGAAGCATTAAAATGGAAATGTTTGAAGATGGAGATATTGAAATGGTTTAATTGAGGGGTTAGCGTTATTAGTTAATGTCTCATATATTCTATTCCACGAGGTGATATTACCAGCAAATTAGTAGCGTTTATATAGGTATACATTTCGTGTGGGAAAGCTTGTGAGCTTCTGTGAACACTGGTATGAACACGTTCGTTTCTCTAAAAATAAAAGAACGAAATAAGAAGCACATTCGAAATTGAATTTGATGAAAATTTGATAGAAAAAGAATGCACCAATTGTATTCTCGTCGGCCATTTTTTTTTTGCTTTATGATGGATCAGTAATATCGTAATTGGCTTTACTATTTATTAATCTTAAAGTAGACAAATTATTGGTAAGCAGAAAATTCACCATGACTACTTAACGTCACTCTGGAATTGCTGTCTACATCTATAGATAAAGATAGAGTGTGGAATTGTGTTGAAGATGAGAAAAACTTTTTTTCGAAAAAGGAGAGCGAGCACCCCTCTAAATATGCCTGATTTTGTTTGCTCGTTTTTTTTCCAGCGGCAGCCCACGCGAAAAGAACGTTTGCCAGGGACCGTGTTTGTGAAAACAAGAAAAAAACCAAATTGCGTTTTACAAAATGAATGAACTACAAATTTTAACGGCTCTGTAAACAATTTCTAATACCCGAAAATAAAATACATATATATATATATATATATATATATATATATATATATATATATATATATATATATATATATATATATATATATATAGAAGTGACGTCAAACCTTTCAATTAGAAAATGCATTCCAATCATGTCGACATGAACATCATCATCAAATTTAATTACTAATTTTGGGGGTTCTTCACATGCAAGCTGACTTATCCAAACTTGTGTCTAAAATAATGGTACTCTACGTCCTTGATTTATTTTGTTTACTGGCCTTATATGTTATATTATGGTTATTCTCTTCTACGTCTATTTGCCATATGTCATTGTACTTGTTGTTCTCATGAGATATATTATATAATTGGTCGACTGCGACTATGAATAAAAGCACTGCGTCATTCTGAATATGATTATTTCAAGAACAGCTTTAGGTAAGAGATTTCGCGTACGACGCGTTGCCATGTATCGGACAGCTGCAAACGTTTTTGTCGTCGCCATTCGTAGTTCTTAACGTGCGAATGAACGATTACAACAATTATCGATGACAATCTGTTGCACAATACAACTGCGGAGGCGTTAGTTAGGACGGGACGAAGCTGCGGTCGCGGTGTTCTCTTGATGGGCGGCCCTTGAGCCAAAAAAACCTGCAAAGATCACATGTGTCTTAATTGGAACTAATTACACATGACGAACATCTGTCGTCGGCAAATGTCTTTTTAAGGGAAAATTTGAGGAACTCATTCACGTTGGAACATGATCAGGGATTAAACCGTTTATAATTATAATTTGGATGGGGCTAAGAAATTTTTAATTTCTTTAAAACTAAGCTATGGAAGGCACCTTAATAGGTTTAAAGTACATGAATATCGTCCCTAACTAACATATTCGATTTTTAAAAAACACTGTAATTTTTACTCTACAGGATGGCGCTTAATAACCCGCACAAAAGTTTGGCGCTATGACGTGCATTGCGGATGCGTTTTTGGTGCGCCAATACATTAATTTTCTTCCCTTATCGTGTCAGAATAGCTGATATTTTGTCGGAATCTAACAAGCAAAGCAGACTCGAGAAAGGAAAAAGTATTTTCGCCCGTACGAAAACTGGAGAGAAGTCTCTGGTGAAGGAAGAGGACAACCTGTCTGACAACTATCTGCATACAACCATAGAAACCTATCCGAAGCGTCTCCGAGCTCTCATCGTTTAACAAGAGGTCCGGGTTGAAGAGAAATAGTTAAAAATTAATTATTATTGTATTAGTAAAAAATTGCTGAACTTCATCTCATTCTGATTTTTGGTTCTTGAATTTCATGCTCACAAAGTTGTACGAGTAATTATGAGCAACTCTCTAGTGTTTCTAGTTTTCATAGAATGTACATATACATATAATCGTTCCATAAATGAATACTTGAAAGTAATGTTTAACGGCACGTTTAGCATGGCGCATTAAGGTTATTTAAAGGCGCACGCTGCTCGCAAGGGCATTTTCCAAAATTTTAAAGGCAATTTTTCGCAGTCACTTCGACAATACTTACCGGATGAACATGATTTTTCGGTGGAAGATTCAAGCACTTGAGTACCATTTTTGGTTTGATGGTTTTCGTATTAATTACCAAATAAACAAACAGAAAAATTATTAGAGTTAAAATCAGAATAATAAAAAATAATCTAGTCAATATTTTCATCATTGATATTATATGTTGATTTCCATAATATATAGAATTCAAATGGTTGACGTGATTTACAAAGTTGTCTAGGATAATTGGGTCACCTTTCGTTTTCCAAAATCGCGTTGTTCTCTTCATATCTTTTAAAGTTTTCTACAACATGTAAACAAGAGCGAATTTAATTCCCATCTACGTATTTATATTTTGAACAACAACCTGTAGAATGCTATTACGAATATGACAGTATTAAAAAAAGAAGGAAAGCGAAGCAACGCTTCATCAACAGCAAAAATCAAATGTATACAATCAGAACAAACAAAGGCACCCAAAATACAAAATCCGACAAAACTGATAATAACGAATACAAAGTGATGATTTATACAGTGATTTTGTTTCATTTCGCAAGCAATTCGTGGAAAAAAATAAGGCAAGGAGTAAAGCTTGAAACTGTCGAATATTGATAGGCGGCAAGGATTAGTTGTTGTTATTGCTATTATTCTTGTTACCGCCTCCTGACAACGTTACAGCAAGAATAATAGCAACAATAATGAGGATGAGCACTATTATAATCAAAATGGCGGCAACACAAATCTGAAATCACGTTTTAAAAGAGACGTTCCAAAGTTTCTAGTACCTTTTTTCTCATCGCACTTTTTTTGTACTCGACAGCAGTTTTCACATTTTTTGCACCTTGGTCGACATGAGCCTTTGTATTTTCCACATTATTTTCGATGTTTTCAACCATCTCGCCCTGAAAATCCAAATGTTTCCTTTAAAACTATTTATTTTTATATACCTGAACTTCTGTTAAATGCTGCATATCTAAAAAGATATCTTGAAGAATGGAGATATTGTTCTCCAACTCAACAATTTCGTTGCGTCTTTGCTTGACATCTTCCATGGCTGCTCGGTTCGAAACAGTCAAGAGATTAACTTCGCCGAAAAATAGCTAAAAAAAATACTCATTTTGATATTTCAGATATCAAATGATGACAAACCTGCTCCGATCCGCTATTTTCAATAATTTTTTCGATGTCATCGTCAGTCAAATTTTTGCCGACGGTTTGAAGTTGTCGTCGAACGCGCACTAAAAAAAAATGATGAGTAAGTGGGTACATAAATTCGAAAGTGTGAACAAACAAACAAACCTGATACTCGCGATCGATAATCCGAATGTGTATCGTTGAACAAATAAATCAAATCTGACATTTTCTTTTTGAGCAAGTCGATTTGATTCTTGCGAATTTTCACTTCCGTGTTCGAATGAGATGCTGGAAAAATTTTAATAGCACTTTATTCGTGCAATTTTTGATACTTCTCGTAAACTCAGTGAAATCATCTTCGGCTTGACGTACCAACTTACGTAAATCGTTCGTTCGACGACGAATAGTACCAATTTGCTCTTCAAGCACATCCTAAAAATGGTAATTTTTATATATGTTGCGGAAAAATATTTTATATTATCAATGAATTTAACGTATTTAGGGGACGGCAATTTTTTGAAATATTGTTGAATTACCTCGAAATTTTCGCAAATACGTAACAGCGCCCTCAAAATTCAATATTTTCCTGTTATGGCTTTTGAAATGTTTTATTTTTACGACGATTTTATTTCATTTTTATGACTCTGTGCGTGTATTTTACAAAGAAGCAGCAACAATATTCCAATTCTCGAAATTGAGCATATATAGATAAGGGTCTTACTTTATCTCTTGGATCAGCAACGGTGAGTGCAAGAATATGTTGCTGTTTTCTGCGAAGCGCCTCAATCTCGCTTTGGACACTTTCCATTGCCGATCTTACTTCCTGAATGAGAACAATTAAAATGAATGTTGGAACGGCAGTACTTACTTGAAGCCGTCTATCAACATGCTCGGCAGCCGAAACGGGTCGTGCAACAGATAACTCGACATCATCAAATCGATCCGTTACTCTGCTCTGAAATGAAAAGATTTCTAAATATAAAAATAGAACGGTTCAATGAATATTTGTTTATAAAAGTTGGGTTTTGTTCAAGCTTTGTTCAAAAAATTTTGTTCAAGTTTTCCTCAATACTAAACAGAAAACAAACCTGAAATTCAGATAACCGGTCGCGCATATTCTTGTTTGAATCCTGCTGAAAACTCATGTCTAGCGCTGCGTTATGAATGGAATGAATGACGAATAGCAAAAATGGCAAGCCGAGAAGAAATTCGATATTGTATTTCGGCGGGGAAACAGCGCAAAAACAATAAAATAATGGTTTTGTGGCAAAAATTGCGAGGCGACACAACTTTCAACGAGACAGTTTTCCCAATAAATTATGACGCACTCATGCTTTTTTTCAGTGTTGAATCGCGGTGAGAAAAGCAAAAAAAAACGCAATGGAGTGAATTGTCGAATGACTAATTACAATGTCTTATCGAATGTTGTTGTTTGCTCATTGTCCATATCAATATAATTGTGAAACGAGCTAACAGCTGATTCAATGCGCAAAGAGGATAACAACAAAGGAAAAAGTCGTTGCACCAAAAATTTATTAATTTCATAGAAACAAAAAATTGTTCACAAGGTTCGCATACAATATTTTTGACTACAACAGCAAATTTTGGTTCAATTATGTTTTATTTTCATAATGAGTTTTTGATTCTGTACTTGAAAGAGTGTGATTTGAAATTCCAAGGACAGAAAAATTGTAAAAAATTGAACGATAAAAATTGGGAACGTATAAAATGAAATAATCAGTGCGTGTGGTTTGATTTTTTATGTGTGCTAAAAAGAAGCAATAATGGACCAATTTAATTGAGTTGTGGTTCTTCACTTTATTTTTTTTATCAATCGAAAATTGCATTAGTAAACGTTAACGCACGATACGGTAAAATTCAATTATTGATTGTTTGAAATTTACTTAAAAACTTCCATGACACGCTCTTATTTGCGCAAATCAATAGCAGTGGAAAAGTGAAAACCTACAGCGATTGGCAGTCGAAAATAGCTCAAACAAAACGTACAGGCGGGCTCTCGCGCATTTTAATCGATGGTTGTCGCGAAATACTACACAGTACACATGACTAGATGCTCAGTGAAGCGACGCAATGCCTCGTATTGACAAAACCATTTCATAGAATGACTCACAAAGTATCTAACCGAAATGACACAAAAAAGCAACATTTTGTGTTCAGATTTACAAACTTGCGCTATCAACAACATATAGAAACCAGTTGAATAATCTGCATTGCAAATGGCGAACTGTTTTTGGAAAATTTTACGCTATTGTCATAATAATATTATTATAATTCGGAAATTGAAGTACGCATGACAATATAGTGTATAGAACGCATAAACGGGTATAGGTAAACATAGCCACTGCCATATAGAAATGAATATTTGCACAATTTTTTCAAACATTTGCCTTTTATATTTCGCATAGAATAAAAAGTGGTAGTGGGAAACGAGCAGGTTTCAGGAAAACAGCCGACATATAAGGAGTGTGTTGGTTGCTAGGCGCTTATTTCGCAATGGAATGGCGAATTGAGGGCAGCCCAGCAACTGACCTTGAGATTTCTGCCGTCGAAAAATTTAATAAGAAAGTTCAACAACAGTAGAGCTACGTGCATTGTAATGAGCTCAAACAAAACGGTGAGATTTTTTTTTTCGTACCAGGCCAAACACTACAAATAACTCATTCACTTGAAGTTTTCAAATATTTGAGTATCTAACTGCCAGAATTCTTTTCGAGTTTTTAAATAAGAATATCAGACATGAACTACAATACAGCCGATGATTTATGTTGCATTGTTAAATATACATTCTAGATGTCAATTGTTGAAAAGAGAAATCATTAAACAAATTATAATTTTCAAGCAAATCGAAAATGACTAACCAATCTCGAAGAGAATTAATGAAATATTTATTGTAATCCTATGAATAAAGAAAGAGTAATAATATTTGTCGCTGTCATATTATCAATTCGTTAATGTATTACACGGGAATTCAAACACGTTATTAGAGATGTCCATATTTTATCATAAAATTGTAGATGAAATGTCATATCCAACACAATTTCAATTTCATAGCAAAGATGCAAATTTTAAAGGCTGTGTATTTAAAAACGACTCATCTGGCTATCATCAACTTTTGTTGTATATGATGATCACAAAGCAAAGCAGAATATTTAGGATACATTTTGATAGTTTTGATTTTGTTCAATACTGTTGTTTGTAACCGTTTTGTCTAATTTTTATGAGAGGCTCGCTTCATCATATCACCATTTCTTCGTCATTTACTTTAAAATATGATAGAAAATTTTGTTCGAGAACCTTTATTCCAGCACGCCAATTAAATCGTAAAGACCAAGTTCGAAACAGCAAGAGTGGGATTGATAAGTGAGATGACAAATAATGAGAAATCCAGTGTTTGGCTGTACAGCGAGATAAATCCTAAACGAAAGACCGGGATATCATTCGTTCAGTTTAAATGAGATAATAGATTATTTGCCGGAGGTTTCGAGATGATTGATTCACAAAAAATAGCGACAAAATTACGAAAAGAATGATATAGCACTATAAAACAACGATAGTTTGAACTTTTGAGTTCACAAAGCACAGGAAAATGCGGTAGTCGTTTGCTTCGAAAAGTACACGTTAAAGAACTAATTTTAAACAAAGACAGCAGATGAGAAACATGGATTAAATGACACAAAAAGTAATTAAACAATTTTTGAGTCGCAGTGAAACCGATTGATGGAAAGATTAATAATAGAAAATCAGATGTAAGGAGTAGTAATGGCAACTAAATTAATCACAGCCTGATAACATTGAGCCATCTCGGAAACTGTGAAGATTTGGATACAGTTTACAATGAGAATAAGATGCTTCTGACAGCTGACAATTATTGCAAGATGGGTTAAACAGAAGTAAAAATAACGATGTAATCGAGTCCTTTTTGCAGTTTGAAAACGCATGAAAGACCCTATTCAAATTAAGCCTAACAGGAAAAAATAAATACAGAAATATAGATGATTAAATAGGTGGTGTAGATGCACATGATTATGTTGCAAATACGTACAATGAGGTATGGACGTTGTTCAAGGTGGTGGGGATTAGATAGCATAATTGGAATAAGCACAGTTATTGATACTCGTTAAATGGTTACGATTACATATAGGAGATTTTTGTACGGAACACTAACAAAGGTAAAAATTAGTTCGGTAACAAAAAAAACAAGTGAAAGAAAATGAATCGAGATATAATTTGTTGCGATTTTTGGCGTATAACATCAAATGATACGGATATGAGGGAAGATCGAATACAAGACGAGGCAATTCGCACAACGAATACGTGAGCTTTCTGGCCAAGACCGTCCGTGCAAAGGATAGACGGCCAACCTGAAACTAGATTCGGTATAGGTCGATTTCGGATTATTTGCAACCAACCTGTCTGCGTATTTTGCAGCGATGCTTCGTCGCATTTCCGTATCATTTGGTGTCATACGGCAAAAATCGCAATCACGAGAACATTGGAATACAAATCTGCTGAACAGTTGTAAGTTTAGGCGAAATACATGACGTTGTTGGCATCTGGGTGGACCTGAAAATGTTTAATTTTAAATGTACATGTCATATTCTTTCAAATAATGTACCTGGACGGCTCGAGCCATATTCGACAAGGTTGTGTCCTCGGAGGTTCCTGATGGTTGGGAACCTTCTCCAGAATCATGTTCGCGGTCAACTAAATGATATCTTGCGCGGAATGCAACAAGATGAGCATAGTAGGCTGGAGCAGGAATGGAGACCGAGCGAGTGCATCTCACATAAGTATGACACATCTGAAAATAGCTTTTATTGATATTTTCACTTAGTATGCTTCAGTACCTGGTATGTTAATTGTTGAAGCTCATCAGCAGACAATCCGTTGTCATCCCAAAGAACGTGGTAATGAGATGGTCTTGAGGTTCCCTGGATACCAGCATGGGAGCAGAGGTAAAAATCGAACTCGGTTGGGTGCGTGATTCCAACATCGACGGTGGTTCCTGGTGGGATGTTATAGGCTTTTCCGACTTGGTCCTTGTGATCAACAGCGAACAATCGCGTGTGGTGTCTTTTTTGAACGGCGATGAATGTGATTCCTGGCTGATATCCACGTTCAAGCATCATGCAAGCCTCACGAATGGCACGAAGTTCATATTGAAGAACATTGAAGAATTGTCCCTCAGAGACACCATCACGGTAAACAACAATTCTAGCCGGCTTGAAGCGAGTGTTGCGGTAGAATTGGACAAGGAGTTCGCGGACCATGTAGGTCAAATCAGAAATGATCTCCTGACGATGTTGTTGCACACGAACGGTTGCGGCGTATCTGCTCGGATGAGCATCCATGGATCCTACAACTGCAGCAATCGATGGCTTTCGAGAATCTCCAGCTGGTGGATGAGTAATGTCGCATCCAAAGAAGATGACAGGCTCATTGAAGATGCGTGGACGAACATTTGGCAACAAAATGCTATTGACTCCTCCAAGCTTCACATTCATTTTCAAGCACAGGTTGGAAAGCGTCTGTGGTGTGGTTCTTATAGCGTTCTTTGCTTGCACACATTGAGTAGCTATTCCGAGAACTGTGTCTCCAACACGTTTCACTTCAGCTGAAATTATTTGTTTAGTCATGCTCACATTTTATTAAAATATCTTACCATAAACAGGTGTTTTTCCAGGCAAAACAACAACGACCAACTGTATTCCTGGGTAGTTGACCTTCAAGTATTTGAACATTGGTTCAACTTGTTCAACGCCGGACGCGTATTTGCAGAAGCATGGGTTTCCAACAATTGGCATGCCAGCATCGCTAGAGATTCTTTGCAATTGAGCCGTGAACAAGCGGAGATCGTTTTCCTTCACATGTTGCTGTTGAGCGAAGCAAGCAATAGCCCAAACTCTGACGTCGATTCCAGTGTGGAATTGCTTTCCACGCATATCCCAGACTCCTTGATTTGGAACAGCCGTGGCGCGAGTCCTTCCTCCATAAAGTAATTTTGGCGCAGACAAAACACGTCCTTTAACTTCAGTCATAGCTGGATTGATAGTGATTCCGAACTCATGAGCAAATGGATCTGCGGAGAACTCGGCCTTGCGGACCAAGTTGCTGATCTCACGCTCTCGTTCTGGTGCCGAACGGGCTGTAGCTTTGATCATGGTTGACGTCTGCACGTCAGTGAGCTTCTTGATGCAACGCTGTCCCGGCACGACATTGCACACCTCTGGCGGAAGGTAAGTGTGTTTTTGCTCTTGTCCAACCTATAATTATGACGTTCCCAGAAAATAATGTGATTATTTATACGAACCTGAAGGCAAGGAAGGTGCGGGTATTTCAGATTGAGACGATACTTGTCGAAGAAGTATTTGGCAACAGTGCACTCGATGGTTTGACCATTACCGAGTTGAAGTGGGAATCTGAAATATTTGAGATAGTAATTTCAAACATTTTATATGATGTCTCACGTTTGAGTTTGGGCTGGACGACGAGTAACATTGCAAACGCGATATTTTCTCCTCATCTGTCCACAGTGTGTAATCTCAATCTTCAATCCACGAATTTCCTTTGTGAACTTTACACGTTGAGCATCAGAAAGAGCACGACGTTCTGCAAGAGCTTGAACTGGAAGCTCAAGCACCTCAGCAATGAACTCGATGACTGGCATGGATCGGTAGAATGCGGTAGCAGACACTAAAATGAATTTCATGTTGTTTCATTATATTCCACACTGTTGTTACCATCAATGTTGAGCATCATCTTCCATTGTGATGGGCGAACGGATTGATGGAAACCGAACCACACTTCTCTTCCGCCACCCAATTTGCTTTCGGTATGATACTGATTGGATTGCTGCTGATTCTGCCCTCCCTGACCGCCTTGACCGCGTTGTCCCTGTTGCGCTGGTGGTTGCGCAGGTGGTGCAGCCGCCTGAGCTGGTTGAGCACCTCCAGATGGTGCCGAAGAGCCGCCAACAACAGGCGGTGAGAAAAACGAGCGACCTACTGGTGTATATTTTAAGCTTGGTAGATGCCGAAGAATCACATCCATCGCCTGCAAAAAAAAACAGTTAATATAATTGAGTTACGTGACTTGGTCCTTACTTGAACAGCTTCGAATGGAACTTGGCGAATTCTTCCTTCCATTGCATCTTCCAACGTTGACAAAGAAACTTGTCCAATCCATTTCAATGAAACAGTAAACTGCCGTTCAACAGCAGAATCTCCTGGTAACGTCACTTCAAATTCCATTCGCTCTCTTCCAATCGGCAAAGGATCACGTGTGTACATGTTTCGTTTTCCATCGTATACTGGACGACAATTATTGAAATATTTAGCAAAAGAATGTATCATGCATCCAATAATTTCTCTGAAAATGTTGCTTTAAATTTCACTATTTCTATATTATTTCTAATTACCTGTTGACACGGCGCGGACATTTGTCAGGCGTAACATCGACTTGATAATGTTGAATGGTGCCGCCAGGAATTCTTACAGCGAAGTGGTTGGCTCGCAATAAAATTGACCTTCCTTCAATACCATGGTTTGGCCGTTTTGGGCACTGGAATTGAACACCCGTTGAACTAATGCTGAAAAGGTACAAATTGAGATCTCTGAATGTGTTAATCAATGAATATTACGTTTGAATAGACCCTGCTGGTCCACCGATTGTTCCAACAGCTTGGCTAGCTCCTTCACCAACTGGAGTTCCCGAGTTTCCAATTGGCGCGCCAGGGGCTAAACTGCCGCTTTGTCGTGCTGGGACATCAGCGTATGATTGAGATCCTCCACCGTTTGTATTGGCACTGAAAATCTCCTGCAAAACGAAACAAGATATGTTTCACAATTGGTTATCATTCAACCGACCTCTAGATCGTTTTGAAGAGAATTCTGCGCAACCGAATTCGATGGGTACGGCGCTGGGACTTGTGGTTGTGCTGATGATGGTCCATTAGTTTGCGCGTACGATGGTGTTGTCCCATTCTGGAGTCGGGTCGTACTTCCCATTAATCCTGGAATATACTGCGGTCCTCCGGACATGCTATTCGGTGGCGATTCGGGTGAATTATTTATCGAATCTGTAATATATACAATTCCAGTTGTAAGAAATTATTCAAATTTTCGTTCGACAAAACATCACGATAAAAAAGCGAACAACACACAATAATTAAAACTAAAAAAAAGCTATGATCGGAATCACATAAATAACTATTAAAAATGCGATAAATAGTAATGCAAAGATCACGCATAATTAGAAAAAAGTAAGCACAACTAGGAATCGATAAACGATTAAATCGAACCGCGTCACTACAGCAGACAATCGACGACACAGCGCGGAAACACACAACCAATTGAGAGAAACACGCGGCAAAGAAACAGCTCGCTCGCTCGCGCGCGCGCACACACTCACACACACTAAAGCGCAGGTACGACCACACTGCGAGGTGGACTATGCGGCAATGTGAGTGGAACACCAAAAAAGACTGCGAGCGTCGAAGGAGACAAGGGGGTTGGACCATGGTATACGTGGCCAACGGGCTCTCCTAGCGAAAGGTCACGAGCAACCGTGTGTTGGTAATGTGCTATTCAGCCAATTATTTTATGTCCACGCCTCTCGCAATTTCGCACCAACAGACAGTGTACAATGGCTAGAGAATTTTGATAGCTCCATTGGCACCAAAACAATTTTCCGATAAGGTTTTGGCAAGTTATTGTTGGGAATGTGGTACAGCAAGGTCAAACGCTCACGGGAAATTGACAAATTTAGCGAATAAAAAAATATTTTCAGAGAAAAATGAATAATTCCAATAAAATGTTTTGAAACATTTTGCCTTTCTTTGTTTCCAAGTTGAAAAGGTTATATCAACGTTTCGATTTTCATAGGTTCAAACGTGTTTTTAAGTTATAACAATCAGTTGATTACATCGAATAAAAAATCAAAACCAACTTTTCTAACGTAATCGACCCTATCTGATGATTTTTACAACAAAACTTAGAGGGATACTGCAAATCCAGTTTGCAGGTGAAAACATTACCTAGAAATCAATTTGAAGGAACCATTGAACAATAAGTTTATAAACAGTTAATTGTTTATATTAAACCGTCTACTGTATTAAATTACGATTTTCGTTTACATTATATCGATGAATTTTTTTAACTACTGAACCTCATGAAAACGTTTTGAAACCAATAGCATCGAAATAAAGAAACATGAATTAATCGAATCCTGCATTTGATATTTTTAAACAATGCGGGAGAGAGACACTGCGGTGTTTCTCTTTCCCGGATTTGCTATGATTATCAGATGAACTTTATAGCTAATCTTCCTATCTTAACTAATTACGTACGTAGTAATTAATTGATCGACGGATGTTCTAGTGGGGTGTTTGAACTTAAGAAAGGAAAATGAAAGGGGTTTTAAAACTCTGCCCTTGAATTTATAGCGTTCGCAGCAACACCGCCTTTTTCAGATTACGAGGGAAGATGGGAGAATAGAAACATAAATACGCACTGTTCGATCGAACGGACTGAATTTTACTGAAGGAAATGTGAATTTGAATGCATAAGAAAAAAATCAAAACTTTGAAGAAGTCTCTAACAGGCAAATATGCAATAGCTCATCTATAATTTTCTATTTTCACCGATACGCCCTCAGTAATTCGAATTGCATTTTGGAAAACTCTTTCCTACTCGTTGCACTCCACACACATATAATTATTATTGCCAGAGAAGATAGAATTACTAACCAACAAACCAAATACATACATGTCTTGTTTTGAACAGAAAACGAAATAACCGATAAAGCATGCATTCGAAATAACACCCAAACATCTAAAAACTTGCCCCCAGAACTGTTTAATTCAGCCGCCATTGTAGAAGAGGTTTGAAAGCACTAGTAGGTTCGTGAGATTAATTTGCGGTAAAAGCGAGACTTGAGGTTGACACGTATCGGAGACGTCGGCAGCAATTTGTACTTGACTTGGGTGGAATAATTTAGAAGAGATGATTAGTTTTGCGCGTGCGCCTATTTTCCTGTGGGTTCGTGTAGGTCACGGAATGAACAATTGGTGATGTAGCTCTTGTTAACTGTTTTTGGTTGAATCGAGCTCAGCCTACAACCGCATCGACCAGAGTTTTCTGAAAGTGAATAACATGATGACAAAAAATTGCATTAAACTGAGGAATATGTTGGGCATGAATCAACGGCAATATTCATATAAAATTTTAATTTCCGGCATATCCAATATTCAAGAAAAATTAATATAACGTGTGACGCTTAAAAGCAAAAACGACCTTCAAGATTTTTTGCGGCAGAAACGACCTTTCTTATTCAATTCAAACACCTGTATTTGGGCGGCAAAACTTTTTGAAACCACGTTTGCAAAACCTGAAGCAAAACATCTAACTGATTTTGAATTGCGATAAAACGTGTTATCTTTCCTTTGTTCGTTCTCAGTCAAAAGTGATACGCAAGTTAGAATATTCTAAATGACGGCTTTCCGAAGTTTCACAATGTATTGTTATATGAATTCAATAGTTTCAATATTGCTCTAAAGTTATATACATTCAATATCTTTCTAATAAAATAATATGAGCTTCAACGAAATTATTTTAAACATGGTCTACTATTATAAAGTGCATACAAAAAAATATTGCTGTCGTTTCATTTGCATTGAAAATTAGGTGAGGTGCAAGTTCTACATACGGTCGAAAAACGAAATAAGTCGTCCGCTGTGTGAGAGAAAAAGAGACCCGCAACGCGACCGCGGCGCACTCAGTACCATGCAGTGTTGGGAATAGCGAGGTGGGGCGCGTTATTTGAGAGGATGGAATAGAAGAGAGAGGCGGAAAAGTGGCGAGACGTCGTCCTCCTCTCCTAGTGTACACTTATTGTGGGGCAGCAGCGGCGGCGGCGGCCGTCGTCGTCGTCGCTGCCGGTGCGTCGCCGTCGCAAACACAACGACAGCAGCGCGAAGAGGCATTGAACGTCCGTGCGTACGCCCGCCAGCCTGGTCGTTTGCTATCCCATCTCTTCGTGGCCTCTCTGCCGACTGGGCCGGGGCTGTACGCAATTTCCACGTCAAGGGCAGATTATGTTCCACTATTCCGCGTTGCCCGAAATTGGGGACCAAAAGAAGCAAGAGCGGCAGGTGCAATTAATTGAGATTCTCATTGAATCAAAGTACACAAAAGGGCAAAATCGTTTCAAATTCTGCTGCAGAAATTGCATAATATTTTATACACGAATTGACTGGCCTAGCATGTTTTTTTTTTAATGAAAAGAATATTGATAAAATTATATATGGGGATTAAAGAAAGAAAGACACAACTTATTTTCTGTGTAACTTTCGCAAATAGGATACCCAAAGAGAGTTGATTAATAAATATCCAGATACACGTACAGAAGAAGTCAATTTGCGGTGAACGATGACCAAAAATTATGACTTCGTTTCGACAATTATTTATTGTAACATATAAATGTTTAATGAACGATATCCACAAACATGCTTCTAAGCTTTTTGTTTTGGTGTGTCTTCAAAACATTTGAAGTGCTTCATAGTGATTCTGCAGCTTCGAGTAACAATTGGTTACGATCGTTAACATTAGCAAAACTCAGAAATAAAACTTATTATGTAAGATCAAAAATGTTGATATCTACATTTAAAAAATGTCATATGATGAATAGTAAAATGACATTTTGAAATGCGAGACAGCAATTAGATTTCCTTTTAGGTAAATAAGCTCTCAACCATAAAAATATGACGCAAATCGGTTTGAACTAATGAATCATATTATTCTAGAGAAACAATAGTATTGCTTCTATATGTATGAAGAAAATGCAATTCGTGTCTGTCACGCATTTCTCTCAAAAATGTCGTATCCGAAAAATTTTTTTAAAACAAGAAAAATTCTTTTTTTTAGATTTCTGAACGAAACAAAAAATTTTATGAGGGCACATAAACAAAATGAGAAAAAAATGGATCAAAATGTGAATGCAACCAGAGATGAAAAATTTTGTCACGGCTTTGATGCATTCGTTGGCAGCTATTAGAATTGAAAATACTTTGCTTCTATTTTCTTTTATATTCGTAATTTTTTAAAATCATAATATTTTCAATTTCAGTTTTGGAAAATCTTTCCGATAAAAATCCTAGATTGTGATTTTTGTTTTTTTTTTGTATAATAAGAATGTAAGTAAAAAATAATCAACTAATTTTAATTTAATACAAACGCGTAACATTGCGCATAAATGGATATTATTAATAGGATATATCAATTCACTACGATTATGCATATCATTTCATGGAAATTCAAATGCATATTATCGATATGCACAAACACTAGGAAAATAGGAAAACTCGTGACAAGAAGTGTCTCTCTGCAACTTTTCATATTTGTAGTCATATTTTCCCATACATTTAATACAGCTTATGAGAAAACTCAAGATTTGAAATAAATGTATATGGAAGTCTAAGCAAGGAGGGTTTAAAAGAAAATGAAACAGGATTTTTTACGTATTGCAAGCAAATGATGGCGAGACGGCGTCGCTTGTAAGCAATTATTCTAGTGTTTACTGTTCTGGATTTAGTTTGGGACCTAGAAAGAATAAATATCCAATGGGTTCGAAATGGCTTGCATTGGAGCAATCAATTTGATTTTCTTTTAATTTGTCGATTATCAGGGCAGATATATAATTTGGAATAAACGCAAGTCTGAAAATAATGCGTATTTTAAACTCATCGTATTATGACATATTTAAAAAGGACGGTTACTTAGAATTTGAATGCGTCAATATATGTGGAAATAAATTCGAAAGTGCATAAATGATTTTGCAAAAAGCGCAAAGCGTAGTTATTTCGGAAAACAGAAACATTAAGACTTTGTCTATTTTACATAAGATAAATACGATCGTGGTAGAACATACGGTAGAAAATTCGCGGGGCACATCTGCTAATATAAAGTGGCTGGTGTCCTACGCTCGCGCAAAAATCGATCGTGTGGCGATGTAGAGCTGCACAAAATGCGAAGTACAAAAAAAACCATGGTGCTATGCAGATGTTTAGAAAGAAAACTCGAAAACTGAAAAATTGTGAACATTTTTCGTTGCATGAATAAGTCCCATATTTAAGAAAAACAGAGCAAAAAAACAAATATATCAAATTTCGAAAAGTTTCCCAAAGAAAGGGGCAAGCGCGCATCTGCAACATTTCATGATGTTGCTGCACGATTCTTATTTTAAACATGAAAAGCTGATGGCTGGAAATATAGTTTGCGAATCAAAAATCATGCTAGAAGAGAAAAAAACCATCCATTTTTTATTGAGATAAGCTATCTTAAAGCCATTAGTTCATAAACATGTTTAAAAAACATTATAATCTGACACGTACACGTCTGTTTTTTCATCTTTTAAATAAGAACACGGACATAAAATTTTTAAAGACTATGCTGATAAAAATAAGCAAGTAATTTAATTTTTCTTGATTACATAATTGCTTTTAAAATGACTGAAAGATAAATGTGTAGGTCGGCACTGGATTTCTAATGATTATTATTAAACATATATCAAAGGCATTTTTGTTCAAAATTAATTCAATGAATTATTAAATTCTACTATTTCTGTTTATTACAGTTAATGAAAACCTGGGGTATCGAATTAATATTTATTATTATTAAGGTGAATGAAAAATTGATCAAAAATTTGAAAATTTCTGAATAGGCTATGTAAGGCGAGAACCCTATGAGCAAAGGTGAAAACAATTTCTGTAGAAGTTTCAGGAAATTCAACTATATTGACGTTAGTGAATTGAACTTTCTAATTTGATCAAGCGGGCCAAATAATTCTAAACAAATAAACACATGATCATTATTTTATATTGACATGATATAAGAGGGCTGCTGGAATTAGAACTTATGTATTTTTCAATTTTATTATGCATTAGCAGGCAGCAATTTGCGTATGCCTATGAGAATTTTGAGAAACTACGACGAGTGACGTCAAAAAAAAAAACAACATCATGTCACATTCAAATCCTTGTAAAATGATAACTTTTTAATCTGAATCTAATCGGAAAAACTATTTGCAATAGTGCAAAGAAATGTTTTCATTATGAAATGTTATTAAAACGCAATTCTTATAATATTTACATTTTTCACGAACTACTTATAGTCCCCCGAATATTTATTTCCGAATTGCCCCATTCAACAAAAATAGTGATATTTAAAATTTCAGTTAAGAATGTTTTAATTTGAAGAATGCTTCCTAACTTATTGAAAAATCAATTAAGTGGGCGTCGTGAAGTCAATTATTTTTAGCATCCTATTGTGTAATATTGAACGAGCTTACCCATTCTTTTCAATTGACTAATATTACACCCAATACAATAAAGGTATGTTTATTTTTATCAAAGAGATTTGAAAATTAGATGGATCGATAGATGAAACATCCTTATGAAGGCCGATGACGTTGAATCAGGAATACGTTATTATTTATTATAAATTTTTGTAAAGATCTGTCATCATAAATGATGATCCAATAAACTGGATCTATATACATATGCTTGCAGAGAAATGACGTTTGGACGGTACGAAAATATTAATACGAAAAAGCAACCAACTCAAAGAGTATCATAAAGTTTATGATAACGAAATTTCTGATAAAGTATAACCATTGAGAAATGATATCTAGGCGCTCATGATTTTGATGATAGATATCAAGTATAACCTAGTCACAGTTCTTCTACTCTTTCTGATACCGTCTCTCTTCACTATTTTCTCTTTAACAATAATTTTGAAAAATATATATTCTCCCGATATTCGAAACATTAAGTACATTTTCATGAATTAGTCTTGTAAGAATTTTTAATAAACTATTTCAATATATTTAATTGCTTCGATTTAATAAAAAAAAAACCTGAAATTACTATTTCAAATAATTTTCACCGATCCCCGAAATACTCATAAATTTTTCTGTTTAAATTGAATGTAAAATTAAAAAATGTTAAACCATCAGAAATCGAGTCCACCAATTTTTGTTATCATTATCGCGTGATTCTGCGAACACCGAACTAGTTTTGGTCGGTTCTAATTTTTAGAAAAAAATTTTTAAATTTCTGTTTTTTATGGTTATTTTATTGCCAAAATGAGTTGATGACAAGGTGGGAATGTTTTTGGGGTTTTGTATGCAAAAGACTGAAAGTCGGAGTACTAATAAAAGCAGTGAAAAACAATTAATTTGATTGGAAACGAAACTTTTGTAGAAACAATATTGCTTTATTTTACGTAGCTTTCAAAAACATAACCAGCGTTAATTATCGATTAAAATATCAACGTCATTGTACAAACAATCATTAAGAAAATCTTGAAGCCAGATTCCTTTTTTTGCTAACTATATATATATATATATATATATATATATATATATATATATGTATATCATATATCATATATCTCTTCAAATGTTTTTATGCTCCATTATAATACTTAATTTTAATATGTAGGTGTTTTGACAATTTTTCAGTGACGTTCTTAGTCCTTTAGTTTCTTTTGTTGCATCGTCCATTTCTAGAAGTGAAAAGTCATTAAAGTTTCGAAGGTTTATCGTATGAGTGTAATAGTTTGAAATTTACAATTAGCAACCATTTAAGTTGCGTTTTTATTGTCTTGATAATTTACACCCTCATAATTTTTGCCTTTTTCTTTATTGTGAAACATCCAGTGGGTTAAAAAACAAAAAAAATTGATAAAGTGATTTTAAGAAGCTGTTTATAAACTCATCCTTTTCAATTAGCCATTTACTGTGAACATTCCAAAAAATGTCAAATCGGTTGACCTTAAAACCCACCGACTTTTTTGTAGACTTCGAATTGTCCCATTGAATTTCCATCAAATGCACAAAACTTGTCCGATTGTTTCGTCTCAAATTCGTGGGGATGTGTTTTTTTTTGGTTAGCGAAACATTCATGCGTCTCTCATCACTTTTTCCTAAAAGAACTGGATAAGAGAAACGATCGAAATGACCAGGTTTACCGTTTCGGACTATCAAAACGTAAACCTTTGTCTCATGTCCAATTTGTTGTCATACATTTAAAATGGTCCAAATAAGGTTGATACAAAAATTATTGATATCAAGCCATAGATAGCAGTTTTTGGCTATCATCACCCATACACAACTGATAAGATTTCTGAGAACACAACAATGTAATTGTTCAAGCTTGCGGGTCACTTGATAGAAGGTCAAATCTTAACTTGCAGAATAATTTTTTAATTTGATAAAGTCCAAACATTCACCAGACAATTTTTAAACTTTGGGTATCTTTTAAAATTATAAAGATTCTAAAAACTATATTCTGAAAATCGGAAAAGATAATCATTCTAAAAAAAGAAATTGAAAATTCATTGCAGGAGATATTTTCTTCAAACTAAAATCATTCTAGAAACATTGATTCAAATTCGTATTTTAATTTTGTTCGCTTTCTATATTTCTGTCTGTTTACGTGACAATACGACAAACATTAATCAATTGATCCTTTATTTCTACAGTAGTCTATGTCGTCTTTGAACTCTTGAAAATCTGTGTATTACATTTTTATTATTGTATGGAATTAAAAAAACAGAACATTTAAGAATTGTTATGCCTAAAAAGGTAAAATTATGTAAAATGTCATTAGATTATCATCTGATGATGGAAATTTCACAGTTGAAAATGCTGGGAAGATTGTCAAGATTTTTGGAACATTGTTGGTATATAATACACGTAGAAAAAAAAACGGATGTTAGAAAAAGAGAAATTTTTGGAAGAGATAATTGATACAAATAATAAAATACAGGGAAGATACATTTTCTTAGAGTTGCGAGTCTAGTGAGAATGAAAGAAACGTATCACAAAATAGATACAAGCAAGTTTTCTCGACAATACAAAATAGCAACAATAAGATCTTTGAGAATGGCAAGAATCGAATGCACGATTGTTTTGACAAGCTTCGGCATGTAAACTTCAAAATACAGATAATTTGGAGAAAATTTGATTGAGAGAAGCTATGAGACTATGACTATATAACACCAAGCATAGTGAATATAAGGTTTAAAAAAGTGAAAGGTCGGACATATTTGTAGAAAATTTTAAAACGGAACCTATTGATTTCCACAATTCGGATAACATGATTGCAACAATATCATGTCATGATTCCCGGAAAATAGCTGAACGGCGAGAAATTATAACATGATGTACAATTCGAAAAATATTAGTGTTCCGATTTCGATTGGATAATTATGAGTAAATTATTTGAGAAGTTGATTTAACAGGCAGCTGTATGCCCAGTGCGTCTCAGCGAGCCTGTTGGCGATTCGTTTCGTGGACGACGATTTCTCTTCATAATTCCGTCCTTACGCAATGACAGTGGACGCTTGCGGTTGTTCTTTCGGAAATATAGATTGCAAGCACTAAAAATGTAAGAAATTTTCTTGGTTTTAGGAGTCTTCAACTCACTTGCACTCCACGCCACCTTCCCCATTGCGTCTCCATAGTGTTGTCTCACGAGTTTTGCAGTTTGAGCAAATTGAGTTCTGATGACATTGCACTGCCTAAAAGTAAGAAATCGTATTATTAATATGACTCATATCAATCTATTTACCGCCATTCGCTTTTTGATCGGCTTCTGCTCTGGTACCAATGGATCTTGTGGTGGTGGTGTAAAGTTTGAATGCGCACCCATTCCGTAAGTGGTCGCTGTTGGATGAGACGGCGACTGGTGCATCAATGGAATTGCAGTATCGCATGCCTGGTTGAACGTATGAAAGTTGGTTAGGTTCTGCTGAACGATATATTGATATGTTGCACATCTCGAAAACTTACCAAGTCGAACAAATTGAACTGAACTGTCGGTGGCTGTGCCATTTGGGTTCCCATATAGTTTGAAGCTAAATTGTTTTGGAAATTCATATTAAGTACCTCTTGCTGGTTTAGCCTAAACGAAAACCTAATTACAGATTTGAAAAAGTGAACGCAGGAACTCACGCATTAGTGAAGTCTGCATATATGGGCTGCTCCAAATGCAAATATGGGTCAGTTAAAGGGTTTCCAACTTTCTCGACGCGATATTCACTCATTGTTTGGTTTGGTGCTGAAATATATAATAATGTTGCAAAACTGTCGATAGAGATGCGTTGATAAAAATCAGCGGATTTGACCTTTGCCAATCACCGGGAAGTAATAAGACAATCGGGAAAGTGAACGCACCGTAATATTCAGCAAACTCTTCTTTGACCTGGATTTCCTTCATGAAATTATCAATAGCCGGCAAACGTGGGTTTCCAGCAGAAGTTGTGGCTTCTGGATGTCTTTGGAGATGCTGCTGTTGCTGTTGTTGACCTTGCGGGTAACAATAGTATACGTTCTGATGTTGCGGCGATTGATAAGTATGATCTTGAACGGCGGGATAAGTTTGTCCAACCGAGTGAAACCGTTCTGGTGGACGAGTTTGAGAATTTGCCGTCCGGCCTGAAAACCGAATTTTGAAAGAATGGCACACACGCACTTTTTTCATGGTCTTATTGCTGAAGACAAATTGCAACATGACAAACAACGCTCTAAAAATGTAGCTAAGCATACTCGTAAAAACGGTTGTACACATTGGGCCGGCGATGAGCAATATCAATGGAGAAAAAATGACAGCGAAATACAGTATGAATTTCCTCGCGAAATGCCATTGGGTTGTGTGTACACAGTGACTATTTCACACAAACTTTGTGAATTTTATGTGCGCAGGAATGAAATAGTCGAAGAGGGAAAATGGTGCAAGTAAATGGAGGTTAGTAAAAAAAATCATTGAAGTGGAGATTAATTTTTTTGCGTTTTACTTCAATTGCCAAGACAATACCGCGTGATGATTCGCAGTAATACTACGGTATACGATCTAGTGGCCTCCGGCAACTATCGCGCCGCCCTCTTTCGCTAGTTCTCAACCACCTCTACTGTCAACTGTTAACCTATCATTAGTTTTATTGCATAATGTGCGTGTGTTGCGAGGTGGCAAAAACAAAGAAATCAATTGTCGCAACGGTCATCAAACAGTGTAAAACGGTTGGCTGGTTAGTTGGTCAAAATTTGGAAGGAACTGCCCACAAGCCGACTCTAGAATTGTTCTCGTTTGTCAACGCTTAAAAAAATGGAAAAAAAAATTATTAACGAGCTATCGCAATATTAAACGCTGTTCGAATCAAAACATTTCGATAATTGTTTTTTTTTAAATCTAATCGAAAATTGAGTATTTCGTTTTTTTTTTGAAACGACGTCGAGCGACATCCAATGTGTACAATTAAATGGGTTGTGATAATGTCAGAAAGGGATACTGTCAGGAACGCGCTGATTAGGACTTATTCGGTAACCGGGGTCGGGAGCGCGGCGAAAGTGATTGGACACTGGGCTGATATCATCCTCTATTTCATCGTCTACATCATCTTCTTCTCTAACGCAATCACAAAAATATATCGTCCGTTTCTACAGTCGCTACTCTCGACCAACGCGCATAGTCCGACGGGTTACAAATTGTAGGGCGGGTTCGTCTCGTCCCCGAGGCGAAGAAGAAGAAAAATGAAGGCGAAGAATTTGCGATGAGACGTCGGACAGGAAAAGACGATGCGCGCGCAAGACGAGAGAAAACGGCCCCAGAAGACGGTAAATGATTAAGTTGTGATTGGGAAAGATAGGCCCAACACATCCATCTCTTGACCAACTTCGTCTCTCAAGTCTTGTCAAACGATGACCGTGAAACAATGTGTTGCTTCGACAATTCGACGCCTATTCGATTCTACACGATTGAAATAGAGACTTGAATGCGGCTGCCGCCGCAGCATCCAGCAGCAGGACACAATCGCTGAAATGTTCACGCGGCGCCGTACACTCTCTCTTCATCTCTCCCCATTATATCGATACCGTAATTCATTCAAGGGTCATTCGATTGTTTCGTTGTGATAATAGAATTGAAATGAAGGTGATAAATTTTCTGCTCGAACTAGCGGCAAGAAGGTAAAGAAAATGAAACGGACAAGGAACACTGAAAGGAAGATGAGACCGTAGACGGAAAATGCGGTAAAAAAGAAACAAAGAAAGAAGAATTCTTTTCTTCGTTTTTTTTTCATACTAATCGATCAAACACAAACAATCACTAACAAGTTGTGGCAATTTTTTGGCAATAACAACATACATAGGTCCCCAAAACAAATTCATTTTTCAAATTTTAACCGGCCTTCGAATGGATTTTGAAATGATCAAGGCTTGCATTTGATTAGATATCGCATCATTTTCTCACGAGAAACACTTACTTTGGAAAAACGGAATGATAGTGAGGAGTGGCATTTGAGTCAAAATTTCGAATGTTGACAGACAGAATATATGATTGTGTTTTTGTTATAGACCTACCTTGGCTGTCGAGCGCTGCAAAATAGGCGCCGCAATGATTGGCGCGGTCCGCAACGGATTCCAATTCGTTTTTATTACAATGCGGAGGCGTGTGCTCTTCTCCCGAGGACGGTGTATGCACCAAGCTTTCTGTAACAAACATCATTGACAGTTTTTTTTCAATATCTTTTTAGCCCGAGCAGCGGCGGTCAATATTTATTTCAAAAGTATAGGTGGGCACTATTCTTATTCAAAGTGTGAGAATTCCAATATTTGCTGGTACACCGATTTGTACGATTTTGTTAATCATTCTCAGGAGAAACATTGCAACATTTGAAAACGGAAGCTATGTCTTCAGAAGAAAAATAAGCCTATAGAAAATTGACAATTTCGATATAATTTTCTGTTGCCATGTTTTCTTTTTTAACTATTTCCGAACAAAAATTCTATTGAAACTTACCAGAAGTGTCAGTGGCGGAAGAAAATGGCGAATTCGTGTAAAATGTTTCGTAGGTGAGCGGGCTGTTCATCATTATGACAACACTGAAATTCGATAATTCTGGAAAAAATTGAAAACTGAAAGCGACTAAATTTGATAATATAATAATTGTAAGAAACAACGTGAGATGCTCGACCGAAATCGAAATGTGGGTTTAACAAAACGCATTAATTCTGTCAGTACTCAATAACGCTAAAAACAAAAATGATTGTTTTTGCACAGCCAAGTACCGAAGATTACGGTAAGAAAACAAATAAGGCACAAACCGCAATGTGTTGTACACAACTAATGAGTTCAAAACAGTAGGCGAATGAGTGAATAACTGCATAAATGATGTACAGCGCATCCCGGCACGGGCTCACTAAGCCCCGCCCTTTTGTTGCATTAACCTGGGGTCAACCGCAAGGAGGTAGCGCGTGCTAGGGGCAAGGCGGCAAGCTTCATCGGCATATAATCAAAAGCTTTTAACACATATTGATAAAACGCGGCACGTGGGGCCCCTAAAAAATAGCTGTAATATCTTGTCACATAAGTGCCTCAACATTTCGAGAGTAGCGAATTTTTGACATCTATACCGGTACGTCTGATTTTTTTCTGTTCATTTTTCTGAATGCAATTCATCATTGTTAACGGTCTTGGTCAGCATTTGCTAGAAAACGTTTACAATAGGCGTTTACGGCGATGGGTCAATCAAACGAACAAACGTTTTTGATCTCCAGCACATCAATTGCAGTGTAACATTTCAACGCTGTTCTCCCGTAAACGATACGATACTGTGTTGCTTGGTTTTAGTTGACTGCACGAAAATTATGTGTGACAGGTTGATCAGATCTAATGATTCTTAAGTAAACACAAACACCAAAAAATGCCTAGAAAGGTGTGTTGGAGAAGTTATGTTTTGAAAAAAAAATGAAAGTAATAAGGAGACACAAAAACCAAGACTCCACCTTTCTCCTCTTATCTGTTAATAAAAATGATGAACCAACAGGGGGAGAATGAAAAAAAAACCACGTTCGAGCAATGTCGATGGAAATAACTTTTTTTAAATTGTGGACGTAGTTGAAACGAAAAAAGTGACATAAGTATAAAATGTATTCTCTGTTGAGCAAATTATGATCGGAAAGTGGGTCTAAATTGCTACTATTTCAGACTGAAGCGAAAATGCAAAAGTAGGATTAGTGTACGAAAAAAACAATCGAAAATTGATTTAACGCAAATTAAAGATTATGATAATCGATTGTTATGTTTCATTAAAAAAACGGAAATAAAAGTAATCAGCGGTTACAAAACTTGTTTTTAAATTTAGGCACTGATTGTAAAATACACCTTATCACAATTTTCGTTTCTACGAATTGAGAATAGAAAATAAATTAAAAATCGGCAAAATTTAAATAATTTGCTGGAAATCACAATAAATTAATTTGGTTTAATTTTTCGAGCATTTGAATCGAACCAAAAAAAAAGTGTCAACTTGATCAAACATTTTTATGGCAAATTCAACCTTTGAGGTTTGTTTGTAAAGGAGGTATGTAGGCACACTTTTTTGAGATGTAAATATTAAGCAAATATCAAAAACTGAATCGATTTTTGGAATCCGTAGGATATCCAAATGATGTCGACGATTTAGTTTTATTTGTATTTAGTTTTTCTCTTATTCTCTGCCTCAAAATCGAGAAAAACAGGCAGAATTCTTTTCGGTTTATGCTACACTAAATCAAGTAATAAAACCATCTTTTCGTTATCAGCACCTTCCTTTCATTCTGAAAAAAATTAGTCCAAATCTAAATTTAAAAAAAACCGATGAGATTTGTTTATGATCACAGTTAGAATATTTGAATATCACAATAAAATTAATACCCGAGAAAAATCATAACGGAATAGTAATATGAATATTCAAAAAAAAATTTTAAATAGATGATCAATAAGCACCGAACGGTAAAATAATATTAATATCATCGTAGTTACTGTTTACAGACTCTTATGAGTGAGGCTCGTTAAGAAGACACACTGATAAGGTTGCGTTCGTCGCGCACTCCAGTAAATCCTACGTCGACAATGCACACACCAGCGTTTCCCCGCGTCACCAGTTTTGAAGCAAACTGAAAAAAGGATTGTTTAAAATTTGCCACGAATTTCTATTTTCCACCTCCACTGCTGCTTGAAAATTATTGTACCACATTATACAAACTGGCCGTTGGTAAGATTGGTCCTTCATGTAAATTTCCTCAATTTGACTCAACGAACTTTCATCGACATTTGGACAATTTACAGATTGAATGACATGCTCTCGCGAATAGCTGCAAATTTTTTTTATTACATTCCCCGCAATGTGCCCCACTATCACAGACAGTTCTAAGAAAAGTCCTTATCACACCGCGAAGAACAATGTGTCAAAGAGAAAACTTTGACCCGTCTGAGCATAATTGCACTACACACTACCGAAAGGGCTCTCAGCTCGTGCACATTGATAAGAACATGCTGTTGTTTAGAAAGTTACTCACTCTGTGAAAGGTCGTATATCGATGACAAGAATTTTCTCATTATGAACTCTCCATTTAAATTCTTCAATTGACATTCTTGGGCAATCAAACTTTTTTAATTCCTGAATCGTCAAAGGGGTAAGCTTGTTGTCATGAAGAAATGCCGGAATGTTTCGTGTTCTGGAGTTGTCTGAAATATCTATGTTTGTAGACCCCATATTTATTATGTTATCTAATATTTCCTGGTTTAGTTATATCATTATCAGTTTGTTAAATTTTTGTTAAAGCATAAATTTTGGTTTGATTAGAAAATAGACATTTATGATCACTTCGAAAACAGTTAAATCGGTTTCTTATCAATATTTGTGTCAATTTCGGATCAGAAATTCAACAATAAAAATTAAATCAAACAACACGATTTCATACGTTGTAAAATTTTACGACATTGACTACATTTTCAGTTGAAATTATACTTACGGTGATCAGGACTAGCATGAGCGCGAAACGTACAACTTGGTGGTATTTTCGAATGATATATAATTGAATTTTCGATTAGAACGTCTACAGAGAGATCTGAACAACTCAATTTATAACCAGAATGATTAAATGCGGTATTACCTGGAAGATCCGAGAAGAGCAAAATCGCGTCGTTGAACGACGAAGCAATCAATCTCGGCCGCAACTCTTTCATAACCGCAAGCCCGACCATCAATGGAAAAGAAGAATCATGGAGCAGAATTTTATCCCAAATATGGTAGAGTTTGTGCATTGGCAGCACATGAGCAAAACATGTCAAAAACCAAGGAATCGCGTAGAGTTCAGGAACAAAACCAAGATCAACCAAGTGGGTGTATAGAACGGGATCAATGTAAGCCAACAAATGATTGAACACTGTAAGATATTCTGAAAAAAAAAGAACTCAGATTTGAGAAAAACATAGTCAGTAGGTCTAGAAACCTTGAATAATGGCAGCATTGTCTTGAAGAAAAAAATTGTACAGGTACCGATTGATGAATTTGTTTAGACAGGCATGAGCTGTTGCTAAAATAGTCATTAGTTATATTTTTTGAAAAGTAATATTCTACCTGGATGATTAAAATTTAATAGTAAGAATGGAGCAGATATACTGTCACAGCCTTGCCAATAAACATATCTTGGATTCGACAGCAACCAAGCCTTCAAGACTTTTCGGATTCCAGCGTGAGCAGCAGGAGATGTCATGAGCTCTTCGTACTAAGCAGATATTGAAAATTCTAATGATACAGTAGTAGATGACCAAACCTGATGGCATCGCGGAATATCAACGTCAAGTTGGCGATCACTGGGATGTGTAGCGAGCACGTTCAACTCAAAGTATACTGATTCTTCCGATTCTGTCACGTCTAGTAATGAGCGCCAAACTGAATCGATTTTGTTGTAGTGAAAAAATTGTCATTATCATTCTTACTTTCTGCCCGGAGAACTGGTGGAATATCAATTTGAGCTTGTTCTCTGAGAATTTCCACCATTGAATCAAATTCTATCGAATGAATTATATGCCGCAATTGGTTCATACGCGTTGTCTGTCAAAAAACCATGTAATAAGGCTAATTTAGTGCAAAAAAAAAAACACTATTTTCCAATTTATTGAAAACTTTTTAATTATCACTCTAAACTTTATTCAAAATTATATTTTTTTTGTTGATGAATATTCGAAATCCAATTTCAGAACAAACCTGGTACGTGACGTCCTTTTCTTTGACAACTACGGAAAATTTTCCACCCGCTTCCTGTTCTTCATAATTGTGAGACTCAATTGCTTTACCTATCAATGACAATGGTTTTAGTACATCTCTTGCGCTCATTGCAGAAATTTTCTATAAAATTTAAAACGAATATTTTAAAATGATTTACTCTTACTTTGACTAATCTGCTATCAGGAAGCACAAACATTCCATAGCTAATGGAGCATTGGCGCACATCTTCATTTCCAAAACGTACAAAGTCTTCAAGTACAATGCTGAAACGAAATTCAATATATTCTTAAACAAAAATTTAAGCGTTACTGTGGAATTGTTGTAATTGGAGGTTGTAGTTTGATTTCACCCATCTCTATTAAAATATTCTCACATGAAGCACCGCTAATTCTCCATAGAAAAAATGCATCATCGATACACATTTCCGATAGAAAAAAACATTTCGACTTATCCATTTTTTCCTTGATATTCTCTGAACTTTATAATATTCTCCTGATATTGTTTTTTGTCGTAATACTTCGTAGGTTTTGCACTGACACAATCTCACAGTAATCGTTTTGATGGGCTCGATTTTGATCCATACTCTGCAGAGTCTCGCATACTTTACTCAGAGTGGGACGCTTTGATGGACTTATTTCCAAGCATTTTTCTATTAAATCCCAAAACTGAAAATTTTGACTGAGTTAATGCCGCTCAATTGTAAACTTTAAACTTGTTGTTTATCCTCGAAGCCTTTATCATACTTAGTTTGACGAATCAATTCTTCAAGAAACGATTTTTTATCGTGAGAAGTATCTGAAAATATTACTCTTAAGATTGGTTTAATATAAAGGCTAAACAAACAATATTCAGCCGTTTGATGGAAGATTAGTTGTGCAAACTTTTCCGATGACATGATTGAATTCAAAGAAATTCCCTATGATTATTTCAATATTCCATTGAAGTTTTCAAAAATTCTTACCGTGAATAGTTGAAAGAAAACAATACCAATAGAAAAAACATCAGCTTTCGAACTTCCTTGCACATGTCGGTCTCGCATCAATCGCTCTGGGCACATTGAAAACTGAGATAATGTTGAAATGAATTCAGTGTCCGTTCCATTTTTGGTTATATAACTGAAAAATAAGAATTGATGCGTAATGTATGTATAACCTCAAACAAACTCCAGTGAATAGTTCGAAAGCCGAATTGTTGGATTTTGATTAGCATCGCTTCCTACAACGTAAATATTTTCGAGGGACAGATTGGCGTGATTGAGGTTTTGCGAATGAAGAAATTTGATTCCTTGAAGAATCTGACTTGCAACGGATATCACCATTGAGAAACTAAAAAAATATGTAATTCTCAGAAAAATTAATTGCATACTAACGATAAATGCGATTCAGTAAGTAAGTGTTCCAATGTTTTTTCGTAATGCTCGCAGATAATTATTGCCAAATTTTTCTCTAAAAATTTAATTTTTGTAAGGATTTTAATTAGAATTTACCTAATACACATCGTGTTAAGTTGAAATATTTAATTAATTTATCATGTTCTAACTTTTTCAAGTGCTCGAACCTATAATATATTATTTTCTTTTCGTTTAATTTCGTTTTCTACCTGCCAAGCATTCTGATTGCGGGAGGAACTATAGGTAATCCATTCACACATGTTTTCCCGCTTTCTTCTTTGCATCTTATCACAAACGCACCAAATTTCGAATCACCCCTAACCCGCATCTGTAATTTGTTTATTGATTTGTTTTTCACAGGTAATGGCAAATGAAATAAAATAGTATATATATATATATATATATATATATATATATATATATATATATATATATATATATATATCATATTAATTATGAAATTAGTTTGGTTATCGCAAACAAAATCCTTGAATATTAGCATTGGAGCGCGCTTGCGCACTCCACGATATCACAAGGATTTATCGTTGCAATTAAAACCGGTTAACGCGACTTTCTTTGTTCCTCTTTTGCTTTAATATAATCGAATATTACTAATAATTTTTTCAGAAATGACAGAGGAAAATGGATCGAATTCTCCAGTATTGGCACGAGCTAAATTTAAATTTGAGGGAGCGAATAATGACGAGGTACATTCATTTTGATAACAATGCGTTAAAATTTTGGATGAACCACAATTTTTGCTGACATGCGAAGAGCATTATTAAAATATAGAATGATATGTTCAAAACGAAGACCATCTTGTTTAGTCAACAAGCGGATAATTTTTCTGACTTTCAGCTTCGCTTCAATAAAAATGACGTCGTTACTATTACACAACAACCAGAAGGTGGATGGTGGGAAGGCACGGTGGATGGTGTAACAGGATGGTTTCCCAGTGCATATGTTACATTAATCACTGAAAAAGGTCTGAATTTGTTTATAATATGAAAAGAGAAAAAATATTTTTTGATGGTTAGATTATCTTATTTAGACAAATTGATGAGATCTCGTAGCGTTCCAAATGCAGCAGCAAAAGAACTGATTGGAATTGTGAAACAGCCCGACTACCGTGCGGAAGTTCTTGAAGATTTTGTGAAAAACGAAACAGAATACATCGAACATTTGAAAATTACTCAAGCTGCTCTGCTCTTTCCAATCAAAAAAGCTGGATTGTGAGTATTTGAACTGTTAATTATGCAGCTAGCAAGAGAAAAACTGCAATCTGCATTTATATATTTTGTTATTTCGCCCAGATTAAAACACAATATTTTAAGTTTGGCTCCAACTGATTACGATATATTATCGGGAAATTTTGAAGAGATTTATATTTTGCAAAAAAGCGTGCTTCTCGCTGTTGAAACCGAAAGAAAGTGAGTATTTTATGAAAAAAATGAAATATTATAGTTTTTATTCTTAGATCGGAGCTCTCTAAGCAAAGAATTGGTGGAATTTTCATGCACAACGCTGGAATTGAGAGAGAAGCATTGCTCAAATACGCTGAAAATCATCCAAAGGCCGTCGAAGTTATAAAAGAGAAATCGAAGGAAATCGAAAAAACGTTGAAAGAAATAAGCAAGGAAAAGAAAGAATTGGTATCAGGATTAAGTGAACCATTGCGGCATATTGAGAAATATCATACCATGCTCACCGAGCTCGAACGAATTGTTCCGGTAAAACATATTGAATTAATTTTTCACTAATTGTGAGATTTTCAAGGAGAATCATGCAGATAGAGGTGATTTACAACGCAGTGCTGCTGTTTTCAAGGAAACAAAGGTAATTTTCCGAGTTATTCATAAATCAACTCAAATATTTCATTTTCAGGAGCTATGCGAGACCGTCAGGAAGCAAAAAGAAACACAAATGGAATTTTTGTATCTCTCAAAAGTTGAGAAAATAGTCCCATTTTCTGAACGTGGTATGATTATCTATGTTGGAGTTGCAAACGTTGAATTTGGAGACGCCGACCCCGTTGATAGGTTCATATTGAGTGTTCCATTTATGCATATATTCTCAAAATTGCAGATTTGTGGCATTATTCACTCGATATATCATGATTTTCGAAATCACCAATGACATGTCCTATAAACTCGAGGAAAAGTATCAATCAACGGGCTTCCACGTCAAAAAAAATTCTTGTAATGAGATCATGCTTGGTATTCTTTGAAAAACTCGAAACATTGCCAAATATGTTTATAGAAAAGGGAAAAGTGTCCATTAAACTGACCATTGCACCGGCACAAGGAGAATTTGATAGATGGTTTAATGCATTCTCCAAAATTGAAGGTGTAAACTTATCAACAGTGATGCCAGCAGTATCTCGAAAATCTTCCCGAACTGCTAATGATATTGTTGTGAGTGAAAGAAAAATTAAAGCTGTCGAATTAAAATTCAAAATATTTTTATTTGTAGTGAAGAAATTTTTTGACATAGCATTGTGCGAACAAACAGTGAGTTGATATAAACATTTCATGAATTGTTTATACAAGCCAATAGTTTATTTTGAAATAGTAAAAAACTCAATTTTTAAAGTAAAATTTATTGTTTCTCTTGTGACAATTAAAATACATTGATTTTCAAATCAAATTCCTTAAGAATTTATTTGAATAATGATATTTTTCGTTGCAGGATTATGCTTTGGTTTCGAAGCCACCTCCTCATCCAACGCCAAATACAGATACCACACAGAAGCAGAAAAATTCGAAATTGTAATTTTTAAATGTATCTCTGCATGTTCTAAAACATTCCATCTAGATTTGAGGAATCTATGAACGCTAGCGGTTTGCAATTTGATCACGAATTGGAAATGATTCTTCCCGATGGCGCACCCATGTTAACCAGCAGTCGCAATTCGCGATCCCATGGTGAAATTTTGTATGTTGTTTGATCCTTAGAATTTTTCCAGATAACCATCGCTTTTCGCGTCTAATGCCATGTTTTCTGAATGGTTGTAGACGAAACGTTTTACGGGAAGATAAGGGATATCGTCTCAGAAAAGATGGTATCATATTAAAAAAAACTGGAAAAGTTGTTAATTTTTAATTTCAAGCGGCACGTGATGAAGAAGAAGAATTCGAAGTTCTTCGCATTATTGAAGGATTTTGTACGGACACCGCATCTGTTGCTGATAGTCAATCTGAAAGCAAAGCTCCACAACTAATTGTTGCGGAAGATGAGAAAATTTTAGTCGAGGAGAGAATTGGCGACGAAGTGATCATTCAAGAAAAGTAACCATATAATTAACATGTAATCTCTTGTAAAGACTATTTATTTCAGAAGTATCGTTGATGCAGTTTATTCGATTAAAGATCAACTTTCTCAATTGCAAAGCGAATTTCTGAAAATGACAAAGGTTTGTGCTTTTATTATACCAATTTGAAAGAAAAAAGTTGTTCATTAGATTGTGGAGGCGGAACAAAAAGCGCGTCGTCGCTTAGAACATAATCTTCCCAAAATGTCGGGTATTGCGTCTCCCGATGGTTCGATCAGTAGCAGGAAAGCAGTGAATTCCACGGATTCTTAGTTTATTCCTGTTCAGCATTTTATCATTATCTTTCGCAACGATTTATATTTAGGATCAACACGATTATTTTGTCATTATGCGACAGCGCAATATTTTGTCTACTACTTAAACTTTCTGCCTAAAGCATATTAGCCATTTTCCGCGTACACCCAATTTACAAGAAATGTGCCTTATTCAATCGCTGCCTTATTTCGTTATAATTACATTTGCTCCAAACATTTTCGTTGTTTCGTAGTATGTGATTCCAGATTTAAACACATTGACGTTGGTTTTTTGAACTACGAACGTTTACGATTTTTATCTTCTTTGACCATCTGAGTAACAAGGCCATGGATCACTAATACGTAACTTCTTTCTGTCTGAGACACTTATTTCAATGAAACATTACGCAGCCCGTGTGAAAAAAAATTGAATTTTTTTTTTGTGAATGATTGTGAAGTGCCGAATTCTAGAACACAATTCTGGTAAATTTTGGAATTGAATTCTCCAAATTTCGGCGTCAAAATTTACCGGTTTAGTTTCAAAACGCGTCGAATTTGTTTGTTTTTCGACGTATTTGTTTCGAAAACAGTCGTAATCGTTTTGAATCTTCGTGTATTCAAATGTGAAACGAGCAATTCGTATTTGATAGTGAAAAGTTCTTTGTTTTTCCATTGAATACGATGATTTTCAAAGCGGATAACGAGCGCACGCGTTCGAAATTAATTACGAAAAGCAATCAAATAATTTCGCAATTGAATACTACGCATTTCAACGATAAATCGATCAATTTCAGAGCCAAAATTTGCCGTATTCGATGTGAAACGAATTAGATTAGTTGTAACCCCTGAAACTGCAAAAAACCTTATATATTATACTACAATAATTATCAGCAAATTTTTGTTTACTTTGGCGTCATTTTTATTTTGATAATTATGTCGTGACGATTTAAATTTACTTTCAACAAATTAATACATCTAAACACTAAAACGAACACATTTTTTTCTAGCGTAGCGGATTGAAATACACGGCACACCGATGAAACATTTTCATTGTTAATAGAACAACAAACTCCTTTCATTATAATTTTCGATGAAAACTCGAAAATCCGGGAATTGTAAAAAAAAATAACAATTAATCTGATGAGCCTAAAATTATAGAAACATGATCAAAATGCTGCTTTCTTAAGGGATGGGGCAATCAAATTTGCGAAATCTGTATAGATTTGAATTTATCGTTGACTGAATAAATGCGCGTACGCTAAAATGCAACTTTCTCGCGAACTTCTCGTTGCCGCGAGACACCTCGGCAGATAGTCATAAATTTCGTCAGTCCTTTTTCGTCACGGCGATAATATAATCGAATTAATTGAAAACATCGTGCCCGCTGTCATTCTCTTGTCGTCCAATTGAATTCGCTGAATCGTTTGTGTATGTCTCAGCAAAAATTGAATTCTGACATAATACCGAAACAATATCAATATATTTAAACTATAAAAGTGGTTTTATGACGGTTGAAGACATAACAATAATATGAAATAATGTTGAGTCGGCGTTCGGGGTAAAGGTGCGCCGTATATTTCTTCCTGCTACGTTGGTGCGAATACAAAAATTGTCAAGTTTAGTATTTTTACGTGTTATTAAATATGACAAAGTAAATTATTTTAAAATCTTGCAGTGAGCCGCCCACTGCCACATAATTAGGTAGAAAATATAGTCAAACCTGTTCAAATGAACTCGTTGACAATGATGGTTCATTATAAGTTGTTTTCGTTTTCTATTAGGGTTTCATGCATTGTTTTAAGCAAATTAATCTCGGAAAACTTCAAAACAGACTTCAAAATAGTTTGAAAATCTTGAAAAGAACGTTCTCAAAATAATAATTGAAGAATCAAAAAGAAAAGTAATTCTGACTTAATTTCAGATATCAGAATAGTTTTAAAGTAGTATTTTAAACTTATAAATTTTCTAGTTTGCTAAATATTAACTGCGCATTCACTAAAATTTAGAAGACACGTGTACGTCGAATTGCTTTGAGACATCCATACGTAGCCAATATTTTTTTTTTGAATTTGGCATTTTTTATCATTTAAATCCGTTAACATATGAAATTCTTTGACAAGACTTGTCAATTTTGCGGCCGAGCAGAAAGCCGGCCGGCTGATATGGCTTTTCGGCCTGCTTTTGTCTTTTTTTTTTACAAAAATCGGCCGATTGGTCAGCTTTTTTTTGGAAAATTTGAAAAAAGTCGTCCGAGAGCCGGCTACAGCTTTGACAAGCCGGATTGTATTGTCACACCTTTTTTAATCAGAGCGGAATTCTTTCAAAAATTTTTTTGTCCCTAAGTGTGCCCAATTCTCTTACCTTTGAAAATGCCGACGTCACAAAACGAGTTCATCGCGTCGTTTTGACGGTTCATATTGAACACGCCTTGCGCTAATTTAGTTTTTGTATTTTCAACTCGTTCCACTATTCACAGACACAGTTTTTAGAAAGCATAATTTAGTTTTTAAATTGGTTTTGTTATTCTTTTCAATTCATGTCCTAAATAAATACGGATCCTATATGTTAGTGTAATTCACTGTCAAGTATTATAAATGAATAGCAACACGAATAAAACTTTAATCTCAATTCACTTTGAATGACGACAAAATAACATCGCGGCGCGTTTTTGCTTCGCGCCTCAAGAACACCCTTAATTTATCTTCTTGAATCTGTCATTCCGAACACTCGATCGACATCCAAATGCATGCCCGTTGTGCTTTGGAATTTTCACGCGTGATTGCATTTACGCTCCTCCATATTATTCCTTGTGTTACTTAAAATAATTACAATTGTTAACATTGCGAATAACAGATAATCTCTATTCTCGATACGTTCTCCTAATTAGTTACAAATTACCAAACCGTTAATTAATATGCTTAGTACGTCGAAGTGCTTCATTGGATTTTTTGAATGCTAAAAAAAAATTATGTTAAACTCAAAAGCACTAACTCGAACATTAGATATGAGCGTGGTTAATTTGTTATCTATTCATATACTTTATTTTCTCTATTCTTCCATTTTGACTTTTCGTTACCAAGGAACAATGCCGTTTCTATTCTTTTTTGCCCTATTTTTATACTAATATTTTGACTTTTTTCTTCGGAATCTATAAGCTAGTATTTAAATACGATTGGTGGAATGTTTTTGAAAACACATTACTCTTAGATTATGGCTCCAAAACGATATGTTTATATATTATATTGGTAGTATATTAGCGGAGCAATTATAGATCATTTCTGGAAAAAATAATATAAGTGTCACGAAAATGACTCAGTTCTAGGATGAGTTGCAGAGAAACGTGAGATTCGAAAGGTATCTTTATTCTAGAATAAGTGTAAAATAATTAGAAAAAATGATAAATAAGTGTGTTTTTTTTCGCAGCCACACATGTAATAAATTGATTTTATCTAGTTATTTGAACATAAAATTACGTAATAAGGCAATTCCAGAAAAAAAAAGAGAAAATTTCAATGCAGAAAAGAATAAAATAAGGTTTTCTGATGCGAATGAATTAAACACTCTGAATAATTTCGATTCATGAGATTCGAGAACTCGAAAACCAAAAAATCTACATAATACTTTGTCAGTGAATATATTCGGCCAATTTCTATATACATCGATTCCGATTTTTTTTGAAAACATTGCTTGAAGACAATAAAATAATTTTCTGAATAGATTTTTCGAACCAAAAAACACGTTTTTTAATTACACATAACTAGGTGACGAACGTGAAATGTTCAGGGTTCCCATGTTGCGCATGGTATCATACATTTAGTTTTTTGTGTAAAACAAATTTAATTTGGTTTCCGTCAATTCTTTTCGAAAAAATAACGAGGTTGAAATTGGATATCTCTTCTCGAATTCAGTTCTTTAGCCGCTTTCACCATCTCTCTCCCTTTAAACAAAAATATCAAAAAATCAAAACATTTTTGTATCCATATATATATAAATAAAATTTAAAATATATTCCCATTGAACTTTGACTGAAAATTAGTCTTTTTCACGCCAATCAGTCATCTTCAATCAACATTTCCAAGAAACACATTCTTACATCACGGGAAGGGAATTTTTTTTATTTCGAGGTCGTAGATAAATCATCTTGTGCCATATCAAGATCGACACCGAATTTGGTAGGTTTCAAGAGCGTCATACAACAAAATTTTTTTATTGTATACGTGGTCATAGTATGATTACTTTTCAACGCGATTCAATTTTTTAGAATATTGAAAACTGTTGAATTGGGTATACCTGAATTCTAACACACTTGCGGTTTTTCCCGTGCTTGAGAAATCGCGTTTCACATTGCAATGTTTCCATTTTCCGCCCGTGCGCGCAGATTTAATCTTTAATCTTTGTGGAGTCACAATGATCAAAAACGTGGATTTTGCTGATGAAAAAAAATTTTATTCTAAATTTTTTTTTCGCTATCACAATGCATTGCATTTTCTTCTTTTTCGCAGACGTATTGTTACCCGTCAAGCCTTTGTTAGGTGTAGAGCAACGGTATCGAAACTATTCATTCACCAAATAGCAAACATTATACCACATGATGCCAACTCAAAGAACATTGCAATGACGTACAACAAAACGAAAATTTTACGCGAATATTATCGCAACTGTATATTTTGTAATGTAATATCGCAGTTTTTTTTCGTTGAGTTTTATCGCAGTGTTATGGGCATTTTTGGCAACGTGGACTCCATAGACACAACGCGTACTCTCGCAATGTTGTCGGCGAAGTAAAAGAGATCGCGTGGAAGAGAAACAGGGAGGCACTCATTTTCTCTCTCCATTCCCGCAGTCGTAACGTTTCTTTTTTTCTCATTTTAAACAACCCTCGCCCTCGATTTTTTTTCACCAAATTGTTCACTTATATAAATATAAATAAATAAAGATATATATATGAAGGAAGTTTTCTTTTATTAATCCCGTATGCAAAATTAATCTCTGAAATCTTCCCAAGCTGACGATTTCTGACAATCTCGGCTCTCAGTTTTTTTTTTGAATTTCCGGAATGAACTTTGATTTTGTTTGTGGGGCCTAAACTTTAAATGATTAACGTATTTTTATATCTCTTGAGAAATGACGGTCTTTGTAAAATGAATTGCGTTTAAAATATGTACTTCAAATACTCGGCGGCAAAAGTAAACTAACAAAACGATTGTAGAGGATGACAGACATCAGCGAGCCCGACGTTTTTAACTCCAAATAATTCGCAATAAACGAATGATGTCTAAAAACGTGGGTTAAGACTTGCAGTCATTTCCTTATCAGCTTTTATAATTGACCGATTTCACTCACATATTAGACATGTGATTAAATTGATTGCTTTTCGTATTTCGATATTTATTTGAATCGATCTGTGATTCACTATATCTAGAGAATGTGAAATATAAATCACGATTTTATGTGCTGATAATCTATATTGCTCCTTTCCTTTTTCAATCGATGATAATAAGATCAATCATTCACTTCATCTTTATCTGGCATGATTTTTTCAGCGCTTCCGTAGTTCATTAGCAAAAAAATGGTCAAAGATGACTATTCGGCACAGGTAACCATCTAAATTCCGCGTTTCATATTTGCACAGCTGTGTTTTCAGAGCTGCGCTATCTGTTCTGCTCCAGCCGATGGTTTACACTACGGAGCCATAAGTTGCCGGTCATGCAACGCATTTTTTCGAAGGACGGTTGTTGAAAAAGCGGTACATATAAAGAAAACTCCTATGATAATATTTTCCTTTAGAAATATATCTGCAAAAACAACAATGCTTGTGTAATTGATCCGGATGGACGCTGTGCTTGTCGTTCGTGTCGATTCACGAAATGCATCGAGGCCGGAATGAAAGTTGCAGGTGACGGTGTTTTCATTTTCTTGTAAAACGTTGGAATGAGTGCAAGTGACGGGTTGGGGTAGGCTTATTCGCGTCAAACTGTATGTTTGAAATTTTTAATTCGCTTCATTTTGACATTCAATTGTGTATGCATAAACGCATCTTATTGTTCCTTGATCGCTTAACGTAAACCTGATTCTCGAGAACATTTATCTTGCAAATTGAAGTCATAGAACAAATTGACGTGAATGTGACGTTACAGAGAATTTGAACTTTTTGAACGAATTCTGGGTGAATGAATCAATAAACCATAAATGAAAGAAAGTACCAAATGAGTGTTTTTGTATTACAATCAATAGTTCATTTTGCTTTATGACCAAACGCGCTTGGAACTAGAAAAGTCAAAAATTTAGACATTTGTTGAAAGAAAAAAATCGTTTGTCTTATAGCGGTCCAACCGAAACGTGATCCAACGGGTTCACAAAGAGATCGTCGGAAAAGAAAGTCTAATGACACAGCATCAATGTCGCCGTCAACGGAAGATAGCATCAGTCAGAATTTAGAGCAATTAGACATACAGTCCCAATTTTATCCGAGCTCGGGATCTTATCTTGTAGACGCAATAAAATCAGATTTTAATTTCGGCAAAACTCGAACATTGTCGATTGATTCATGCTCGGCAGAGGTACGCACATCCAAACATTAGTGCGAAAAAATGTTGATTGATTCAGAAAATTCCACGGACTGTCAAGACAGAACTTGAAGAGGAGCAATCACCCAGCACTAGCTATCCAAATCGGGTATGTCGATTAAATTTTTGTGATTTTTTTTTACGTAGATTCTGTTATTTGCAGTTTCAATCGTCATGGTTAAATACGCCACTAGATGATGATCAAGCAGAGTTCACAAATCTTGTTCTTTCATACACCGAACATCAAAAAATGATGAGACTTTCCTTTGCATCAGTTGAAAACTTAATGTCAGAAATTGGAAATGGCAAGGTGAGTCATTCACATTTTTTTAAAATTTGTTTTATTATTTCACTTTCAGGCTACTCTACGACCAATGCAACCCGAAGACGTTTCAAAACTCTCATCAGTCGAACTAGGCGGTTTATTATACTGGATAGACAAATGTAAGCCATATCCAGAACTGCCACAAGAAGACAAAGACGTGCTTCTGAAACGATTCTCTGTGAGGAAACTAAGTTTAGATCATTTTTATGTTGCTTCGAAGCATCCTGAGCATGTATGTTAAGCTTCTTTTAAATTATCCACATTGCTTCAATTTAAGTGTGAACGTCAGGAATTTGTTATGAACAATTACACCTATGTGCCATCAGATAAAACTGGATTCGAGTTGCCGAATGAAGATAAAATGCAGGTTGAAGCGAAAAGACAGTGCGTGATTTTGTTTGTTGATAATCTAACCGTAGTAGTAAAATTAAGCTTCTAATTTTCCCTCTGTCGTAGAGTAGGTAGCCTATCCTAAAAATAGAACTATTTTTATTATTTCCTAAAATTAGAAAATTGAGGACTTTTGCCGCAACGTTCAATAGATTCTGGAAGAATGTCATCCGACCATTCTCGGAAATTAAAATCAATGAGGCTGAAATCGTATTCATCCAATTAATGTTACTATGGAGCACTTCAAGTATCAATATATGACTTGAAATTTCTCTTCATATTCCTTATTTAAGACAATGAGCACGTAACTCCACCAACACGAATTATTATGAAGGAGAGAAGAGACTGGGCTATGAATCGTTTATTCGAGTGGTACGTTGATCATTCTCAAGAGGACATTCCAGTTCGCTTCGGGACCATTATTTTTCTATTCGGAGAAGTTGAAGCAATTTGCGAGATGCACTGCCAGGACTTTGCAGTCGCTAAGCTCTTCGAGTTTTGCGATATGAGCTCATTCTGGTAGGAACCACTCATGCATAAATTATTGGAAACCTTTGAATATTTAAGGTACGAAAGCGTTTGTTACGCGCCATGCAACACAAAAATAAAAAATGAAATAGATCCTGACTTGTTCAACTCATTACAATTGTTTACTGCCTCAGGTGATTTTTCAAGTCTTTTCATGCGAAATTGCTCCTGAATTCAGGCGTACTCGGAAAACCCGTGAGTCACTTGGAAGCGGAGGAAAGATGGAGTCGATTGAGTGTTAGCGATACTCAATCAACTCCTGACAAGTCAATCATGACCGATGCGACAGGTTCAACACCAAACTCTGTTTCGACGACGGCTTCCGTTCGCATGAAGACCCCGATACACACTCCGTCTCATACTCCAACTCAAACTCCATTTCAAACTCCGATAAAGAAGGCTGAGAATAGTCAGGCATTAATGCCAGCTAAAGTTCCCGCCGTAATGACGACTTCGATGTCGTCATCTGGTCCGTTTGTGGAAAATCGAAATTCCTACATGGAAAACTCAATGCATGGGCATTATTCGCAAAATCAAATATACCCAACAAAGACTAGCCAGCAAGACACGAATTACATTTATGCTCTGAATGAGCCACTTATCATGCAAGATATTAACGGGTTTCCGTTACAAACCGAACAAATATACCATCAAAATACTTCACGTGGTCTTCTGTAATTTGCAATGGAAACAATACACTTATTTATTTGAAACGTGATAATTTGTAACAATTCTTATTGCCTCTGTAGTATTAAATATTTTCTTTAGTTTTTGCTTTAATCAGTGAAACTATTATGCTGTATTGGAAAATGTTATCCTGTGAAATGTGATTTGCCACTACTCAAAATTATTTATGCTTATTGATCTCATATTCGCCATATTTTTGTTTCAAATTTTGGACACATCCAATAAATATCTGTGTATATAAGAAGATTTTTCAACTGATTGAAATGGATGTATATTTTACGTTCAATAATTTTCAGCAGCGTCACGAATTGACGCAATAAAACCATTATTGTTTTTTTCAAGCAGCTCATTACAAAAACTGCGTATCTATATTGATATATTCAGTTTTGAATTACCACAGTTGATATTTCATTTTTTATTCAACTATGTATATTGAAGTCGGTCCAAACGATTTTAACGGATTTTATTTATATTTAATTTTTTAATTGTTGAAACAATTTGCTTGAAAATCAGAAAAATTATACTTGAGACTCATTTAATAATATTCGGACTTTCACAAAATTTTCATTTTCTAGGAAATTCTACGTTACTTGTGAACTTGTCTTCTTGATTTCTTACAATATAGTTAGTGATGAATAAAAAAAAATAATCCGCTATATATCATTTTGGAATTTCACATTATTGACTGTTTTTAAACTGATAAATATATAAAAAGTGATTATTAAATATGTTCAATTAGAATCTCAATATTGTTATTTTTGTCTTGTTTCGATTGCAATTGTGAGCAACATGAGAAAAGAAATTGATTTTTATCGTTCTTCATTTCACCATATCCAATTTTAAAAATAGTCGTTACCACATCAACATGTGTGAGACAACGTGGGAAGAAAGAGATTACCAGACAACCTGCGCAAAAATTGGCGGCAATGCCGTTTTTGCGCGTCACAATGTGAGAAAATCGTTATTCTCTCACTCATACGCTACAATATAATTCAGCCGTTCATGTCTAATTCGTATTTGTTCTTCTTCGTTATTAGCTTTCCAAAAATTTTCTTGCTTTTTCTTCTTTATCGTTTAAAGAAATTTAAAATATGTTATTTTCTGAAAATAGTGTGTTTCATATTAACTACTCTAATTGGAATGTTATTTCCCAAATTTGCCCATATGCGCGACGGAGTTAACCGTTTAAAGAAATTATTGATGTTTTCAACGATTAGGAGTCATGTGATGACAGCAAAACAAACGCATTCTTCAATGCCCGGCCGTGTGCGATTTTCAGCGGTCGCCTGCGAAAAAATGCTTTGTCGCGCGAGAGCGCGAAACACAAATACGCGTTGCGGCAGAATTGAGGCAGACATACAGACATTCGGGAAATAGTATGAATATTTTGAGAGATTCACTTGCGGTGTGGTATTCCTCCGCCTTGTCGAATCTTTTTTTTTCATATTGCCCAGTATCGTTTATAAATAACGCTGTTCTTCTGTTGGCCCTCACTTTCATCAGGTCTTCACACCGGCTTCATTTTTACAATTTTTACAGAATAACCTAAACTTGCAAGATGGGAAATAACCAGCCCGGTGGAATGAGCAAACGCGAGCGCGGATTCGACTTTGAGCGCGGTTCGATTGACTTAATTTTACCACCACTAAATTATGCACATTTAGGCCAAAACCGAATGGGACAAGTGTCGTCATCTCCGCCAAACAGCGGCGAGGACGAATGCCCAGTTCAAGTAATTTTGGTTAATATCAATAATTTTTGTTACATCAAACATTTCAGTTAAAAATCCCGAAGAGCGGAGAAATGACTGAGGAATTCCCAGTTGTTTTCAAATGGAATTGCTCCTCTAGCTCGTAAGTCGCGTTAAATTCGGCAATTTCAACTTGTTTATATCGTTACAGGCAACCAAAGAGTGTGTTTATCTGCGGATCTTGGGACAATTGGAGGTCGAAAATTCCTCTGGTCAAGTCGACATCAGACTTCTCTACGATTCTTGAACTTGAGCCCGGTTTGTAATTGATAGAGCAACAATCTTTATGAGTTGTCGTTGTTAGGAAAGCATGAATACAAATTTATGGTCGACGGAAAGTGGGTTGTTGACGACAACCAGGAAAAGACCGGAAACAATTTGGGCGGTGAGAATAACGTCATCACGATTGACGAAGCTGATTTCGAAGTGAATTGGAATTCTTTGATAAAAATATCATTTTTCGTTGAAGGTGTTTGATGCGCTCGACAAAGATTTGGCATCGTCGAATGCTGGAGAAGCGATGAGAACAGCGCAACCAGCTAAGGAGTCGCACGATACTCCAAATGATCGCGAACTTGAAAAGCTTCATACATTTGGACAAGAAATCCCGACTCGTGCTGATTTTAACCGTGCGAGTGCTCCACCAGTTCTCCCGCCGCACCTTCTTCAGGTTGAAAATTGAAAAAAAAATGCTAGACATTTTCAATGCAAAAAATCTATAGGTGATTTTGAACAAGGACACTCCAGTCCAATGCGATCCGAATGTACTTCCGGAACCCGACCATGTAATGTTGAACCATCTCTATGCTCTTTCGATCAAAGATGGCGTCATGGTTCTTTCGGCTACTCATAGGTTTTATCAGCAGCAGATTTATTTTTTAATATTTATTTTTAGATACCGCAAAAAGTTCGTTACCACTCTTCTCTACAAACCAATCTAAATGATTTTCTTTATTGAAAGAAAAGAAAACATGTGTTTCCAACATTTTATATCATTCCGAAACAACATATGCTTCGCTTTTACTATTATTCAAGTTTCCTATATTATCTGAAATGTGCATATTTGGCAGCGTTAATTCAATAAACAATTTCATTATCTCTCTCCTTGCTAAGACTACACAAAGAAACTTGTCGAAATTGTCAAGTGCATTGTCCGAATTGGCATACTCTTTAAGAAAACTCATCGCTGAAATTTCATCACACAGTTTCGATGATTGATATTGTGATATTTCTAGACTGTTTGATTGATTGAAACTCGACATTAGATTAAGACGAAACTGAGAGCCTCTGCCGCATACAAAACAGGGGGATTGTTTTTATTGTTCATCTTTAGTCTTTGTAAATTCTCTTTATTCTCCTTTGTTTACTATTATTTGATACAAACCGATTCCGCCAAATCTAGGGAAATTAATTTCGATTCGAAATGAAAGCGTTTCACAATAGTATACAGTGTGTGCTCTCGAGAAAAAATTCTCGAGAATAATCGAGAAAATTAACCGGTACCGAGAGAATTTCTCTCGACAATGTCTTCGAGACTCCCGAGACTTTCCAAAAAGTACCGAGACTTGCAAGAATTTCTCGAGACTTTCTCGGGAGTCTCGAGACTTGCGAGAATTTCTCGAGACTTTCTCGGGAGTCTCGAGACTTTCTCGAGAAAAATCTTCCAAGACTCCCGAGAAATTCTCGGGAGTCTCGAGACCTTCACGGGAATTTTTTTAGTGAACAAAAAATTTATTTTTTCTCCTTTAAGTTCGTTTCAATACTAACAAATGCTAACAAGGGAGGTCTTTTTGCTGTCCGTCTTAAAAGTTGTCAATTTTTGCATACAGATTCTTTAGAAAATTTCCAATCGAATGAACTAAGTTCCTCCCTACCTGCGAAAACTTCTAGTACGCAAAATTCACGTGGGTGGGGCTAAAACTTTGATGGTTCATAACTCGATAACTAGAAGTTTTCGCAGGTTGGGGCCTAGTTCATTCGATTGGAAATTTTCTAAAAAAAATCTGTATGCAAAAAATTGACAACTTTTAAAACGGACAGCAAAAAGACCTCCCTTGTAAGTGAAAAGTGAATGATATGCCACCCAAACTAAATAGTCACATTACACATCAGATAAAGAAAGAATTTAAACGAATGAAGATATTTCCTACATATTTGTGAATATTTTCGAAACTAAAAGAATAGCTGTTCCGCTTTAACCGCGACGCATACGCGTCGCGTTTCGGTTGTTAATCGCGGTCGGCTAAACACGCCAACTTGAAATTTTGGTCTTGGTGAAACATATGGCACTAAAACCTTATGGTATGAAAACCTTAGACATTACTTTAATCGCAAACAATCGTATGCAAAAAAAAAACGATATATTTATGTATTAATCCCCTTTTTATACGGGCGAACATTTTCAAAATATGTTGACTATGCTAGTTTTCAAAACCCTACTAGTTATCAATTTAACTACTGAATTTCATCAATAAAAAAAATCCCGAGAAAGTCTCGAGACTCCCGAGAATTTCTCGGGAGTCTCGGAAAAATTCCCGAAGAAAGTCTCGAGACTCTCGAGAAATTCTCGGGAGTCTCGGAAAAATTCCCGAGAAAGTCTCGAGACTCTCGGTTCCCGTACGCGCGACTACCCGTATAGTACCGAGACTAATAATTTCGAAAATTTCTCGGTGCTTCCGGGAGTCTCGAGAATTTTGTTTCTGGGTAGTTTAGGGAATTCTCGGGAAATTCTCTCCCGAGAGCACACACTGATAGTATACACAAAATTTTGAATCGAATTTAATTTCTACATAGATTAAATGTTTCATTAACGATTCATATGGATAAAATCGTTCAAATAAATGCAAATTATAGCCACGTGATAGTTTTAAGAATAGTATGTTAATGCCAAATTCATATAATTTATATCACTTTTGTTGAAAATAAAAATTAAAACGGGCGAGATTTGTTTTTATACCGATTTTGTCAATAAAATTGCATAAATTTCATTTCACACCAATAAATCTTCCTTTTGCATCAAAATCTTTTATCTGTGAAATTAGTTAACAAATTTTTATATCAATTGTTGAATACTTTATCATGCTCCTGTTATTCTCAAATTTGCTTTTTTGTGACTTCTTTATATTTGTTATTAAATGAAAAACTTGGCTGAAGTTTCGTTAATATTTATTTGTTCTCCTTATTTGTTTAAATACTTTAGTGATATTTCAGCCGGCCAACACCCTAAATTGTAAAATGAAATTTTTCAAAAAGTAATGAAGAGACAAGATTTTCGGGCGCATCTTTCGTCATCGCAACGTGTTTATGTTTTTTTTGTAAGTTTTTCATTTATAAACTTATAAAAATAAAAATTCTCGAAATTAATCATCTAATGTCAAATAACCACCCATAAATCTACCACCATACATCAGTCGCCGGATGCAGTTAACTTCAGAGTGATGGAACATTTAGTGATTTCCTTATTTGTGAAGTCCCGTAAAATAGAGAAGTGCGGTGGCAAACGCGCGTTTCTAGCTGGTACTCAGTCAAAAGTTTATTGAGAAAGTTGATATTTGGCTCAAATGTAACTTATACATTACACTACGATGTGCAAAACTTAAAATTGTGGTTCGGCAGATAGTGAAGAAAACATCGTAATATATTGTAAAGATGTTTATTGTCATTCTTGTATTTTTGAATGGTACAATAATTGAATTGTTCGTTGCTATTTTAATTGAAAACGAAACCATTTTTATCATGATGCACGATTTACTGCATAATCGATTAAATAAATTAATCGATAAATTATAAATTTATACGATAAATTTTCGGCAGCATTCTGTCAATAAGGTAGTTATCTGGTTTATCAACTAGATTCACGTGGCTTTTATCAGCATTGTGAATTTAGTTTGGGTGAAAATGATTAACAAATTGGTCTTTTTCACAACTTTTTTTCTTATTAATTCTGCTGTTTTTGCTGATCCAACAACAGATGTTCATATAAACACCGAAACTGCTGATGCTATAATACGAGGTACTGAAATTTTATTATCAGGGTTGTGTGATCTTATGTTATTAAAAGTTTTTTTTTAAATTCAAATGATATATTAAATTAGTTCAAAATTCACATAATTATAATTTTTATACTATTTTTTGAATTCATAAACAATTATAAACAGAAATTTGATTTAAATTATTAAAACTATATTCTTACCTTTGTACGTTGTACTTATATGTCTCATTGATTTGAAAAACGAAGAAGAATTTTTGGTGTTTTTATGTTTTAATATATTTGTTATAAAGTTTCTATTGTTTTCTGCAGGATATAAGCATCCATATGGAACATCATTTCGCGGAATTCGGTATGCCCAACCACCATTAGCTGGACAAAGGTTTAAAGATGCAATTCGGAAAGATCCTTCTGGAACCATTGAGGCTCTCGCTTATGGAAATAGATGCGTACAAGGCGATGGGTCAGGTACCTCTGAAGACTGTTTATTTCTGAATATTTTTACACCAAATGTTAGCTCAAATTCTTTTGAATAAAGTTATGGTTAGAGATTCAGAATGCCACATCGACATCAATGCTACCTGTGTATGTTTACATACACGGTGGCGGGTTTGTTGAAGGCTCGGGTAACATGGGAGGAGATATTTATCCAAATCTTGTCAACAAAGGAAATATTGTGATGGTCACTATCAACTATCGTTTAGGACCATTTGGTAGAATTTGTTCGTAAAATGTACCCCTCTTTTATCATTTTAGTTTTTAGGATTTTTCACAACAAGAGAAGCAATGGCTCCAGGAAATTTTGCGGTATCTGACTGGTTAGAAGCTCTTCGATGGGTTCAAAAGTAAAAATTATTTTTTTAAAAACATTTTTAAGGTTTATTAATAATCTTAGATATATCCGTTTCTTTGGAGGTGATCCGAAACGAGTCACAGTTGGAGGGCAAAGTTCAGGAGCTGAAGCAGTATCTGTGCTATCACTGACTCCAGAAGCAAAGGGTATTTTCTGATATTTTTACCAGTAGATTTTTTCTTTGCAGGTTTGTATTCGCAGTTGATTTTTGAATCTGGAAGTGCGTTCGGGGCTGCAGTGATGTCGTATACTGAGAAGACACGAGATACTAGTAAAGTTCTCAGTGTCAAAGCTGGCTGTACCACGGAGTCTCAATGGAACAACGGCCAGTACTTCGGAGTTTGACAAGAAGTAGAAGAACTAAAAATTATGTTTGAAATTTAGCCAATTTTAAATTGTATGCGTTCTATCTCAACAGAGAAAATCATTGAAATGGATAGATCTTTACCAAACCATAGAATGAAATGGTCCATTGTCCAGGATAAGAAGTATCTGCCAAAACGGTTAGAAGCTCTAGCAAAAGCCAGACCATCAAACATTAATGTTTTAATGGGTGATGTAAACCAGGAATGGTTGGGATGGGGTAACATTTTAATAATAAGAGTTTCGATTTAACCGACTTGTAGAAATGAATAGCGTTGAACACCATATGAACAGCACTCACAATACAGGAACTCAACTCAAGACAGATCTCGGAGACAGTTATGAAATGACATATTGGGAGAATAAGGGTGCTCAAAGTTATTTGAAAAATCACTGAACTCTTAAATTTTATAGCGGCGGTACTAGTTGCTGCTGACAATAAATATATTAATAACCAACCATGGACCAATGATGATCATGCAAATTGGCAAGCAAGACGTATTCAGGTGTGTTTACTAATTATTAATTCATAATTATTACATTAACCAATAACTTAATATTTTAGTTATACAGTGAAATGATTTTCATCAGCCCAGTTTTGAGAGATGCTGGATACTTTTACTCAGCAAAAAACACTGTATACCTATATTCTCTTGATTGGCTTAGTCCAAAGGGTTTGATAATAATAGTATTCAATTGGATTCAATAACCTTCTAGCGTTCCCAAATATAACCGATACCCGCTTCCGAGGATGTCCACACAGTTGGGAGCTACAATATCTTTTCTCACAGCGTAGATTGTGAATAATATTTTTCATATTGATTTCTTATTATTTCCAGACTGCAATGGTTTTACGTGTACTACTGACGACAACAAATTAAGAGATTATTTTACTTCGGCTTGGTTGAATTTCATTAAAACTGGGTACGTTGTGAGTAATTTCGTTTTTAAAAGCATTTGATTTCAGAAATCCAACGCCAAATTCGAAACTTCCATTTAAGTGGACGAAAATGGGAGATAAACACGAATTTCTGTCATTCTCGCCAAATCCAACAATGAAAAATGATTATCATCCGGATTCGATGTTTTGGGCATGTACTGCTCCAACAATTGATGGCTACAAACCGGATTTCTGTTAAAATGTTAGAAGTTCATTGAATGAAATAAACGTTTTGTGCGCTACTGATAATTGACTTTTTGATAATAAAATGAATAAGAAAAAAAACAGAAATTCGTAATACTTTAACATTTTCATATCCGGATTCGATGTTTTGGGCATGTAATAGCTGAAAGTAAAAGTTCTAAAATAGCTGAAAGTCCTAGCTGTGGTAATAATAAATATTTAAAATGGTGCACATAGTTCTAAAAAACAATGAAGCGGTCAGTTATATTTGATTAACAAGTGGCTAAAATCGAAAAAAAAAAAAACTAAATGCAAATGAATTGGAAGTCTCACACTACTGATTATGCAGAATATTAATAATACTTTTAAACCACCTGATGCATTGAAAACTATGCGAGAAGGTAACGTTTTTATTCTGCTTCAGAAAAAAAGTTGGCTAGAATTCAACGAAATTTCTATTATTTTAGTTACTTTAGTAATAGTGGATTTCGATGTTTATAAAGAAAATATGTAATGGTTCGTTCCATTTACTGAACAAGACATGCGTACATAAGTACAAGTGATTGACTATTTATTAGAGGTCCAATTACCCATTTTTCGAACAATCCATGGAATATTTCATTTCTTGCCAAACAGAACACATTTTGGGAGATGTTTCTTTAAAATGACAATAAAAAATGATAATCGGGCTAACATCAGCTTCACGTCAAGGATGATTATCTAATTTTTTGGGATGAAATCGAAAATATGGAAGTCGAAACAAGTATTGTTAATTGAAAATAAAGTGATACGAATGATGAATAATGAAAACTTGCGTTTGGTGGAATTAATCATACCTACTAATATTTAAATTTTTTTCTTCTGAAAGAAACTAATTTTTCATGGAAACCGAATTTTAACGAATGAGGTGAAGTATGAGATTTTTAATTTTCGTCTGGCTTGACGACGACTGGCTTGTCTTCAATCATCACTTCGAAGTTGACCATTCCTAGACGGGCGGAGATGTCATGAGCAATGTTGAGGGCGTAGGCTCTGCATTCGATACGGACGATCTTATTGCGCGGAATTGAATCAAAACGAACCATCGCCTAAAATTGAAATGTTACGTATATTAAATACACAATATAATTCTTACAATTGGTTGTTGATATCCTTCAACGAATGTGTATGGGTAGTAACGTCCATCGATTCCCTCATCTGGAATGTACTTGAGAGATCCAATATGTTCTTTGTCCATATCAGTCTACAATTCAAATTGCTAATAATTTAGGTTAAATTTCCCTCACCACTCCAGCACAGTTGAAAGCGATCGATCCTTTCTTATATCTGTCCTTGATAATCTCTGGAACAGAAGTAGCGTCATAGTCAACCGGTCTCCATCCAATCAATCTGTTCAACGAAAGAATAACACATGGCTGAAACAGATTCAATCGGTGATTATTTATTGTATCATTAAACACCTTTCCGGACTTGAATCCGTACTCATTATTTGGCCCGCACTGATTTTGCTCAAAATGTTTTAGGTCAAAACGACATGGCTGAAAACAAGACATTTATTTTTTTATCGTTGATATTTCTTTACCAATACGTCTTCTTCCTTATTCAAATCCTCGTTGCTATCATTCGGGCCACAATCTCTAGTGTTTTCAGTGTTGTTGTACTTGTCGAGGTAGTTGTTCATCTGATCGACATATGGACGAAAAGAAGTTGGGTCGCGAAGGTTAAACTTTATAATAGTCGAATCCGGATTTTCCTTAAGCCACGGCTGATATCCAACTCCTAAACTCCTCAAACGTTTATTGGTCAATCTTTGATTTTCATTTTTTTTAATCCATTGATGTACGCAATTTGAGGGCAAACCACTCAAGGTTCGAAAATATATCATTTGTGCAACTTCATGTTTAAAATATCTTCAGAAAATAAAGATACAGTTCACCGAAAAACCATTTAAAAAATGAACTTTTAACGCAGAATTTTCAACACAGAAGATATTTGTCAATTCAAGAATGAGGACATACCCGGATTGACGCCGATAATAGTTCCTTTTCCGTAAAAGCGCGGCAGTTTAGGATCCAGAGTTTTCAGGAAGATTGAGAGACATCCAATCCAAAAAGCAGCAAGGAAGAAATAAAAGATGATGTAGAAAATGGTGATTTGGCCTAAAACATATTCTTGAGCTTCTCAGCATACTAAGAAAATCGGCATACACCAGGAAGTTCCAGTTCTTCCAAGGATAGTTCCCTTGTTTCCATCATACAAAAATTTGCGAAAACTTGCCGGCTCTTCATGCTGATTATTTCCATTCATCAACTGAAAATTTGAATCTCATTGATCTCGTCTCACTGATCATTTGTTATGTCTGTTCATCGTTAAAATGTGAATCATGTTTGTTATTTAGTAGGAGGCTCGTCAAACATTCGCTTTTCGCTGCTCGGCTTGCATTGCTCTCTCGTCTCACCGTGAACCGCGCTCTTTCTCTTTTTCACTCATCCCATTCAGTCTTTACCAGATCAGCTACGTCACACAAAATACACGACGCGGAGCCAGGAGAAAAACGGAAAATGGTGACGTTGGGCGAAGAGTGAATTTGAAATTTGGAATGGTACAGCATTAATTAACATTGGCCCTCTCGCGAAACGTTCCCAAAAAATATGTTTCCTTTAATTGAAAAAAGTGATTATGTGAAACCGATGTTTAAATTTCATTGAATTGATACAATGACAGCAATATCAAAACACATTTTTATGACCAGCATATTGAAAAATATCATTTAAATTGTCATACGGGGAAAAAACATTTTGATCTTGCTGAAATTATTAAAAAAAAAACATGTTTCAAAATCTTTTAAAATTTGAAAAAAGTTGAAGTACGTTTTCAGAAGTTGCATCGAACGGTAAGGTAAGCATGCACGCAATATCTCATGTCGGAATTTTATATCGACTTCATTAATAATGAATTATTAATAGATCTCCGAATTTGAGATTTTTTTTTCAAATCCTACCGTCTTGCTTTCATCGCGATTTGGTTTCGACATATTGTTGCTCTATTAGACGATAAAGATTGATCAAAGTCTTTGGTTGATGGATCGATACCCAGGCGTCTGGAAGATAGATATAGCAATGATTATGCGAATAAGTTGACAATCGAAATGAAAAAATAACGGATAATAAGAAATGAAAGTGGGGGGGGAGAGGTAGGTGGACAGACATAACCGCGAAGCTTCAAAAATAAATAAAGATAAATGGTGGGCAGAGTTTTATCAGTGTTTTTATAAGTGTTTGAGAACAATGCCGGTGACAATCAAATTGAAAGCGTGGTAGCAAATATCATAGAAATTCAACGGTAAACGAAACATCAAGTCACTGAAGATCGCCACAACCACAATTTCATCAGGGAACAAAAGAAGGATTATGTGACGAACAATTTCGTTGCTCGACTTCTTCAATTTCGTGGCGTCGCAACAGCAAAAGTGAAAATGCTCACAGCGCACTTAATGCTATTCCAACTACCAACTAACAAAAATACATAACAGTCTCATATTTCAATGCCTGCAAATTGTGAGAGGTTCGAGTTTCCAACTGAGAAGCGCAGAAAGTTTTAAAATGATTCGAATGTCGCCTAGTAGACCATTCACTGCTAAATCGGTATCCTCCTACCACCTCAACCTGCGTCATTCGTCTCATCGGATTAGTTTCTCAGCAGCACACACCTCCCCCCCCCACCTCCACTTTTAAAACGACACTATCATTTTTTCTAAATTGATGTTTTTTCAACGCTGCTTCTCTGTCCGTCGCGAACCAACTAAAAAAGAAAAAGGAGATCCACCTCTATTGGCCTGCATCGTCATTCACGAGAGCAGCGAGCAGTCTCGATGGACCGGACAAACTCAGTCTTGTAAGATTTTTTTGATTAAGCGAACGATTTCTCATCGAAGCATTAGTTTTACTAAAAGCAGTAGGCAGTTGTTATTCTACGATGACGCCAGAAAGAGTTGTTTATGGAGCTCAACACAATTTCAGTAAGAAGCCAATTGAGAGGCAACACATTGAATTCAACATCTTAAGGGCAATTAAATAAAACATCTCCGAAGAATCCAGAGATTATCAGTTCTAGACTTTTTGTTGAAACAGTTTAATGAAAATACGGATATTTTTCTGATTGCCTCTGTTGCGCAAAATTATAAACACTTGCTAAAACTCGCTGAGCCGTGGGTGAGAGAAGGGGGGGGGGGACAGCGAGTATTGTATGACATACACTGAAGCAACCTAAGAAAACCTTTTTGTTCGTTGAATTCCATCTGCTGATTTTCGAAACGTTGAAAAAAACTTAGAAAATGCGAGTGAATGTTGAAAAAAAAGTGCGTCGCGATTAAATTGAATTATGCATATTGAAAATTTCCGCGAAGAATTTTGTTGTCCTTAGAAAAAAAAATGGCCAAGTTTTTGGTAGACTATTCAAATCGAAAAATTGCAACTCTTGCACCAATTTCTTTGCGGCCAATTGAATCTGTTTCTGAAATGGTGAGTTGGTTAGCTTCCGGAACCAACTCAATTCTAAAGAAACGTCGTTTTCACGATTGCGAAGGAACGACACCGCTGTCAGCATCGAGACAAAAACATCTTGAAAGAAATGAAAGAAAGTGCCAGAAAAAAGGGATTTGGCCGGAAATAATAATCGTCCTAGTTTTTCAATCGCGAATTTGTCGGGTATTAATAAACAATAAAGCAATCATACAATTGTTTACATTTTTGATTATTTGAATCATTATTACGCTTCTAGAGAAAATTGAGTTTTATAAATATTCACGAAAATGTGTGTGTGTGTGTCTGGTTGCGTAGCATTGTGAAACTTCAGTGATATTAAACCCACATCTCGAAGCGAAAACAGATGTTTAACGACGAGAAAATCAACTTCGGAAGATATGAATGTGGGCATTGTTCAAGATCATTCCAAAAAATGAAATCATGGTTTACTCGCAGAGTATATAATAATTGATAATTGGAAGTAATTCTAGATTCCCACTAATCTAATTCACGGAGTTGCTTTACGACTAATATTAGAACAGTTCCTTTGTATCAATAAGACTGACGCAAAACGTCTTTGTGTTTAATTCACACTAGCACCAATGACGTCAACGGAAATGGCGAATTAAAACGCTATCAAAAGTTGAGTGATTCGAGTTGTGCATCGCACCAATTAACTGCTTTGCCGTGTGTTGACTTATCAAGCGCTCAAAAAAAAATGTTGCGATGTCACATATTATATAAAAGGAAGAAGAGATGTAGGTGGAGAGGAACTGAAGAGCAAACAGTTATTTGAATCTCTCATTAAATGAGTTTGCAATCTTAAAAAAATGTAACACAAACAGAGAAATTTGATATTTTTCATACAAAAACCATCCAGGGGAAGACATTTACATTTGAAAAAGTTTGCGTAAGCCTAAATTTTGGCCATCTTGTGAACAAAATTTAGATATCATTTTTTTAATGGTGATTCTGCATTGCTAAGACGATTAAACTTTTGAAAAGCGGATTTAAAACCTATATATGAATTTTTCTCATTTTAAAAAGTTTTTCGTACAAAAATCGTCAAAAATCATTTCAGTTTTGAATCCTTAAGACATCAAACACGATCTAATAAATTCGAATTTGAACGTTTCCGTAAACACGTCAATCTAATATTTAATTACATTAGAGCAATATTTATGCAAAATTCTTACTTTACGATTTCTTGCTGAGAGGGAAATCTCAAAGGGAATCTCAATGGAAAGAGAAATTTATGACAATGCACTAGTGAGCAGAGGATGGCGGAAAAAAACATACGTTCGAACTACCACTATAATCATTTAGCGAGTAAATAAAAAGAAGAGATATGAGCTTGAGAACAGTAGTCGACGCTTGAATGAAAATGATCAGCTGTCAACCCATCCCGACACCTGCTTTTTAGCGATGGCAGTAATGAGAACTGATCTGAAATAAAGATTGTTTTGCGGTAGGATTTGCGTAAACGCTCACTTGTCATTTATCTGTTTGTTTGGATACAATCACAAGTAGATCTGTTTTATTCATCGCGATTCTCAAGAGCTCATAGAAAATCGGCGAAGAAGAACGACAAACCTTTTAGAATTCGCAAAAACTTTTATACACAAGAATAGTCTTTGTGTGTTGGCAGCTGGGATAACTGAACTGTTATCAATACAGTTCTGATTATTTTAATAAGCTTAAATACACAGCAATTCTTAAAATGCCATTGCGGTCAGACAATGCAGATTTGAATGTAATGTTTTTCTTTCAAACATAAAATTTTCAAAATTCGTCTTTTCCTTATCATCTTAATGAAAACAAGCAGACTCCGTAGTTAATTAAAGGCTAATCAGCAAACAACGTGAAACATGATAAAAATTAAAATGCAGACACTATTTTAAAGATTGTTTAATTTGAAGATCTGTAGCCGAGCAAAAACACAACGACAACGAAACAAAGCTGGTGAAATGTCAATTACAAAAATGTCAGCCATGATTTTTAATTAACCGAAAATGCGATTTTGAAGAAGAAGCTTGATAAAAAGAAATCTGTGAAATTGGAATGTTTTAATAATCGAGAAAAAGAAAAAATGAATTTTTACTAAACGAGTTAATATCTGAAAATTGTAAGAGAAAATTGAAAACAATTCAATTCGCGAGCACATTCTTTCGTGCGAAGATTAAAAAACCAATGTTCAAAGTCTTTGATCATGCTATGCCTTAAATAAAAGGGTTGTTAAGGTATACAATATATAACAACACATGCGATGAAGTCCAAATGATAAAAAAGTGAGAGGACTCTAATTTTATTCGCCAGACAGATTCACGTTGTTTTCTCCTTTTAACATCTATTAGATAAAATTTGTGAAAAATTAAAAAATAATAAAAAATGGAAAATAATTAAAAGTGAAGAAGAAAATCGATAAAAAAAGAAGAAGAATGTTGGAAATTTCGTGCTCAATTGGGATGAGACCATTTTCTATTTATTCGGAAGCTATTGAATACTAGGCAAATCCTTAACTAAATCAGTGAGTCCCAAAAATACTAGCCGAATTGAATTTAGTTTAATGCACCACGTTCAGAACAAGAAACTTATGGTTATAATGTTCGTTTTTTCTCGTAAAGTTTGGTGAACAAAAAAAAACGATTCTCATTTCTTATCCGGAAATTTCCAGATTTAAAGTGAAATAGACATCTGCATACATTTTCTTGAGTGGGAGACACAGAATGTTTACTAGAATGTCGAAACGAGAAAAGAATTAAGAAAAAGTAAACATGAAGCGAAATGACATAGATTTGTTGCTAATTGCGAACTATCCTCAGACTGTGCCAAAGTTTGCTCTTCTGCAACCCAGCTACTTGTCGTTGTCTACCTTTCTAAACCTATCAACCAACATGCGGCTGACTTCTTGCTCAACTAAGCTCTTTCGCAAAAGTCGCCTCCGTCACTCAATCTGTTTTCACAAAAAATTATGGAATTATTCCGATCTTCGAAAAGAAGTTTATGTGCTTCAAATATAATCAAGATGGAAAAGAATGCAATTTGTTGTAAAAACTTTGCCCTCAAAGAATGTAAGAAAAAAAACCTGCCCGGTTTTAATTTTTTTGCAATTTTTGACCGAATGATTCAATCATAAATTTTACTGGCAGCAAAATATTGAGAAAACGCGCAAATATTCATCAAATGAGCGCAAAATAAGTAGCTTGGCACTGTGGTTGGTGCTGAAATTAATTAGTCAAAATCGAAAATAAATATGCTGGAATAATTTGATTAAAGCCGATGATCATCGGACAGAAAATAACTCAAATCATGTTAATTTAAAAAAATGAAAATTATCTGAAATCACTATTCATGAAAAAAAACATAAAAATTCAGTTTCTCAATGACACGGAAATTGCCAAAGCCAATTAAACTTTTTTTTAAATAAAACAGATTTGTCGTCAAAAATCGTAATAACGCGTGCATAAAGCGTGGGCGCACATTTAAACGTTTGACGTTTAATCGGGAAATGTCGCATTTTCCTGGTTATAAATACGAAAGATGTAACGTGTCGTGGGAACACGAATCAATATTTCTTCGATGATAAATGAAACCAAAATCAAGAATTTGTTTTTCTTTATTATAGAGATACTTTCAATTACTTGTCGCTCATTCGAGAAGGTATTTTTTCAACATTCGCGAAACCACTTTACAAACAACAATGAAAAAACAATAACTTTAAAACAAATTTACAGGAAACCTAACCTTTGTTAGGGGTTTCCTCGTTGAGATAAACTGTTAAAATATCAGTTATGCTTTTTCACAGAATGCAAAATCTATCGTTAATAATGCAAATATGCAGAACAAAAAATCTAGTGAAACCAAAAAAAGAATGATTTTCATGTTATGGCAAAAACAAATTTGAGTCAGGTATCGTTTCTATTTTTGGCACAAATTTATACAATTTTTGTATGCACATTTGATTTTTACTATAATTTTTTAGTGCCGCTTCAAGAAAATAATAGAAACAAGGGAAAGCTTTTTTTTTGTAATAGCGGTAAAAAATAGAGAGTAACAATGCAGGTGTGGTTAGATTTTCAATTTGTCACTCCACCTTCTTTATTGAGATTATGATCAGCCAACATCAACCTGTTTTGACTTGTCATTTTGTTCAAGTAATTGTAGATACACATCGCTGCCGCTCCTTGATACAAACAATTTCAAACGATTTTCCGTTTCTTGACGAGCTACTTCAAAATTCGGTCGTCGTAGGAGCGGGCCTTTTAATCGGCAATGATCGCATGTAAAGATAAAATGAAAAATCATCTCGAACGGGATAACGATGACTAAAAATATCTGACAGATTCATTGATAGTCAAATGGCATAAATAATAAAATACAGTTGCATTCCAGGATGATATTACAATACAGATAATGTTTGAATTAGAACCGAGGTAAAATGGAATTTGAAAAAAAGTTTTGATAAAAAATATTTTTGATTTGTTTTAGGGATTGAATGCTCGCTAATACTTTGAAAACAGTCTACAAACAAGCATTTAGGTGTGGAATGAACATCAGGGTGTTTTTAAAATGATCAATGTCACAAAATAATATTTGGGTAACGAGAAAAGACAGATATACATGTTTTCTCTATATAATAAAATTTCTTACATTCACTTAATTAATCAAACAAACGATCACAATCGAATCACTTACAATTCACAAATTTGGGATGGTGATGACTAAAATGAATATTAAACAGAAGAGTCAAATCGGCTAGAAGTTCGAAATTCCCGTTATGGTATATAGCATTGGTTTGACAAAAGTATAGTACAAAAATTTAGATGATTGAAAAATATTATTAGAAAAGTATAAAAACAGAGGGCAAATGAAATGTCTAGCAATTGACTAAAATATTTCGAAATACAACATAGCGCAATAAGTCGATACATAAAAACACAATCTAATGCAATCTATGGTATTATTATTTATAAGTGTTATTATTAATATTATTATTATCATTATTATCATTAATTTCTTTGTATTTTTTTCTAGTTGTTTGTTATTATGCTTAAACACGTTTTAGAGACCAAAAAGATAAGATTAAAACCAACAAGATAACACGAGAAATAGAAATGAAAGAGCATTAAAAACGTTTTGGATGAGAAAATGCATTACATGAGATTGCGCTGAACACTTCGCCACTGCATCTCACTTGAAGTGATTACACCTTGTTGAGATGTCAATTTTGGCCAGTGGGTTTTATGAATCGCAATGACCTGAAAGGCAGTATTCTTTGAATATGCTCTTCTAAATTCAATTCGACCTTTTGAATAGTCTCCTGAGCATTTAAACATGGAATCGACTCAAGAGCACGAGTACTGAGACGACCAGCGTCATCGCTTGTGCCAATAAGCGCCTAAGTTGATTTCGAAATTTTAAAATTATGAAAATTTCATATTCGTACTTGAACGCATTGCTCTGCCGACTGCGAAATGCTTGTCAAGTCATATCCACCTTCGAGGGCAAGAACAACTTTGCCATCAGCGTAGTTCGTCAATGACTTTGTCATGTATCCAAACAATTCCGGAGATATTTCATATCCTCCAAGTGCATTTGGATGTCCTTGAGCAGCGTCAAAACCAGCAGAAACCAATATGAAATTAGGCTGATAACTTTCCAACACTGGCTCGACAACGCTTCGCCAGGCTGCGAGGTAGTCCGCATCTCGCATCACTCCTCCAGAGAATGGAATGTTTACAGTGAAACCCTGAACATGTCTCATACACTTAACAATTTATACAACTTCAAAATGAAAAACCTTTCCCGCATTCTTTCCAACTTCTGTAACCGATCCAGTTCCAGGAAAGAAATTGCCATTATCATGGCGATGAAGAGATACGTAGAGGACATTTGGGTCGTCTTCAAAGGTTAATTGAGTTCCATTTCCATGGTGAACGTCCTTAAATTAATCGTCATCAAATTTTTTGATTTTAAGTGTAATAATATACCCAGTCAATAATTGCTATTCTTGCACACTGAGATGGATATTTGGTTTGTAGCGCTTTCGCGCAAATAGCAACGTTATTGAAGAAGCAGAAACCCATTGCAATTTCTTTTTCCGCGTGATGACCTGGTGGTCGGATACATGCAAATCCATTTTTCAAGCGATTCTCGGCGACCTAAAATGGTAGTAAGAAACAGTGAGGTTTGGTAAATACTTGCCTGCGACGCTAATTCAATCAACGATCCTGCAGCGAGCCTCACAGCCGTTTGAGTGCTCGCGTCATTGAAATATGTGTCTGAATCAACACCAATTCCGCCACACGGTAGTTGAACAAAGCTTTTAACTGGCAACGCATTCGCGTCGATTTTAAAACAGGCTGTTGGAGAAACAGCGAAGAAAGTAGTGTATGTTGGGCTGTGCACTAATTGAAGATGCTCCAAGCTTGCTTTCTTTGCTGGTACTTTTTCACATCTAAATTTTTTAAATTTTTATTAGAAGATAATAAAATTGCATACTGTTGAACTAGTCCTCGTTCGACCAGTCTCGACCAAATACTTTGAATTCTTCCGCCATGTTCTACATGAGATGCACTGTTTCCGCACACGCATTCATGTTTTGCCATCGAACCATCATATGCAAGACCAGTTGGAATCTCACCGCTGTGGAGGCCACTTGGAAGACCAGCTTCCGTTGCAAGAGCTTGCAAATGCTAAAAATCATTATTGCTAGATGAATTTGTTCTTACATTTCTGTAATTACTTGTAATTTCGCTGATGGAAGGAGCCCGTTCATTATTTCATCGGCTCCATCTTCTGGCTCTTCCCGCACAAGTGATTTTCTACGAAGCACGAGATCACGAATTTGCTGCTTTAGAAGGGAATGATATGGATGACCAGCAGGCAAGCCCATCGCTTGAGTGAGGCTTGCAGTTGAACTTGAACCCATCAAGCCGCTGCGCTCTGAAATGCCACATTGCATTTAGCTATTCATTGATTAATTTCTAGAACCTGGGTCATCAGTGATTCCACCAAGTTCGAGTTTCTTATTGAGTAGACTTGGAAGACTGAGGAATGGGGAAAGATTTGCAACTGCCATAAATGCGTTCAAGTCGAGATTCAAGTTAACATTTGGGAATGCCCCCATGGCTGCCAAATTTGGAAGGGAAGGAGATGGAAGCATGATGTGAGGAATAGCTGCCTGATTTTGTTGCAACACGTCATTTCCAAAGTTTTGAGAAGTTTCGCTATCGCTTCTAAGAAATACTATTTAAAATGAATTCGTTTCGTATAAACCTTTTGAGTTGTGGATGAGTGAAATTGAATTGCGAATTATTCTGAGGATTCTGTTGAACTGGGCTTGATCCTTTTGATAGCAATTTTGCGCGAATTCTCATTTTCAGATTTGGCTCGGAGTTCACTTTTCTTAGTTGGAAATCGCTTGCTTGCACTGTTTGAGCTGTTGCGAAGTTCGACGGAACGCGATACGGTTCGAAGTGCGGCGATGAAACGTTCACCTGAAAGAGGAGATAGAAAGATAAATTTGAGATTAGCATTACATGAGTTCCGTTTTGTGAAGAATTGATGGCGTTCGATGATCCGGTGAGATTAACTTGACTGGCGCTTTCGCCACGATTACGATTCGCGATCATATTCTTGATTCGCTCTTTGGTATGTTGTGAGATAGTAGTCGAATTGGTTCGTGGAATGTCACTGAAATCACCGTATTTCTCTTGAACATATAAGAAAAAAATAGTCAAGCAATTTGTAATTTTAGTTGAAGCAATAGAAATTCATTAAGCAGTTTCCTAATGCATTTAATTGTTTATGTATTTTTGACAAAATTTTACTTGGCACTAACCATTTCTTCAATGACGTCGAGAATGCCGGCTGGTCCTTTTCTTTTGTCGGTGTCTGTGGCACTGAGCCATTGCCATTTGCAAGAAGGTTTGTGAGCGAAGAGGCCAACGACAGCGGAGCAGCTGAAAACTTATTGCGATTTTTGATGTTGGACATATTTTCGCTTGTCATACATATGCATTATGACACTTTGGGCAACGGAAATTGCTCGCGATTCAAATTAATGACTATATTGAATAAAATAATACTGCTCGAATTTTCCTACGTTGTATGTATATACATAATTTACTTTATGAAATTATTTCCTTCATTGATATGATAATGAGTTGGGCAGAAATAAACTAACCAGGTCCTGAATCATCTCTTGAACCTACTGCTACCGCATGATTTCTATCGGCTTGTATCTGAGACTGCTGAAGTGCGGCATAGACATTTTGAAGATGCTGAACATTGAGCTCTTGTTGAGCCCGATGATAGTGTCCCAACAAGTCCATCTGTTTTTGACGGTACTCCTAAAATTTTTTAAAATAGCATCTTCAAAATACGATTTCTCAAAAAAAAAACAGTCTATAAAGTGTAAAGGTATCAAAAGTTTTGAATTACAAAAACACATTATAAAAGAAACATGTCTGGAACATATATGAACGCATTTCTGAAAATGTTCGGCCGAATGTGCCTAAGCATTAGTGTTTCCAAGTATAAATGTAATGAAGCGAATTAGTTGAAATTCTCATACGCTGATTAATATTTATTTTTAGATGTAAAATTTTATGTAGTTCGCGGAAATATGTAAAGGGCGTTATGGCATGTGTTTGACACATTTATCAAAACGTACTAACTGAAGGAAATAGAAAAATGCATGTAACGAAAAGGAGGAAAAATAAGAAATTGACATGCTCTTGTGAAAATAGACAATGTAGCTAATCCGAAGATTTAATCATAATTGCAGATTACTGATCGGCTTGTGCCACAATCGAAAAATAGCCATTTATCTTATGTTGATGTCTCGCGACTGCGGAAAATTTGCTAAATGCCAAAAAATTGAATAGAGGTCTTGGGGAGCGGTGTGAGAAAAAAAAGTGGAGAAGTCTTAGTTGGTGCGCCTTATCCTATCCTATGATTAGCTCGGGAATTGGCATTTTTAGTTTCGCGCCAAGAGCGCGGCTTTCTTCGGCATTTAGCCAATATTCGTCCTTTCCGCGATACCGAAGAAGTGCTCGGTAATTATTTTATCTCGTGTCAATTTAAGAAATCATCTGGCCAAATTATTATTTGACAGACCCTAGTGATGAGATATCGGAATTACAAATTGATTACATCTGAACAAATCAAAGAGAGTATTTTCGTGGAAACCTGGAGTAAAGGCAACATTCTCTGCGATCATATAGCATCATTCACATGCATGTGTGTACATTGGTTGGATTAACAATGCTCAATTAAAAGAAATGTTAATATGAAATTTCTATGCAATTGTAAAGACACATAATCACTTATATTTATCTCGCATTCATTACGAAAAGTTTATTGAATTTATTTAAAATTCCTGCAGTTAATGGTTTAAGGTTTTTTAAATAGAATGTTTAATTTTTAAAAATAAAAAAAATTTTGAGTACATTATAAAAGTGACGAAGAAATACTGAAAATGAATTTTTATCCAACAGGTGAAATAACACATCGGAGCATCATAGATGAAAAAAAAAACAATTAATGAGCAAATCTGGGTAAAATTCTGTTTATTTGCCTGAAGAATCCGTTACGTAAAATACCGATTATAATAATCTCAGTGAAATTATTCATAGCTTAAATCCGGCAGCAACACGCTACCACACTTCCACATTTTTCGTGGAGCAGTGAGCAAGCTTCATAAATTATTGCACCTGACACAGATAGCGGGAAAATGTTATTTATAAATACGTTAAGGTTTCACCAAGTCGAAAATTATGCTAATAATGCACGTATTAAACCCCGCAAAGTCTTGCTTGCAAAAGATATACGAAGTACCGGCAAGGGTCTGGATATGTCCCGAGTAAATATATATGGAGATATAAAATATTCAAATGAGCACGAATCGCCTGCCAATCATTTTCTTCGAAAGGCATTTTGTTGTTGAATAATGAAGAAGACGAATGTTTGACATGGCAGGAAAAATGAAAAAGATGGAAGTTGATCGTAAATTATAATTCATTTTTTGAAGAGATATCAATCAAAATTAATTGATTGCAATTTTCCAGCGGTCATTTTTCACACAAAACACAACGGCCATTGTTCAGTATGTTTCTCCGTATAATTTCGCACTGATTTCAAATACAATACACATATTTGTTTTGAATTTTTATGGCTGCGTTTCTAAATCCATTTCCTGTTTTTTTTTTTCGCCATTTTGTTCGTCATCGCGCTCTATACAATGTACACATTTCGCCGGTTGATTCCCCCCCCCTTCGTAGCACCCCTCGGCGATTTTTCCATGCCTCGACTGTTTGCAAATGAAAAATCGATGGCGACGATGATGATTCCGTCAAAATGAAAATGGCGGAGACCGCAAATAAGAGATTCTAAAAATAGGACGCAAAGAGGTATTTGTATACGAGTGCCTGTGCATATGTGTGTATCTATTATGTGTATGCGTATTTGTGCCCGCGCAAGCGTCCAAAGCACTCACTAAAACTTTGAAAAAGCTTACGGAAATACTCGTGAATTTTTTTAAAGACTAACACAAAAATTATTGCAATACGTGGTTGATGGATAGAGAGTTTCTTATTACACAGTAGCGCAACTTGTGAAATCTCTAACATTGCTGAAATCGGATCTGAAGTAAGCCTAATTAAAAGGATAGTCGGCATCCACGAGTTATTGAATCAAAGCTACATATACGAAATTAGCCTTTTCATGCTCAAATAATTTATTTTGCCATTCTAATGGTGTGTCATTAAAAGTAGGAAATGATTAATTTTAAAGTACAAACTAAATTGTTCACACATAATCTGTGTGTGTGTGTATAGCAAATCCTCTGTCACTGCTGTCCTAGAAATTGGCGATGAAGAAAATCTCAAAAACAATGAAGCAATAACTAAAATAACTTTTAATACGTTATTGCTATTTAATCCCACTGGGTTATAATTAGTTATTTGAGAGATGTCAACAATTTTAAAAATAGAAACTATCTCAATTTTCCGCAGTTCATATAAATAGAAAACATTAAAAAAAACTAAATATTTGAATTTACTCAAATAGTTATCGGATAGATAATTTCCATATATATATTATATGTATATATATGCTTAAATATATATATATATATATATATGCTTAAATCAAAGCGATATCATCGTATTTTCAACGTGATTTCAAATTATACATTTTAAGTATTTCCTGAATGGGGAAATTATTTTATCATTCCCGAACGGAAGCTGAGCGATAGTAATTACCCTAAAAATAGTTCGTTGCCAACAACAACAATGCTCAACGTATTCATATCGACATAGATTTTGTGGGGAAAATATGGTTTTTTCCTATTTGAAAAAAAAAATCACACACGCCATGTGACTAAAATCGCACTTTGTAATCAGGATTTAACACTACGCAGATTATGTATATTTAACTGAAAAAAACAACCCATAAAACGTCGGAAGCAAAAAAAACAGGGTCATCAAAATTGAGAAAACGCAATTTCGCCAAGAAACAAATGCGGTTAATGGGTATTTCAATGGGTCTTTCAAATTGCATATAGAAAACTAAATTAGTATTTTTTTAGAACCAATTTGACGATCATTGGGTTCAAATGAGGTTTTGAATAGTCATTTACAACAAAGATGAAACAGAAAATAAATAATTGTGTGTTCAATTATAATTGCTATTCTAACTATTATTTTTAGCTCGAATATAATGATGAAACGAATATAGCGTATTTCCTTTTATGTGCCTGCTAGAAACCCATTTTAACAGGCATCTCGTTAGGAAAACTATGCGAATGGCTATGCGTGTAGGATTAAAACGAAAGAACTTCAAAAAATAGAATTGTAGCGTGGTTTTGGCGAACACTATGCAAATAGTTCGGCTATGACGCAACTGTTTCCTTTTCAAAGTATATGCATTGGACTATTCAATCGAGCTGCATTATCCAAAAAAAAAACAGGTGTTTATAAAAAAAAGCAAGTTTCGAACAAAACGAAGTGTGTTTTTTGAGACGTCGGGGAAAAAGCCAAGCAGCTGTTTTATTGATGCATTAAGACATCAACTTCCTCAAATGAATAATCGGAAAAAATCTCATGCAAAATGAAATAATCTTACTCCTGGCCGGTGTTAAAAAATGAAAACTGACATAAGACGTATTAACTAAGATTGATGCGAGAACGAGCAACAACACACTCGCTTGCACACTGAATAGAATTTCTGACTAAAAATAACTATATGTGATGTCTATGATCTATCTTTGGCACTTTTTCCTGTTTTCGGCATCATCATTTTACCAATTAAATCTATATTTAGTAAACTAGTAGACTTGGGAGCAAAGTAGAATAATAAATGTTGACATGCCTATACGTTTTTTTTTTCAATTAATTGAATTTCTTTTTTAAAAAAAGAATTAGGACATCTCCCAAAGATTCAGGCTTCACAAAAAAAAGTAAAAGCCTAATGTCATTTTGAACACTACCTTAATTATTTATAAGAATACAACAGAGAAAAGAATAAAAATTGAAAATGGCAGAAAGCTCGCAATAAATACGTTTGACGAACAATGTTATCTATAGTCATTTTTCATTCAGTCAGTTGTAACAGTTCGTGGAATATGACACAATATGCAGAATTTCTCTTTTTCTCACTTAGGGTGTGTCTTGTTGAGGATCTCTAATAATTTTGCGATGTACTAGATATCAGTGATTCGAAATTTCACGTAGTACATCATTCGTCGCATATTCGAATTTATATCATAAAAATAATTGTTTTTTTTTAGAGCAAAGCACCAAAGTAATGACACTTCCGCCTGAAAATGATTGTTTTCAACTTGCCTACGTTTTCATTAAGGCAAATTTTTAATTAAAACCACGATCCAAAAATAAACAAAAATAGGCGCTGTGAGACTAATGAGATGTGCAAAATCTCGAAACGTTTTGCGAAATCCGGCGAGAGAAAATTTAATCAACATGCGACATCCTTGAAGTCCCGCCCCGTTTTTTTTTTCATGCCTACAAAATTTTTCTGCGTTGCATGCTCGAATTTCTAAAAATAGCTACTCCTACAACATCAACGCAACAAAGAACCAAGTGCTTGCAGTTTTCTTTCATTTTGACAGCAGCGGAATTGCTTCATCTCAAAGTAGATATCTTAAGAATCTGTGTCAGCAATGAATCAAGAGTGGAAAAAAATAAAATCAAAACTTATTCAGTGATGTTTCTTGTTAGGCGTGGCAAAAAAACAACAGAATTACACGAAAAAAATGAAAATGGGTTGTTCTTCAGACCATGTGACCAACAATGCGAATCGGTATGCAATATTTTTATGATAACAAAATGTCGTATGATTTTCGATAATTATTGAAAATGAAAAAAATGGATTTGCGTGCGTTGAGCGGAAACAGCGAATAGGCAATGTGACAGCAAACACATCTAGTTTTATCAATTCATTATCAAGTCAGTGAAACGGCATGAAAATGCGCAAAAGGTGAGAATTTGATAGATGAAGTGAAAAACCATGCTCGGTACGGAACCCGATGAATGTTGTCAATGATAAGTAAACGTGTTAGTTAGATGATTAAACATGGAATGATGTTCTATCAAATGCATTCCTTCTAATGAACAATGTTCAAAATGGTAAGCATTGTATGATCGTTAAAAAGAAAAAAATTAATTGAGACGGATCGGTGATGTGAAATAACTATAGTATTGTCTAGACAATGTTCAAAAATTTCTTATTTAGGCATCATTATTTTTATTTTTAAATATTATATATTCACACGCGTTAAAAAAAAAGTAATGTGACCCATTGCGTGCTTCTCGTTGTCTTTAAGACCTCGAATGTATATTTTCACACGAATCAATTATGTATAGTATAAGTCGAAGTCGGGGAGGGAAAAATGTCTGAGTTGGCTCCCATTTTCACTAGCGTGCCACTCGCCAAATGAACTTTTCCGTTGGAGCACCTCACGGGTAATTCTCAACGGAACGAACTCGTATCATTTTTTTCCTCGAGAAAAAAGAACAAGGTAAAGTTCAATGGGATTCAGTGTATCAATATAAATGATATAACTTTTAAATTTATAAAAAAAAAACAATAAGAATCAATACAAATAGAAAATCATAACTGAAAAATTACCAACACCCAAAAAATGAGCACCCGGAATATTTGTGGACAAACGTAGTTATTCGTGGCGCTAATTTAAATTTGACATTGAACAGAGGTTTTCTGCATTCGGTGTAACGGAAAACCTGCGAATCAGACTCACAGTGAATCTAGGTTTGGTGCTATTTTTTGTTTTTTTTTAAATTATTTTTTAACGTAGAGAAAAAAAAATAAGCCACATTTATATAACTCAAAAAAAAGAAAATTTCCCATGAAGGAATATAAATGTAATTCAGTTCGAAGAGAAAAACTATTTTAAACGCTTCGACACAATATAGTTTTCAACAATGTGGCAGATTCAATCTCACTTTCATCAACAATTTCATAATCAACAGATATCTAGCTATAACATTTTCCGTAAAGCTGAGCTCACATGACTCACTTTTTCTCAAACATTAGCGTGGCAAGCCTTTTCTTTGCATTACCTAGTTTGAAGAGACGGAAAAACATATTCAGCCCAGCCAAATATGCATAGTAAAAGGAAACCCGCAAAGTGCACTAGAGTCAATTTTTTCAACAAATATTCATTTTTTAATGTCATATGCAAATTCAAAACATAACTATCTAATGCTTCGAGTAAGTAACGAAAAAGGAATTACTTACAATGAGTAAATGATGGGTGTTCCCTTTTATGAATGGCGTTTGTCTTTAGCGGCTTCCGAATATCAAAACTTTAGCAAAAATTGGAAAAACAACGAAAATCAGGAAAATCAGCATGAATTAACATTATTACTCCCCTTGTTTTTAGAACCATTTCATATTGCAATTAGTTTTAATTGGATGGTTTAAGTCTGGTCGGAAGTTTCGACTAGATTTCATTTTGAAAAGCAATAATTGTAAAGAAAGCTTCAAGACATTACTTTGAGAAAAATATTTCATTAAAGGGTCAGTGTTAAGAAAAAAAAGAAAAATAGAAAAAATTTCAATGCAGAAAAAAAGAAACAAAAAGGGACAATAATCCTTTTTTTTTTCATTTTCTCCACATAGAAATTTATCTTTTTTTCTCTTTATTGCCCCATTATACACATGTTTTTGTGGATGAAAGATATTATTTCCTAATTTTTCGGAAAATGTTTTTTTGATTAAAAATTTCAACCACCAAACTAAATGCGTAAGATACTTCATTAGAGATAATAAATTGGACGATGATGAACCGGAAGGAATGATTAATACTTATTTAGGAAATTTTAGGAAAATGAGGACTACTGAACATCCATCGTTTACACAAAATGACAATGAGCAGATATCAACAGGAAATGGAGAGAAGTTGATTCAATAGAATTTACTCTTTTTCATTTTCTCGAGGTAACGGTAAACAAACCTGTAATTGATTTTGAATAAATGATAATTGTTCTTTAGGATTTGAGCTTTTAGCCGAAACTGGAGGGTTGTGCTCAAGCGTCGGAACCCTTTGAATACACTCGGTTGCTCCTGGACCTGAACTGCTCCCGGGCGAGGAGTCAGCTTCATCCATCCGCTACGGTACTGCAATTGCAAAATAATTTTTTTGGTGATGCAAGCGAAATTTGAAGAAACAGAGAAATGCGCAAAAAATCTTATTGATGTCATTTCCGGGCAATCAACAATAAGAATCTCTCTAACATTGAACATATCAAATTTCCTAAATAAGTACGAAAAAGATCTATTTTTGGACATTCTCATTCTATGAACAAGTTTCGAGCGTGAAATTCAATCAAAATTTATATCTTGAAGTTACGTCGGTTAGCAGAACAATTAAGATCGCATGAAGTTGAAATAAAGAAAAACGTGCGCGCCTTCTAGGCACACGTTTATAAAGATTGATTTATGTTTGGAAAACGAATGTGCGGAAGAATCGCCGCATCGAAAACAACAAAAAAAATGCAAAAATATAATCAAATTTACGTGACAAAACGCCTAATTTGGTTACGGGCAAACATCAAATTTTGACAGGCGAGAAACCCGAAAAGTTTCAATGAGAACGAAATTATTTTTTAAAAGATGTTAGCGGTTTTTTTTTGCATTATTTTGGTTTTATTTAAAAATCGTCACAATCCGATGAATTGCTTCTTCCTTCACAAAAGGTGCTCAATCGGTGGAAAAATACTGAATGATGCGGAGAAGCAACACTGAATTCATTGATGAATGAAAAATTCCTTCTTTTTGTTTCTACTAAAAATAGATTTATGTATTTGAAAGGAAAATTCATTTTGTCATTTCCCGAAACATTTGTTCTAAAAATAAGATTTAAGAAAAAAGCTCTCTTAGGACAAACACGTTGATTCATTTATCTTATTAAAAACGTTTTTTGTTCGTCTCAAATTTCATCATAATTAATTAATAAGAATACATTTTTGATGTTTTTCGAGTGTCAGTTTACGTTATTAGAGCGCAATTTTCGACGATAATCTGACACCAATTAGAATCGTTGCGTAATGTGTTCAATTTTCTCATACTAACTGATGTTCACTCACATTTAGATAATGTTTTTCTAAAAAAAAAATGACCGTGACAAAACATCAGTGAAAAAGGGTTGATGATCTCGAAAAAAAGAAACGTGAGGCAACAAAAAACTATTATAAGACGCGTTGAGAAATAAAAGAAACGAAAAGAAGCACTAGTGCCCGATATAGCGGCCTTCAAGTGGAGACCAACGTTTTCCGCTGTGTCTATGCCGCCTAAAATCTCTAGCTTCTCTTCACTCTCGTAGTGCTGTTGGCTAACTATGAGTGTGTGTGTATATGTGTGCTGGCGAATAACTCGCAGTCTCCCCGCAGCTTTTCCTTGCGGTTATGTCCGTAACCGGACAGCGTCGGTCAAATGGGTAAACACAATTTTTTTAGTTCGTTTATTCAGCTGACTGCCGTTGATTCTTGGGCGTGATGAAATTGTAAGGCAAACGTGGATTTTTCGAATGAATTATTCAATTTTTCATAATTTATGCAAGAAAGTTTTCCTCAAAAAGTCCAAAGAAACTGGCAAAAAACGGAAAAACCAAACGATAAGTTCAATCGAAAAAGTCTCACGAATAATTACTAAATAGTTCGCTATGTACATTCATTTAAATTAGAAAAATAATTTGCTCTGAAGAATGACCTCTAACACCGCTCTTACTCGTTACCCTATATATCAATATATAAATATGAAAATAATAACTTGAATGAATTATGGAAATTCGTAGAAATACGATATACTATGACGAGTACTTAATAAATAACACGGTTGCGAACATTAAGAGACAATTTAAATAGAATTACAACTATTTTAATAATAATAGAAGCTTTGAAATGTTAATATTTTTCAAAAACTTTCTATACAAAGATAAGAGAAAATCTGGCAACAAAAATGATAACGGTATTTGCGATAATGAAATGAGCGGGTTTGGAAATTGTTTCGATTTCCCACAAAGCATGGTAACGGGAATTGGTATTGAAAATTGAAATAATACTCCTTTGATGATTCCTCTGCGCCAATTTAATACCGTTGACCGGTAAATAAGAGAATATCAGCAGATCGGAAGTATCGAATAATGTAAATGTGGTCTTTTTGGCTCGATAAATCAATGCGATTTCGACCTCAAATAATATAAACATTGCCTGGGAGTCCAAAAGCGATCTAATTACAATCATTGTAAAATAATATTGGCAGCGGAAGAGCTTGGGAAAATATGAAAGACAAAAGAACAAAAGTACACAATAAAACAATCCGGTACGTCGTTTTAAACGAATAATCCTGCAGCTCCTGGAAACATGTGACAAACTAGTCATATTATTAAAGAACATAGAGTAAATGAATACAAAATTTTATCTAATTTATTTGTGAAAAATCAAACTATGAAATTTTTATAGTTGAGACAAATTTTATTGTTTGAAATTATTCATTATTTGTTCTATCATATTTGTTATGATTTGATAACAAAATGAATACACATAATTGAACGATTATAGACGTCAACATGCGGACAAACTTTCCAAAAGATGCGACTATCAATAAGCGAGAATTCGCGATAGTGAATATATAGATACATAAAATATATACTGCCACGTCAATAAATTTAGTATTATAGACTGATGTGTAGTGATTTTTTTCAAGATGAGTTCCAAAAAGACAAAAATATTATTATGTTTTACATTTCTCTAATTTTGAGTCATTTCGATCACAATTATTAGCTAGGCATTTCCTGTTCCTGTCATTAAGGTTGCATTTTCATATTTTTCGTACTATCCTACCATAAATATAAAAAAACCGAAATATAACTGAAAATAAAGAAATCGAAAGAGCAAGAAAATAATGGAATAATTGTATAGGATAAAAAAGGCCAGATTTGAAAAAACCTGGACCAGTTTTTTTAATATGACAGGTCGAACATTCGCCAAGCCAGCATATTGACGGCCAGATTGTAACAGGCCGTTACAAGCTTCAAAATGAATAAGACAGGTAAAATGATTAAATGAGCGTAAGGGTTCTTGGTTATTGGTTAAGTCAGCTTGTATGTAGTTCAAAAAATGTCAAGAGAGATCGTTAAGATGTTGTGTTATCTCAGTTTGAAGGTCCTGTGAAGTTGAACGAAGAAACTACAATATGTATTTCTAAAAGCATTTGGACGGTGTTCAGAAGTCAGCTCGATACAAAAAAAGAACGTATTTTATTTAATATAAACGGGCTGGAAAATAACGCGGACCTGTGTTGGAAAAAAAAAGTGTGATCTGTCAATGTGAAAATAAACTCTCTTTTTTGTGCGTTCTGTAGCATCTGATGATTATGCAGTTATTTATATTAGATTTTAATACGTTATTCCATGCGTTAGCTTTGACTCTGTCATCATCCTGGTGAAGGTAAAGAACGGGAAAGAAAAGGCTTATTTCCAGTTTTGTCCTTTTGGGTGGTAATGTGAAGTAGGTTCGGAAAGTTGTAATTAAACCTAAGAATGACAAAATATTTATTTGGAACATTTTTTCGAAAAGCCACATTAAAATACAAACAGAAATCGACTTATAGCGCACTATTGTACATATATTTGAGAAATCCATGAGAAGGTATTATTAAATTGTTGGTTATAGCGAAGCCTTATGACATCGTATCTATGCACTTTGTGGTCAAAAATCAAAATTCACAAGTATATGATTCACATTTCTTAACGATTTAATTATTTTCTTGCAATGTGAATCACTCCAAGTTAAAAACTTATTTGAAATTGAAAAGAATGCAAAAAATTGTTGTCAACGAGGCAAATAATTACAAAGATTTAACGTTTTATTAAAACAATGAAATAAATAAGGATTTAAGCTTGAAATAATAATTTTCGCAATTTTGCACTGTATATATATATTTGTCCTTTCTAGTGAAACTAAAAAACTATTCTTGCAAATATCCTAACATACGCTCAAAACGTAATATACGATAGTACCACGAAAATCCCTCACCCTAAATAGAGTGTTTCTAATTGGCAGTGCCTAAAAATGATACGTACTGTATGAAGGGCATCATTTTTAATAAGCACGTGACTTTCTATTTTTGTCGTTTATCATTTTTTTAGCTGTAGACTCATGGTCAAACACAACCCACAACGAAAGTTTATAAAAGCTTTTGTTACAGCAAGTAGCAGAAAATAGCGTTCATGTGTATGAACAAAAGCAAAAATTGTCTAGGTTTCTCGTTATACCTAATGTTGAAAAAATTTCACATTTTTCAAATTCCGTCTAGTATTTTTAGGAAAAGGAAAAACTTATAAATAAGCAATAGCTAAAGTGTTTTAGCCAGTTCAAATATGCATAGTGTATGCATGGTGTCGCCTTTAAAAAAACCAAACATCAAGGATTGCAAGAAGGGCAAATTGTCAATTTTCTTAAATGTACGAATATTCAGAACTATTGAAATTTTACGCAAACTGAGATAACCAATGGTCAACTATGTTGAAATGAAAATACTATAATGTGTTTTTCGTTTTTTGTGATATAAATGTTCGTATCCTAATCTAAGATTCCTTTTAAACGTTTTTAAGCTAATCTCCTGAACACCATTACTCATCAAAACTCGTATTAGATTCTAATCAGAGGATTAGTCATATCCCGAATGCTGATTCAAACTACTGTAAATAAAGAAATTCTACTTAACATTAATTGCTCATTGATTACAATCGAATGAAAAATTATTCATTAGAAATAAGCAGTATCGAGAAATAAGGAAATTTTTCCAAAAGATAAATGAAATTAGATAAAAGTTGATGCGCAGTTTTAATTTGTATGTGAATCACACCCGATGATGGTCCTTTGATTGACGTTGTGGAACAAAAATAAATAAATATTTTTGAGCAAGAAAATGAGAACAAATTTGAAGAAATCATCATTCTACAAAAATCCTCCTGACATTCCGATATAATAGAACCAATAAAAAATATTAAACGCAGTGAATAGTAAGGGAAACAGTTTTGCAGAAATCTGAAATGTTGGCTTTTTTTAAATAACATTTCAATTGTATTTAGGCTTACTTCATCTATTTTCTCTCCATTCACGTGCATGGGATGCTCCATTTGCATTAATAGTTTTTGTCGCTTCTCTTCACTTCTTTGTCGACGGAGATTTCCATTTCCATCATTTATTTGTAAAATGTGGCTATGGTGATCTTAATTATATCATTATTAATATAATTCATATTATTGAAACTTCGAATTTGGCATTTAGTACCTTTAACCAAATGCATATCCGAATCTGATCCGGCATTGAGGTTTCTTAAGGAGGATCCTTAAAAATTATTATTTATCGCGAATTAACTTGGAAAGAAGTTGAATAAAAATCTTTAAAATGTTTCCTTATGAATTCTTTTGGCATTTTTTTCACTTCGCTCTAATGTTTGAAACCTCAAAAAAACGTCAAAAATTATCATGCACTATCAAAAATAAAACATTTTTCTGCAAATTTTTGTTAATAATGCCCACAATTGTAAAAGTTTTAAAACGTCACCAGAGTTGGGTTCAATAGCATGCGGTCTTTGACCTGATAATCGTGAAAGCCACTGTTGCTCTGAATCACTGCGCATCATCAATTGCTCTTTGCACCTGTATTAACAGCAAATTTCCTTTAACATTTGCTTTTGAATTCCCTACTTATTATGTCGCCTCCTTTTTGCATCGAGCTTGTCCGCAAATCCAACAACTGCCAGCTAAAAATCGTAAAGCCATTTTCGCTCAGTTACAAATTATTTATACCTCGACAAGAGAAAGAAAAATGAAACCGACACATCCAAACATCCATATATCAAGAGCCTCAAATGAGGGATCACATTCGTTTAATGTATGAAATCTACCTTGACATAACTGACACGAGGAAGATTCTTGACAATATTTCCAAATTGAAAAGTGAGAGCCATCAAAGAGGAGACGCCAAGTGTGATTCTGGCTGGAAGAGCCTGAAAATTACACATATTAAGTTATTTCAAAACGCTCAATAAACCTTTGTATCAATCCAAAAAGCAATCCAAGAAATAAAAACTGACAAATACGTCGGCATGTATGCCTGAAAGTTTTTAGAAGCATTTTTAATAAAAATTCAATTTTCAAATGATTACTTGTAGTACATAGTAACCGTATAATCTTCGAAAGGTGAATTGAACTTCCAATTGATCCCAAAGCCCAGCAGTATACACTAGGGTCGCATTCAAATGCCTAATTTGGTATATTAACTTTCAATTTTTTAATGTCCTATAAAACATACTTTATTTCGACTAATTCGAAATCTGGCAAGTTCTTCGAGTCAGGATCTGGAATTGATACCGGCTCCCAATCTCTCCAGACAATTCGTACTTCTGCTGTATTATACGAATAGCTCTGGAAAACATCACGTAATTAAATTTTTCAATCAGGAACTTTAGACTTGTCAATTGCAGGATGTTTTCTTTTCGAAATTGAGTAAATGGAAATTGCACTCTTACGAATCCCTACTTCCATAATAAAGAACGGATGTCATTGTTGTGTGGTTGCATTTTTGCACGCAATCATATTCAGAAAAATTGCAAACTAAGCCGTGTAAAATTATTTTAATTAAACGGCAGTTTTACATATTTATATAAATTGCCTTAAGGCAATCGTTTTGTTTTCTTAAAATGAAACGTATATTTGGGAAGCTCAAAGCAGATAGAATTGAGAAGGAAATGATGAGGAGAAAATTAATATTAAAATTAATTTCGAAAAAAGGTTTAAAGAACTAACGAGAATATTCAAAAAAAATAAAGAAGTTTTTACTGGGAAGTGAGATATTAAAGCACCTCGAAAATAAGATTGCATGATTGTCTATCCATCGGAAAATATGTGAGGTCTAATTTGCATGGTCCAATCAGTGATACTCTGAAGTTAAGCCAAACAGTGCCATTTGGGAATATAAGAAGCAAAATGTTCTGCGATGGCGAGGCGTGTATTTCAACCTGAAATCCAATGAGTTCAACAAAACTTTCCCCTCAAAGCGAATTGGTTCAAACCTTTTTGCTATTGGCGAAGCATACGTTTGGCGACCACATAGTCGGCAATTTGTGCGACGCAAGCGAGATGTTTTTTAAGCAATAGTTTCGATCCGAGAAATCCAATCTTGGATCGCGCCAAATTTGCGAAAACCACACATCGGCTTTGAAACTTGACGAAAACTCACTGATTTCCGTGATTGATTGCACAGTGAGCTCGACAATAACCTAACAGAATTCAAAATAATAATTAAAAATTCACTAATGACCAATTTCTGAATGATGCTTTTGAAAGTGATGACTTGCAGAATAGGTAAGCACACTATAGTGGTAAATAGAAGGAATAAGCTCGCATCAAACACCAAAGCTTGATGATGATCCATTTTAAATTTTCGTATTCATGAAATCAATAATCAAAAAAATGGTTTTAGTACCCAAGTCAATTGAAATATTATAGGAATACTTAAAATGATCTGCGAAAGTAATAGTTAATTAGTTAAGTTTCCAAATTTTAGGGCTTTCTAGTAGTTTATATGTATTTTTTTATTCAATGGCAATTTATATATATATATATATATATATATATATATATATATATATGATATATATATATATGATATATATATATGATATATATATATATATATCATATGATATATATGATATATATATATATATATATATATATATATATATATATATATGAAATAAATAAATATCTATATATATATATGAAATAACCCGTGTGCAATTACCTCAGTTGCATTTGCGCTAGGCAGATTGTTTTTGTCATATGAATCGTCGAAGAGGTCCTGAAACAAAGACATTTTTTTCCATGAACAATTATCATCGTCTCTGGATTTTGTTCGCGTTTCGAACAATGAGCACCATTATCTGAACTTTTCGAGGATGACGAACAATGAAACTCTTGTTGGTAGAGCCCAAATTTAATTTTCAAATTTATGACGCAGCCGCAAGGAACTCTCGCGTCGTCAATTTTTATGAGATCGGACGAATTCGCTCAAAATTCCGCTTTGTTCATCATAAAACCGAGCAATAAAAAAATTACTGCGCTGAACTTATTTTTTTTTTTTGGAGGTGCCTTGATAGCCTTATATGCGAAAAGTGGCCAAAGCACGAGTGCAGAGAATTCAGCAAATACGATTAAAAATCAATCCCGTCGGTTTTTCTCATCAATCTTATGCAAATTCGAAAAGCGCTGTGTTTGTGCTTTTCTTTTTTTGCGGTATGATATATGTACATATTAAGGAATTTAGTATTGGCAGAGATGGAAGTCGAGAGAACAATGAGTATGCTAAGTTCAAAGGAGTTGAGTTAGGCTATACTTGCCTTGTAGAGAATCACACAGATATATTGAACCACTAAGAAAAAATGACTGATATCATAGAACATACCAAAACTAGCAGTTTAAAAAAAAGTAGTTTTAAAAAATTTTGCTTGAAAATCATACTCATTGTACCACAATTGCACCATTACTATTACACTCGGTGAGCCCTAAATCAGCTCAACAACACTTCAACATTTTTTCTCAATTTTTTTCGCAAGCGTATGAACCCGCTGCTCGAAAAACACTTGATAATGTAAAACGATCTTCCTTCAAACTAGTTGTTGATGTTATCCAACACGTACGAAACAATTTTGTTCGAGCCAATGCACTTTTCCAAACCCGTTTTTCCCTCCTATCCTCCCAAATTTGTAACACGTAGTTTTTATTTCTCCAATGTAAGCGGACTCAGGACGCACGGACGGAAAGGCGAGAAGAAGAAAAAACGAATAAAGGCTCATCAATCCACGGCAGACGTCCAACGAAACCGCCCGTTTTATGTGAGGCGATAAGTTTGTAGCGAAACTAAGTGAGAAAAAGAAGAAGAAGACGACGACGATGATGATGATGAAGCATTTTTTCCCATGAAAATGTGGCCTCAATTTGTATATTTACGGCGCGTTTGCCGAAAATGAATTTGAACATATTAAAGTATGCAATTGTGCACTTTAATTCAACAGAGCTACCGGAAGATCTATACATTTCTTTGTCATCTAGTGACCTGTCCTATGAATAATATTTATAGGCCAGATTGCTTGTTTACCATGACTTTTTACATTTCTATTATTGTTCGTGTTATTATTGTTTTTGCGGAAAAGCATTAGCTATATATATATATATATATATATATATATATATATATATATATATATATATATATATATATATATATATATATATATATATATATATATATATATATATAAACGATTTTCTTTAATGAAGGAAAAAATAATTTCTCGACGTTCGAGAAAATAGTGAAACACCGGGTTCTGCACAGCTCGTAAAAACATTCATCAACCAATTTTCATCACTCAAGTGGGTAACAAAACACACATACACACAAAAAAAAAACACTCGGTTCCCCAAAAAAATGTATAATAATTTTCAGAAGACACAAAAAACAAGTGTTCTTTCGCGGCGTATTTTCGTAGTGGTGATTTTCACGACTATTTACACTTTGAACCTGACTTGAGTTAGAGATGAGATCCATCCATACAACCATTTTTTCCGCTTTGATGATCATTCATAATGAAGGCAGAAGTAAGCGAAGTCTTTTTTTTTTCGCCATCTACCACTACTAAATGGACCGGAGAATGAGGCCATAAAGTTTGGCAGCATAAGTTAAAATTTTACTCCGTTTCGCGGAATTCCACAATTTCCTTATAAGGAATTGTCTAGATAGATTAGGTACTTTAAAAATAATGATTTAGAAATAAGGAAAATGTTAAATAGAGAGCCGAAATCCTAGTTAATGGTTTCCCGTTACCAGAAACGCGAAGGCTTGCCGAAATTATACTTTTTCTCTTTCGTCTTTTTTCTTTTTGTCGTTTTTATTCCAAATGTTGAGTTGAGCAATGACAACAACAATTATAGTAATAATAAAAAAATGAAATAAAAAGCTATCAAGAAATAGTTTCTAGTTTTCTTGCTATTTTTTGTCCTCAAAAAATCTCAATGGCAATTGTGCAATAAGTGTTTTCTGATTATGAATTTTTTTTCAAGAATTATAATTTCAGCAAACTGGAAACATATTTTTCGGACTACAAACCTGTAATAGATGTTTTCGTAGGGTCTCGTTAATCATTATGCATGGCTCATCCACCGATTTTGTTTTGTCTTTACGCTGCTTCTTCCGTTTTCCGCCCTCCCGCCGTCGTTCATGTTGTTGTGGAATCGGTATTGGAGGAAGACCATCTCGATCCGGGATATTGCCTAATTGGAAGTTTTGCTCCTGAAAACACAAGCAAATAAAAGAAAAGACTAGATTTAAATAGATTCCGTGGATTAAACGAAAACGAATTTCTTCAAGCTGATAGAATAGAATTAACAAACGAAAAATAGATTTGGTTCGATTTTAAAGACAACTAAAAATGCTTTTCAGATTCGTAAGATTCGTATTTGACATTAAAATGACATACCTGAGCAGCGGCGATTTCGGCGAGTCGATCCGCATCACCCGATGAGAGTTCGGGCAAAAGGAGCACAATGCGTGCAAGATATGATATAATCATGAAAAAGCCAACAAATAATTTTTTCGACGGAATCGTGATAGATGATTAATAAAAATGATGCGTATAAGGTTTTACGTATATGGGCGACGATGTATGCGAAATCTGCTGGACGCAAAAAGGACCACTCGTCGGAATGAGGTGTCACGGCCAGAAATGGGGCGGGGCCACCGTTTGCTCGTCAAGCTTCGGCGCTACTCCTGCTGCTGCCGCTGCCTTTGCTGCTGCTGCTGCTGCTACTGCCGCTTTGTGTATGCCGAGACGCGTCCATCACTCTGGCAGCATTCCAGTTTCCAGATGAGTTCTGCCCCAATTTCTGAAAATGTTTAAAAACAGAAATTGAGAGATAGAAGAGCTAAGGGGTTGAACGAATTGAAACAAAATTCAATTATTCGTTTTCTTTTTTGAAACCAAAAAAAGACAAATTTTGAATATTCTCTAAAGGAATTTATTTGGAATTTCTTCGAAGAGAAATGTTTTGGGTTTCTCGGAAATTTGTATTTTTCCAGAGTGATATTTTCTGAGAAATGCGTCTAGCTGACAATTTAAAGAGAACGCCGAAAATTGTATGAAACGAATATTCATAGCATCATCCGTAAATAATACTCTATTTTTTGCTTTTATTTATTTTAACCAATTATGAAAAAGTCAAATGGAATGAATAATGTATGAATGCTGCAACGGAGTTGAAAGAAAGAAAAATGCTGGAAGTAAAAACGCATTCGAAAAATATCTATTACAGTATTTTGACTAAATCCGCTGGATCACGCGTTTAATATATCAAAGAAAAAATAGATGACTTTTACTCTGCTAAATTATTCTTAATCGTATACTACCACAATTTCGGTCAAATACTATGGCGATTTTGCCGTATTATTTCTATTTTAGTTTTTATAATCTGTTCGGTTTCGATGGACAATTTTCCAATTTTGGCGTGAAGGGAAACGTCACATTACATTTTTAAATATATTGAATTTCAATTTGATATATTTTTTTTTAATTAAAAAAACAATTGGTGAAAGAATTGCTTCGCTTTAATGGGCATCCTATCTCATTTTATAAGCTTTAAATTTAAATCGAAATTTGTATTATAGTATATTATTTTCATCCAACGAAATGGAATAGTATGTCAATTTATCTATCTGAATAATACATTTTGAAAATAAATCATATATCAAATAAAGTGCATACTGTTACATATTCAGAACCATAAAGAAAAAGAAGTATGTTGAAAACGATTAGCTTTCCGATGAATAATTTGCTCATGGTCGCTTGCACATTGAGCACATATTACAAAATTTGGAAATGGCAAAAAAAAACAATGGTTTGAGTTATTAAAAAGAACTCAACAAGGAAATAACCACAAGATTCAATGTATAAATTGTCTGTTTATTTAGAGTTGCTACTCGCTCACATTTTACTAGCTTCCATGTTCAAATATAATAAAAACTTAACTGTGGTTTGAAAGAGTAATATGAAACGTGTCATAAAAGAAAACAATTGAGAACCGATTTTGGAATCTCAATTTGTTTCCTTCATTTCGAAAATTATTCATGAAAGAAAACGAAAAACGGAATGACGTGTTTGATTGCGTGTGGAAAAAAATCTAAGGGTTGAAAAAAAAATAATAGGGGTGGTTGGTAGGTTACATTGTAGACAGTAAAAATTTATTGAACAACACAAATTATAAAAAATAATATTAACGCGGAAAATATTTAAATCTTACAAACAACAATTCAATAGACATTATAAATTTGCTGAAAACTAGCCACAAATACCTTAAGTAAAAATTAATCGTGTACAATTCTGAATATGAATTCAATCTCATTGTTAGTTAATGAATCAGCCTTGTGGTGACATGCACATTCCAGATGTGAAAATCTGTAGATGCCAGCTGCGAAGGGTCATCTTCTATGATAACAGTGTTATTGGAAAAATTATTCGTTTAATTTTGTTGTGATCTTCCATACGTTTAAAATTACTTTTTACCTGTCAATAATAGTCTCAAACAACAGAACAAGCCATCGTGGCCTGGTTTTAAATTGAAATGTACTAATTCGTACGGTGTTTGCAAGATATTTCAGTTTTATCAAAATCTTTGCATCAATATATTCTAATTACAAATCCCTCAAAAAATGGGTTGCGTGCGTGCTCATAGCAACCGTAAAAGGCGTGTCAGTACAATGACGTCTCGCGGCCTAGGCTCAATACTAGGCCAGCAAATGCCACTTCGTTGCCTCGCGTTTCTGCGTGTGAGGCACACTAATCACGTGTACGTGTATTGAACGGCTGCCATTATTTTTCATTTTTTATTATTTACTATAACTTTTTTTTGAAACACTGGTTTTGTTTTTCTTTTTTTTTTTAACGAGCATAAATTTGTCAAAATCGATAATGCAAAAAAAAACAATAAAGTCTGCAATTGACACCTGTTTTTCGTCAAATTCGGTCTTTTTGTATCAAAAAGTTTCATCTAGCTGGGTCCAGTTTCGTTTATCAAATCATATGATGTGTCATTTTTTCAAAGAACTGGCACTAAACTCAAGACAAACTGTTTTATTTTTCATTTAGAGTCAATAATAATGAGCTCGTGGTTTTCATCAAATAACGATAGCATGTGCTCGAATACTCACGAACAGGACTATTCAAACCGACGCAACGACTACATGGGCAATCGAGGAAATGATTACACAATGGAAGAAGCCAATAACGGTGCACAGGTAATTCTATAAGCTTTAAAAAAAAGACATATTTGCAACAGAATAATTCGTGGGCCAACTCAATGAAACGTTACCACGAAACTGAAACTGACACATCAAATAACAAGAGGATGCGTTTTGATGCGGTAATGTTTATATTTTATTAAAGAAATCTCACGTATTCCTGAATAGAATACAATATGCATGATTTGGCTAACTTCTACGCTGAAGCGTGTAGTGAACACGGCCTAAAATTTAAATATATGCGCGCTAATATACTTAGATATAATAAATCTGAATCGAAAAAAATTTTGATGATGATATTTTTAAAACACATGACTGATGACCGTATCTAACAATGTCTCGCTGCTTCTGCAAACTATGAGATTGTTTCAAATTAGTTGCACGGAATTGAAAATAAAATTATAAGAAACGTTTTGTCAGGTTCCTGCAATGTGTAAATGCAATGTTCACCATTAAATCATAATAATTTAAATTACCAAAGATTTGATTTGTCCAAGTGGCCGAACTTTGACAATATTCACCGAAAATCTTGTTGATCCCAAATAATTTCAATAGTTTCGAAGTATTTTATAGTTCATCAGTTCACTTTTCAAATTTTCAGTTGAATTTAGCTAGTCATTAAATATTGAAGAAATTCTTTTAGGAACACACAGAAACTCGGCCATGTGAAAAAATTGCAAATTTCTCATTTGATTGTGTGTTAAAGTTTTCATTTCAAACGCTAAGATATTCCTTGGATCATTCTCCCTAGAATGATATAAAATTCATCGCAAACGAATTAACTTCCAGTGTATGAGGTTAACTTTTGAATCGATTTTTGCCTCGATCGGAGGCGTCCCTCATTATTCTGCGTCTCTAGCGTGACCTCGCAAAAACAGATATGAGTGGGGCACCTGCGTGTTAGACTGAGGTCTATTGATTGAGGAAACCACATGAGGAACTACTGGGAACTCATGCAAAGTATCTGTAAGAGATAACAATAATATTCTTTGTGTGAAATAGCATAGACACTGGGGACAAAACTATTTGCAGAATTATTGACAACGATGCAGTTAGATCCAGATTTCCATAAAACCTTTTGGTAATTCTTGAGCTACTTTAATCATTCCCATTAAATTATGGATTTTAATGAAAACTTAGCATTCTCAAATATCCTTTTCCTTAAACACAAAATTTCGTCGATGTGAACAAAAGCTTTTACGGACTAATTCTCAGCATGTAATATAAAATTATTCGTTATTTAAAAATAATAGCAATTATTGAAAATTTCCTACATTAAAACTTGTTGGATCGGTTTTTCTTTGAAGGTATTTCATCAGATGTGTTTCGGCAATTGCCAAGCCTGAACGCCAGTTGCCTCCTTTTGGTAACTTCGGCGTTGCCATCTGCTTAATTGAGATGTTGATAGAGGGATCATCATCGGAGTAAGATTGGGTGACATTGTTGGGCGATTAGCACCAATGAGTAACAGATCGCAATTGATCAAAATCTGAGGTACCATTGGGAAATATATTATAAGAATAAAAAGAATCACTAAAAATTGCCTAAAACATTAATATATCACCAATCTTATTAACCAGATTGTCTGTGTTTTTCTTCATTTTCTGCTTAGGTGTTATCAAATTTAACTACAGGAAACCGCCAAATTGAAAACATTCCAGAATCAAAGTTCTGCTTCTTTATATCATTGTCGCTTAGGAAAATTAATCTTTTGCCTATTTCATCTCCAAAAATAATTTACGACACCTGCTTGTGTTCCTTAATGGATGTCAATATTCCCTAATAATGTTATATCGGCGTCTCTTTTTGTATGCCGATGCCATTAATACAGGACGCGCATTGCCATCTGCGTAATTGCTGGCGATTGATTGAGGGAATCTTATCGGAGCAACGCGATTTGTGAGAACCAATATTTATAATATGCGCGTAGATTGAATCATATAATGATGGCCTTCAACAAGAAATGTTAAGTGAACATGGTATATAATAATTCAGTTAACAATTTACAGCCTGCTCCTGAATCTTCAAGTGCGCCTCAACCAATGGAATTCGGAAACGACGCTTTTCATCAGCAATTTCGCTATGAACGTCGCGTTGAAGAAAATCGACAGGAACAACCGTATCGTGAGTACGATTGTTGCGGCCGAACTCCGCGAGAGGAACAAATGATGTTAATGAGACATCGTTAAAATGTTTAAAGCCTATGTAAAATTTCCTCTTTTATCAAATTTCCCAAAATATTTGTCAAATACCCTCAATTTTCAACATTATTAAATTCCATCTTGTATGTGTCGTATAATTCTAACCATCCATCGCGATTGTTTTGCCATATCTTGCGTTTACCGTGTTTTTCTTTAATTGCCTTCTGTCATAACATTCGCTCTGATTAATAAAATGGGTTCCCTCACAAATCATAATGAATTTTGTTCATCAATTCATTTTCAATTTATTGTTCTTGTGTTTTTAATATCATTCTTCGCGTCACAAAACTTTCCACCGATTGCGTTTGCGTGAATCACTTTAAGACATTGCCTTACAGTACGAAATGGCTAAGCCGATGAAACTCAAGAAAGCAAAGAATCCTACAAAAAATGCGACGGTAATGGAATTTGTGTGCCTCGCGAATCATCGATAGAAGAAGAAATCCTTTTTCAGTAAGATTTTCACAAACTGATAAAATTCAAAAAATAATATGGTGTTGAAAATGCATAATAACTCATTGCCGAAAAAAACTATGAACGGATCTTCCAGCCAGCCGCTAGATCTGTCTACAATCAAGAATTTATTGAAAGCCAGAGGGATTTTCTAATTCATCCTATCAACATGAGATCCTCATATTTTTATCTCCAATGATAACCTTATCATAACCCAAGATAATGTCAATTGATCTCCAAATTTTTCCAGTTATTTTTTATAGCAATAGATTTAAAATTTTTTCGCTTATTTACTGTAGGAGAGCATTAGAAAGGGCTATTGCTTAACAGTATGTGCTTAACCTCTACAATTTTCCGATAAATCATTCATTACTCATGTATAACATTTCTATGGAAATGTTCTGTTTGCGAACGTTTAGTCGTGTATGATGACTGTTGTGTTCTGCCAACAATTTGGTAGCAATTATAACAGTTTCGTGTGCTGCCAATCATTTTTCTTAAACCATCGTTGCTCGTCAATAGCCTTACAACAAAATCAATAAGTTGTGTGCGCGCAAAAAGTGTGAAAAAAAATTGTTTTGAATAAGACGCAAGATTGGTATGAAATGTTGCTGACTCACGTTCCGTCAGACAAAATTGCGCGCAATTTTGAGCGAGAAATGTTTCAGCTTATTGTATTATATTTGTACTGTATTCGACGTTTTTTTTTGTATAATCGGTATTTTGTCTTACTATGAAAACGGTATTCGACAAGCAAAAAGATCAACAGTGGGCTACATTTTGCTGTTATTTTTATTAATTATGATCTTAAATTACATTCGTTTGTGTATTGCGATCGGTCATGCCATAAAACCGAAGGCTCCGCGCGCAATGGGCGTGATATGCACAGTTACGCATCGTGGCCTAGACTCATTATGCGGCCAGCAATTGCCTCCTCACTACCTCGCATTTTTGCGTAAACGTGTGTTGTAGTCAGGTCGTGTGCACGTACGTTGATTAGCAGCGGTTATTCCACGTTTTTCTTTAATTTTTTTTATATTCTAATTTTTTTCAATTGCCGGTTGTTGTTGTTGTTATTTGAGCCAATAAATATTATCTGCCGAACAAAATGTGTGCAATCGGCACAATTTTCCGTTAAATTCGGTGTTTAGTATTTTCATTGTTTTCTCAAATATATACTGTTCTTAATTAAGTTTTTATATGTTAAGGGAGTACAAAATGTCTCGTCAGAAAACACGCTGCATAAAAAAAAGGATTGAAAAAATGAAAAGGCGAATGATGGCTAAGAAGATCTGCAAAAAAAGGTTCCAGGAGGAAGACAGTAAACATGATGTGAAGACAGAACCATGCGGCAGTTTTTCACAGCTCGACGAAGACATTAAGGAAGATATCAAACGGGATTTTAAAGTATTATTTAAATTTTAAATATCACTTACTCAAATAGCTTTAAAGCCAAAACGACAAGCGAAAAGGAAGGCAAGGTTTACGCTTAAGCGAAGGTACGGAAACATTAAAAGAGAAATGCTAAAAATCAAGAAAACGCCCTCACGTCCACCAGCTCCGCCACAACCATTGCTACCGCCAATTGAAGATGATGAGGTAACTTTCAATAAAATATAAAAAACTTAAATACAAGTTAATAATTGAGACATAGTCTTTGTCAATTTAAATTATTCAAAAACGCAATAGAAAATATAGTACTAATTCTAAATGTGACAATCGTAAGTACCAGTCAGTTTCAACATCTCGCAGGTGACGAATTTTAAAGACACTAACTTGTTAAAGGGTTCAAATTAACTCATTTTTCAACACGAAAAGTGGTTCAAAATGTATTAGAAGATAATTTTTATGCTAATTGGCGAGAAGAAAATGATTCCATTAATGTGTATCTAAACAATTAAGGTTCACCTCACAATTTTTAGTTCGCATATATAAACGAAAATTTCTTGATGCTTTGTGTGTTAAAGTTTTATTTTCAACAAATTTTCAATTCTTTAAGTTTTTCTCTTTCCAAAGATATACTTTTCATTGCTGACAAAATAACTCTCATCTTAGACGACTATCGATTTTTGCCTCGATCAGAAGCGTCCCTCGTTGTTCTGCGTCTCTATTGCGTGCTTGCGTGAGAACACGGACGTGCAATGCCAATGCCGTCTGTGCAAGAAATCTGTCCTCGCATTGATTGAGGGACAAATATCGGGACCATTGAGACCTCGATTGTTTATGTGTATAAGAATTTTTAAGTCATCCCAAAGCAATATATACTAGCTGTTTGTTCGAAAAAAAAATATTTAACAATCGAAAATCAGAAATACATTACCTTTAATTCTATCGAATAATTGTCGAAATTTTTCATAGTAATATACATATTTTAGTTAAGAAGCAGGAATATTTGAGATTTTAATAGCGTGAGATTTATGTGCAAAACTAATATGGTAAACCGTACAAAAAGTGTACACTTGTTGTCAATAAGAAAGGTTTCATATAGAGTTTTGAAGCAGTAGTTTAGGTATCATGTGAAGTGCAGAGGCAGACAATATATGATTTAATGAATGTAATTAAAACACCAAATTACATATATATGGAGTGATCATAAAAAGTTAAAATATATAAATAATATATGAAAAGAAAATCAATAGAGAATATTTCAGCCGCTTGAAATTCCGGACGAGCAAGTGATGATGGAGCTGGGCTATGAACCGTATGATCCACAATTTGATATGGATTTCAATTTTGAAGATGTCGAGCCAATGTTTCCGTTTCCGCAAGCTTTTGCTGCTATCGATTATCCGGCCATGAGAATTCCAAGGCCTGATCCTCGAGCTGCAATGAGACGTCGATAGTTGATTTTCAGCACGTCATGGTTTTTTTTTCACAGGTTTCATTTTGAAAATCAAAATTTGAAAAGACAGCAGAGCGAAATGTTTCATAATTCCACTTTATGGAAAAAATAATGCTACCCCATTAATATTCTTATAGTAGTTAATCTGTATTTTGAGCCCATGTATTTCTGCACATTTGTAATTTGTTTTGTTTTTTATTCCTTTTGAGTTTAAACCCTTCGGTTTCTGTAATGGGTCCTTTTAGCAATCTCAACACATTTCAAGTAATGTCAGTGCAACCATATTTTTGTTTTTTAATCACACTTTATCAGTTTCTTCCAACCCTTTGTTTTAGCAAGTGCCTTATTCATTTTAAAGCATGTGTCGTTAATTTTTCAATCATCCATCGTTTATCGATGTCATTCATAAGATCTCGCTTTTTGCCATATTATCTCGAATAATTCTATTTGCACGGTCCCATTTACAACGGTATCCTTTTTTCACACAAAAAATTTATTTTCAACGTAATAAAACTTCTTGAACTATTTTTCGCGTATTTATGTTCTACTTTATAAAAAAGTCATCCAGTTTTACTGATTGTGAATTTTTGTCTCCATAGATCTTTTCAATTTTTATTACGTTTTTGATGTTCATTTTACGAAACGAATTGAACATCCAATATAAAGCAAGCAAAACTTATATTAATTCGTTTTATTTTGGGCTCCGAAAAACAGAAGAGAAATAATTAATGTCATACCGTAGGTTGTTTAAAAATCCCTATTGCCCGCCGGAAGGTGCATATCTTTGGTGTACAATCCTGCGGTTTCATCAAAGGTTAGGAATTTAATAAATTTAAACGATCAAACGCGTTTTCCGTTTTTGATTTCAGCGAAAAATAAATCTATTTTTGTTTGTGTTTTTTAACTTGCAATGCCCTTAAAAAAATAGATCAAATTGAAAATTTACATGATTAAGGCGCCAAAATTTGAAAAAAAAGCAAAGTTCTTCCTTATTTGTCCATCTTCAGCAGTAGTTCATTACACATGATTCTTCTATCTATTATACATTGAATATTCTACTCATCGCTCTGTTACTTGTCATTTTAATTCAAAACCATTTACCCCAATTTAAAATTTTAGGGTAATTATCATGGTGAAGACTCGCAGCCAGTATAGAAAGAGTAGCAAGAGTGCAAATATTCGCCTAAGTCAAATGGTTCGTTTCATTATATCAAACAAATAATTAAAATTAAGTTTTGTTAATTAGGGAATCACATTGAGTCTGAGAAAGCGTTCGAAATTGCTGAAGAAACGAAAACAGCGGAGACGGAGCCGGAAACCGGCACCGCCGAATGTGAAAAATGGATATATGTTGCGCAGTGGGAAGATTATCGATAAAGACGCACCCCCAAAACCCGTAAGCTTTTTTTAAAAATATTTTTATGGTTTTTCAATAATTTCGAAAAAAATTCTATTGAAACCGGTATGACAGTAAACGATTTTGAATTTTAATAAGATGCGTGCCGTCAGACGATGCACAAATGCAACAGTATGGATCTGAAATTACTTTTTGATCTGTATTTTTTTGTCGCGTCTCGGACCCTACAAAAATTCAAAATCAATAGTCAAATTTTTTTCTTTTTTCTATATTAATATTTTTTCAATGGAATCGCAATATAACTATTTTTTCTTACTAAAAATTTAAAAATGTGCCAATGAAATTTGAAAATAGTTGCTCAGATGTTAGGACAATTCGAAAAATCAATAATAGTTGTTTGTGCAAGAATAAGACGATTTCGATATACATACATTTATGCTGAAAATTATGAATCCTTGTCGTTTCTTTTCCGATGTTTTCATTTAAAATTTTCTGTTACTGTCTTGAAATCAGGGGACGAAATGTCAAATTATTTTGTTAATTTCCTAGTTTTTAAACTTTTTTTAAACTTCCATTCGATTCTAAACATTATGTATACGTTTTTTGAAAAATCACATTTAATATCAATTGATGGAAGATTTTTTAAAATTTTCTAGTGGTTATTCGCATATTTTAGAAGGTAATCTCTGATAGACGAGTTATGGCGGAAATGATGGACGAAATTTACGAGCCTGCTGCTGGAGCAGTTTACAACAGAAACTATTGGGAGCCAGAGAAATATTCTGATGATAGTTGAATTGATTATTCGGTGCATTCTATGATTTTAACGGTTTCTACGGTTATGGTGCTTTAAATGGATCTCGTCTTGCCATTTATAAATAAATTGGTTAATTATTTGGTGTTGTTTCTTTATATTGAGAAAGAGTTTAGTCTTTTACTATCATTTAATGATATTTTCAAGTAATAATTTTTTGTAATTAACAATTAATTAAATTTTTTTAAGAGGCAGATGGAATCCGATTTGAAATTGAGATGTTATCCATAGAGCAGACTTGTCGCGACCGCTCCGCAGCCTATCAAAGCGACGCGCATTGCGGGATGCGTGCGGTTTTCGAGGAGACACCACGGAAGAGTGGGTCCATGAACTCTCGTCGCCTCGCCGCGAGGGAGACACATGTCACATTTTCCTCACTATCTCTGCCCTGTTTACACATCGTACTCTTCGCATTCTCATTCCTTGCATTATCGTTATTTGCCGCCCAATAACTGATCGATACATTTTGGCTTTTTCGTTTTATTTTCTGTTCTTCTTGCCAATCAAACCGAACTAATTTGTAGCTTTCAGGTAACGCTAAAACCTCTCAGTTCATCGAAATGGTAATTTATTTACTTTCGTAATTCAATTGTAATTGTAATATTCTTTTAGGAAGCAAACAGTTCAGCATCTTCAGCAAGTTTCAATCAGGACAATTTTTTATTCAAAACACCGGAAAAATCAAGAAAACTTTCAACTCAAAACGGTGAATATTCGGTTGATATATTCAATTATGTTCATATGTTTTTTTTAGATAGCCCGTACACTCCATCTGCTATCACAACATCGCCAGTTCAAAGGCCCGCATCATCAATCGTCTACGAAGAAGTGGAAGAGTCGCCACCGCCACACGGAGGTAGTTTTTTTTCTGTTTTTTATTGCTCATTAGTCCTATTACTTCGTGTTTTAGGTGATTTCGACATCCAACGGGCTCAAATACTCATTTGCAACAGGCGTGTGAATGATCTGAACGGTTCCATAAAATCGCTATTTCATTCAGATTTTGTGTTCTTTCCAAAAACAAAAAGAAACAGAAATGCTTTAAGAGGGTTCAATTTAAATGAAATATAGAGTCGCCATTGCTTCACTGGTGGTTATGTTATGTTTCATGTCGGGAGTAAAGTTCCAGATTGGTGTGCAGATGCTCTATGAAACGAGATGATGGGAGAACAGTCGTTTTTTGTCTTGTTGCATATTCAATAATTGCTTTTCTTAAAAAAAAAACCAAATAAAACAGAAAGCGACCTCCAATGCTATTGACGTCAAAGTATTTCAACTCCATATGCTTCGTGAATCATTAAAATGAATGAACTAAAACGATCTCAAAAATTTCAAAAAACCGTTTTACTTTTTGTAAGCGATTAAATGAGTTTGAGCCTTCCAGAGTCCGTTATGTCCAGTTTTTTATGGTCATGTTGTTTGAAAACGAATAAAAATCTAACAGAAGACTCACCATCGAAACTAAATGCGTGGAGTTATTGACTAAAGGGGTTTCTTTTATATTTTCCCTTCTACTTGTCTCTTGTGTTGTGTTCAAAAAAACTTATCAGCACATTATTCTTAGTTTCAGTAAATGTAGTTTCGAAAACCAGAATTTCATTCCTTTCTGTTTTGCCTTTGCCTCGCCCTCTGTCTTTTCTTCAAGTCACTCTCTCGTTAGCAATTTTTCGATGAGCACGTGCATATTGGCTCTGGCAATTCTCAGCTCAGATCTTTAATACCACGCATCATTGAAAAAAGTCTTTTTGAAATTATAAATTTACAAAAAATAAATTCCTTTCATTGTTGTCCATTGTTAATGATTAAAAGGGTTAGAAGCTTAAATAGACAAATAAGTTGCCAATAATTTACATGATCTTTGAGATTTCTTTCACTGCTGCGATTTAAACGGAAGCTTGAAAAAGTCATATTGTACACGCTGATTACACCATGGATTTGGCAAACAATTGATTTAATGATCTTCTAGCAACTAAAACTCAACTTTCTTTCGTATAATAACTTGTCCTTTAAAATATTACACGAGGCACCGTTGACTATGGTAAAGAAAAAAAACCAAAATCTTGAGATCGTTCAACCATATCACTACCTGTTGCATTTGAATATTTCTAAATAAAATTTTTAGGCAATGTAAATAAAAGTTTTACAGACCCACCAAAAATCGAAGAATACTCGCCATCTCGCCCGGCGATCAGAATTGTTAAAAGAAAACATGCTGTGATGTACGATCCAATAGTTCAACGTTATCAAAAAAAGCAAATGATGATAAATGAAGCCGCCGCCGCCGCTGCTGTGGCTGAAGTCGCAGCCGAAGTCGTTGCCGATGCTGAAGTATGCGCGAAGCTCAAGCCAATCGATCTTAATGCCGTAATAATAATTTTAAATCTAGCGATATAAATGCTAACGTTTTTTCAGACTCCTAAAAAGTCATGTGTGCGCAAGCTGTCGGATTGTGTGAAAAAAACGCAAAATGTGAAATTTGCTGACACTGTTGGCCTTCCAATGGTTTCTATACGAGAAATACCAAAACTAAACAACGGTATTTGGAGTGAGCAAGGTGCAGGAAAAATAGTAAATTTTATAGGAGGCCATTGTACATCCACGGAAATGCGAAACTTTGAAGTAAAACATGAACGATACATACCAAGCGTTCCAAAAACCGAAGCAAAATCGGTAAATACACATCAATCTTGAAAAATATTTATTATACGATTAAATTTCAGGTTGCCTGGAAGTTGTTAGAGTGCGATGCACCTTGCCGAAAAAAACCGAAATTAAATACTGGAGCGTATTTAGCTGAGGAGAAGCGTCTTGCATCATTGGGATTGTCGTTCCGACCTCAATTTGGGTATGAACAATTTTCATTTATTATGGAAAAATCAAACCCAATTAATTTCAGAACCGTAGACATCATTGAACCAGATGATATCACCGAATTAACGAAACCAACTTCATCTAAGCCAGCCCCAATGATTCCGACGGGCGCAGTAAATATGAGTTCTTCGGGAAGTCTCATCAAACAGTTGCCACTGCCTGGACGGAAGAATCCTGTTGAGCCAACGCTTGCTCCAATACCTGTTCCGTTTGCTGCGACAGTATCGAAAACTGAATCAACTCCACAGAAGCCAGTTATCTGCCAAGTTTTTGAGAGCTCTCCAGATGTTGGATATGGATATCAAGCGAGAATGGCTACACCTATGAAGAGAGATGGTGCTTCAATTCCAATCGCCCGTCCAGACTTCTCACAACCTCCACCGCAAATTGACGGATACATCGCCAAATTTGCGGAGCCGAGCGAAAAACCACAAGCAGACAGTGTTTCAAGTTCTGAAACGAGCAAAGTTGAACTTCCAGAAGCACTACGAGAAATGCTCGCTATGTTAAAAAGCAAAGTAAGAATCTGAACGTGCATTTGATTAATTATAAATGCAATTTGCAGGGATATGTTAAATCTGATGATCCTCCAAGTCAAGAAGCGCCTGTCTATGTCGCCACATTCGATGAGAAGGATTTGAATCCTCAGCAAATACAAGCTGTCGAAGCTGCTCAAAACAAAGCCAACGGTGAGAGATGGACTCAATGTGGATGGAAAATACCCGAGCCTTGCACATACTTTGTATACCGGTCCGGTGGATGTATTCGCGGAGATAACTGCCGGTTTATTCACGATGAAGAAATGGTAAGAGTGAAATTAATTTCAAATAGTGATATTTTTAACCATGAATGACCTAATATAATTAAAGATGAAACAAGTTTATGTCTTTTAAAGTTTTGTTTAAACAAGTCTATTCCAGAAAAAAAGACTGCTTCGCCAGAGAGAAGAGTCACGCCGTGACGATGAGCCTATCCGAAACCACAATGTCGGTTATCCACTCCCACCAGAGAATAACTTCCGTCCGATGTCCGATCCTCGAAACATGATGCGTGGGGCATTCAATCGTGGCGCTAGTAACATGGATCGTGGAGCCGGATTCCGTGGAAACTACCGCGGCGCCAACGTCAATCGTGGACAATTTGATGAGAGAAACTGTTTCGATTCTCGCCAAGGTTTTGAACCACGTCAAGGATTTGATAATCGTCGTGGATTTGAACATCGTCGTGGATTCGAAAATCGTCGCGGTTATGAAGATCGTCGCGGAATGGACAATCGCCGTGGATTTAGCCATCGCCGCAATCAACCATACCCACCGCGAAACTTTCGAGGGAGAGATCGATTCCGACGTGATGATGATCGATTTGATAGAAATGGTTCAATGCGTCCATATCATGACGACAATCGAGATGAGGACCGAGAGCGCAATAAGGAACCTCGGGAGGTTATATACGACGACCCACCTCCGACTGCAATTGCGGCACAAGAATAATTTAATATAAGTCATCAGTATCACTGTTTTATTCATTATTTTATTTTGTCCATAGTCGCCTAGTAGCCCCCAGCCCTAATCGTTACATCATGTTTACGTGTTTTTGTTCCTGTGAATGATTAACTAACATTTAATCCAGTGTATCCATCTAAAATATAATTTGTTCTTGTGATCAAAATTTAATTGTCAGAGTCTGAAACAGTCAAACCAAATGTGGTCACTTTAATTTTATTTGTTAAATGAAATTTGTGTATGAAATAAAGGCTGTGAATGAAGAAGTGCTATTTTCTTTTATTTTTGCTCTGTGTTAATCTCAGAATCGAATATCTTTCATATTATTTACGATTTTAATATAAACGCATGTTTCAGGTTGTTATGGCTACCAGAGAATTTTACTTTGCTATTATTGGGCATTATGATCAACCTATTTTTGAGATGGATTTTCCAAATGGAGAGAAAAAATTTAAAGAATCGGCAGATACAAGGCAAGTTTGTTGAATGTCGATTTGATTTTAAAGCCATTACACTTAATACACCGCTAAAAGTGTTGATCTCTGCAGTACAGCGAAAATGAAACACTGAAAAAGTCAATTTCAGACACTTGAATCATTATATTGGCCATGCCGCTCTTGATATTGTCGATGAACATGCACTCACAACTACTCACATGTATTTAAAGGTACAAAAGAATAGGGAAAACAATTTTGTTCAAAAAATTAAATAACCTAATCTCCTTCGAGATATGTTTCCATTCAAAAATTTATATTATGTTTTTTTTGTCAAATTCATATTATCAAAATTTTCCATAAGAAACTTTTTTCACATTCTATACGTGATCATATTTATATATAATACAATTTATTTTTCAGTTTTCATATATTTGTGTTGTTCGCAATAAGACAAAGCAATTGTTAGATAAATACCAATATTAAAAATGTCTCACCACAAACCATAAATCTTATGCGAACTGTGGAGGTATACAAGTTTTAGAATTTTTAAAAAAACATGACAACTGCAACAAATTTCAACGTCATTTCTTTTATTAATACTAAGGAATTCAAATTTTTTTGTATTTGTCCAATAACGGTGATGCATGAAGGTTGTTCGACGTCAGTGAAACCGATGGTCTGATGACTCGCATATTCCGGTTTGTGAGTCAGATGAAAAAAGAAACAACAATTTGAAGAAAAACTAGGCATTGGCGGCCTTTGCTATGCTCGCGAAGAAACCAGTAATCAAAGAAAATCTAAAATTTTCAATATTGCAGATGGTTGATAAGTTTAATGAATGGTACGTTTCGGCGTTTGTCACTGCTAGCAGAGTACGCTTCATTATGCTTCATACTCATCGTGTCGATGAGGGAATAAAACAATTCTTTCAAGTGAAATTAACTCGTTAGGTTTAAAATAATTAAACTAAATGATTATAGGAGATGTATGAAACATATATCAAACATGCGATGAATCCTTTCTATGGAATCGACGAGCATATCAAGTCGGAAGCCTTCGAGCAAAAAGCCATTTTATATGGAAAGAAGTACTTGATTTAATTATATGTTTTGATTGTCACATTCGAATTGATTTCTATTTCGGGTACTATATATGAAATAAACTTGTACAATATAAAAGATTAGCCGAATTGTTCATTTACGCAAATAATTATTAGTAATTAGGCTGAAAATAAAGCAATACGCAATGTGAACTCTCAGTAACACGTTACCGGTAATGTTCACTAACAGAATCATGCAGCAAGGTTCAAAGATAATAAGCACAGGGAATTGTTTTTCAAAACACCGAAAAATACGTTTGGTTTCTAATACAATATTATAATCAATGTATAAGTTGAAAACTGCGAGTGGAATGATTTGATCAAGTTAGCGGAAATAACCAGGGAAATAACTAAAATAGAGATCGGCTAAAAATCACTATAACGTAAGTATCGAACTGTTATATTTGCAAAGATAGAAATGCCTGTGAATGACGGGAATACTCAGCTAAATCAGACTAGAATGATACAATAGGAACAATACGACTTTACAATTGAGTAATGAGAACATTAATTATTGTTGGCGACGTTTTTCGATCGATCCTTTCAAAAGAGCTTCAATTGTTTCACGATCGTGTTTGCGCGCCTTTTTTTCCGCTTCCAAAAGTCCTTCTAATTCAGCAATTCGTTTTTTCATTTGCTCAACTTCTTCCTCGCGCTTTCTTTGAAGCTCCTTGGCCTTGTTTCGACTTTTTCGAACAGCATCATTATTTCTAGCTCTTTTGAGCTTGTATGATGGCTGATTCTGAAACTCAAGTATCTTAATGATTTGATGATGTAAATTTTTCGAAAACCTTTTCGCTCTCCGGCTTCAATGTGTATTTACGGGCTGTAGTTTGCGGTTTGAAATTTTCAAGGGAAGTTGCGCCTTTTCGGCTACGCTTTGTCGGGGGCGGTCTTGTATATTCCTCCTCGTCAGTGCAATCATCGCTTTCAATTTCTGAATAAAAGTTAATATTCAAAAACATGCATATGCATACATACCTTCACCGTGAATATCTTTTGGAGAGTAGATTGATTCGTCAAAATGGACAGGCGGTTTGATGGTTCGCGTCGAACGCTTTTGTGGAGTAGATTTTTGCATATCGTTGTTAGCTAAAAATAAAACACAAAATGGTGTCGCTCAACACAAGTAAAGAGAAAGAAAGAAAGAAAAAGAAAGGAGAGAGAGAATGAGAGAATAAGACAAACATACTGTTTTCCACTTCGCATTGCATTTTGTATCGATCTTCGTTTTTATTAATAATGGGCATTTGGTTCGTTTGCGAGTGGTTGAAGATTTCCGTATCAAACGAATGTGATGGGGCAGAACTTTCGTATCGATCAATTTCGGTATGATTATCGTAGCGCGGTTTCTCTCCGAATAAATTATTGTCAGGGCAGTAAATTGGATCGTCGTATAGAATATTGACTTTTTGCAGTTCGTTGTCATCAAAGTCTACAGAGTCCGGGTGAACGTCGATTTCCTGCAGCTTCAATTATTAGTGAACAATTAAACTTAGTAGCGTCTCACTGAAAAGCATTCGAGATAGTTTTCCAAGTCCAATGAAGTTTCCATAAAGTCAACCATACTACAGTTTTGATTTCGATCTCTTTCTTGTAGCGTCGCCGCTAATGTCAACGAATCCTAAATTGAAATCTACTTACTTTGTAATATTAGTTGCACTAACCTGACGTTTAAAGTCTCCAAATTCGTTACCACCTGACGCTGAATTGTTAGGTATTCTTGGTGGAGGCATTTTATCCATATCAGTGTAAAACTCGGAAGGATACATATTCTCGACTTGTCGCTCCAGTTTCTATAAAATGCAAATATGAAAATAGTGCAAATTGAAGGCAATAAAACATTCGAAAATGGAATGACGGCATAAAAATCGATCGCGAGTCAATAGAAAAAACGCACTCAATTGATGCGATTCCATTGGTTGTGTGGTTTCGAATGTTCTAGGGTATGAGGGATGCGGAAAGTAAGCAAAATGACACAATGGAGACGAAGAGAGGGAAGGGGGGGGGGGGTGAGGACGCACATGTGGTTTTGTGCCGGTTTATGTGCGCGTGTCCTTTGAAATTGGGAGTCAAAAAATTCGAGATAACAATACAATCGCACACAATCAAACAGAAGGTAAGTCGCTAAAAATGGTGTTACGGTGACGCAAACGTCCCATACAAAATCAGTCCACATCAAATTTTTTATCAATACGTACGCCTCAAAAACGCCGAGCCTGAGTCACTGTGTCAACAATACCCAAATTTGTTATTGCGCGAATTAGGACATGAAATGATAGGGTAAATATCTTCATCGATTCAAGGAAAGAGGAATTTTTCAATAAACGTTTAGCCAAAAGCCACCTAAGGCATAATTCTTACCGAATAGTCGGGAAAGCCTATGGCATGAAGTTAAAACACAACGTTGTGAAAGATGATGAAATCCTTTCAGGTTTATATGAGCAATTGAACGCTAGAGAAATAGAGAGAGAACTGTGGGAGGGGCCCTCGGGGTGTATGTTTACAATTGGGCGCCTTGGAGATACGCGACACCACGAAAAAATGAGGGGAGCGGCGACTTGTTGGAAGTATTGCGAAATTCTGTCATGAATCATACTCTATCTTTCTTCTCCCTCTCGGCCACACACACTTTCTTTCCGTTAGGAGACGTTTTCTTGCGCGCGAGGGTGAAATGAGGTGATGTTTATTGCCCTGCGATGAGTCATCGCTGAAAAAAAAAAAACAGAGACGGACATATATATTTATATGTTACATACAAAAATGAAACGGTCAAAAATTAGTTTTTGTTGATGTTTGAAATTAAGAAGATGGCTTGGATTCGATTAGGAAAGTATTAAAAGTTTAAGAAATATGCAAAATTTGTATTTATAAATTTCGAATAATTAAAATGTAATATGCAAAACAATTGTTCAAAATGTTCTAAAAACCTATTATAAAGCATGATTTCAAAAGCTATTTAAAGATATTTTGCATTCGAGATGATTAATCTCGAATTCTCGAAAACGCGATGTTTGCACAGCAATGTCATAAATGAGCGGCCTCGTGTTTTTAAACGTAGCAATGTTCAATCGTTTTTCGCTGACATTTTGAAGCGACAAAACGAAAGATAAGAAAAAATAGATTATTTTGTGTACCAAAGTACCCAGGTTACTCAAAATAATCACGCGACATCATTTAATGATATTTATTAGCAATCATTGGAAAAATGAAGTTGGTGAAAACGCCTTGAGAGGAAGTATTTTTGCGTTCTATGATTAAAGTTCGACAGAAACTTTAAAATGAGATATAAGACATGTTCTTTAAACACGAGTAAAAATCAAGATTTTTAGTTCATACATTCACGATTCACTGTTTGTGATAATAATGTTTTTCTAACAAAAAGTCATTTTTTCCTAAGTACCACACTTTTAAAACTGCAGAGAAAACGATTTAATATCGATTTTTTTAATAATCTTAATTTTGACGTGAAGACTTCTAAGTTTAAAAAAACTTATTCCTTATGTTAGCTAATTTAGTTTCACAAATAATTGCCATGTGCCCTTTTGTATACGCGCATTTTTCGTCTTGCGATGAAAAACGAATTTGGAAAACAAAAATTGTACTTGTTCGTATCTCATTAACATTGTTTTTTAATCAAGGCACGTGCGATATATCACGGAAGACGCGATAGTAAATTGTTATTTAGAAATGATTGCTGTAATGTATAAAGAAAAGAATATAAGTAAATTTGAAAGCTTGCACGATATAGTGAACTAGCTTATCATGTCAAATTTCTGTTTATAGGCCTTTTTTTGGCTAAAGGAATGGGCGTAAAGTAAACAAAAGATGTGTCTATCTTCGTAGAAAAACTCATATGACATCATAAAATTTTTTTGATTATCATAATCATCATCATAGTGTGAATGCGAAAACCGTATAGCTAAGTGCTATGTATGATAAGCGCTCTAGTTTGCTGCTATGTTGAGAAGAGAAATTGTGGTGAGATGGTTTCTTTTTGAAGGAATTTTTTGCCTTAGCAATGGGACACAATGGCCGTTGCAGGCGCAATTCTTTGTTTTTGCACAATCGATGACGAATTGTCGTATTGGCGAATTTCCTTTCTGGTTAAATGTTAAAACGGAATTGATAAAATCCTTTAAATGATGTTCAATTCCTCTTCCGCTGTAAGTTACGATTTCGCTAAATACGGATAGACAGCAAAAAAGGATCGTACACGAGATACCGACTGTGTCCTTGACACTGTCCTGTACCCCGCCAAACCTTTCTATTTTCTATAACTGCGACCATAGCTCTCAAATTTATTCGATAATGGATTACGATAAAAAGCGAGTGCTTTTCGAGAAATTACGGAATTTCTTTAATGATCATAATCATGATAAAGTGAAGTTATTTATGAAGATTATATTGAATAAATTAGTTTTTTTAGAAATCTGAAAAGGACAGCGAGATTTTCATTACTCTCTACCGTCAATTTCTTGACGAGGATGCACATATCGATTGGAGCTCTTGGAAACATATAAGCGATGATGTTCAAAAAAATGCTAGCGATATTCCACAATTCGATCCGAAAAGGTGTTTTGGTTGTAATTTTTTTCGGCATGCTAACAGTTATTTAATTATTCAGGGAAGACGTGATTAATAAAGTTGTTGTTTTGAAATTGAACGGTGGCCTGGGAACTACAATGGGCTGTAGTGAAGCGAAATCGTTCATTGAGGTTCGCGACGGACTCTCTTTTTTGGATTTTGCAATTGCACAACACAATGTAACACATTTCGTTAATAAAAATAAATTGACATTTGGGCTTGCAGGATTTTAATCGCAAATATAATGCTAATGTTCCGCTTTATCTTCTGAACTCCTTCTATACTAATAAAGCCACAGAAGAAAAGCTTAAAGCGAAAGACGCAAAAGGAATTTTCACATTTGAACAGTCGCGCTGTCCAAGAATCTATAAAGACACTTTGTTACCTGTTGATGATTCAGAGTGGGGCGATGACGCGTAATATTTATTGGATCATCATGAAGTTAAGATATTTGAGAATTTTTAGATGGTATCCTCCAGGTCATGGAAATATTTTCGAATCTCTCGTCAATACTGGAACACTTGATAAGCTATTAAGCGAAGGTATGATCCCCGCTATTCCTTAATAAGATTCGTTTTTATAGGAAAAGAAATCATTTTTGTGTCAAATATCGATAATACAGGGGCTACATTGAATCTTTCAATTGCTCAATTTATGATTGACCATGATTTGGATTACATAATGGAATGTACGAAAAAAACATCCAATGATATCAAGGTGATTTTTAAATGCTATATATATAGGTGCTCTATGTGTTTTTTAGGGTGGAACTTTAATTGAAATTAATGGTCAATTAATGCATTTGGAAATGCCACAGGTTCCGCCTGAGAATCTTGACGATTTTTGTTCCACACGAGTATTTAAGTATGAGTCAAAAACATGTCATTTAAACCTAAAGCATATAATTAAATTGCAGAATTTTTAATACGAATAATATTTGGGTGAATTTGAAGGCAGTCAAACAACGCATGCCAGGCATTAAAAGCGAAATTATCGTTAATCACAAGGTACGAAATATAGATAAGTGCATATAAACGTGGAGGGAATTGTTTAGAAGGTTCGCGGAAAGGATGTTATACAACTGGAAACATCAATTGGGGGTTGCATCAAAAATTTCAGAAAAGCTTACTGTATGTTCGTTCATTAATGCAATTTATATCTGTTTTTATTCTTTTCAAGGTATGCATGTCGACAGGGAACGCTTTAGACCAGTTAAAAGAGTCGAAGATTTAGTTGTTATGTCTTCGAACTTGTTTAAAGTGAACGATGATCATACATTGCAATTACGTGGGCATCATATCCCAGCGATTAATCTCGGAGTGTTTTACTCAAAGGTTTTTGTATTATTATTATGTGTATATATTGCGTGACAATTTGTGTTTGATATTTTAGATTGATCTCAAAGAATCTCGAATGCCCCACATTCCTGATCTTCTTGAGGCTAATTCGTTCACTGTTATCGGCGATGTTTCGTTCGGGAAAAATGTCAAGATCAAGGTAACGATTAAAAAAATCGGGGTGTTTCTTACTAATAAGATATTTATTGCAGGGGGATGTGGTTGTTGAAAACACTAAATCGCAACAAGTTAAAATTGAAGATAATACAATACTGAACAATGAGAGGAAGGTTTTTGCATAATTGTTATGGGTTAAAATATTTTACTTACATTTGACGTTGAATGCAATTTAAGTTATGTGATTTGGGGAAAAAACTAAAAATAAAGTTTTGATAATTACGTCAATACTAAAGACGAATATCATAATGCGGCGGTATCCTTGCAACGAGTTGATAATCAAAGTACAACGCACCATTAACCATCGTGACGGTTCTTCCTTCGGCCTGAACAAAAATGAATGAAATTGTGCCGAGAGTCACGTTGCATGTAAACCTTGGCCTTTCTTATCTGCGATTGAATTGCTGCGGGATCCGGTGTAGGTGCAGCTCCAACAAGAGCTCCTGCTTGTTGCATCATCATAGCAACTCCCATACCAACACCCATCGAACTATAAACCGTATGTTTGGTTGTTTGTCACCATTCGACATTCCTTTCATATTCAACACGTCTTTCACATCATGTTGGACATAAGGCACTGCATGCACGTTATGCTAGCCAATCGTTTTTACGAGCTTATCAATCAAAGTGCCGCAAAAACGCAAATTAAAAACTACGTTTATGTTATTGGTTTTACATGTTTTTGATAGAAATAAATTCATGATTTCAATTTTTTGTAAAAGGTTTCTTTTGAATAAGCCAACTTTTTAAAACATTAGAGTTGACATGCGTGTCAATTTTTTTTGTCATAATTATGATATTTGGGCTTCAACATTGTAATACATGAACGCAATAATATATCATGCTCTCACACTTGTCACGTTGATAAAATAACAGAAATTTGATTTTGAAACATCAGAAACCGATATCTTGTTGAAGTAATATTTTACTTCACGTTTTTTCTAAGCATTACTCTTTCCTTCAGAATATGGAAGAAATATTCATAAATAATTTGATCATCGTTAATTTGAAATGAAACAACTAAGAAATGCTTTTTATCAATGCATTTTAATTCTACTTTACTCGATTGTGTCGGACAACGTGCATACATAACAGGAATGTCAAAACTAACGATTGCCTTCTTTTCCGCGCATCATTTACGTTGAGCATATGATTCGGGTTGAGATATTGATTCGCTTGGGAATCCTGCTCCGACGAAATGCAGCAGCCCATTTATACCATTATTATTATTACCTTGTCGCAAAAGAAAATCTAAAAAATAATTGTATTTTATTTTTTGAGAACGCGTAGGACTCGAAAAAACGATTGCTTAAAATGCACCTAATGCTGAATAAAATATAAAGTGACACGATATTTGGGTCTATATGATTTTTAAGATTAAGTAGAACAAGAAGCGACTATGGATTTTATAGTAAGGAATAAAAATAGGCAGTGTATATCAAATTTCAGCAAAGAACAGGAGTCAAAACAAATACTACGAGGAATATGAACTTCTTGAGAAACACATCAACAACAGTTTTGTTCGAAAAAGACACACATTTTTTTCTTCCGAAACGAACATTTCCATTTCTGTTTGGTAAAGAACAAAAAGAATCCAGAGATTTGCATGTGAAGGGGTTTGATCTGAAAACAAGGGCGAACAAAGCAATTAATGTTGTTCATCTGTAAAAAAAAAAGAATGAGAAATTTATGGGAATAACAAAATGGAACATACATATTCTTCATGGAAAAAAGAAGTCAACCTGAATGTCAAAAAAGGAGGAAAAAGACGCGGTAGATGAAGAGCTGAAGGCAACTAGGACAATAGATTGAATTGAAGAAGTTAGATTTGATTTCGTCGTGGCGGGCATCGACGATGGAGAAATACGAGACTCTTTTCGGAAAAAATCTTTCATCACCTTAGCTTAACACATCAACTTTCTTAAGATGCAAATTCACGATTCTATTTTTTTCCAATGGATAAACTCCAGAATGTTGCTTTCAACGAAAATGCGGAAAAAATATGGGCGAGATTTTATTGAATGCAAATTGGAAAAACACCAAAAGCTACTATGAATATTTGCATTTGGAAAAAGAATCATGAATTATAGAGATATTTTCGAACGGGCATTCTTACTGCTAAGAAAAAAAATATTACGAGTGAATTAAAACATCAAATATCGTAAATCATCACAAATTAATAAATAACAGTTCCAATTATGTATATTGGTATAAATAGTAGAATCAATTTCAATGAAAATATTGCAGAACTCTTATTGAAATAAGACCGGGGTTTTTCTCGAGGAGAACATTTTTATGAGAATTTCTGAAAGTTGTACGAAATTAATCATAATTATTGCTTGAAAAAACTAGGTTATAATTCAGACTATTTATTATTTTTCGTGAATAAATCAGTTTTTTAAATGAAGCTAAAACAAATATCTTTGAAAAATGATGCCAACGAATTTCGCTAAAAATGCAAATACACTTTATTCAATTAAAAGGAATAAGTCCATTTTCAACCTTGTGCAAACAAATTGTTCGTTTTTCACCCCGCATAATAAACATATCCAATTTCAGTAGTTCAAGGTAAGAAAATACAAATCTTTCTACGATATGATATTATCAGCATTCTATTATCATTGTCATCATCATCACTTCCATCGTCATTATTATCAAGATCGACGGAAACAAATTGTCATCATTGCTTCAATTAAAATTTTTTATTTGTCATCACACCTGAGAAATCAAATACTGAAGAGTTCAGAACACTTTGTTTGGCTGTTATCAAAAATAAATAAAATTATCTTTGTAGACTACAATGTAAAATCGATATTTTGCTCCCTCCCTAAAAAAAGGAATAAAGTGATGAAAACCTGGATGATTGGATTAGATTATAATGGAAAAGTTTAGATTATTTTCAACATATGAAAAATAGATGAGAACTTAAAGCTGTCGGGCTGGTTTTTTCGAAAATAAAGTGTCCAATGCACTAATAAATGGAAATTGTCTACATTTCCAGTCGGCCAGGCGGGTAAATGTGTCGCTTTTTGAGAAATTGGAAAACGGCAGCGCTCGAATCTAATTCCGAATGCGGGTCTGCTCTACAAGACAAGTTGCATCTTGCTGAGAGCCAAAATTGACAACAAAAGATCATTTCTGAAACGGCAACTTGCTCATCTTGCTCGAAAGTTTAATTAGGTTGGCTTAAGTTAGAACAATGCAAATCGATTTTTGCAGCTTGCTGAAAGAAAATGAAATTCTGAATTGCTTCAAGGGATGTTCAAAATTTGAGAAAAATTGAATTGCCAAGTTACAGCTTTTTCCAACTATATGGAAAATTGCAGATTGAGTTATGAGCGCATTTCGTTTGAAATCTGACTCCCATAATTACCAGATTTAAATTTAAAATTTCTCGTATTTCTATTATTCTCTAAATGTTGCATATGAAGTTTTACAAACTAGCCCTTAATCGACTTCAAAATCAGCGTTTGTTTTTGCTGTAGAACATTTTTCAAATGACATTGATCACAATCTTAATGAGTCTTTTAAATTGACGCGCAATTCATACGTGGCGAAGTTTTCATATTGACAATCTGGTGTCGAGCTGTACAAATAAATCTAGTTTAATTTATTGCGCGTCGATTTGTGTCTTTTGTGAACGCGTATTCAACTGCACACAGAAATATGATCGTGTGCGTATGTTCGATGACCTGGCATATTCGATCTACAACCTAACGCGCCAAAACCAAACTACGAAACTGCAAATGTTGTGATGATTTGGAGTGTTTGATGTCAATGTGGTCCGTTGATTTGATCCTCAAGTCATTCTCTCATTTTTTCCTCCTCGGGAGTGGTTGATCACTTCTCGTCTATTCAGGGACCTCACCGCGTCTTCGCGTCATTACGCCGGCGGTACTCTTCGAATGCGTTCCATATCGTATCGCATGTTCGCTCAATATATTCTGATTAATCTGTATTCACACTGTTCTTTCTCCGTCAGGCGATTCTTCAATTGTCACGTAGGCGTTATGTTGTTTTTCATAGAATAAACCGCATAACTGCTTACAACCATTCGGTTTCGGCCATGACCTCAATTTGCTCTGACGCGGCGATTACATTCGCACATTTTTCGTCGCTCATGCGCCGCGTTCCATTGATTTTTTTCTCGCAACGTTTTTGTCCTTATCACATCGGCGCAATATCCTAGTTTTTCGCAATGTTCGCAGAAAATGCTTCACGTGATTTGCACGTTTTTAAGTTCAAAATTTGATCCAGTTTGAATCTAGAATAATATTTCTCATCATTTTTCGAGTAAGTCCACGCCCCAATATAAATAGGTCATTGTGTGATGGGTTAGATCGTCGCCACTATTCTATTAATTGAAGACTTCACAACAAAAGCCACGTTTTTTTGCCGACTTTGCCGTTTCGTTGATAACACAAAGGGAGGGGTGAGCCAAATAAGGTGATTTCTCTCAAGGGTAATCAGACCATTTTAACATTGGTATAAAACAACACTCCCGAATCAGTTCTTTCGAAAGTTTACGCCTTGCGCGTGGGCACAAATGTGAATATTCAATTGGCGCAAAAAATGCTGCGAAGACGTCACATTTTCTTTTCTTTCTTTTCAAAGCTTTTTTCGGAAGCGTGGCTCATCTTTCCTTTCTTGGTGTTTTGGATATACGTTCCCATGTGGTTTTTCACTTTTTTTTTCGCAAACAACCTCAAAATGCACTTTGTAATTCAACAATTTTCGGGCAAAATACCTTCAATCAAAGTTTTTTTGTCAAATTTCGAACGTCTTATATATGCGAGAAACTCGTTTCTTTTGACATTGAGCAAGAAATACTGCCAAAAAACACGTTGTTTACACTTATTCTTTGCTGTCTGTGTCTAAGCGTTCTCTTTTGAGGATTTCATAATATTTTTCACGACTCGTGTGCAAATTTTCAATATTTCAGGTAAAGAAAATGTCTGCTAAAGCTGTTAGCGAACTCAGTGGAAAAGAAGTAAGTTGGACATTGGAAGAAATCTCATCACATTGCATTTTTTTTCAGATTCTTTACAAGTTCTTTGAACCGACCGGCTTGTTGAATGCGCCGCACGCATTCCACGTAAAGGCCGGAGATGATTTCCATGCTGTTGCTTCTAAGTTCGATTGGTTGACCAGAGATCAAAAAGGAGTCATCAAGCCAGACCAGCTCATCAAGAGGCGTGGAAAACTCGGGCTTGTTAAGATTGGATCGCCGAATGAGCTTAATGCTTGGTTCAATGAACGGGCCAATTCGCTTGTGAAGGTAATTAATACATGAAAACCACTGAAACTCTTTTATTATGGTCAGGTTGGACAAACCGAAGGAAGAATTCACACCTTCATTGTTGAACCGTTCTGTGCACATGAAGAAAAAGATGAGATGTACATCGCGATATTCAGTCAGCGTGATGGGGACATCATTATGTTCTACGAGCACGGAGGAGTCGACATTGGTGACGTCGAAGAGAAGGCCAGAAGTGTCTTTGTTCCTGTTCATCTTGACAACGCCCTCATGGCTCCAACTGATGATAGCTTGAATGTTCTTCTTGGCGATATCCCGAATTTGGCAGCTGTGAAAGTTTTCATTGCCGAGCTCTACAAAGCCTATAAGGAGCTTCACTTCACGTACCTGGAAATCAATCCATTTGGTAATTTATACCTTGATACTTTGAAATATTGTTTCGTTTTTCAGTTTTCAAAGACCATAAGATCCATATCCTTGATTTGGCGGCCAAGTTGGATGAGACCGCCAACTTCCTGTGCGCTGATAAATGGCGTGGACGATTGACCTCACAAGGCGCGATGCATGTCGAATTTCCAGCTCCATTTGGACGCGATCTCACTGAGGAGGAGCAGTATATTTCAGAAATGGACGCAAAAACTGGTGCATCGCTAAAGCTCACTATTTTGAATCGAAAGGGACGTGTCTGGACGATGGTTGCTGGTGGAGGAGCTTCCGTTGTTTTCACGGATACTGTATGCGACTTAGGAGGTGCTTCTGAGCTGGCCAACTATGGTGAATATTCTGGTGATCCGTCGGAGTCGCAGACTTACGAATATGCAAAAACGATTCTCTCTGTCATGACTGAGGGTGAGCCGCATCCCAAGGGAAAAGTTCTCATCATTGGCGGTTCCATTGCTAATTTCACCAACGTTGCAAAGACATTTGGAGTAAGTAAATATTTTTCATTTTCATATTTTCATTTTAAATTAACAGGGAATTGTTCGCGCATTCGAAACGTTTGTTGGAAAGTTGAAAGAGCATAATGTCACAATTTATGTCCGTCGTGGAGGACCCAATTATCAGGAAGGACTCCGCCGCATCAAAGACGCTGCAACGAAGCTTGAAATTCCAATTCATGTGTTCGGTCCAGAGACACATATGACATCAATTGTTGGAGCAGCTCTTGGAGTTCGTCCTCTTCCAACTGTTCCAACTGCTCCACAGACTACTGGACAGTTCTTGTTAAGCCCAGAGAGAAACGTAAACAAAAACACAGGATAACTTCATAATATTTAATTTTAGACTGGAGGTACTGAACGACCACCAGCCTCACCTGTTGCACCGACAAATTCCGCTACAACCGAACCGACGAAGGCCACTTTTGCATTTCGTGGACTCTTTGAAAACGATACAAAGGCCATCATTTGGGGACAACAAGCAAAGGCTATTCAAGGAATGCTCGATTTTGACTATGTTTGCCGCCGAAGCTCGCCTTCCGTTGTCGCATCGACTTATCCCTTCACCGGAGACAACAAGCAAAAGTATTATTTCGGTCAAAAAGAAATTCTCATTCCGGCATACAAGTCAATGGCAAAGGCGTTCGCTACCCATCCGGAAGCATCCGTTATGGTCACATTCGCATCAATGAGATCGGTTTACGAAACTGTTCTCGAGGCCCTGGAATTCCCGCAAATCAAAGTCATTGCTATTATCGCTGAAGGTGTTCCAGAAAACCAAACCAGAAAGCTGTTGAAGGTTAAAAAAATATTCTTGTTTATTCTATCTAATTCAAATTTCAGGTTGCTCACGATCGTGGAGTTACCCTCATTGGTCCAGCCACTGTTGGAGGAATCAAACCGGGATGCTTTAAAATTGGTAACACCGGAGGAATGATGGACAACATTCTCGCTTCGAAGCTTTATCGCCCAGGAAGCGTGGCCTACGTCTCTCGTTCTGGTGGAATGTCCAACGAGCTCAACAACATCATTTCCCAAAATACCAATGGAGTATTCGAAGGAGTTGCTATTGGTGGTGATCGCTATCCTGGAAGCACATATACGGATCATGTGTTGAGATATCAATGTGATGAAAGGTACGCGTTAATGTTTTCCGTTTCATCGAAATTGAAATTTAGAGTGAAAATGATCGTGCTTCTTGGGGAAGTCGGAGGAGTTGAAGAATATAAAATCGTTGAACTCTTGAAGCAAAAGAAGATTACCAAACCTCTCATTGCTTGGTGCATCGGAACTTGTGCTGACCATATTACCTCCGAGGTGCAGTTCGGACATGCCGGTGCTTCTGCCAATGGACAAGGAGAAACCGCTGCATGCAAGAACGAGGCTTTGAAGAAGGCTGGAGCCTTGGTTCCTGATTCGTTTGACGATCTAGGAAATAAGATTCGTGCAACTTACGAGAAGCTTGTAGAGGAAAATGTCATTGTTCCTCAGCCTGAGATTCCACCCCCAGCGGTTCCAATGGATTATGCCTGGGCTCGTGAACTTGGACTTATTCGCAAGCCAGCTTCCTTCATGACTTCCATTTGCGACGAGCGTGGCGAGGAGCTCAACTATGCTGGTGTACCAATCACAAAGATTCTCGAATCCGATATGGGAATTGGCGGTGTTCTCGGACTTCTTTGGTTCCAGGTTAACAAACAATGTGAATTGCTAAATTAATGTTCTCGTTTTAGAAACGTCTCCCACCATATGCTAACCGATTCATTGAGGTGTGCCTCATGCTCACAGCTGACCACGGGCCGGCTGTTTCTGGTGCACACAACACGATCGTTTGTGCCCGTGCTGGAAAAGACTTAATTTCTTCTCTCACTTCTGGTCTCTTGACTATTGGCGATCGCTTTGGTGGAGCTCTTGATGGAGCTGCACGTCAATTCTCAGAAGCCGTCGACAAGGGATGGTCTCCAATGCAATTCGTAAATGAGATGCGCAAGAAGGGCAAGCATATCATGGGAATTGGACATCGCGTCAAAAGCGTATGTCGCCATTAGTTAATAATGAAGTTCCTTGACATTTTCAGATCAACAACCCCGACAAGCGTGTTCAGATCTTGAAGAAGTTTGCTCTCGACAGAAACGAGTTCACCCAGGAAACTCCACTACTCGAATACGCTCTTGAGGTCGAGAAGATTACGACCGCCAAAAAGCCAAACCTCATCTTGAATGTTGATGGCGCCATTGGAGTAATTTTCGTGGATATTCTTCGCCAAAGTGGAATGTTCACCACTGCTGAAGCTCAGGAAACCATTGAAATTGGTGCATTGAACGGACTCTTCGTTCTCGGTCGCAGCATTGGATTCATTGGTCACTATCTTGATCAGTCGCGCCTTAAACAAGGGCTATATCGTCACCCATGGGACGACATCTCCTACATCATGCCAGAAAGCAACTTGGTAATATTTTTCCAACAAATTTAATATAATTTCCCTGTTTTGCAGTAAATGGCAGTCAACGACCAAACCGCGCAATCATAATTCACCGCATTCAACTGCACCACACATTCCCCCATACTAATTTCCTCTATAAATACTGCATATAATTTTAGTCCCCTCTCCCCCACCATCCAAGTAGTTAATTGTAGGAGAATTGCACAGCTTTAATAGTGTAAATGAAATAAAGTATTCATGTAAATTGGCTGTTACTTCATTTTGAATGCTTCCTTGTTTTTCTTGACTGATAGATACATCGAAATAACAATAATGAGCGAAAACGTCTCTCAACCATTAAGAATAATTTAATTGGTTCAGTTTCAATGTTCTTTATTAGTACTGCCGTCAAAAAATGGACACGACTTCCAATATGTTTCATTCGCGCTTTGCACTTAATACGGAAGCTCAAGGCTCAAACTCCCAGATTTGCAAATCCTGCTATTAGAAGCTTTTAACATGATTTTTCTGTACTATTTACTATTTCAGAAAACAGCGGAGTTGAAAAAAATGTCGAAAGCCCCGTATTTCCGCGAATCTGCTCCGCCCCGGCAAAATATCGAAGATTCAGTAAAACAATCCTCTAACCGCAGTGCCGCTAATCCGAGAATTCCATTCGTGAAGATGAATGGAATTCTCGGATTATCTTTAGATAACTATACGGAATTTAACAGTATGCTCTAGAATGAGTCACTGCGTGTTTTTTAATATAGCATTCCTCAAACCAGCATACTGAATATCGAAGAAGTCAGAAAATGGAAAACATACATCTAAAAATAAAGAAAAAGAAAAACTTCATGGGGTGGTTACTAGCATTCGCATCACCAAACTGTTCCGGGAATATGTGCCAAAACACGCAAGACCGAACAAATAATCGTTGATATCTATGAGGTACTAATAGCTTTTCTGGATCAACAAGTACTCTAAAAAGAAGCTGTCACATGACAACGAATAGAAGGATTCATTCTAGTCTAAAACCCTTAGTCCACATTGGCTCGAGACATTTGAAATTTTTTGATTTTTCATTGTCGAAAATAAGTTATCATTTCAGCGTTTTTTGTTTGGACGTGGACTGGTTTTTTTCGCAGCCTCTAATTACAAGAGCGCTCCATGGAGAATGTTACTAACAAGATAAATTAATAAGAGTTACATAAGAAGTAATGTTGATCGAAAAAATTATGGTCGTTTTTTCCTTTAAATATGCGTTTTCACTTTCGAATATCAATTAATTATTTTAAACCGATTTTTAGAATTAACGGATAAAGTGTAACCAGATAAAATTATTTTTTTTGGAAAATGAATTTATTAAAAAAAAACCATTGTTTAAAATTGCTGCCAAAGATTCTATTTTTCTCAAAAGTTTACTTATCGTCCGTTGTCGATCATCACACAAAGATCATACATTCCTATAGTGTACGCAGTGATCGAACTTTCTCACCCCACACTGAGTTCCATTGTCTGCGTCGCGCTATCTCGTGAACCTTTTGCTTCTTTTCGCCATTCTCTCCATTTCATTTGTATCTTCAGGTGGCTAAAAATGTCTTCGCTTTTAGTAGGACGGCTAGCTGTTGTTACAGGTTTGTTTACTAATTTCATTGTATTAATTTTTTTTATTAAAGGAGGAGGATCCGGAATTGGCAAATCGATTTGTCAAACACTTGCCGCCAATGGTGCTCGAGTAATTGTTTCGGATTTGAATGAAAAGTCTGCAAAAGAATCCCTTGCGACTTTGAGAGGTACTCTATCATTTATTTATAAATATTTAAGACTAGTTTTAATAAAAAGCTATCACAAATCATATTGCTAATGAACCAAAATTGTTTTGCAAGCTCTGCGCGTTACTCATAGTCTAATAAACAAATTAATAACGGTCAAACATCCGTGCTGGCTCGCGCAAGGAAATTTTTCTCGACACAAAACCAGGAACTTAATTTTGATAGAAAAAAAAACATTCAAAAAAGAGTTAGTTGAAACCATATATGAAAAAAATGACACGAGGAGATTCTAGAAGCGCGTTAACCTGTTGTATATATGACAAACTACAGTGGCAATTTCACCTTTAAATTAGATATTAAAGTGAATATTTACAACCTTTATTTTCAGCCGGACGAAATCAAATTAAAGCTGATTTCATAACCTTATTTTAATTTTTTTCAGGTGATGGTCATCAAGCTGTGGTTTGCGATGTTTCTGAGGTGAAATATAAGTCTATTCAGAAGTTAAATTTTTTTTTAGCCAGACAGTGTAAAGACACTTTATGAAAGTGCCATCAAAGTAGGAAATCCTTCAGTTCTGGTCAATTGTGCAGGAATTACTCAGGTAGCGCAAGATACCATATATTAAAAAAAAATTATAACAGGATTCAACTCTATTGAAAATGACACCCAACAAATGGGACAGCGTAATTAAAGTCAATCTGAACAGTATTTTTCACGTACGTAATTGGATTCCCAAGAGTTTTTTATCATACTTTTTGAGGTATCGCAAGCGTTTGCTCGTCATTCAGTTACAGAACAATCTCCCTTATCCATCATTAACATATCATCAATTGTTGGCAAAGTATCTTTTGTTTCACATTGATCCAACATGGCAGACATTTTGCAGACGGGAAACTTTGGACAAACTAACTATGCAGCGACCAAAGCAGGTGTTATTGGGTTTACAAAATCAGCTGCTAAGGAACTTGCCAAAAAAGTATGTATTTATAATATTGGGAATTCTTTAACAAAGACCTGTAAAGACATATATGAATTCAAAACATACAATTTTTGAGCCGATTTGCCTTGTATATATAAGGCATATATGTTTAAGCAATAGTCGGTGATCGCCAATTGCACCATGATTAAACATCATTTTTTTCTTAATATTCTATTATGTTTTCCCAGAATATACGAGTTAACGCAATTTTGCCTGGATTCATCAAAACTCCAATGACAGAAGCTATGCCGCCGAATGTAATTTTTTTTAAAGTTTGGCATGTCGTGTTTTAATTAATTTCAGGTTTTGGCCAACATTTGTGCTGGAATCCCAATGGGCCGTATGGGAGAAACTGAAGAAATCGCAAACTCGGTGCTTTTCTTAGCATCTGATCTTTCATCATATGTTACTGGAATTACTCTTGAAGTTACTGGTGGATACAATATGTAAATTAAAATACATTTTCGATAGGATTAATTCTGTTAATTAGTTTTTGTTCAAGTGTTTATTTTTACTTCAAAATAAATGGTAACATAGAATCAACGGTAATACAATGAATGAAATAATACTAAATAAAAAACATGTCTTAAAGAAATTAAGGGACATGAAAAACCAATTGAAGGGTATATATGTATATATTTAAGAAAATGTTAAGTTAGAGGTCGGAAAATCCAAGTTGATTATGGGAGGAAGTTGATTCGAATAATAATAATAATAATAATAATAATACATAAATTAATAGAATAAATACCGTTACAAGGAATAGAAAAGGGTAGCAAGCAGTTGGAAAGATACAAATAAATTAGTCGAGACTGATGTCATGGACGGAAATCGCACAGTCGTCATTGTCGCTTTTTTTGTCAACGTACTCCTTAACTAAGGTATCGCCGCTGTGACACGGAATAGCGTTTTTCTTGATTGCTTCCTGAAAAAATTGTCAATTCATGGTTTTCAAAGTTCATTAAACCGCCGCCAAGCTTTCGTTCCATCCCTTAACAAAGCGACGTCTCAATACGTCCAAGATCTGTTTCCAAACAGTGTGAACCTTCTCATACTCATTGATCGTAAATTGACCCTTCTTACGGTGAAATGACAAAAAATCAGTGAGGAACTAGAACAAATTGCATTCAACTGTAGAGCAATACACAACACCTTTGGAAGCATCTCGAAGAATGCCATGTAGTTCTCCAAAGTGAGAAATGGAGTGATAGCACGATGCTCCTTTCCCAATTCCTCCCACATCTTTAGCACTTCAGTTATGCTGCCCATAGTAAAGTCACCCGAATAGGCCTCGAGTCCTTTAAGAAGATTCTAAAAACAATTTGAGAGCTGAACATGAAATTGAAAGAATACCCGATTCATTTTTAGAAAGACACCTTTCATGCGCTCGGTGTTGGCAAAGGACTCAATGTTGTCGCTGTTGATGAAATGTTTCTTCGCATTTGGACGAATCAAGAAGAATTTGTTAAATGCGGATCTCGCCATGATGAACAAACTGAAATCTTTTGTTTTTCCTAAACAAAAGGACCATTTTGTTTACACTTCGTAGTCTGATGGCCAGTTGGCAAGAGTGAATTTGACATCCTCCAACGGAGCCACGATCATATCCTTCTTAACGTGTGCCTTTAATAATATCTAACCTGTTCATAAGACTCACCTGAGCCGCAGAGCGCTTTGACTTAAAGTTGGAGAAAGATTGCATAGTGGAAGAGCTGAAATGGTAAGTTTGAAAACAAAATGAGAACGACAAAATGAGAACGTAATCGGATGGCATGGCAACAGAATGTCAGATTGTTCGGAGGGGTGAGGTGGGGCGGGGCTTAGCTGAAGGCAGAAAATGAAGCGAAGCGACATATTCATATCATTCGTCGTCAATTATTAATATAAATATGTAATTATATAAAAATGAATGCGTTTTTGGAAACTCACTAAGAGATTTTCAATTTGCAATTCGAGGAAATTGATCAGTATTAAATTGGAGATCCAGAAATTCAAACAATACTAGAATCTGCTTATTTTTCAAGCCGTTTTTATTCATCATGTGTGACGCAACTCGACTACCAAAACGGATATTACTCTTCGATAAAGATTGAGACCGCTATTGATTTCACAAAAAAATGTTTTGTGCACTTTAAACCACAAAATGAATACCCATATTTAGCCATTTTCAATTAAATAAAAACCTGATGAAATGAGTCAAAAAGGCCCAAATGTACACAATGTCAGAATCAAGGCAAAGATTTCATCATGTCTGTCATACGTCGTTACATGGAAGCTGAGAACATGACGAAAGCGAATTTGAAATAAATCGCACACTAGTCTTAAGCTTTTTTTTTTTAAATAAGATTTCCAAAAACGTAGATATTTAAAACTTTCTCCTATGCTACGCTTTATTTTAAAGAATTTATTAGTATAATTGGTTTTAATATATAGGCATGAAAGGCAACTGTTATAAAAATAGTAATAACATGTGAAGATAAAAATGCGAATCTAGCAAAACATATAAAGCGTAAAAAGAGCGAGAATAATGATATTTAAAAAGAAATCGAAAATATGCGAATTGTTACATTCGTCATCTTTGCAGCAGCAAATCGTCTCGCCGTTGTCGCGCTTTTCGCAAGTTTCCTTCTGAAAATCGAAAACTTATCAATTGCAGACAACCAGCCGCATTATCAGAATGAACTAAAATCGCAGATGAAAATTACCCGGCATTCTCCAAAATCGCAGCTGTATTGGGCCCCCTCATAATGTTTCCTTCCAACATGTCCCCGAGATGGAAGCCTGAAAGTAGAAGGACTTACTTCAAAAAAAAATTGAGTTCTCCACCAATTTTGTTTCCCCCCAAACTTTCAAACTATTTGATGATTACCAAATATACGTCGTTTGAACAAAACCGTAACCAATTTGTTGCAATACTCTTTGTTTCTCAGTTTGTTAAGCAAAATTTTCAAAGTTGCAAAAAAATTGCCTAATTAGAGAAATGAAACGAATGCAAATATGTTAATTCCCATTCTATGTTCTTTTTTGTGCCCACGTCTTCTGTTTCAATTTCAAATTTATGAAGCTCATTATTTTGAATCTCGATTACCGGAAAACCGGAGACACAGATTTGCGCATGTGATTGATAAGATTTACTCGAACAATGGTCTCTGGTAGCTTGTAAAATTTGAATCTGCAGTACTAAGAAAACCTCACAAAACTTTTGGTACACTTGACCCGACTGATAGTTGTTTTCGACGTGAGAGGAAAGGGATGTAGACCAACAAACTTTTTAGTGGTGGTGGTCCCCCAAACATGGTCGTCGACATGAATAAATAAACTTAATCCGCATGTTTTGCTCTTAATCTCATGTCGTTTAAAATAATTTGCTAAAGGGCTCAACCACTGTAATTCCCGCATATTTGTTCGACGAAAAAGGCATTTACTTTACGCAAAAATCGGTCCCGTTGCAGTCAACAATCTCGATTTGACCGATGGAATCTCCATTCACTGATCCTTGCATGCCTGCAAATCATAATACACTTTTTGAGATATTGGTATTTTGATAATTAAATTATATATATATATATATATATATATATATATATATATATATATATATATATATATATATATATATATATATATATATATATATATATTAATATAAATATTAATATAAATATGTATTGTCTAAAACACATACAAATCCGATATTACTATTATACCCATGGATGGCCTTCTAGCAATAAACACTTCATTTCCGAAGATAACATAGCCATAAAATTAATTTTGTTAAATCGGAAATTGGATCCATGACATAATAGAAACTATATTCGTCATGATTATTTCCGATGTTTTCATCATCCAATATTCACAAAAGTATTCAAAGATAAAATATCGCTTCTCGCTGGACAAAAACGTCATATCAATTTCCAATATTATATTTGCTCAAGATGCGCTATTTCGCGCATAGGAATATAATGTATCGCAAGAGCATACATACAAATTCGAACGTTTTCTTTCAATATTTTATATTTTTTCTGGAACGGCTTTTCAAACAAGCACGTTATTTTTTACGAGTCTTGGTTTCTTAAAAAAATTATGTCTCAAATATACATTGCAGTGATATTTTAAAAAATCAGAAAAATTTTAACGGAAATAAGTCTTCAAATAACGAATGAAACTTTCTACAAGTGTTCAAAATTTCTTTCGTCAAAACGTCGAAGAGGTTTTTGGGAAAATTTGAACCTCGAAATTGGAATTTTCATGTTCCGAGAGCTAAAATTAGTCGTATCACCCTAACGAAACAAAATCAAAACTAGATACTATTTCTATATTTTAAAATAGTAATGACATTAGGAATGATCACGAATGGCTATAATTGAATTTTTAAAATTTTGGGAACCTACCGCTATAGCAACGAACGGCTGCCACGCTTCCAATAATGCTAATTGTGAGAAAAACTCGAAACCACATGGGTACTGAGTGTGAAAATGAGCCGCGGACACAATAGCAGATGTGGTGGGACCGGTAACCGAATGCCTTTCGGAGTGTGGGTAGTCAGAAAGCTCTTCTCAAATGTTTGTGTTTGCGATACTTTGCCGATGTCGTTCGTCCGACTGCCCCTTGTCCACATCGGTCTTTCTTACCATCGTGAGAGAGAGAAAGAGACCTCACTGTTGGAAATATGAGCAAACAGTATTCTTGCGCTCAGCCCATTGTAAGAAGTCCACTTGATTATGCGATTATTGTCACCGCACTGACTTTTAAAGACCGTGCCGCGTTTTGTATGAAAACTGTGAACAATAAGCCGCATTGTTTATTTCTAGCAAAGCAGGATATCAGTATATTTGTGAATAGAAAAGAAGCAAAAAGCAGAAAATAGAAGAGTTAATTAGCAGGCCTTCTTGATGATGTTGAAGCAGTCATTGTGAATGAGCCAAACTCCATCAACCTAAAAACAATACTTGCTCAGTAAACGTCAAATATAGAAACCTTTTTCCAAACTTGCAAATAAGCCCCGCTTTCGCGTCCCTTGGTTCCATCCAAATGATAACTTCCGCGTTCGAAAGCCCAGTCTCCGCCACCATTCACTTCTTCAGTAATGATCTAGAAAGTCGCTATGTTGTAAATCATTAAAACGCGGAATCTTACCTGAGCAGTCTGGACTCCATCAACCATATCCTCTTTAAAGTAAGCCTCAATTCCTAAAATCATCAATAATTCCAAAGTATTTGATGCGAATTTTGAACCTGAACGTCCTTTAACTGGATTACGTCCATTTGGCATGAAATAACCATCAGGATCATAGACGGAAGCAGCGCCAGCGGCATCTCCAGCATTGAAAGCCTTCATAAAATCCTGTTGACGTCCTTTGATTTCTTGGAATAAAGCTTCAAATAAAATAGAGTTATCTATTTGCTGAGATTTAAATGCCATATTCATTTTTTATTTCTCTCATTTTTTTTAGTTAAATTGAACTCACTTGAGTTAAATGTTTCTAATGAATCAGGAAGGAATTGAAGATTCGAAAAAAAGTTCATAGTTAACGAGGAACTTTTTGCAGTGACTTTATTTATAGAAATATAGAGGAATTTAACTAGACGAAACTCGCACTAAGTGTTTGAACGTATAATATCCAATAACTTGCCAAAAATGGCCTATTTAAAAAGCTTGAAAAACTTTCGCACACTTTGATTTCATTGGCTTTTTGGTTTTATTTATGACGCAATTTGCCAAACGATCCTTTCAAAGAAAGTGTCTCAGCATTGAAGACTCCATGAATCGAAATATTCTTGATTTCAAATGTAACTAGTTAGTTTGATCTTAAACAGTTTGACACCGGTTTAATTATATTTCTGGTTATTCCAGACGAAAATAATTATAAAAACATTACCGTTATTAACACAGCTTAAATGTGAATTGGCTAAAGGAATGTGACGAAAATAATTCATAATGTTAGAAAACTAGAACAATTTTGAAGATGACGTTGATATCGAAGAGAGTAGAATCGAAAACGTTTTGAATCAACTCGAATATGTTTATTATTGGCCAGTAGAAGCACTGACACTTCAGACTCACCACTCATATCTGCCGATGACAGCTTTTCGCAATTCGCAGTAATGTGGAAATACAACGTCCAAGTGACGAATGTCGGTTTACGTAATCCTCGCAGCATTTTTATACGGCTCCGCGTAAACGGAGGAAGCCATTATATGTGTCATTACAGGTAGTTTTGCATATATCGGTGCTGCAATCGGAAACACAAAAACGGCGTAATTGCACTATATTGCAATCAAAAATGCTATTCATCACTCAAAAATAACGTAAACGGAAATGCAAACGACAATTATGCGATCAAATATTGTTCTATTTATGTGCCATAAAGGAAAGTACATGCTTTTCTAGAAATTACTTGTCATGTTAACGGAAACTGTTTATGCATATAATCAAAGCACAAATATTAACTGTTTCTCAACTGTTATTCATAAACTTGTAGTTTTTAGTTAGCAAAAATCTGATGAACAGTCGAACACGATTATGAAAAACACCTGAACCCTATTTTTGTTGGTTTAATAATAACTAGATGGCACACACAGTCAACAAATTGCTCAGACTGTGGTAAAATGTTAAAGAAAACACAAACATTTGATGGCATTTTGCTTCATTTCGTTAGCTTGTTTTACATTTTTATAAATTACTCGTGCCATTATATTTACTATTCCCACATATTCAAATCGCATGACATTCCGCTTACAAGTTAGTATCGAGTATGACGAGTCGTATAACTGAAGTCATTCAGAAGAATGGTGTAGAGACTACTAATTTTGAACTGTTTTATATGTTTATTGTCGTTTTCTTGAATTCTTGTCGTTTTATTCCATGTGATCAAAATTGCCAATTTAGAATAAAATTTAACGAACAAGAAATAAAAAATGAAGGAGAAAATCCTCGATTTTTTTCAAAATTATTTTTAATAAAAATATATGGTCATTTAATTTGTTTCGAATAATTAAATAATTCTGAAAGGTATGCGTATGTAGCATCCATAGAAATTATTAGTTAGTGTGGCAGCCCATTTTTATCAATTTGTTCTAAGAAACATTTTATGCCGCTTTTCGAAGCACTTTAGCACAACCAACTCTTAACTTCTGAAATAGTACAGAATTATTGAAACTCAAATATTTACATTGTTTGAATCTAAAATAACATTAAAAGCACGATTTATAAAATATGAAATACAAAGATAAAACAGTGAATATTGAAACAAAATAAAAGTCTGAAACAGTAGAATACATGAAATAAAAAAAATCATTTTGAGGAAAACATGAGTCCATTTTTGCTGTTTTACCCGCCGCAAAATTTTACAATTTTGCTAATTTTTTAACAATGAAAAACGGCAATTATACTATTTAAAATAATCAAAACATAGAAATGTTCTAATATAGAAAAATATTTCGATTTTCTGAAGTGCTTAATTAAATGACACAATATATTCAGAAAAATCAATGTTTTAGCTAAAGCTCGGAAAATAAAATTCATGTTAATGGAACTGTATTCTGGAAACACCGTGTGAATGTGGCAAATGACTCAAATAAGAAGAAAAAATCATTAGTTCCCGTCTAACCATGTCACCTTCAAATAGGAACTTGGTACAAATCCATCCATTGAGTTGTCAGTTCTAAAATTTAAAAAATTTTAAAAGAATCTCAAAATGTTATCTTACTTTCGCACACGCGTCCAACCATCCCCTTCATCCTTTTCAATCAATAAGAGCTCCTCGCCAGCATCAATTCGTATAGTTCCTTCCTGAGCTCCGTCAAAGTTAAATTGAGCAACTGCTTTTCCAAGCACGGGAATTGAGCATTCCTCATAAAGCTAAAATTCGAGTATTAAAAAAAAATATATATATATACCTCATCTTTTCCATTTCCATTTCCATTAACCACTGGCTCTTCACTTCCTCCACTTCCAGTGAAACTCAACCGCCGATTTGTTCGATTGGTGTCATGTATAGTATTTGCCCTTGAAGTTACTCCGCTGGAGGCTGAAGACACTGATCGAACAGATGGTGGAGTATCGCTGCCACCAACACTTCCTCCTAAAAAATAATTTTGATCGACAGAACACAAAGTGTTAAAACAGATTTTTAAAAGAAGACTATTCATTTCAACAATTTGAGAAAATTAATTTTTAAAAAACCAAAAGCACATTTTTTTCATTTTTTATGAAATCGACTAAAATTGCTGTTCACAAATGTTTTCAGACACACATGTGACTCATTCTGGGCTTCGTTCACTATTGACTTTTTTTTAAATATTACAAACAATTTCTATTGGTATTGTCAAATAGTTGGAAAGGGTTTTAATTTTCCATAATTTTTTGTTTAAACTTTCCATAATGTAGCTTAAACATTCCATAATTTATATCATTGCTTTCATTTCTTTTTGCTTACCAGTGTTTCCTAGAAGTGAATTTACGTCGTCAAGAATAAGTCGGAACTTTTGAATTTGGTTTGACAATGCATCAATTTCCCGAGTATATTGCATTAATTGCGGATCGCAATCACTGGGATTTCCCAATTTCGGATTTTCCCTATAGGCCGCTTGCATTTTGGTGACGCCTTCACGACTTTGAACCGCACGATCTCTTTCTTTTTCGAGCTCATTAATTTTACTAGCTAATTTCCTTGCCCGCTGCTGCGGCGGAAGTGTCCCGTAATCGCCGCTGTCATTCTGCAGATAACCAATTATGATATCAGTATGTCTTCTTATCTTTATACCTTCTTATCACTGCCACCAAAAAATTTTTGGTGCATGGATTGTTTACGCGCCACTCCTTTCCCATCTTTTCTATTAAGAAGTGTGCCTTTCTTAAGAGTTGCATCGATGCTATCTGCAATGATTCATCTAACTTCAAAGTTCAAATTGGTATTCGTGCATACCAAGCGATCCGCCGCCTGCAAGGAATGACTCAGGGTGGCCAAGGTCTTCAAAAGTGAATGAGCGCGGTCGCGGGTGACCGGATTTCATATTCTCCACGACAAGATTTGCATCACGAGCTGGATCCACTTTTGCGATATCTCGACGCATATCTTGATGACAGCTTGCTGAAAAAAAAGTTTAATTGAAAAAAAGGAAAACGATTAAATCAGTACCAATAACGGAATTAACAGCTGCTTCGCTTTCAACACACTTGTTTAAAGCTTCAATTGTGTCTAGAACACGATTAGTGTGCAATGTTTTATAATGATCCAGAAGCTGAGGAAGCTTTCTATCAAAATGTTCATCCTGCTCTTCATTTGCTTTCATAGTCATTGTGGCATATGTTTGTTTCGATTCCTCCAACATCTTGCACTTCAACTGAAAAAAAAACAATGCAATAAAATATGATGGGGAACACATGAAACCTGATAATTATTTTTAGTTTTTTCTAACTCCAGTCTGGAAATTTCCATATTCTTCTCTGCTTTTGCATATTTTAACAACGCTGCTTCAGTTTCTTTGAAAGATTTTCTGAATTATTACAATACAAATTGAATTTCGAAATGATTTCACACCCATATTCCTTTTGCGCCTTCACCATTTCTCCAATAACGCTGTTCAAATGATTCGTCATATTACGATTATCAGTCTCAAGTTGTTTTTTTGCTTGTCGATACTCTGCTATTTTTGTAGTTGCAAACGCAACAACGTTCGATTTCAAGCTTTCTCCGATCAACTGAAAACCAAGAATTGAATGGTTGATGGCATAGAATCGTATACTTCATGTTGAGTGGCAATTGGGACAATTCCCATTATTACGTCATGGTAGCCCTTTACGTATGACACTGAATTCCATAATTCATTTTCATGCTTCATCTTAATCATCGACTTTTTGGAAAGTTCCCTGCAAATTTAACATTGAATTTTTGATAGTAATTCAACTCACTTTAATTTCTTGCTGTATTCGAATTCAATAGCAGCACGCTCCTTGGCATATGTAGCGATCTTATCCAATAGCTCGATTCCTTTACCAGTATAGTCGTTGAGTGATGATTGTTGGTCCTGAAAAAAAAGTTGATTAAAAATCTCGCAAGATTCATTTTAGTGTCACACAGTTATTATAATTTTTCCCCATTTTCTTCTTTAGGTTTTCATTTGAATTATGTTGTTGGTTTCTGCTTTGACGAAACGAATCGGACGTCGTGTTGTTATGCAAAGCGAAAAGATGCGCGAACATTGCGCTCCACTAAGCCTCGACGATAATACAAAACGCAAATAGAATAGACATGAGGATCAATAATTCCAGTCACCGAATACATTTGAATTTCATTAACCGACGTTACCTTGTATACAACTCCATATGTTTTTGAATCGTCCTGATTGTTGTTATTGTTAAACGCGGATTGAAATAAATCCAGCATTGAAGCTCGAGATAACCGTACAGTATCTCGGCCAGACCTCAAAACATCGTACGCCGACATCCTAGAACTGCTACTGGAGGTACGATCGTGAGGAAATGATTTCATGAGAGGATTGAGTAATATATGAATGTTAGAGACGATGTGAGGGGGTGGGATTCGCCGGAAAAGTTGCAGGCAAGAGGAAAACTATGAAGGTAGCGATTGATCAGGATGTCAGGACGGACAGCCGGCAAAAAAATGAAAGGTGACCACAATAATGGATCAAATCGAGATCGGAACAGCCAAAGTGCGCGAAGATGAAGAGGAAAATGGATAGTGGAGTGAGAGGAAGCGATGAGAACGGTGAAAGTTTTCGAGTCGCACCGTCGAGCGAGACAGCATAGGAACGGCGAAAGACTAAAGCTTAGCATTCAATATAGTACGCTGAGAAGCAGAGAGCACCAAAATGTACAATGAATGAGGATAGAAATCGCATTCTAATGTGTTCGCGGAACCGTTATACTGAAACATGTGACTTCAGATTTAGTGAAAGCAAATTACTTTTGAAACACAAAATTGCGCAAAAGAAAATAATAACCTTTACTATGTCATTATTTCGAATTTTAGAAGAAATACGTAAGTTCTTACCACGAAGCAGGAATCGAAGAATTAGTCGAAAATAAAGAGATTTAAAAATTTTGTTGAGATTACCAACTAGCAAATTCTAAATCGTCATGTGTAGTTTATAACTTGCGAAAAGTAATTCTGCGCTCGGAATTCGTTGAGCCTCTCGTTCAACAACATCTGTAGTTTCGCAAAAGAATCAACTAAAAAAACCATGGACGAATCAATCATAAATTTTATATCAGCATGAAACTAAACTAATACGAGTAATGCGGGATTCGTTCACATTGAACCGCGCCAAACCGAACAAACTGAATAGCGTCTGTCTGAATTGTATCGCCCGTGTTTAAATCGTATCGCAGCGATAAAAACACGATTGATGTAAAAATTATGCAGCGGGCAGTTGTAAGACAACCAACTGATTGGCAATAGCTCTTTGTATGCAATATACGTATGTACATACATTGTGTACAACTGTTCATAAATAATTTATTCAAACACGTACCCATAGCTCATTCCAACTAGCACTTCCGTTCATTTTGACGCTTTTATCGAACGAAACAAGAATCCCATCAAATTTGAGCCCACCGAGAACCTGTAAAATAAATAAATTTTTGTATAAAGAAAAGAAAATATTATCACACACATAATTTTCAAAGACGTTGCGATTGAGAAAAATGATTGAAAGAATGAGAAAATCATGATACATATAAGAAATGAACTTTGAAAACTAATATCCAGGAGAAAAAAAGCGAAGTGACTACTAAAAAAAAACGTTGGAGTAGGCAAACGATGGTCAGCAAAGCGGAGTCGAGAGGATATGTATGAGCTGAGAAGTATGTCTTTTAGCTCTGTGTCTCTTCGGAGCACAACACTATATATTTTTCTCTTTACAATCCTTCTAGTATCATCGATTTCAATTGGACACAGAATGATGTGGTGAAATCAAATGACATTAAAAAAAACTTGTCGCTTTGATCAACTGGCAAAAATAAAGTGCAGAGCAATTGAAAAATGGTTTATCTTACCGGCGGGAAAACTTAACCTATTCTGAATCGCTCATGATTTGTCAAAGTCAAGGACATGTCGTCGGTCGTTTTACGAACAATTGGCCAATAGTAGACGCAAAAAAATAGACGATCTAAAGTTTTTCCTGCGTACCTGGTGAGGAGAAAAGGACATACAGTAAACGAATAAAAAATGATTCGAAAAATAACCACACTCCAGTGGAAACTAACGAAATAATGAGAAAGAAAGGCCAAAGGAAATGGAAAAGGAGGAAAATGTTCAGCAGGTGCGCATACGAAACGGTTTCGTAGCTGGCACATATTGAAAATATGGCCCAGATGTTTTACGAATTTTCTTTGTTATTTCGACTCGTTTTCTTTCTGCAGAAAGAAAAAAAAATTGGGCTTCCATTTGCTCGAGCATTCTATAAATGAATTAGCAAATTGTAATTTGTCAGATGCTAATTACATGGTGTCTCCTCGGTGACGGTTTCCACAATACACTCGCCGCTTGTAGTTATGAGAATCGGAACAAAGTGTGACTAAAAAACGTAACGTACAGAATTAACAGTAATAACTAACATAAGCGACACTTCTCTTTCTTCTCTTCGATTGGTTCATAAATAAAGCAGCGTTGGTGACAGGTATCGACAATTATCTTCCGGAGATCCATTATTTTATGAAATGCAGGAGAAATTGCATTGTAAAATTACGCAGACTTGAACCAACCACTTCATCACACTGGCACTCAATATTTCGCCGCAAAACCAATTTCTCAAAAATACGAGGCGAATTGGAACGGAAAATGCCGAAAATCAATCAAAGTTTCGAAATAATATTCCTGGATACGGAAGAGATAAAACAAACAAATGACAAATTCGTCCGGCTGCTTCTTTTTTCTTTTCTCTTCGCCGTTGTCCTAGCCCCAAATTGAACGAATTGGTTACGGGACACATTAGAGACTCGCGAATGCTTTGCCAGATGTTCAAATAATGAATTCAACTGATGCGAGGGTGCATAATCGCGAGAAAAGCCCTCAACGGACACGTGTTCTGTTATCCGTGTCTGACACACATACACATTCTTTACTTAATTTGGGTACCCAGATGGGTAAGCACTATGCAGAAATGAAAAGCTTATACAATTGGACGGTTTGAAAGAGCGTTCGTTTGTTAAAGTAAATGGATCACTTTTTTTAATCTAAGAAAAATTGCAAATATTTTTACTCTTGTCTTTTACACTTTGGAGAAAAAAAATATATGTATTTATATATATATATGATGGCAAATATTGATTCTAACAACAAATGTGACGCCAAAAAATGGCATTGGCATATTGATTCAATGTATTGATTTTAAGAAAGAAACATATAATAGATTTCCTTCGAAAATATTATATTATTAAAAACATTCTAGTGGTCTAAATTTTTTTTTAATGTTAAAAATGAAAACATAATTTTAGTGTATACATATCGGTTATTGCAGAACTCAAACGAATTTTTTATTTCATACGTGTATAAACATATGTGAATATGTATAAAGTGATATCAATTCTCAAAAAAACACAAAGTTAATAAATAAGAAATCAAATTATTTCGGAAAAATTTTTTTAAAGAAGTGAAAACTCGTGTTAATTCCGATAATAGTTAAAGTGTGTGGCGTCCTAATTTCCGATTCTGATTATAGTTAAAAAGAGGAACATGAATTCATAATGAAACAGTTAAATTTGTTTCGTTAACATTAAGAAAATAACTAATAATGGAAGAAGAAAAATATTCTTTTCAACAATTTTTTTTAGAAATCACGAATCATTTCCTATTTGAAAAAATGGTTCATGAGACGCTGGAACGTGATAATATTATCTATCATATTGATAATAAACAGATTTTAATACACCGATTTTCTTAAATTTTCAAAATGAAAGAAATGACGCCGAATGTACATATATGGCTTGGTTGAAAGACGAGTGAATCAGAAATGCGTACGCCGATATTTCACAATAGCTTTTTCCGTGAAAACCAATTTTGGGCAGCAAGCGCACTCGACAAACGCAAAGTTGCCTTTATAAAGGAGGGAAATGAGGCTGCATCGCGAAATTCGAATTGATAGAGATGAATAAGACAATTAGTGTTCATCAACCAAATCGGAGAAAAGAATTTTCACAAAAATGGCTGCGGACAAAATTGTGCATTGTTGAGTCGCTGCGCAAACAGTTTCAATTCTCTAGCTGCTTGGTTTCGGCTTCATAGTGCATCGCGCAAAGCATAGCAAAACGAACAAAAAAGACTGGTGAGCCGAACACAAAGAGATTCACATGGTCAGCGCAACAAAAATCAATACAATCCCCCTTTTGGCGGAACAACGCATTACTATTTTTATGAGCGTCGAGAAAGAAAAACGCGTACAAACAAACGATGTGAATTGAATTTACTCGCCGTAGTAGTTTGTTGTGACCAAATGTTCGAGTCAAATGACTGTTCCGCGCGGCGATGACAGCATATGATAAAAGAAAAGAAAGTAGAAGAGAAGGGGTGAGTTGAAGGTAAGTAAGGTCACGCGGCAAAACACTGCCAGTACCTCTAGTAGCACACTGCCTACGATCGATTTCCAGGTGCTTTTAATATATCGCGATAAAAAACCGATATGAAAGAAATACCGCAAAAGTTATTGTGCACATTTTGAACTCAAATTATTTTTTTTCAGAATAAAATTTTTATAAATAAAAAGTTCTCTTTTCAAAACGAATTCCTGATGAATTAATGTATCATTTAATGAATTACTGAACAAATTAGAAAATAATTATATTTTACAGCTACATATGATTTCTCGCAAGACAAATTCTGTAATTTCAATCGAGAAATTGTCGTTCATATCTTTTATTTTACGTTTTGCTCGAAACAAGATTTTAGCGAATTTATGGAATTTTAAATGAGCGGCTCATATTTGTCGTTCTGGAATATTGATTCATGAGACAAACAAAAATGAAAATTAAATTTAAAAATTAAAATTATTTTTCTTATACACCAATTGCATTACGTGAACAGTTTTCATAAAACGAATATTTATAAGTAAAATTGTAAAAAAAAAGCAGGAAATAAAATGTTCGATGTCAATTTGAAGTGTGATTTTCTTGAGATGGAACAATTGGTGAAAAAATTGCGTATGGCGCAGTATGCAATTTGTTTAATGGTGTGTGTGTGTGGTTTTGTGTGGGTGAGAAGAGTAAAGAGCACGTTGGTAGAGGTTAAGAAAAAGAACGTCAAACGGCTGGCATGCTCGACGAGCGTCATTTATTCGGGCTGCACCAGCTCCGAGGTCGACGGCCGGCAGGCCCGCACACTTGTCATTCTCGTCGCTTGGGTGCGACGGGGTCCTGCCACAAAAGGAGTGTGGTGTCGTGCGTATTGATTGCCAGGAGTCTGCGAACGAGCCGAGAGGTCCACTTGAGGGCCAGCCGGACGAACAACTCGTGCGTCGAGTCTGGGTCATTCAATTCTTCATCTTAACGTGCGTTGAAATTGAAGGAGGCCGCGGGTAACAAATGAATGCAACGCTTTCACTTTGTTCAAAATCAATCGGTCGGCCGTCTTCATGTAATTGCGCTCAATTTTGTGTATTTTAGCGATGTGTTTTCTTGCGATTTCCTAGTTCGGCAATCTCGAAAACTTTGAATAGCGTATGCATATGTACATAGGCGTGTTTTGTGGCCTCCTTAGAGAATTATTTGTCATTCGAAACAACAACGACGGTCAGTAATTTTCAAATCGTTTTCAAGGGCACGCCTACAGCATTATTCGAAAATATTGAAATTTACAATAACTCAAACAAAAAAATCAGAATTTAAAGCCATTTATGTTTTGAAGTGTTGGATTCTTAAATTTTTTAATGCAAATGATTTTCTAATTTATGAAATTCTATATTTCTACTACATATGTTAAATTTCGCAACATTCATCATTTCTACTGGATATATTGTCTTTTGAAAACATGGCATTTTAAATTCTCCTAAACACGTATATTTTTTTTAAACCTTTGTTAAAATTATTTCAAAGTTGATAATAATGTTTATTTATTATTTATATTTTTTGTTGTTGGTTGTTTCATTGATTCTTTTGTTTACATGGTAATCGGCTACTGTTCTATGCAGATTAATCACCGACATGAATATTGACGTTCTAATGCTCATTCCAATATAACATCTCACATGATGAGACTATAACGGAACATTTGCAGAAATCTACTAGCATGCAGAGGACCAAATGAAATATAAAGTCAAATGTGTATTTATATGATGGTCACTCAAACAATTAAACGGTGTTTTTCTTCAAACTGATACCATATAGAAACATATCCGACTATCTACAGAAGAGTACATGTTAAGCAGAATATATCAGCGTTTTTCTTCCAGTCGTTACAATCATTGTATTTTGAGATGGATGAAGTGCAACGCATGAAACTTCCCCATCAATTTCCGTTTTCAGAATGTACGGTCCACGATGTCCCTTTGACCAGAGAAGAGTTTTTGTAGTTGTGAAACTAAACATTTTCATTATTTGAGTCATAATACATTATTTGAGTCATAAGTTAGATTTTCAACATAACGCATGGAATTCTTATATTTACATTTCAAAAGCCAGGTATGTAAAATTTTCTTTTTACCTTGCTATCAGCGTACAATTCGCGCTGACGTAATGCCGCTGCATGGGTTTCATTTTTCCTCGCAAACCAATTGGGTCAAATATCATTTTCTCTAAGTCAACAGACTTTATCTCATGCTGCAAGATAAAAGAGTGAAAAATAAATGAAGCACATGATTACCACAATTCCAATCTCTTCATTATCATGATTCCTGTCAATCATTTCAACACTGACGTACAACATTCTGCAATTCATATTACGATGACTCATTTTTTACTGAAAAAGTTGGTACTTGGAATCTGCGGACATACGTAAACTATCTATTTGACCACCAAAGTCAATATGATAGTCCTGATAATCAAATTGCGACATGATACTATCAACGTCGTTTGCCCTTAAAACTTATGTGTCAATAAATATGCCAGCCAAACATACTGTTGCTGCTCTTCATGCTTCTCAAATCGTTTGAGTGCTAATGCATCCGATATTAGTTTCTGGTCGATCAATTTGAAGCATACACGATTTGACAACTGACCGCTCACATAAATCAGCAATTTTTGAGTATCATTATGGCAAACGCATTGACAATCCAAAAGTAAATAAATAAACACTGTATTGAAAATTTCAACGTACTTCTGCTTGAGCCGTATTCGCTATCCGATAGGACATGTTTGAGATAGCAGTGATAACATTCCTGTTCTTGATCCAAGATTCTTTTAAGACCTTGGATATTTCCTTCATCGAGATCAGCATCATATGCAAGCTCCTCCACTTTTTCTTTCAATGTCTAAATTAATGTAGAATTAGAAAAGACTCTGTAGCGTTACTTTTCCTTCGGCTTTTGCCAATTCAGACATTTGAATAATTCGGCGGAATCGAGGAGAGACGCAGTTGCTCACTATGGGATTTACGATATGTCCACTTTTGTTCAAAAATCTGCATTTTTGCAATATTTATTTGAGCGTATAACTATTGCATCTCACCTGACCAAAGGAACCAATATCGATTCGGATGATATTCTTTCAACAGAACATAGCCAAATTTGGGTAATTGATGAGCCGAGTGGACTACTGTAATTATTAGGAACACTCATTCGAAATGATTTATTAACGTACTGGAAAGTGAAATTGTGAAGTTCCCCAATTAAAATATGTTTGTCGTCAAACCAGCAAGCTTGAAAATCAGATGGGTTTGATTCAACGCGACTCACAAAATGAACTTCTGATGTTTCATCTGAAAAATATAAAAATACACTTTCCAAGCGATAGGAATGTGATTTACCATTAATAGAAAATACGGACACTTCCCCATTTCCATTGTGCTTGATACCATTCAACATAAACTGAAAAAAATGAAATAAACCATGTCTTCCTATAAATATATTCTACCATTGAACCGCTTGGTGAAAATGAAATGCTTCGAATTTTGGTCCACCCCAATGTATTTTGAACAGTTCTTTCGTGCAGAAAGTCTAATGGATCTGATCTGTACAACTGAAAATTAAAAGCATTTTCTAAAATTAAAAAAGTGAATATTATTACACAGAAATGAGCTTCCTCTCCGATGATGATGAAATATTTTCCATCCGGCGAGTATTCGCAAATTAAAGTTTCATAATCAAAGTCATCGACAATAAAAACTAATGACTTTGGTATATTATCCTTGAAATAGATGAACTCCTTGTAATAAGTGTCGCAGATCTGTGGAATTTTTCAAATTACTGAATATTGCTTAATAAATAATTTAAACTAAACGTTCCGATATTTTTTGAGAGAAAAATGGTAATCCCACTTTTATTATTTCGCAGCGTTAGAAGAAATAATTTCAATTTAGATCTTATTTGGGAATTTTGAGTTGGCTTTAAATGCAGGTGTAGTTAAAGACGGACATATTTCAGGGCCGATGGCTATGGTATATGCGAATCTTAACAATAAGAGATAATTAAATGTGAGCAGTCTTGTTATTCTTTTCACTTGACACACTGTATTTTTTTAAATTTATCTGAGTAGTTGAATTACAGTTATACACAGTTAAAAATAAAACATTAAAAACAATCGATAAAGATTTTTAGAATAGTTAAAAAATGGCTGAGAGCACATTGATGGGATAAGACTTGCTAAATCTGTGACGGTATCGGTCGTTCAATTGGCCCATATTTTTATTTTTACGGTTGAACAGTTGAAGCATGCATTCAAAAAAAGCTGAAAGCTGTCGGAAAGGTGAGTCGATCGCGAAATTAACAAGCTTGGATGTGGTCAATATCAGAAAAAAATACGAACCAGTAAAGGATCATTAAACCAAAGATAATGTTTTTCCAAAATTGGCTTCCATACATAATTATCGATGCAGGAATATCTCCATTGACGGCATATTTCCACACATCGTCGAAGATCCTAAAACTATTGTTTTTGTATTATTACCTAGTCGTTATAAAGCAATAACGATGAATTGAAATAGAACTATTTAAGTACAACGAAATTTTTCACCTTATTCCTATTAAGTACAAAAACAGCAAAATAGTGTTTAAAAATTTTTATTCAATTTTAAATTTCTTACCTTGTAATCAAGATTCCGAAAAATACATTGTAATAATTCACATGGCATTAAACTCCAATTCTTATTGTTCATTTTTGAAAAAAAAATGTTGAATCAATAGTGGCTCAAGTAAACTCTCTGGATATTTTTTGCGTAGAGATAAGAGAGAAAGAGATGAAAGGATTACACACGATGAGAGTGTTTGTTAACGTTTAAAATTCCGTGAAATTGGGTCAAGTTATAAGAAAGAAAAAAAACAAAAAGGAACATATAGGAAACTAAACTCGAAATTACACGATATGGTTGATCAGCTAATCAAACACAAACATGCTTAATCAAAAATAATATTGTGGCAATCAAACCATTTCGCACTATCACTCTTTCATTCTTCAAATTAGTAGAGTTTAAACATCATATAGGTAACAAAAACCATAAAATCATAACGACTATGATTTTAAGATTATGATCATTTGGGCGTTTCCATGCTAAACTGATGAGCGGTGTTTGATATATGATATAAATAACGGTTAATGTTTCTAAACAATTTCGTTGTTTGAAAAGACCAATATTTAAGGGCATTCCTTATCAATTTCGCGATTCCTTTTCCATTCACAATCAAAGTTTTTATATTTGCAGTGTTGCAAGCGTTACAAACATTCCTAAATGTGCACTAGCTGACGTACTCGACTATCATTCTGGATATTATTTTTTTTAGTTTTTTAAGTGAATTTTGAATAGCGATTTTATTTCCCATTTTGTAAAGCTTGTTTTTTTTCTTTAAAACATTGAAAATAGCGATGTGCACGGAATATAAAAATCTAAAAAAGCAAAAAATTAATTAATTAGTATATTACATGTATATTTTTTTATAACATTCTTTGAAATATGGAATATATATTCACAGATTTTCCAGGGATGAGATTCCCCAAAGGCTTAGGTCTTCTGTTCATTGTTGTGGTGGCAGCTGCAGTTGTTGCTGGTATTATACTGACAATTGTTTTAGTATCGCGAGGATCTACACCAGGTAATATTCTGAGTATGAACATTCAATCATTAATAATTTCCAGAAAGCAAATCAAATTTAATTACAATATCGATTTGCAATTCGATACGTGAAGGTGGAAAATCGCGTCTCAGATATAAACGAAACAATCCAGATTCGTGTTTCGAAACAAGCAGAAAGAGCGCACTTAATTTCATAGATAGTTTGACAATTGATACTCAATATATAATTACTGGATATTCAAATATTCCAAAGGTTTCCTTACAGCATTATATCAAAACAGTAATAATATTTAGTCTTCTGCCACTTTTTCAAGTGATAATGCTAAAGTTTTTTTAAAATCAATGAATTCCGATGGAAGTGCTGATATAAATCAGACAGCGTATGTTAATATTTAACAACATTTTTCATTGAATGATAGTTTTTAGAGCTCTTGATGATTACAAGCAAACGAAAAGGTCACGATTGGTGTTTTTCGCCCCATGTTCAAAATACGAGTTGTTTTCTATGATGATTAAATTTTATAAACTGATTACAGAAACATTGATGCGGATCTCAATCATACGAAATCAATATTGAATAGTAAATTCAACGATACAATTTATGTAATTGTTTCAACAACATTTAATCAAACAATCATGAACACGAATTATGGAAGCAATTCAAGCACACTGTCAAATTGTAATGATGACTGCTCTGCACGAATTGCTCAAAAAATCCATGTCGCAACTGGTTTGGAAATCATAGACTTTTCAAATTATATCAGGTTTTAGCAACAACACAACAACCATCAAAAACAACATTATTACCAACATCATCAACAACGCTCTGGAGCGTGGAGACTATTAAAACAACAACAGTTTCTTCAAGTTCAACTGCTAATAGTAACCCAACCAGCGCTTCATCGCATCCGGCATCTCCAACCAAAACTTCCCTCAGCAGTGAATCCACAACGGTTGCGACAAATCCTACTGCCAACAGTAGCCCGAGCAGTGGAACGTCTCCACAAACACTATCAGTTTCAAGTTCTCCGATTACTACAACTAGGGCAATTTCAACAACAAATAACCATCCGATCAGTTCCACAACTTCTTCAGTTTCCACGACTGGACCTAGCAGTGGCACAACTAGCGCCTCAGCAATTTCAACAACGAATAGCAATCCGATCAGTTCCACAACTTCTTCAGTTTCAACGACTGGACCTAGCAGTGGCACAACTAGCGCTTCAGCAATTTCAACAACGAATAGCAATCCGATCAGTTCCACAACTTCTTCAGTTTCAACGACTGGACCTAGCAGTGGCACAACTAGCGCTTCAGCAATTTCAACAACGAATAGCAATCCGATCAGTTCCACAACTTCTTCAGTTTCAACGACTGGACCTAGCAGTGGCACAACTAGCGCTTCAGCAATTTCAACAACGAATAGCAATCCGATCAGTTCCACAACTTCTTCAGTTTCAACGACTGGACCTAGCAGTGGCACAACTAGCGCTTCAGCAATTTCAACAACGAATAGCAATCCGATCAGTTCCACAACTTCTTCAGTTTCAACGACTGGACCTAGCAGTGGCACAACTAGCGCTTCAGCAATTTCAACAACGAATAGCAATCCGATCAGTTCCACAACTTCTTCAGTTTCAACGACTGGACCTAGCAGTGGCACAACTAGCGCTTCAGCAATTTCAACAACGAATAGCAATCCGATCAGTTCCACAACTTCTTCAGTTTCAACGACTGGACCTAGCAGTGGCACAACTAGCGCTTCAGCAATTTCAACAACGAATAGCAATCCGATCAGTTCCACAACTTCTTCAGTTTCAACGACTGGACCTAGCAGTGGCACAACTAGCGCTTCAGCAATTTCAACAACGAATAGCAATCCGATCAGTTCCACAACTTCTTCAGTTTCAACGACTGGACCTAGCAGTGGCACAACTAGCGCTTCAGCAATTTCAACAACGAATAGCAATCCGATCAGTTCCACAACTTCTTCAGTTTCAACGACTGGACCTAGCAGTGGCACAACTAGCGCTTCAGCAATTTCAACAACGAATAGCAATCCGATCAGTTCCACAACTTCTTCAGTTTCAACGACTGGACCTAGCAGTGGCACAACTAGCGCTTCAGCAATTTCAACAACGAATAGCAATCCGATCAGTTCCACAACTTCTTCAGTTTCAACGACTGGACCTAGCAGTGGCACAACTAGCGCTTCAGCAATTTCAACAACGAATAGCAATCCGATCAGTTCCACAACTTCTTCAGTTTCCACGACTGGACCTAGCAGTGGCACAACTAGCGCTTCAGCAATTTCAACAACGAATAGCAATCCGATCAGTTCCACAACTTCTTCCGTTTCAACGACTGAACCCAGTAGCGGAACATCCTCTGTTCCTATAAGCCCAACCACAGCAAAATCAAATCCGTCAACAACTGAATTTTTACCTTTATCAACGAGCAGAAGATCACCAACCTCAACTGTTAAGAGTAGCCCAATAAGCACTTCTCTTCATACAACAACTATTGGAATTTCAACAACAAACCCGTCAACAAATCTACAAACAACTACTGAAAAATCGCCAACAAGCATTATTACGACAATTGTTGCTTCAAGTTCAACGTCAAATAGCAATCCGACCACTGCTACTATTCTTCAATCATCAACAAGCATTGAACAATCAACGATGAACGTTCATTCTACGATTTCTGCAATTTCAACTTTTTCTTCAACTGCCGGAACTTCTGCCAGCAGCGATACAAGCACAATATCATCAATGACACCACAATATACCGAAGCAACATTGTCAACAAGTTACAGTTCCGTCAATCCATCTAGTACAGTTACAAATTCTCCATCGCCTGTATCAAGTACTATTTCGGAAAGACCGTCCACGAGTGAATCAACACCTTCATCTGGTACCATTTCTACATATTCCACAACCCTAAATCCAACTAGTACGAGATTACTGAGCACTACTAGCACACAGTTGGCTAGTACTATTATTTCATCAACAGTAACCAGTCAATATACCCCTTACACCTCAACTGATAGCAATCCGACTTTCCATACTTCGCCACTGACAACATCTGTTAAATATTCTCCCACCAGTAGCCAGCTTCCCGTCTCAGGAAGTACACAAACAATGACAACCTTGACCAGTGAATCCACCACTCAATATTCCCAAAAAGGAACATCTCCTACATTAACTCCATATTCGTTTTCGACGAGTAGCTCATACTCCTCCATTAGTACAGGATCGTGGAGTAGCTCAACTACTCTGTCAGAATCGACTTCATCATCTCCTACATCACAAATTCCTTATACTTCAACCCAGTCTGCAACTATCGCAACTATTACTTCAAGCGAATCTACAATTGCAGCAACGACATCAGGAACAATACAAACAACTCATACTAACCTAAATCCTTCTAGCACAATAGTACCGGAAACTACCAATTCGCCATATTCAACTATTGCTACCACATCTATTTTGCCAGAAACTGAAAGCACCACCGAAGATTTCTCAACAATTTATTCCTCCACTGGTAGTTTTTCTTCAGTTCCCACGAGCTCGCAAACTGCGCAAAGTACAACTAAGGAATCAACTTTGTACAGTGTTACAACCTCCTATTATTCCTCAACTAGCATCCCACCTTCCACCTCTTACCCAGACATTGTGACTAGCTCTGGATCAACAGCAACATTCGGATCCACATCTACCTTACCCCCTTCTTCCCAATTCCCAACAAGCCCGGAGGCAACGTCTCGGACGATAACAAATACTATGTCATCTACTCCTTTACCATCGACAACCCAAACCTTTACCAGCACTAAGCGTAAGTTTGACTTATTAAAACAGAATCCCTTGTTGTGAATTAAAACCGAAAATCACAATTCATTTTCTCAGTATGAAGTCATGATTATATGATAATTTCAGCTTCATCTTCTGAATCAACTCAAACGACTGCACAGACAACGTCATCATCTCGTTAGTTTATATTAAATGAAAACTAAATTATATTATTTTCTTTTAGAAAAAGAAATTGTTGCATTATTATTTTACGATCAATTGTCATTTGGAAATACTACAGACCCTTATATGCCGGTATATTTATTGAAAAATTCAATGCGTCATTTTCTAAAATTTTTTTCAAATTTTAATACAAATAATAATTTTACAGGAGATGAATTTCTGCAAATCAGTCGGTGATCAATTATTCTTAAATGCGAACTTTTCGGGAAATATTGACTCTTTCGGATATTCGTCTAGTCTTACGGACAAAAAAAGTTTGGTTGCTGTGGATAAAAAACAATTTGATTTATCAACCGTTTCAAATATATTTTTATTTGTGGAAAGTTTACCAGAGTATGTTTTCTAATACTCGTAATAAAAAAAAGTTAAATTTGTATTTATGTAATTGTTTTCACACAAATTTTTCGTCACCGCTTACTTATTATTTTCAGCATTTTGGCTGACTTCAATGACAGCAAATGGTATCCGCCTGTAAATACAAATAACACTTTTCTCATATTTATATCCGCTGCGTAAGTTCACAGATAGGATTAAACAACATATGTTTAATATTAATTTTAAAGCAATGAAACATATTTCAATGGTTCAAAATTGGAGACTAGTTACAATGCGTTCAAAAATGTAATAGGAGTCGCATTTAAAGGTAAAAGTTGCTTTATTATTTATAATTGGTGATGCTTAAGGTGTGACAACGATACCTGGAATAAACGACCCTATTGTTACCGAAAATTTAAACAACAATACCCGCGATGCAATCGTCAATAAGGTTTTAGAAATGTCTTGCTAAATATTTACTTTCTGTTTACCTTACTGGAATCTTTCTGTTATTTTTTCACGTGTACCTTCTCGATTCATGTTTCTCTGATTTAACAATATATGTTTCCATTTATTTATAATTCAAAAGTGTTCCTGATGAACAATATCTAAAAAAACAGTATTCTCTTTTCTCAATGCCATATCTACTGTTAATAATCACTTTTAATTTTTTTGTAATCACTTTAAAATTTTTTTTATACCAACAACCATTTATTACTCCCATTATCGGGAAGGATAATTTACTGAAGTGTGAAGCAAATAAAAAATAGGAAATGTGTTGATTCATTGAAAAAACACGCCCACCTCGTGTAATTTTCATGCGTAGTCGCCGCCCCCTCCCCCCACAACATCATATTCTACTATTGGCTGTTGTTGTCGACGATTCATTTGAACTCGCTTCGTTTTCCGTTAACAGCATACGCCTACATACACGATATATTTTTCCCGCCCAATCGGCCTGGGCCGTGTGATAAACAGGAAGGTTGCAAGCTTGTTAATAGCCGCCATATTGAAGGCATCATCCTTTTCTTTCTCCTATTTCTCCTGCGCTCGCCCTCCTCGCCTGCGTTTTGGGAACTGTGGAGAACGACATGATGATGGTGATCGACGGCGCCATCAAGATCAAGCATTGATTGATCCGGGCATGTCTTGTGCGCCCCCATTCTTCAAAATTTTTTCGCAGCGTCAACGTCATCATCATCATCATCATCATCATCATCATCATCATCATCATCATCATCATCATCATCATCTTAATCATTTGATACTATCCATTTTTGTCCGAAACTGAAATCGTTTATCATGCATTGCTAATTGAACTGAACCTTTTTTCTTTTTCTTTTTTCCCCCCTTTGTAATCCACGAACCGATCTCATTCCTCTTCTATCTCTATTGAATGATCTCGTTCGGAGAGTTTATTTTATTTTTCGCATTCAACAGTTTTTTTCTAAAGAAAGCACAACTTATTATAACTATTTTATTTCGAAAATTTCAGAATGCGCCGACGTGCGTTCATATTTTTACTGATATCATTATTGGTCCGCACATCACGTTCTTCATTTTGTGGTAACAATGGAGTCCCTTACAGCTTGGAAATTCTGGCCGATGGTTAGTAGAATTTGACAACTTTTTTAAAATTTCTCAACTAAACTATTGCGTCGATACTGTTGTTTTGTGTTTTTCTATTGGAGAAACATAAAGAGGTGCTTAATGGAAAACAATGTTGTTAATCTTGTCCTTGAGTTCTGATTTATTACAAGCAGTTGGCTAAATTATTTTGAAGGTCAACACACAAATTGCTTTTTCTAAATTGAAAAGCCAATCGCTAATTTTTTTATCAAACTCGCTGACTTCCGTTTCGTTTTTTCAGGATCTCCGGTATTGGGTTGCGCGCAACCAACGTGTATGGCTGAACCTCTTGATGATTACGAAGATAGCACGTTCATTGCAAACGCCGCCGGACAAGAAGATGGGTTTTTCCGTGAGGGTGATCGCGAGCGGAAAACCTTCACATCAAGTTTGAAACCAAAAGCGGTACGCGAATTTCGATTTTCTGCTCTTTTCCGAATATTAAACATTTCAATACCCGACGACCGTATCCGGCTTAATTGTTTTCTACTTGCATACCAACAATCTCTTCTATCTGATTTGTGCGCTATATCCAATCAAATGTGTTCCTACTGACGGCTGTTCGCTCGGACAAGTGAAAACAATTGTTATAAAAAGGGATTGAACCTACAAACATACTCATTTTCGTAGTTGAGAATGGAAGGAAAATTAGCGTGCGCAAACATTCTTTATTATAATCTTCAAATTTTTCTCCAAATGCATGTAACTGGTAATTTGAAACGCTGCGCTATAATGGATACGAAAAGTTTGACAATTCATGTAACAAGGAAAGGAGTAGCAATTGGGATTCAGCGTTTCAATCTCTTCAACCATCAACTTTCTTTTCATTAATTTTCCGCTTAATTATAGCGGATTCAAGAACACTGATCTTCCTACACAAATTGCCTTTCCTACTAATTATTAGAAACACACTTTCTGTTGCGAAAAATTAGTTCGTAGCAACCGTGGATCTCGATATTCTTGCAACACATTCGCTTTGCCAACGGTAATATACATTAAAATTGTGTTCGCACCAAAGCGTGCATTAAGCCGTCAAAATGCGTTGATGTATGTCGATTGAATCATCATCGCCTTTTGGATTAAAAATGCCCAATTGAAATTCATGGACGATCGAGTTTTTCAATTTCCTCACCGGCGGCACGCGAATTTGTCTAATCGGCTTCTATGGGGCGTTTCGACAAAAATGTTGCCTTCCACCAATTTTAACTTATAACGACCAGTTGATGTTTAATTGTTCTGCCGATTGTTGCGTTCTTATGAATCTGTCACGCAAAATCGGCTAAGAACACGAAGCTAAATACATGCGCGTAAAATGTCAGCGCACTTTGAAAAAAAAACTATGTGGCACACGGATCGACTGTTTCGGGGTCTTTTTTAGCATCGAGGCAATAAGATGGATTTATTAGATATTGCATATGTGTTGTATAAACAAAAACACTACAGGTGTCATCAAGGGCTTTTGCAAAGAGTAGATAATTATGACGAAAACTATACGCGTAATAGCAATTCACAACGTCATATTGTAAAAATAATGTAGTGGGACGTCATAGTTTTCATTTTAGGAGTGTCCGGGAACATTCTCTGATTTGGCTTGTAACAAGAAGAATCAATGGGTCGGTGGAATCGATTTTATCGATCACCCAAGACAACCGTGAGTTTCAAATTATTGTTGAAAAAAATGTGGCAACTAATATATGAATTAAATAATTGTCAGAACTGCTAGAAATCCTTTTATTGAGATATTTCTTGACAAAATTATGTGAACTTCCGTGAAATGAATATTCAGATGTTGAGAATCAAGAGAATTTCATAAATCTGAAAAAACACGTTTTCCACTTTGCTATTTCTTTGATTGCATGATTCAGTCTTGTTCTTCAATGCTGCACATTCGAAGGTCTCCGATTTTCCCAGGACGTTGGTGTCACCACAATTTCAGCTGGTATTACCCAATTTTCGGCCCGCTGATTAATAACTGCCGGCGTTTTTAAGGAGAAGCAGTTACCGGTGGCGAAGTGGTTCGCGATGGTCGTCAAATTTCCTTTGATGTCATTGCAAATGTGCGTCGTCTCATTGATCCGGATGATCCGAAACGGTGAGACATTAGCGGTGAATGAAACGCGTGAATGTTAAAATTTTAATGACTTGACCATGCAGGAAGAAGCGAATTCATCAAGGGTTATGCTTCAGATATTTTTATTGCTCGCCGAAACAGCTATTACAAGCGCAATAAAAAAGACCAGTGTCGTGTGTTGTAGGCAAGCTCGAAACGCATAAATTAAAATTTTATAACTAGAATAAAAACTAATGTGTCGTTGATTATTATCTTATTATATTCTTCTGTGAGAGAGAGTACGCTGCGTTTGACAAAACAAAAAGAATTGCTGAATTAAACATAACTACAGGGTGTCATTTAAGTTCCCGCACAACATTGAAGACGTATATTTCTGAGACTAAAAGTCCAAATCAAACGAGACTTGAAATATTTTTTATCTATAGTATAACAAATAATTTTATATTAACTCTTTTCGATTCGGCCTTCTTTCGGAGCTATGACTTCACAGAGACGCTTCGGGTAGGATGCGACTGTGGTACGCAGGTATTCGATGGAAAGATTGTGCCATGCCGCCAGTAATGTCTTCTTCAGAGCCTCTACACTTTAGTGGGGTTTTGCGTTGACCTTCTCCTGCAAGACCCCATCACAGAAAAGTCAAGCTGATTCAGGTCTGGGGAGCAATCAGTCCATTCGGATGACTTGATAAAGTCGGGAAAATGGGTCTGGCACCACTCCTGAGTAGTTTTGGCATTGTGGGCGGGTGCTCTGTCCTGTTGAATGACCCATTTCTGCCCACCGAAATGCGTTTGAGTCCAGGGCATCACATGCTTCTTTAAAATGTCCCAAACGTAGACTTCTTTGTTCATTTTCACCCCCTGATCCACGAAATCCAGGGGGCACCTCCCGGTTGAGCAGATGGCACCGAAAACCATCACACTGGCAGGATGTGAGGCTCGATTAATTGTTCTTCCTTTCTCAGAAGCTTGCTGGGATGTCTGGGCAAGTACTCAATGGTTTTGTGAGTAGAATGCCGTCTCCATAGTGAATAGCTTCTCGTCGGAGAAGACAGTGGCGAGGTGTTCTCCAGACCGCGTGCGCGCAAGAAGTCGTTTTGCTTTTTCGAAGCGTCTCTGCTTGTTGACGGCCGATAGAATTGCCGCTTTTTGGACACGATATGGGGTCAGTACAAGCTTCGTTTTGACGATTTGTTCCAAAGCGAAGATGCTCATTCCCACGTCTGACGCCATCTTTCTCATGCTCCTGTAGAGGTTTCGCCTGATCCTCGATTTGACGGCGTTGATCTTCTGAGGAGTGGTTACCGAGACGGGTCTTCCTTGTCTGAGACGGTCACTGGTCGTATTTAGCTCCTTGAAACGTTTGATGGTGTCGCAAAGCGTTCTACGAGGCACACCGAGGCGTTGAATGATGGCTCTCGGGCTCACATTTTGCTTATGAAGTTCGATAATGGAAGCGCGATGGATGTTAGCCTTCGCCATTTCTCGGAAACACATCCGAATGAAGTGAAACTTGGAAAATAAGTAAAATATACCTTATTTAACAAAAATAAATTGTATTGTTTCACGAAAAGTGCGACAGCCAAGCTCTTCATGACGTCAAACTTTTGTGCGGGAACTTAAATGACACCCTGTATATGCATATACGCATAAACGCGAAACTTCTTAAATTATCGTTTTTATTTTATACTTTCGTATTATGTCCAAATGTCTATGGTCATGTATATTTTCGCCATAAATAAACGTAATCAGTGAAAACGAGGATTGACGTGAATAAAACTTGCGCAAGTGTTGATAAGCTATCGCGAAATGATCATTCAAAAATGTGATAAAATGTTGATACAGGCCATAAAAGACAGCTTGATTTTTTGCTTTGATTCCAAGTGAGAAGATCGAGGGAAGGCAAACAATTATTTCCTGTATAATGCAACAAATTTCTATCCTACGGCATACCAATGATAAAGAGATGTTGCGTGGAATTTAACCCGCTATCGTGACATATATTGATAATAACTATTCAGCGAACAATTATTAATGAAGCATGAACTATTATTGAATGATTTAATACAACGATCATTACAGCACATATTATGAAGTGACTGTCAGAAGGATGAACTGTCTTCCAGACCCACCAGAATTCGAAGTAGCTTGTAAGACTCAGCGTTTTCTACAAATATAATCAATTGTTCAGACGATGATGACGTAGAATCGGAAATTGATAGAGTTTTAGGAAATGCCACGAATTCGGCAATGGAGTAAGTAATCGTCAAAAAATTACATAAACTGACATAAATATTGCTAGAACAAATGGACATAAAGGACACCCACACATGGATCAGGAAAAGAAAAAGAAATCTAAAAAACCATATAAAAGAAAGCCTAAAACATCATCAACAAAAAAGTGAGCATTATCAAAAATTTTTGTTTTTTTTTTTATTTTTGAAGCTAGTGTATAATTTTTGTTATGCGGCGATTTCATTGCGCAAAAAATCGAAAAAGCACAAGAAATTTCAACTAGGCTTATGATTTTGAATTTTGACACAATCCGCCTCGAGTTCCGACGCAAATTAAGGGTATGCTTGTTTAGTTACACTACCCGGATTTTTATCTTCTAAATATTATAAAAATAATGTTTTTTTTATCATTGGAATCGCCCCATTAACTTCGATTCAGCGTTATTTCACCATTGATTGGACACGAAGAAATCGAGAAGAAAGGACGTACCGAACCATTCATTGGTAGTTTTGGAGCACCAATTTTCAAGTAGATTCGCAATCATAATTTTAATTTAATAATTATACTTTTAGTCCAACGGCTGAAAAAGAGCGTAACCACGACAATTTTGCCGAAGAATATGCACCAATTCCTCCGCTTAAACATACAAAAGCCCCATTCACCCGTCACATTCTGACGCCAAAGCCAAGAATCGTCACAACAACGACACCAAAACCAACAACAGCAGCTCCGCCAGCCCCAGTCGTTAACGTGCAGGTGTGTGGAAGTATAAAACAGTTTACGATATGTCTATATGTATATTACACCGCAAAAAAACGAATGTTGTTCGCATGCGGTGACTAATAAAATTAGGGCGGAAAGAAACAAGTGTTCACAGCAAAATCGTGTTTCCCTTGTTTCATTTTCCAAAACACTGAGATAGAAAGCGGAATGTTATCATAAAGAAAATGGTTTGAGACATTTTTCTATCTGATCTTCTGGGTCAATCACAACGAATTAGACATAAGCTTTCGATTTCAAAAGTTCTTGTCTATCGCAATTTCTTAATTAAGAATATCAAATGAAAGCCAGAGATTTGTCACAAGTAGTTTGAACATTTAACAAAAAAACTAATTATATAAATGGATGATCAAGATTTTGAAACGGGTGTTTCGTCAAAATTGGATTTGATAATTCTTAAGAGGAATAATTGATTATTAATCTTTTGAAATGTTATATCACAAATTGTTTTCTTCTCATGATGATATAAATAAAATTGAAAATAATTAATTTGAAAATATTGAAATTAAACGACATGTGATTTTAGGTTGAACAACCATTGCCATCGACTCCAGCTCCAGTTTTGTTTCAATTCCAACCACTTCCCCCTTTCCCTCAATTCCCAATTGGCCAAAACCTGATGCTCCCACCGTACACTGCTCCGGCTCCTCCAGCTCCGCCACCACCACCCACACCTCAACATTTATTCGGTGTAAGCCAGGCTGCTCATTTGGCTCCACTTCCACCGCCTCCATCGCCATTTGGACTGTTTGTTTCTCATCCACAACCATTTGGAATTCCACAATATGGATTGAATCCGGTGCCACCCGCAGCACCAGCAGCACCAGCACCACCCACATATGGAATCCAAAATATTGCTCAACAGAATGACCAGTTTAAAAATTTGGATTCGTATACAAAATCATTGCTGACTGACCCAACAAGTCCATTTGCACTGCAAGCCTTTGGACAACCGCTAGCGCAACAATTCAATTTTGGAGCCCAACCACAAGCAGAACAAAATAATTTTAAAAACCCGGTATATTTTTATATTTATGAATTCAATAATCATATTTTTAAAGCAGCTTCAACGTGTCGTTATACAAGCGCCAACAAGAGAACAACCAGCAGCTCCAGCGCACTATTCCAGTCAAAATGTGCAAGTCGAAAATCAGGCAGTGCCTAAGCAAAATTTGCTTGGAGAACTATATCGACCTCCTCCATTTGCTGCTCTGGGCACGACTTTGTATAATTTCCAAGCCCACAATGGCTAAAATGTTTTTGACAATTATTAGGTGATCTTGAAATTTTACGCTCATTTTGATATTTGATGCTCATTGCCGTTAACTAATAACTTGTTGTGCGTAATTGTCTTTCCATGTTGAACATTTCTCTCAATTAGCTCCAAATTTATCGCAACTTTAGTTGTAGAATCTTCACGATTAAAATTCGTTTTCAGAATGTCTTCTTTTTAAATGAAAACTCTACCGGTATATTTTCGTGAATCTTAATTTTGATATCTATTGACTGTCCGAATTGTTACTTAACCCTAAATATATATTGACATTACAAATCTCAAGGTGTCCCCATTAATGGATATTGTTATCTATTACTACTCGTATGTTTTCATATTTTATCTTATATATATGTAATTATTTATTTTATTGTTCACAAGTCCAATTCTCATAATATTGTATCACGTGGCAAAATGAAAACGTTTATTTGTAATTTTTTGATCGTCGAAATGATAATAAGCCTTTTTTTCGGTTTTTGAAAAAAAAAAAGTTTTATTATTCAAGTTTCGATTAGCGATTTCATAAATCATATTTATAAAAATCAATTTTAATATGAATGAGCAATTTGATTGATTCACTCGGACGATTATTCTGCAAAAAAAAAACATTATTTTTTATCGAATTTCTTCATTTTATATAAAACATTTATACGGATACCGTCATAATGTATAAGAGTTAGTGAATAATTGAGCAATGCGAGTCGTAATTGTTCATTTTCAAAATAAAAGTCAATTAAAAAGTGCATATTTTATGCATAAGCAAATTATTCGAACAAAGTTAATTGTTTTTTATTATTTTAGTATATTGAAACCTTTCTTCTCAAAGTAAACGAATTTTCTGAAATTCCAATCAAACGCTGAAGATGAACTTACAATTACAAATAATGTTGTTAATACATAAACCTTGAATACTGTCATACGTTTATGTTTATTTGTGTACTCGCCACCAGCCCCATCAATTTAATTACGGATATACTGCAATTCACGAGAAATAATTGCATATTTACAATATATCTGCATCAAGGGTCACTTTAACCATAAAAGTATAGTGAACATTCATAAACATTTTTCTTATTACAGATGTATTCATTTTGTTTAAGTCCTCTTTCAAATACATAATATATTGTGTTTTCTTCAACCAATTAACCCTCGAGTAGGAGTTATTTGGACAGCAGCGAATTTTACTGTTATTTATTGTGAATCATTATTTGCGTGACACGTGTTTTGTTTGCCTAATTTCAAACTCGACAAATGGTAGCAAGGTTGGACTGACCAATATATCGCGTTACACTCACACTAGATAAACCCTTCTATGTACATTACGAAATTTTTCAAACGGTTTTAGTGAAAATATAGCTTTTAGAATTTAGTCAAATTTATTGAAACATTCCCTTCAAAAAAATTACTTTTTCGGCTAAATTTTCAAATTTTTCTGGAGTTACTCAGAACATTGATTCCTCAAGATTTTCTTCAATTCTTTACAAATGCTCAATAAATGTAAATATTCTTTTTTTGTCAGGAAGGTTTAGAAAAAAGCAATTAAAAGTAACATAGTATATCATATATTGTTATTCATTCTAGGCCTTTTTTTAATTCACATGCAAACTCGAAATCTTCTTACAATTTTCTAATGAACAAATTTGAATTCCCAGTAATCTGGAAATGTATTTCTGTGCTTTTACTTCTGCAGCTGACGTTGTTAATAATTATCCAATTTCTCATAAACCGTCAAGTTAACCGGTTATTCGTGGAAATTGCGCACTTTTTCTGTTTAAACCCAATTCGTCAGCAAAACTTTATGAATAATATAGTTATTATGGGCGAGTATCGTCTGCATGTTGAATGGTTATTTCATTTGTGGGCCGACTGTCGTCGTTAAATGACCTCGGATGTTGAATTGAAGAGCGTCAAGTCCATTCAACACCACAATTTACCTCAAAATAATCGGAATCGAGGTTGGCCATTTGCTGAGATTCACAATTGACGATAATTGACACAGTTCCTTTTTTCCAATTGTACCGTAATCTTCATTCATACTTTTAAATAGGCGAAACTTTCCCGCAATGTGTATTTTCTGAATGGAAGAAGTCTCGGCTCCTTTGTGAAAATGTCAACTGGGAGCGGTTTATTTTCTCTAAATCGTTGAGATTGGCCGGGAAAGGCTCTTTTTTCCCAAACCGACCGAATGTGAATCGAACTTTACACTTGGCAATTTCAGTTTGAGTAAAAAGGTGCTGACATTCATCATGCTCTTTTCTTTGCCTTTTCTTCTTCTCCTTTCCAATTTCACTTTTTATTGTTGACATGAAAGCCTCACAAATATCGCATGGAAAGATCGGGTTTCGGTAATAGCTGCAGTGAGGAACATTGACATACATCACGAAAAAAAAAAACGAAAAAAGCTTGCTCGCTGAGCAGATAACAAAGCTATATTTCCGATTTCAAACCACTTCGTCCTTTTTTATGGCCCTTTGAACAGAACATCTTCTTCTTTTCAAACCATTTCACTTTGAAAGGTAACAAATATTGGATACTTTTTTGAATCACTTCAGCAATGAACGTAATCCGATAGGATATACGAATGTACACTCAATCGCAATTTTCAAGTGCTCATCATTTTATATATATACATTCATATTGTCATGCTGACTATAAATGCTTTCAAGTGAAATGAAGGACTAATGAATCTATTTATGTATGTGGTTTGTCCCGAATGAACATTGATCGTTAAGTAATCTGTCTTCATTCTTCAATAGTACTCACACCGTCATGTTCATGACGAAACAAATGCTTTTGTTGGATAGATCAATTTTCTATTGGGAATTACCTAAGGGTTCAGCAATAAATTACCATTTCATTGAGTGTTTCCTCAACTTACTACCAACGTTCTTAACCAAAAGATATTTTCCCTGTTTGGAATTATATTAATAATATTTTGATAGTGTTTACTGAACATACACATTTCAAAAAATTCGCTAAAATTTTTATACTATCATTTTATACTATGTAGTAATTCCAATAACCTAATTCATAAAGGGACTGAAGCATGCAATTTCCAATTAAGCGCATATGTCGCATGACTCTCATATCCTCTTCTTTGTCTTCAATGGGTTTTTATTGCATATTCTTGATGATAAAACATTACGCCATCTGTTGGCTCATTTTCTCACCTATTATGGCCGTGAATGATCGTTTCGTGCATTTCCAATTTTCCCTCCCTCAAAAAATAATGAATGTTGAAACCCATAATATCCGTTCGACCTTGGGTGAACGCAGTTGAAAAACAATAAATAATTCAAAAAAAAGGGGTGCCTGGCTGCGAGAGTCGCGTTGCGCTTTGGTTTTTTTGCCACAAATAAATTCATGACTACATTAACTCGCGAACCTTTTTACGCAATTTTACTTTCTCTTCTGTCGATTTTTTGGGAGCGTGCGAATGTATAATTTACAGTTCACTTGTCGCAAAATTTTAGTTTCTGTTTTCGGTATTTTGCACTTAAGCGTCCTTTGCGTACACATTTTCATTTTTAGAGATACTCATGTTTATTAAAAATTTAAAATGTTTTACTTTTCAATGTTTATATATTCATTTAAAAAGGAACTCGATTAAGAAATAAAATCAAACAAGCAGTTTCTTGTTGCAAAGAAGTGAACACAACTATAATAATTCGTGTGTTATGTGTATGCATTTCTTTTTCCTAAAATCCAGTTACTTTAATGAGATTCTCTTATTGCATTGCATTCATCTCGCGATAGTTATCTCTCCCGCGCAAGTAGATTCATGTAATTTCTCCGATGCTCCATCAATCTGCCATTTATATATCAAATAAATTCATCATTCAAGCGGTCCCGCATTGAAGGTCGAGTGGCTTTGACAATAACGACGCATCACCATGGGCTCATTTCGTATAATTTTCGAAATGGAAGAAAATGGAAAAACGAAAAGGAAGTCGTAGAGAAGACTTAATGGCCTCCTGAATGACCGACCGATTCTAAAATTTATTTGTTAAGTTTATTTTGTTGGGTGTCGACCCTCCCCTTTTTTTCACGCAGCCCACCAATAAATGCATTCGACGGTCATTTCCAAAGCCGCTTAATCGCAGGTTTCTCATGTTTGTTGTGTTCTCCGAGAAATAGTAGCTGCGCAGCTAATTCACCCTCTAATTAAGTTATCGATTCGCAGTACACCTCAACCAGAAAACAAAACTTGTATTCGTCTCAACTCCCCAAAGAATTGAAAAACGCGCTTAATTTTGAAAAATTTTGCAAAACCCGCCGCCCGCATTGGTTCACATTTTCCTGACGCCAGCCCAGATTGATTGTTTTCGATTCATCAGTTCGGGTGGGGGAGGGGGGGAGGGCTCCTTATTTGGCCATTAATTGATTTAGAAGCGTATCAGGCGCACATTACGCAGAGAGTGCTAGACGCATTCGGCATTCGTGTATTTCAGCCCCAGAGCCGACATGCTCGTCTTCCTCATTCGCGCCGCGCGGCAAGCCCGGGCTCAGAGCACGAAGACGGGGCTCGTCAAACCCCGCCGGTTAATTGAAACGCCACGCACACATGCACTCGCATTCTCTCTCTGCCTCTCTCCTTATGCGCAATCTTAGTCGTTTTTGGAAGCCATCGTTGTTTCCCACGTCAAAACGAAATATTGGATGTACGACTTGATATTCGTTTAAAATTGTTCTCATTCGTTCTCTCACGTTTTCGCCAATAATATTTGTACACAATATTGAAGTCAATTTCCTTTTGCGACGACAACGGATGCTAATCAAATTGTTAATATCACAATTCATTCATTTCCTCTCGAATCTACAGATTTGAGAGATTAATTTTAGATACTCACATCTTTACAAATTCCCACCTCAATTGGCTGTTTCAACGATATATTTTTAATTATAAAATGAGAAATAAACCATATCTAGGATTCGTTAAAATCGTTCTCTGTTATATAATCGGCCCTTTCCTCAAGAAGGCGATCCCTGATTGTTTAAAACTTTTATGTACAAGCATTTAATGCGGCTTTGTAAAATTCACCTTTTCAAGTTCTACTTTTGCTCGTCTTGTTGAATTTCATATGCAAAACTTTTCACCGGAAGCTGTTAGCTGAACATTCGCGTCGGGCAGTCACGTCCATTTTTGATGCAGAAAAAAAAAACGACGAGAAAAAACGAACAAAATTTCGCGCGAAAGTGCATTGTCAGCAGAGATTTTTTCGTCGCCTTCGGGCAATACCAACTTTTTTTTTCTAAGAGGGCTCAAGGAAAAGCTGCCAGATTCCATTTACGCGAACTCGAGATCCTATGTTCACTTTCTTCTTTTTCCCCCCAGGCAAAGTTGACATTTTTCTCTTTTCCTTTTCGAATATCTGGTGTCTTTTTCATTGATCGTTATGAACCTTTAAACTTTTGCAAAATACTTTGTCCCCGTAATCTCAGTAATGCTAATCGCTTGACACACACGACTGCCTGACACGAACGCGAACACCCGTTGCCATAGGCGATAACACCAGGCTGCTCAACCGAACGAAACCTTCACGAAACAATTACAATTCGTTGTCGCTCTCTTCCCATTTTGTTGGACTTCGAATGCGCATTCTTGTTAAATTTTCAGGTAATTCACGAATCGAATAATGGCAGATAGTCTTCTTGATAACTACAATCCTCTCTATGACATCCATCTTCGGCAATACTTCGCGTTGCCCCATATGCAAAAACATCTTCAAAAAATGGGATTGGTGAGTTTTTTATGCAATTCTCCGGAAGATATTCGAATAGAGAAGAAACAAAGACGGAATGAATGGCGTTTCGTACCCAGAGTGACACCCAAGGGAATTTGCCATCATAATTGAACCCGTTATTTTCAAGACAACCGAATTTCACAAAAAAAAGAAGTAGTGAATAAGACTGAATAAAATTCGTTTCCTTTCTCCACATTTTTTTCGGCATCACTTGATTGGAAAAACACAATTGGCACTTTTTCATCCGCTACCGTAGTCTAAAAGCTGTGAACAACTGTTCTGTGTAATAACAGTTCGTCCGTAGAGCAATTAGTCTTGGATTTATGATCCAAGGTCAGCGTGCGGGATAATACCGTGATTTAAACTAAAACATTGTATATAATAAGAACCAAATGTGTGCCGCATGAATGTTCAACATATCAAAATTTTATTAATACATAAGCAAATTGCAAATTCACTAAAGTAAATTGTTATACGCTTTAAATTAAACTGAAATTCACGAATCCGAGAAATAGACTGTTTATTTATTGTGTCACCTCGATATGAATTCATTCATTCATTTTTTTTCGCATAATACGAAGTATACGGTAGCTAAACCCTCAATTAGTCTCAATGGTCTTCCGTTTTCTTGAATATTTGATTTACGATTTTTTGAACTTTCCTGAGAAAGACCAGTAACTTAAATAGCTAAATAATGGGAGTTTGTCTACACAATGGCAAATTGCATTTATTCACGTCATGATGAAATTATCTAGTAGTAATTGCACTCAGCCGGCATCATATCAAAATGTAATTGCATTTGTTAAGCTGGAGTCGACGTTGAATCTGAATGGCGATGAGGTTTATGCTAGACACCATGCGATGATGGATATGATGTTGAAGAACAGGTCCAATCATTTGCAAAATGGCTTCCATGATTAGTAGTGTTTAGGGAGGCTCAGTTGATGAAAATGGCAGAGCTTCGCAAAAAGCTTGACGCTGCTGAGAAGGTGGAGATTTGTCGACGCATTCGAAGTGGACAAAGCCCGGAATCCTATCGTAGAGGAAAACCAAGCCGCAGTCTCAGTCGAAGTGAGTAATGATGAAAATTTTTATTGAAAAAAATATTTATATGGAATTCAGGCCGCGCGGCACAAAAGAGCGGAAGGCAGAGACGATTTTCGAACAGCTTCGAAGACAAAGATTTTGTGCAACATATTGAAGAAGTAAATTGAACAAGAGACCCAAAATACATCTGATTATTTTTAGCAAAACGCCGATCCATCGGATTATGACACCAGGGATCCATATAAGAGACTTTCAGCAAATGCTAAACGGTTCAATTATCTTCATAAGGTAATATGATTCGATTCGAAATATTCGTTTATTAAACAATGCACTTTAGCTTGATGATCCCACTCTTGTTGCTTACAAGGACAACTTGAAAAAACAACTTCAAAGACTTGAGCGATTCCGCGAAATTTCGTTCGGACCACATTCGGTGGCGCGTCAACCTCCACCACAACAAGCATCGTGGTTTTTCCGAAGAAGGTATGCAAGCTGGTAATGTTGAGAGTTAGAGTTATTTTGGCTCGATATAGTAGTTGAGTAAAGCACAAGCTTCTGAATGAACACTCACATGTTTCTCAGAATGCTTGAACGTGTTAGATATTATTGTGACGCCTACTATGTACAAGTAGTTGCATCCAACTGATGAAAGAACTCACATTTCTTGAATCCGTCTTACAATTTTTCAGTTTTGATTAACTTTCTTTTTATGCGTTAACTTCCAATTCAGGTCATTGCCTAGTCTAACAGCTTCTGCTCCAGGGAATACCCTGAAGGACCCGTTAAGGTACTAATCCATTACCTGAAACAGGTTTAATGGTATACTGTTCCCCGTATTGTGCCAAATATTTATTTCTTCGAATATTCAATCTTCATATAGTGATCGTGCTTTGACCATTGAAGGAATGTTTTGCTTTCTCAATATTACATTTAACGCGAAACAGGATTATCATCCCCATTTTTATAATATTTATGTGACTAATGCATTCTTATCTATCCGTTTGCACATATATTCACTTCTAGCTTCTGCTTTCTCCCTTTTTCTTTGCTGCCTTTCTAGCAGATTTTAGTTTTAGATTGATTGGGAATCGAAATCCAAAGCTTTTTCATACCCATTTCGTTCCATTGAACAATTACGTTTTATTTTTATTTTTATCAGGAAATGAGGGAAATGGGAATAATGCACAGAGTTCACTTCAGTTCAGCACATGACATTTGAGAGCTTTAGTTGAATATTAAATAAGGTGTAACCCAAGACCCTGGATCCCATTTTTTTATTGGCTTTGATAATGAATAGTGATCATGTGTCATGCTGCCGAATGTGATGTAGCGCACGGAATAATTCATCAAAATTTATGAAACTTCAACAATTCATTTTTCAGAAGTATAATGAGCATGCGGGGAAGAAAACCAATTGCGAGCACGGGTAACAAAACAAATGCAGGTCACGATAGCCGAACGAGTTGCCCACCAACGACGCGTAAAAGAAGAGGTTTCAAAGAATTTATTCGTTGACGCTAATGAAATTTGATTAAATTAAGATTCAAATCCAAGACTTCCACCAATTTCGGGCAGCAAACCAAAAACAATGAGACCTTCTCCGAGTGGCACTGCGTCAAAGTTGCCTCCGACCGGCAAAAAGTTAGAAGCAACGCTAACATAAGCCAAACATTGTCACAATTATTTCAGGCAATCACCTTCCCGTGGTCGACCAATTAACAAACGGCTTACAACATCTACAAAAACCATTGAACAGAAGACGGTTCTTCCACCTGTCACAGGTTTTTTTCTCCAATCAAATAACATTGCGAAGACGTGTTATTCAGGACATGCAATCATTGGCGGAGCAGCAATAGCGACTGCAGCTGCTATTCCAGTCCAAAAACTCATTTCCGAAAAACCAGCATCACCGGAACCAATAAAGCCGCAGACTCTACCACAACAACACTCTCCGGATTTGGAAACGCAAAAGACCTTTGACCGCTCTTCACCGTCGGATGAAGCGAGATACCAGGAACCATCGCAGCCACCAAGTCCTGAAGTGACCCTTGAAAATCGACGCCCGACTCCTGCTGCAAGTCCAGTTGATTCTCATGACGAAAACCATACAAATGGTGAAGAGGCTTCCCATGTTAATGAAGCGTTTTCCGATGGAGATGAGGAAATTGGAGATGCTAAACCGGAATCTTTAATTGCTAGTCCGCAGGTGGCTCAACGTGAAAATGGTGATAATTTTGATGAAAATGTGATTCTCAAACCGGAATCTCCTGATACGTTTTCCGTCGCCGATGAAATCATTGTACCACATAATGTGGAGGACGTTATCACACAACACATTGTTGCTTCCCAAAATACGTCAAACCTAGATTCTGATAGTGAATCGGAGCCTGAGTATGCGGAGGAAGACAAGGAGGAGCTTGCCAAAGATATTGGTCACAATATTGACAATTACGAGCATCACTATTCTGGAGATGTCCCTGAATTGAAGATTGATCAATTCAACAGCAAGGAGCCATCAGAACAGGCTTCAGGACCTGTTTCTGAACACGATTCTCAACCAATGTCTCCAAAAGAAGAAAATGAGAAGAGCGAACCAATTAATTCACCTGAAATTTGTGTTCATGAAGCTCAGGATAATCAAAAGACGGAAGAAAATGCCAATAATGAGCAAAATTCTCAAAGATCATCTTCACCGGAAGCACACAAAGAGCACGACTTTATCACTGACAAACCGAATGAAGAAGTTCACAATGAACTCCATAAAAATGAAGATCATTCTGAACAATATCAATATGAACGTTCTCATGATAATACAAGTGTGGATGAGGAGAAGATTCAATCTGAAGAACATCTCGAGCAACGCGTTGAGGAAGATAGCCTTCCGAATTTTGAAAAAGGTGAAGGTATTGAAGACGAGGCAATTAAGTACGACGTTCATCAGCAAATGGAAGAAAAATCATATGATTCAATACATGCAGCTGAACTTAAAGCTGAAGACGTCCTTAACAATGAAGAAATTAGCGATACTATCGAAATTCCAGAAAGAGAGCATGAATCTCCTGAACCGGAAGATCACTTGTCTCAAATTGAACAAAATTCGCCGGAACCGCAACGTCGTTCCCCAGAAGTAGACAACCATTCCGTTCATGAGAACCACACTGCAGAAATTGAGCAACATTCTCCAAATCGTCAGAATCATTCTCCAGAAGTTGAGCATCGCACCCCCGAGATTGAACATCATTCTCCAAAACTCGATCATCACTCTCCAGAACTAGAACATCACACTGTCGATCTTGAACATCGTTCTCCAGAGCTCGAGCATCACTCTCCAGAACTTGAGCATCACACTGTCGATAATGAACATCATTCTCCAGAGCTCGAGCATCACTCTTCAGAACTTGAGCATCACACTGTCGATAATGAACATCATTCTCCAGAGCTCGAGCATCACTCTCCAGAACTTGAGCATCACACTGTCGATCTTGAACATCATACTACAGAGCTTGAGCGTCACACTTCAGATATTGACTATTCCTCTCCAAATCATGATCATCCCTCTCCAGGCATTGAGCAGACTTTTGAATCCGCAGACATTCGTGTCGATATTGAAAAAAATATCACAAGTCCTCGTGACCATTTCACTGAAGCGATCAGCCAAGAAGCAGACAGTGAGGCGGCGAAGTTAATCAATGAAGCACTTACGGATGCGCCAGCCCTTTTGGAAATGGCTAAGAATTATGAAGATCAACATCCTAATGAAGCTCAACAGGAACATACCATTAATGATCACGAGCAGAAAATTGCTCTCGATCCTGATCACTATGAGCTCAATTACGATGGAGCGCAAGAAGTTCACCCCCAAAACGAAATAATGACGTCAATATACGAAGAGAATAGTAAAATCGATAGTAATGTTGCCGATGATGTTACCCAATCGCGATCTTCATCTCCGGAGGCACAACTCGCTTCGGAGCCTGCAGTTTCGTCAATTCCGCACATGGAGGAGCACGATTGGGTAGAGAAAAACAAGCATATCCATCAAGTCACCACTGAAAATGAATTTGTTACCGAAAGCGGCGACCGTGTTATTGAGAAATCTGAAGTAATCTCAATTCGCGAAACAAATCACGAGGATAACGATGTGATCCAAGATAATCAAACGCATGAAATGAACGTTGACAACGGATCTAGCGAGTCGTTGGTTATTCATGATTCGCCGGATCAAATGATCCAATCAATTTATCAACAATCGGAATCTGCAGATGAGCATGTCGAAGAGCACGAATATGATGATGGAAACAAAAATATTCATGAAGTTATTAAAACTTCCGAAATTTTTGATGAACATGGAGTAACTAAAGTTACCCAGTCGGAAACTGTAAGTTTCATTAACGCAATAAATTAAAATTAAGATATACCCTTTAAGGTTATTTCAACCATGCTCAAATCGGGCCATGAGGATGATTCTGCCAACAACAATGGAGAAAAAGAAAAACAAGAAATTGTAGAGAATACGTAATAAATTTCAATTAATTGAACTGTATAATTTTTTTCCTTCAGAAATGGTAACATAAATCATGAATCTGCAACTAGTGGAATCCCTACAGGAGGAATAATCGTAGATGATGAAGAGGAAGAAAATGTTTCGTCAATCTGAACAAAATATGCATTGATTAAATTTTGATCTCTGATTCCATTTTATTTCTGCTTCTTTAAAAAAATTTAAATAAAAAAAAAAACAAAAAAAAACCAAAACTCAAAACACAAAACACTAATTAGATATTAGCAAACTCCTGTTTCTAAAATTTTGTAAGGCATTAACCTTTACTGGTTATTTTGTGCACTAAGATTTCACTACACTATTACTCCTTACAATATTAAGCCCAATAGACCTTAAAATCACCTTAATTTCTAGATTTGTATGCGCATCCTGCTTGTGATTTTCTATAATTTGAAACAATTTTTCGCCGCTTAAATTGTTTTTTATATAACACGTCGTTTGATTTTTAAAAATAATCGTATCATGTTTTTTTTTATTTAAAGCTTTCTGTGGTGTGTTGGTGAAATCATAATAGAATTTAATTGAAAGTAATAAAGTAGTTAATTGTGGCATTGAAGCTGTTTGATCTAAAGAAAATGGGCGTTAAAAAGGAAACAATTCCTCTAAAAGAATTGTATAAAGAAAAGTAAATTCGAACATTCGCTAATATATTACAATCGTTAAGAAATGGTACCATTGAGGAAATGTTTATTTTGATTTTTAGTATGATGATGGCCGCAGGCATTTATTAATGTTTTATTTCCACAGTCTATATTGAGATTTTAATTATTTTTATTTCATGGTGATGGTATAACGGATATTCATATAACAGATATTTTGATATTCATGTGTTAAGCTGCTCTAAATTTTAACATTGTCTATTTTCTTATAGCTTTTTTTTCGTTATATTCTTTTCTTTTTTTTCATTTTTTTGTTGGACTAATGATGATTCCGATTTTCATGGCTGTCGTTTTCGGTTTTAAAAGTTGATTATGACTATTTCAAATCCCTAGAGATTAATGTTGGTATAAGATCTTGAAAGCATTTGCAAAGAAATTGCGCCTTGGCAAAGACAAATTACATGGCATTTGAAAACTTTTACTGATGATTTAACGCAATTTTAAATAGTTTTAAAAGCAATGACTATGTATTTATTATTTATTAATACAAATTATTTTATTAAATATTCCCTTCGCGGCTGAAACGGAAACGGAACAACTTTTTCCGTTTTTCCGCATAAACGAAATTTGGTGAAATTTATTTTGTTTACACAATATATCTGAATGATATATTTTATTGATATTGTTTTTTAATTATATAAAATATGAGCGTTTTTGCCTGTGGAAAAGGAGTTCCGTGTAACCCTAGTCTACACAAAACACAAGTTAACAAATGTCTGTTTTTACGTATTTTTTTAAATTTTGTTTCGATATTTGTTTTTTTTTTAATAAAGATCATTGAAGTTATCAATTTTTATCATTACACTTATATTTTTGTGTTGGAAGTATTACACTTCATTTGATGAACACAAACAATTTTTTACACACACTCCGTGTCCGCATTTTGTCGTCCGGTGTTTACACAGATTTCAAAATAAATAAAATACACATTTTCACAAGTAGTGTAATATCCTCAAGTATTTCATTTCCATTTGATCAGTTTTATTTATCAATTAGGATGAAAAAAATATTGTTAATCAAAAAAGTGCAAATTCTTTGCAACGTGTTAACACGATAACGAAAATTGATTTTATTATCAGCACAACCTCTTTCATCATTATTTCAGACCCGATCGTATACTTCGACCATCAATTGATAACGTTATTGACTTGTAGCCTACAACAATCAATGATAGGCTTTACTTTGAGTATTTCGTTTTTTTTTTTACAATTTGTCTGCGATTGCGACCTATTAATGAATGTTTTGCAGATGTCAGGAAAAAGTAAAGCTCTTTTCCATGCCGCATTCTTCTCGATGTTTGTCATTGTGGCGGTTAAGGATTATCAAGTCTTAAACGGACAATATCTTCCTATTCCTTACAACTTCTTTTCGAGATTTGTTTGGTTGACCTTAATTGATTTGGTAATTTAACACGAATGCGAAACCATTTAGATTTTTTATTTCAGTATGCCCAAATTTTCTATCATTTTTATGGGTTCATCAAGGCTCTTTCTTCACCGAATCAAAATGCCAGAACATTTGATTATATGGCTCGTGTAATTGTCGGTCCTATTGGAGTGGTATTAAGTTACTGTTTTACTCACAAAATCAAGTCTTTGTAGGCTGTTACCGTTTTGTTCTGGACCCTTTGGATTTTTGATCCGGCGACTTTAGCCAAAGATGAAATGGCGAAGAAAATTCATTCTATTCAGTGGTTCAACCATGGATTGGTATTAATTCAAAATGATTTTTAATAGCTTTTAAACTTTAGCATACACTTCCGTTAATCTCTTCTCATTTGGACGTGTATCTCTGGAAACATCAGACATTTCCGCAACCAACGGTTATGAAGGGAATAATGGCGTTCTGTGTTCTGTATGTTATCGAGTGAGTCAATTTTCAAATCAAAATACGAACAAGTATCACAACTAAAATTCAGTATCCACGCCGTCTATTACATTTCTGGTTTCTGGGCTTATCCAATTCTCGGACAACTAGCTCCTCCATTCCGAATCTTCTTCATCGTTAGCTGCATTTTCATTGTCTTCATTTGTCATATTTGGTTGTCTTCTTTCGATCTCGCCGTTGATACCGTTGCTGGACGCAGAACCATTAAAGCAAAACGTCGTTAAATCACCATTTTTCACTAACTTTTAAATAAATGTATTCATTCATTCGATTAGACACTAAAATTAAAAAAAACATGAAATTGGCTATGGATAGTTCGGAGAACTATTGTTTCAAAAAGTAAACATTGTGAAGATAAGGAATGTCGATTGAAAATAAGAATAGCTTATATTTCGCAGAAAAAATTATTTTAATCCTTCTTCATTCTGGTTGTTGTCATTCTATAGATGATCGAATCCTTTCCTGGGTCCATCGACATCATTCCAACAACAATGTAAATGAGTGCCTATAATTTGAAAATTCAATATTTACACTTCCTTTTTAGAACTAACCAAGACAAGAACAACAACTAGTCCGACGAATATGGCGAAAATTGCTGGATAATCAGGAGCAACCGGATAGGTGATTTGGTATCTTATGCGCATTACTTCGAAGATGTTCTTTGCCTCAGTGTTGGCGTCTCTCTTGGTGATGTGGTGAGCTGGGATCGAGGAGTCATCGACCTTCTTGATGGCTCCTTCAACGACAATCACTTCAACAATAGCTTGTCCTCCATAGGCGTTGGCAATTGCGGTGTTCAATGAATTGATAGCGTTCTTGATATCTTCGATAGCAATTGCACGTTCAGCCTCATCGCTCAATCCCGCAAGTTCAGAGATTGTCACTCGAAAAACGTCCGCTGTGTTTCCGATTCTAGGTCCCTCAGCTTTGATAGCAGCAGCCAATTGATAAACGGCCTCAAGTTCCTTACGAAGTTGAGAATGTTTAGTCTTGATCGCGCCGGTATCAACATTTTGCTGTTGAGCTCTCAATGCAAGCTGCGATCCGGTAATTCCTCCAGCAGAAAGTTGAACTGATTGACGATCTTGTCCAAAAACAATTGCAAGCTCCTGCTCAATTCCGACCGTTTCGATTCCGTTCTAAAACATAGTTGAACAAAAAAAAACTAAATGTAACAACTTAATTACCTCTTCAACGGCGTAGGATTTTCCAACGTTCAATCTTTCGATTCCTTCAACGTTGATGACGGCAAGAGCCCGGGGACGAGAAAATATGTCAACCTCAACATTGAAACCTGAAAAATTCGCTAGATTCCTTCAAAACGTTCTACTAATACCTTCCACTGGCTTTGCAGAAAGACCAAGAATATACTCGTTCAAAGAAGAAATTTGAGTTGTCTTCAAATCTGTAGCCGTTTCCGGTAGCTTGAGATTAGCCGGGGAAGAAACAATTTCGAGGGACGATCCATAGCACAAAGCCAACAACGCTGGCAGGACAACCAAGAATTTCATCTGAAATTAGACTCTTAGCAAATGAAACAATAAAGCAACAAAAATATCAAGTATAGCACTGTTTTAAAACAGGTGAAGAATTTAATAACAAGATTCGTCGTAAACTTATATACTTTATATAGTTGTATTATGATAGAAGATCCCGCTGAAAGTATAAAATTAAACTGTTACCCATCGTGATCACATATGCAACAACGAAAAAAAAAATAAGTTGGAGACTTAAAGAAACCAAAAATTATTGCTAAACAACAAGCGGCTATACAAAAAAGCTCTACCCAACTATGCGAATTAAGTGACACTTAACACGGGGTTTGTTTTAAAATTTCTACTATAACACAATAATAATGAATACTAAAAAAATGTGGTTATGATGGTGCTGATTATGATGATGACTTTGAAAATCCATCCGGTGCAACTTTGCATTGTTTTGGACGATTAATCATAACTTTAATGACGCCTTGCAAATCGGCGCTCACAATTGCCTAAATAGTTTATTGCAAATAAATGTTAGCAATAGAGCGCAACTTACATGTCCGGCAAGAGTGATGTTGCCATTTGATGTTATAGAGTCAGAATGACCGACCTGGTGATCAAAGTCAGGACTTTCACCCTTTTGTTTCTTCTCTCTTCTCTCCAACATTGAAAAGAACACTTGCGGTCTCGGAGCGAAAATCGCAACAGAAACCGCGGCATTATGCGTTCGTACCCTCTCCCACATTGAATTTCGATCTTTTCGAACTGATAACGATGATGGCATCTCTCCAGTTCTCCATAAGTAGACAAACCTGCAAACATGGATGTTTGGATTAGAAAATTTCAAAAATTTTTACTTGTCTTCGGATCCACAAATAATATGCCGCCCGTCAGGAGAAAAAGCGGCTCTAATTTGAGAATGGTCATTTTGCACTCCTTTAAATTTGCATGTTAATGCTTTATCGCGAATATCGTACATTCGAATACGAGAATCATTAGAAGTCACCTGTAAAATATAAGTATAACTTTGAATGGTCATGAGATGTTCCAGACCAAAAGTTTGTCACCGTGTACCGCTAGCCCGGTAACTTTATGCCCTTTCGCATTTTTACCGCGAGTTGAACGAACATCTACGACAGTGTGGTATTTAAGTTGCTAAAATTGTTATTTTCAGTTTTAGAATAATTATATATTATATGTTCTTACATCTGTTGTATAAAAGTAACATCGTCCGTTGTAAGTTCCAACAACAGCAAATTTTCCATTTTTCACAAATGTGATTGCCGTTATAAACTTTACCTGCAATTAATTCATTTTCAAACATCAATTAAATTTTCTGTTGATGCGTCTGATTAATTTAAAACGACTCTCACAACAAAATCAATTTCCTTCAAATTGTGGTATACCTGAACTTCGTTCCAAACGGCCACTTTTTTATCAGGAATGTGCCAGAGCCTCAACTTCCCATCAAGAGAACCGGAGAGAAAATAACGATCATCTTTGGGAAGGAACGCAACACATGTGACAAAATCGATATGTTGAAAGCAGCAAAGACATTCGTTTCTTGACAAATGCCACAATTTGACAGTGCGGTCCATTCCAGATGACAAAATGAAGTAGTTTTTCGACCATGATAGATCCAAAATATCCGCAGTATGCCCCTTAAGTAATGCAAATGGTTTTGCACAGAAGAGGTGGGAAGAGTCTTCATCAGATGGAGATTCGCCTAAATATCAACCGTTGTCAATTTTTTAAATTTCCTACTAATATCATTACTATTCACAACGCTCTCCATTGAGCTGGGAGGCCGAAACTGATCAATATCGTCCATCGGATTGAGTGGATTGCTCGAATTTTCCATATTAGCGGCGTATTTTTCCCGCATATCAGAGAAATATTTCAAATGACTTCGCACAACCCAGATTCTAAGAATTGAGTCTTGCCCGGCAGTGGCCATTAAGCGCCCGCACACACTGAACTTGATGCACCAAACTGCACCAGTATGCTCATTATCAAGTTCCTGCTCCACGGTGAGGTTTTCAAAATCGAAGGGTCCTTTCTTGCTTTTTCGCGGTCTCACAATATTTGCGATGGAATGGTGAGCTTCATCACTGTCTTCTCCTTCAGTACTTTCTTCTCCAATCTCAGACCGTGAAGAAGTTGCTCTGAATAGAGGATGTTTTAATAGTACTTTATTGCATACGAGCTACCCTGTGTATGCCGTAGCACCTCGCACACGTTTCAGAGCGCCGCGAAATATTCCGCTGGCATACCTCACCGAGTTTCTTGCAAAATTTTTGGCCTGGCCAATGCTTGAACGAGCCACCGAAAGGCGAGAAGCATCATCATCACTGCAACAAGTTTATCAGTTTTTGTTTAGAATTTTTGTGTTACCTAAGGCTCAGACTGTTGTGATCATCTTGGCTTTGACCGTTTCTTTTCATACTAAGCCGTCGTTCAACGTCTAGAGTAATAGGATCAAACGACCGCGAATTCCTGTTGTTTTTCGTTTTAAGCTCATCATTTGACATGCTTCGCGAATGCTGAACATAAAATTAGTTAGGTAACTTAAAAGGCACACAACTACCATTTCTCGTTTAAATGAAAGGGGATACTCCGAAGGGCATTCTTCAAAGTTAGCATATGATCGTGATGTGCATGGTTCTTCCAATTCTTCTTCCAGGACGACTGTATTTGCTATATCCCGTTTTTTATTATGCGCAGTTGATGCTGAAGAATTGGAGATAGTTGAATTGTCCAAAGATGCAATAGTTTCGAGTTGTGACTGTAAATTCTAAAACATTTTTGTTGGCAAACCATTTCATCAATTTTCCCTACCCGTTCATAATTTTCTTGAGTATTCACTTCAAACTCCGTAGTGATTTCTCGAATAACTCCTTCAGCTGCAGAATTGCGTTCTTTTTCTTCTCCATCAGCTTCTTGGCTCGTCAATGTTATTGATTTGTTGGCCGGAGGTGGAAATGGTCCCGTTTTGATGGCCTTGGCTAAAGTCAGACCCCGATCCAGTGAATTCGACTTCTTATGACATTTTGCATTTTGTCCTTCGTCACAAATTGTTGATGAAACCGAATCATTTGATTTTGAGCAGCTTTGATCATACAATTGTTTGCTTTCTTGAGTGTCATGCTCAATAGTTTCATTTTCTGTTGCTCTAAATTTGAATATTTTTTTTACATGATTAAGTGAAGAGAAAACATACATATGTTTGTTTTCTTGCATCCGATTTTCCATTTCGAGGGAAATAGGATTTGGGAGCTTCAAAGCCGGAGTTCGAGGAGGTAGAGGCGGTGGAATTCGTGGTATGTTCACCTTTGGCGGCGTTACGTTTTCTCTTAATGGGATTGGCGGTGGAAAACGCTGTCGAGGAGACAATAATGGAATTGAAGCACATGGTGATGATTGTGTTCTAGTTTTTTGGTTTGTGTCATTAAATAAAAGCTGCGAAGGCGGTCGAGGTGACTTGAAATGCTCAAATGTATCAGATGCAACTGATGGCGGAACCGACATCGCACATGTACTCATCGTGTCTGTCGCATTAACAACCTTAATGAGCACAGATTGAACAAATAAATTTCGTAAAATAGTTTACCAGTGTATCGCTACGATTGAGTATATGTTGATGCCAGGATTGAAGGCTTGGTGCTTCGCTCATAGTGCTTACTGCATCGTCGACGTCATCCAAAGGAGATTGCATCGATATTGCTTCTCGATTTCCAAATTCCAGATTCATTCTACGACGGAGGGTAACCAAACGATCCCGATGAGAAGTGTCATGATGAACACTACTTCCCTAAAATTACATTTGTTTATTATATATATATATATATATATATATATATATATACCCCCGGTGTTTGAAATAGTGCACTAGATGGTCGTGGAGTAGTTAAATTGCCTAAATTCGCTTGCCTAGGTGCTCTAGGCACTGGTGCAGTGCGGCTCCAATCTAAGTCAACATGCAAAACCGCGGGACGCTGAGGTGTGTTTTGAATCTAAAAAAAGAATATTCAAACAATTTGAGTTGAAGTACTCACGGTAGAAATTATTCCTGAATTACGAAAAGCGAATGGAGTGGTATTGAGCGGTGCAATAGACTCATCAACAGCATCTTCGAAATCATCTTCATCATCTATCGATGTTGAAGCCATGATTCATGTTGGAATAATAGTAGAAGACAAATATCTAAAAGCATTCGGTGTGTACTCGACATTGACAACAATGGATGAAGACGGACGAATGAGATTGGTTCATATTGTGATCAAAAACTGTTAGTGGGAAACCATGCAAAACCAAAGACCGCAAAATGTTCATTGCAATGTGTGCCTTTCACGTCGATAAGGTAGAGACGCATAGGAAATTTGAGGGCAAGCGCGCCCCATGGACAACGTTACGAGTGTCGGTGAAATTCATTAATCGCAACAGTGTAAAATAATGGGAAATTTTCATGAATATCTTGAAGAATGACCAGATGGTTCCAATAAAACGAGAAATATAGTTGTTTTTTTCACTTTTGTTTTCAATGTGGAAGTCATAGACTAACAAATAGTAAGAAGTCAGTAAACAAGAGATAATAAATAATAGAAAAAAACACATTAATATCAAAAAATAAATTTCAAAATATCAGAATTGTTGAGAAACAAAAATCTCGAATAATTCTGCATTATTTTCAAAATGTGACCCTAATAAACATTTCTGCTAATTAAAATGTGTAAAAGAAATCATAACGAGTTTAAACAATTAAAACGAAAACAATTCTTCATAGAAATTGATTTAAAAAATGTTTATAACTTTTTAGGATTTATTAAAGAAAACGAAGGTTAAATCGTTTCATCTATGCGAATTATTAATCAAAACCAAAAAAAAAAGGGGGGGGCAACTATTTACCCTCTTTACGGTTTAGTTTAGGAAAGTACTAAAAACAATACTTGTTTGAAATTATTGTTTTTTTTTTGAATTTCACTACTTTTGCTGTATTTATAAAAATCTTTGAATTTTTTCAAAGCTCAGTTTCGGAATTGCATATTTGGAAAGAGAAAATCAACCAAGAAGCATCATTATCATAATCAATTACCATTCAATAACTCTACTTAATCTATTATGTTATACCAAACATTTTCTTTAAATGTTTAATGTTCAATTTTCTTTTTGCCACATTTTATAAATTTAGTCTTCATCACTGTGTTCAACCACAAAAACATGCTAATAAATTATCGTCTAAAATATTCATTGAACTAAAATGTGATATTTATTGAACTCATTGAATACCAGAATCGATATATTAAAGGATAAATTTGAAAAAAAAACGAGCAAACGTTTATAGAATACGTATGTAAAGCAAATAAGAGAAACAATAAAATTTGCATTTGTGTTGACAATTCGATGACTAATATGGTTGAAAATTATTATGAAATATCGAAATATTCGCGAGAACATTGAAGATCGTCGCCAGCGTGGAATAGCAACAATTCTTCAAATTGCGAATTCGTTGGTCGAAAACTATTCGCGATCATCGATAGATAAGAAATAGCATCAACGACAGACAGACGAGGCAACATCGATTCGTGGAAATTGTCAAAATAAAGAAATGGTTAAGGTTAATTATATGGTTAAGGGCACTTTTAACACTATTGGGCTATTTTTAAACTTTGTACAGTACAAAAAATTTATTTAGATCTCAAATTTATCAATAACGGCATCAGCAAACTCGATAGTAGTAGCATACCTAAAAAAAATGCTAGTTATTTCACCGAGATTATGATTCGATCTGTTCCAACGTTTAATTTTTGTCTGAATAATGTTCATTTTCTAACATATTACACAAAGCATGAAATCATATGCAAATAATGGGAAATATTTAATGTGACACAAACTTAGTCTAAACGCAATCCAATTTGCATATCATTGAAAAGTTCTCTTTTCCGTTTTTTTTTTTCTAAAATAAATGCAACAAAAATCAGTTTTTGATATATATATATATATATATATATATATATATATATATATATATATATATATATATATATATATATATATATATATATATATATATATATATAAGTTATAAAAACACGAAATAAAGCAGTTATAGAAACTTACCCTCCCATATCTCGAGTACGGACTTTTCCTTCCTTAACAACTTTCTCCAAAGCGGTGCGAAGTGCGCTTCCCCAAACTTCCAAATGCAAATGGTTCAGCATATTAGCAGCGCAAAGGATCATAGCAGTTGGGTTCGCAATGGATCGTCCCATTGCCTCTTGGAAAGAGTGACGACTTCCTGGTTCGAAGATGACGTAATCGCGTCCAACAGATTGCCCTGGCACAACTCCGGCTCCTCCAACAAGTCTGAAATGAATTATTCATCACATTTTGCAGATTTAATTGGATAATTACCCGGCAGCCAAGTTGTCGATGATATTTCCATAGAGGTTTGGCATAACCATGACATCAAATTGTTCAGGTCTTGAAACAAGTTGCATGCAAGTGTTGTCAATAATCATCGATTCGAATTCAATTTTTGGGTATTGCTTTGAAATCTCTTGGCAAGTTCTCAAGAACAATCCGTCACCAAGTTTCATAATGTTAGCTTTGTGGACCGCGGTAACCTTAATTTAATATAAAATTGGGAATGTTGAACGCTGAACACCTTCTTTCTTCCAGTCTTAGTGGCATAGTCAAAAGCAAATTTAGCGATTCTCTCACACTTTGGGCGAGTAGAAATTTTCAAGCATTCGATGACACCAGGAATGAGCTGATGCTCCAAGCTGGAATATTCGCCCTCAGTTTGCTCGCGAACAATTACAAAATCAAGATTCTTGCCATGACGAGTTTTTATGCCATCCAATGTCTGAACGTCAATTTAATCAAGAATCTGTAGTGAAAATAAGCTACCTTGATATGTACAACATTTGCGAACAAGTCGAGAGATCGTCTCAAACGCATGTTCAATCCCTGGAGTTCTCCTTCGGTGTGCAAAACGGCCGACTCCTCTATAGCACCTTTCAAAGCTACATTGTTGTTTTTCGCAATAGACTCGACCGCATTTTCAATCGACGATGAGCGAGTGTAGTGGACTTCCGAGAGGAAAATCTCTATAACAATTTAGCTATTTTTTCATTCGTCAAAAAAAACCTTCGAATTCGATTGGAATTCCCGTCTGTTTCACGATATCTTGAACGGTATAGATGAGCTCAGGTCCAACACCGTCTCCAGGAATGATAGTGACTTTAAGCTTCTGTGAAAGCTCCGTCGGGCTTCTTGGGGCAGTGAATGACGAATTACGAGATTGAACAATATTCGAGCCAGACAGTGCCTGAGGGGCAAATCGGCCAATGTTGGAGAGCGTGCGAGACAACATCTGTAACAAGCAATTCATAAATGAAACGAAACTATAAATCGTTTTGTGAATGTAATCGCAATACTATTTGTAACAAAACAAGCGGCGAAACAAACACAAATAATGCGCCCAAGACAACGGGCGAGGTGCACTCACTGCGGATCAGCGCGCTGCCAACTTGGCGTCATTTGCTAGCGCAATTGATTTCGATCAATTTGTGATGATTTCGAAGATGATAAAGCAAAATATTAGGTTTCAATTCAGCAGCAAAAACGAAATGATAATTTTTTTAAAAGGAGCAGTCAAAAAATATTTTTTTTAAGACATGAAAAACAATAGAACTACTATTATATTTAACAAAGGAAAACATATAAATTGGAAAAAAGATTTAAAAGTTTGAATGATTTTTGAATAAAACATAATTAAAACAGAAATGTCAGTTACCATAATTACATTTCTTTTATTTTATTAAAATATTAAAAAGAGTTTTTCAAGGTACGAAGGAAATCAAATTTTCAATGTAAAAAAAACTTATTTTTTAAATTTTATTTCGTAAACTTTTCAATCAATATTATTGTTTATTTACATTCATTTTTTTTTCATCATTGTTTCATCATTTTTTCTGTTTTTAGCTAACATTCTAATTCTCTGCAGAAGATGTAAAGCAATAATTCAAATTTTCTAGTTAGTTTTAACAACATTTCCTTTATATAATTGTGTAAACACGCGGCCAGAATTAATATGCGATTCGCAATAAACCTTTACATGCATTTGTAAGGTTTTGACCTTGGACATTTGGTGTCTATTCTTCAACCAGTATATCGATTGTTCCGAACTTGTGTTTTTTTAGGAAATGTCCAAATTCTCATTGGCTATCTCAATTATTTTTGCAATCATTTGGAGTTCTGCATTATATTTCGACTTCACTTGGCAACCAAGATTGGGACATGACTGGTACATTTACAAGCTGATAATGCTGACAAATATTAACTTTGTAATTGATTCTGAGTGTTATTCATTATTTTAAACAAATTTTAGGTACTTGATACAATATATTCTGTATTGGTCGTTATCAGTTACAAAGGAACTTTTCAAGACATAACCGATTTCATGTTTTTCACTTCAGTCTTTCCTATTGCAGTGGTGAGCGTTAGATTCATTTCATATCAACTGGTTTTTTTAGGTGACGAGCGGTCTTTTCTGGGGATTATATGCAATTGAGCCCGAATTGGTGATGCCAGCCTGGGTCGCACGACTTATTCCTTCATGGTTAAACCATGTCACACATACATTACCTATTTTTTATGTTCTTCTGGAAACGCGTGTTCATAAAAGGTAATATTTTTCTATTACAGCAAAATTTCGTGGAAATTATTTCAGAAAGTTGCCAACAAAACGTACCTCATTTATAATGTCATGTCTTTTAGTATTTTTTTATTTTGTAATGTACGTTTAAGATTAATTATTAGTTTATTTTTTTTTCTCCAGAATATTTGCAATTAGGTACATCGATGGCTTCTGGATTTATCCACTTCTACAACTTTTCAATTTCCATCATTTCGTTTTGGCGTATATCGCCGGAGTTGCTGGATTTTTCAGTTTAACACAACTGGCCGTCATTTTATCGGGTTTGGCAAAATATCAATATTCTAATATTCAAGTTTTCATTATTTCAGGCAATCGAAAAAATTCCTCGGAAAAGTTTAAATCAAACTAAAAATTGAAAATATAATAAATATTTCAAAATGTGTGAAAAAAAGGTGTAATGTGATCTGCACGAAGCCGGTCAAGTAATATCTTAAAATTCAAAGTACTACGCTGTGCAAATAGTGTTGACCGTAGTTTAGTATGGATACCGGTCGACATCATAGCAATGATACTGCGCGTGCAATTCGATACCCTCATACGTGGAATGTCATAACACCTTTGCTAATATTCCGACACTCTGCAAACAAGTATTTTGTGAAATAGGAATGATATTTGAAAGATTTTCTTTTGAAATAGTGCGCGCATACCTGTGAAAAACCAATAACACAAAATTTAAAAAAAAAAAACTTCGATCTTCAGAAACATAATTGCTTGCTGTTCATTGAAAATTATAAAAAACGTTTTCCACCTGAAATTATTCCACAATTGCTTAATTCAATGTTCAACTACTATTTCCGATTTTTAGCCCAATACTTGTTACGTGTAGGCGTTATTGTCGAATTTCATTGCAAATAAAAAAATCGGAAAATTTGTTTTCTGATCAAAACTTCATTTGACTCAATAGAATTGCATTCATATGCTTATCTGTTGTCACGTTAATGAGATTATCACGGATTAGACGATTCTAATAACAATAGCTACCAATTCGTTCTGTAACTCTCAATACGATCGGAATGCGCTTTATCTCATCTCAATTGGACACTTCAACACTACGCTCGTCTATCGGAAGGTGTTAGTGCCCTAATGAAGAGGGTGTACGCACCGTATTCTTGAAGAAAAATACGGCGAGGCACAAGTGGATTACGCCACTCAATTTCCTTTTCGGTCACCGACGATGCATGCGAACGCAAATAAATGCTGCTCCTGAGTGGCACAGTTCAGAAGAATTGTGCTTTATGGCGATTGCGTTCAAAAATCGCGCAATGTTTGGCACCAAGTGCTCTTTGCCTTTGGTGAATATTCCGACACAAAAAAACCAAATTCATTAATGCAATAAAAATCAATACTGTGTATATAAAAATATCTGGGAATACGAGAAGCGGAAGCAGAACTACTGAATGACACTAATGTATTTCAGGAAGTATCATTAAGTATTAAAATGTAACGGGTGCCAAGGGGTGGAAGAGATCATTAAATATCCGGAAGGAATGTCATGTTCACTGTGATGAATATCAGTTCAGAGTTGTCCACCGCAATACGCTGCATTGTTTGGAATATAATCGTTTCCATAGCTCTGATAATAGTAATTTGGAGGGAAGTAGTTGTTGAAATACGGATAGCTTGTTGTCGTATAAGGCCATACTGAAAAAACAATATTAAGAAATGGCAGGTTTTGCTGTGTGATTGCTCACGCGAAGCAGCCGTCGCTTGTTGCTGAGCAATTGCGGAGTTTCCCGATGGATCGTATTTGATATCAGTTAACCCGAACTTTGAATCTTCTGATGAAATAATATCGGATTTTGCCAAATTGGTGTGTTGATATTTGGCTTCGTTGCGCATATTGAATTCTTCGCTTCCAGGAATAGGAATCATCGGCATTGAAACTTTCAGGTCCTTTGATTCAGACGGTGGGGAATCATTTGAAGATCTAAACAATTTTCTTCAGAATCAAAGGGAATTCTTAAATTCTTACCCAGACGGAGTACGCAATGAATGACAACGCTCCCCGTTTTTCTTCAGCTGTCTATCCTTGGCTCTACGGTTTTTGAACCAAACCTGAAATCATCAAATTTATTTCAGCTACATTGAATCACGGTGCTGTAGAAGAACACACTCTTTACTAAATTGTTTCAAACAACTAAAAAAAACATTTAAAGGTGATGATTATTCATGAGTTAAATTCTCACATAAGAAGAAGAGTGATAACAAAAGAAATACCGTGATCACCTGCACCCGGCCTTCTGGTAAGTTTATTGCTTTGGCCAGAGCCTCGCGACGGTAGAGGTCCGGATACTGTGTCTCTCGAAACACATTTTCCAATTTTTCCAATTGCACCCGATTAAACGAAGTGCGTTCACGTCGGCCACTTCTTCGGGAATTATCCCTGAAATTATCCGAATCACAAATTCTGTACTGATAGTCTTAGAGTAATCTCCAGATGATACCCTAATCTTTATCTGTTTGCCGACGCGGATTTAGGCATTTAATAACTGACCCGTGCTGTGAAACGGCTGCCGAATTATTTCCCGATGACGTCGCTGGAATTGTTGCTGACGTCGCGTTCGCCATCGTCGTCGGTGTTGTGAAGAACTGCGGATAAGCGGCGTATGGCAGCGAAGCACTGAATGGCGGGAACGTCGTGTAGAATGGAGCTGGATTTACCATTGCAAAGTACGACAGAGGGGCGGGAGCAGCGTCTGGAAAATACTTCAATTAAACAAAAGAGCTTCATAGAGACGCAGGTGTCGGTGAAGCTCTACATCGAAGCAACTGCGCATGTGCATGCGCGGCTTTAGAAATCCACGGCTCTGTTCGCTATTATATCACTGTGCAACACGGATTATATCGAATATGAGATTTGTGCATCAATATATAAATGAAATAGGTATTAGAAAACAATACAAGAAAATTTCTACTATTCAAGGGATTACCGTTTGCTCTTTATTAATAATCTCAATTTTCTCGAATGCTTTAATGAATCAGTTGTGGAAATGAGGTGGTATAAACATGGGGGTGCAAGCAACTAAATGGAAAATAATGATTTGTACAGTTCAAGAATTTAGAATTTCTATAGGATAATAGGCAACTGTGACGAAATCAAAATAAGAAAATGTAAAAATAAAAGCTACCGTATCTAACTGAAAGGCTTCAATGCATCTCTTTTCAACATTGATTCATAATGGCAATAGGGGATTAACACATTTCTGTGGAATAGACAATAGAAGCAAAAATTGATTATGATACATATCATGTGCCTGAAGGGATGTGGGGTTACGGTAATGCAAATCTAAAAGCGGCATTCTAAACATAATAAATAATGAACTTACAAGGATATACTAATAAAGATAATAATCGAGGAGATTTGGATTAGTCTAGAAGCAGAGGTATTTGACTGTTGTATCGAGCACTTGTACCTCGCTCAATACGATGGGCGGAGCCGCGAAAACTGGGTGGTCCATGGACTCGCCTGCGTTTACGGTGGTGCGGGTCGGCATCTTTTCGCGGAGCACAATAGCGAGTGCCGAAAAAGAGATGCGCGCGATTTAGTGATGAGAACTGTCATGAAATTTTTGATGATGCGACAATTTATCGTCGAAACAATGATGAGATTTGTGGTGTGCAAAAAATGAATATGAGAAATTGGATTTGATATAGCAAGACAACCACTTGGAATCCAAACTGCGAATCAATAATTCGATATATATTTACGACTCACATATTCGTTAAATGCGGTTTATGACGCAGATACCGGTGTAACAGAAATAGCTGTATGAGTTCTCATAAACTATTTCTATATATATACACCATTTATGTCTATTGCTAGTTTGTTTTACTACTGGCAAAATTTTTGATAAAAGTTGCCCAAAATATTTAATAGTTTCAATTTTTATTGAATTAAGCGAACAAACAAAAAACCAAATTCAAATGAAACATTGACAACACCGATAGAGTTGTAAATGAGGGATTTTGAAACGTGACCAGTTTTGAAGCGGATTTGACAAAAAATATGAACTTATGACAATTTTTGGCCTAAGCTGATTTGTTATGTACTACTGCGTCTCTTTTTTTTTCAAATATTGTTAACTGAATTCATTCACGCAGATCAGAGTGAGATATGATGAACGATGTAAATAATTGACACAAAATAATAGTAAAATGGATTTGCGGTTCGAGCACAAAAGTTTTTATTTGATGTGCAGGTGCACTTAATCTTCCAGTTGTCAGAATAACAAAAGGATGCCCAAGATGGATAGTGTGAACAAGGAACTCCCTTGTTCTCACCTGTCAACTGATGACATGAACTGCCCTAAGGATCGTTTCGATATTAATTGTTTTCAGAAATCAATTTTAGAAAGGAAGATACATTATTTTGAAGCATCGATTTTTGAACCGCTTCTTATTTCATGCACGAATTCAGACCAATGCTCAATTACAGATTTCGATCGACAAAACGAGAGGTGTTAATCGAGGAAATATGATGATGTAACTATGTGATGGTTATGTAAATACAAATTGAAGATAGTTGACACATTGTGCAACTAATTCCGGGGTTGCGATGTCATTTTCCGCTTGTGCGCAAAGTTAGACTAATAGTTATGCAACCGTGTAACACTTTAGAACCCATGAATTTTCAAATTTTAACTTTTCGTTTTTAAATTACGATTCACCATTCAAATCAGAACGATAAAAAACAAGAAACGGTAACATAAGCTAAAGATTTCAAAATAAATTCTTTGTTTCGATTAAAACTAGTATAGTATTTTTTTAAAAGAAATTCTCTAATGTACAAAAGAAACGTACCTTTGCAAAAGTCTTTCCAGGTTTTGATTGCCGAACTCAGCACAAGATCCATGTCACCTTTCTTTAGCCTGACGAAAAGCGTGAATGTGAACGCCGGTACGACGGTCGGTGGTTAGTTAATCCGAAAATGTGGGCCTTCCGATTTGCATGTGGTCCCAAAGCACGTGCTGACTAATTAAATGCTTTATTAGCAGGATACCAAAAAAAGGATCGCCGGTTAGGTAGATAATCCGGTCTTATCTGGCAAAACGAAGCTCGGGAACAGACAGGTGTCTCGTCGCACATTTTGCAAAAACAAATTAGAGCTCCGTACGACACCAGGTGGATATTAATACAAATGGTCTCATTAAAATGGATTGTCGGAGTTAATAAATAACTTCAAAAAAAAAATAAAAATAAGAATAAAACTGTTATCGTTTTTGTTTGTGAGTTTGTGATGAGAGATATAAAAATATTAAAGTTAATGATATTCAATAATTAGTGATATTCCATGTTTTTTTTTAGCATTTTGTTAGGTCTCTCAGTATCTATAAGTAATCATTGATTTGATAGCTTGGACGAAAATTAAATATTGATACTATGAATATTTCTAGGCAAGTGGGTCAATAGAAATTGGTCGACAATAAAAATACATATAGTTATGAGAAAAAATTAAGAAATATCTATGGAGATGGTCATATTCTACGATAATTGAATATTACAGGTATCATTTTCTGGAAATAACAGCATTTCAAATTGATACTTTGTGTTTTTATTTTTTCTTAAGAATGCTTAACATATGAATACAAATTGACGTACAATTCTATTTGTTAGATGGATTGTTTCGTATCAAGGCATTATGGTAACGCCGCTCAACAAACAGTTAATTCTGTACTAATCAATGCTCTCAAGATCGACACTGCTGCATTATTATCTCCGGCACTCATTCATTTTGCCCACCATGCACCTGCAACCGTTTTATGCAATCGGTTCAAGTAGGCGCATCTGCTTTTTTTTTTGAAAAACGGCGCGCGGCGTGCACCTTTCATTTTTCGTTCTACATTTCCTCAATAGACACTGATCAGATGAGGTGAACCAGTAATTATGAGCACCTGTCATATGCACACGCTAGTGCAAATTGATCGCTATCAGATGCGTCGATCTGAAGCGTGTAACGTTTCGTAACTGTAGCGTGTAATACGAAACGCATGAAGCAGGTGAACTCATTATAGATGACACAATTTCGATAACTTGCGCATCTCTCTAATAAAAAAAACGTTTTGCTCGGATTAGTTTGGATTGTATACAAAACGACAGCCAGCAATCATAGCTTCAACGAAATGCGCAATGATGTTATTCGTGAAACATTAAATTTTTAATTAGATTTATTTTTCCGAGCTATTTTTTAACAGCTAACTATTTATTTGTTATTTTTTCACCATTCAGATAGTATATTAGGTCAAACTCGTCAACCATTTGAAAGAGGTAAAATTTGTGTTTTTGCAATATTGTTACGAATAAATGACCTGTTTGAAAGATCTGAAAGGTCATGAGAATATATTAAATTCTCTACATTCGCTGACTCATTTTATATTTCGGAAGTGAAAAATTATTTCAAACAATAATGATCTCATATTTCATCATCTTGGCAACTTCTAGTTTTAAATCTATCAGTTTTTGTCTATTAATGAGAACAAACTGTATTGTGCACACATGAAATCCCATGGAAATTTTACGGAAAAGAATATATATTGGATTTTTTGTGGCGGTTCAGGTCAACGTAACTTTGATCTTTTTATAATACTATTCCAAAACGAAAATAGGCTGAGAGCGGGACTTTTGAGTCCGCTCAATTTCAGGTAAACAATGGAATAGCCACAATTAAGTATGCCAGCCTTTGATGTCGCGCGATTGATGTCGACACTCTATTGAGAAGTGAGTCTCACTTCCCAGCGGGAGAACACGATCACGCATGAGTTCCTGTAACCAATCTCTTTTTTGCTAGCAACTGCACATTAGTTGGTGTGACCGTATACATTAATCTGATAAAAAATGTGAGCACTTATCAGTCAGAGTTTTTTCATTGCGTAGCGGTATACGGTAATTGAGAAAACATTGTGATGGTTTTTGGTTTTATTTAAAAATAAATCAAGATTTTTTTATTACAAAAATGACAACAAGAAAATACTACTGTAGTGACACAAGAATGTTAGCTGGTGAGAGAATGAATGTGCGCCACCGACGAAGAACTGCTAATTGGATTGAATGAAACGTGAAAAAATGGAATATCTATAAAGGGATTTGAAATATCGAAGACCAAGTAGCTGCATGCCATAAATAACTTTAAATAGATCATACTGAAAATTTGAAATATATCAAACTTTCCAATAGTTTAAAGGGAACCATTTGGAAAGAAATACGGGGGATTCGGATATGGGTTTGCATACGGATTGTATTGTGAATTAGTATAGCTATTGTATTCAAACATTGGGGCATAATAGCTCGGACAAAATGGATACGAGTTATAAACTGTCGGATTGCTGATAGAAACAGTTGTTGAAGAAGAAGTATTGCTTGCTGATGAGGTTGAATTATTGGCCTGGCTAGTTGGCGAAGTAGTTGAATCCGCATTCCAGGAGTTATCAGTAGAAGTTGGAGTGTCTGCAGTAGTGATCACCTCGGCTTTAATAGCTCGTTTTGGAGTTTCAAGTGGAAGCAGAGCAATTGGCTTGGTGTCACTGAAATTGATTTTTTTAATTGGTGTCAGAAATACCTTTTAAGGTACTTACACTGTCTCTGGCTCGCTACTAATCTGTGGTTGGTAAGTAGGCGAAACATTTTGCTTCGGGCCTGGTGGTGCAGCAGCAGCACTAGCAGTAGCAGAAGCTAAAAATTAATAAGGGTTAGGAACATAACAAAAATTAATCATTACCATTTGATGCATCAGGTTTTGGCTTCTGTTTTTCTTGTTGACGATGTTTTGCGCGACGGTTTTTAAACCACACCTAAGAAATGATGGCAATTCGGTATTGAAAATTAGTTTCTGCTACCTGAATACGGCTCTCCTGAAGCTGAACTTGCTCAGCGACTTTTTCACGAGTCGTCACATCCGGATAATGTGTTTGAGCAAAGAGACTCTCCAATATTTCAATTTGTTGCCGATTAAACGTCGTTCTCTCGCGCCGATTTTTGCGCGGAATCATTGCTGAAATTCCATTTTTCGATTATTCTCTCAGAGAATGTGGGTTGAAAAACAGTCAACGACTGTATGCAAATTTAAATGCGATTATCGCGAAGAATCGAGGACACGAAACGAAGTTGACATCCAACAACTCAAAAATTTTTGCTGCTGAAAAATATTAATGCAACCCGAGTGGGGCCCAAACTCTATCCGGCAAATGACCGTGGCTGGACCGAACGGGTCCTTAATCCTCCGCAACGCACAGTGACAATTATCGCGGCTAAACGAAACCGGTGTATCAAATTTACCTGCACTATAGGGACTTCCAGCAAACATTGTCATTTGCGGAACGCTGCTCATCGAATAATTGAATGAAGCTGGATTAGCAGTTGATGGGAGTGTGTATGCAGTGAACGCACCGTATGTTGTCATTCCTGAAATTATTATTTAAATTCGACATTTGGGATATTATGAACTGTCAAATTTATAGTTTTAACTTTCCAGAAACATTAATATCTCCGGAAGAATTCATTTAAAGGATTATATTCTTAACATGCAATACCCCTAGTTCAGTTTCACGTTTGCTTACAAAACAAGGTAGCTGACATGAAACGATTAAATCACTAATAACAAAGACGATCTGGATGATCGTATTAATCGTTACAAAAGTGTGTATAAAGCGGTTGAAGAGTTGCCGACGGGTCTCGAATGAGCCGACGGTTAAGCGGTTTAGTAGCGCCTCGATAAAATAACATTGGAAGCGAAACACATTTGCATGCGTCGAGTCGTCATCAGAACACGCCCCTATCATGCATAACACTATCGACCTATCAAAACGGCAATATTTTCTATTATTCAACAATTCTTCTATTTAGTAGTTATACCAAACTTGACAGAATCAACTACACGATATAAAGGTAACATTCAAGAAATTGTAAATCGAAAGCATAAATAATAAAAGAATAAAAGTAACTGGTACCATTGACCCCATAAACTCTTAAAAATGAGATTAGGAGCTACTTAGGAGATAATCCCGAATAATATTCGACTAATTTTCCAATGAGTTGGCGCACCAAGAAACTGTCAGTAGGCGGCCGCAGTGTGTGTGGGCGGAGCCAGCGAATCGCGATGCCGCGTGGTGAAACGTTCTTGTCCTTGTAGTAAAATGGAGGTAGAAGTGTTGCGAATTGAATATGTCAAATTGAATTAGAAAAATTGAATGAGAAAATAGTTGAGAAGGTTGAGAATCTGACAATACGCATTCGAAAGGCAACAGTGAGAATGGCTTCACCATTCGAAAATTTTTCAAAGTTCTTTTTTAATGTAAAGGCTTTTTTATTACGTCATGTCATCATAACTTGACGTCCATAAAATAAATTTCAAATTATTTTGTATGTATAAAACTATGAAGAATTTAAAGCATTAATAAATGTCTTGACGCAGAATGTTCCACTGTGGATCACATGAATTATGATTTCTTATAAAATCGAACGACGTCTCATAGAGGAAATTGGGTGACAGGATATTAAATTAACTAGTTAAGAAACTGCTTTCGAAAAGAAATATCAATCAGTTTTGAAAGATTTTTTGCTCACGAAAACTAGGCATTTGCAATGAAACGGATTGATTTGCATTTAGTAAAATACAAACCTCAGAATCCATATCTGAATTCAACATTTGTTTTGACGTCAATAACACTACTGTATTCAAGATAATGCTGGGTTGTTTATAATATTCAAATACTAATTTCACTAATGTATTTCGTTTCTGAGCCGAAAATCTTGCTCTGAATCTACAAAAATCCTCTGATTATCGCGGCTCAGCAAATGTCGTAGGAAATCTCTTGAGAACGTGCGTGTCGTAAAACATCTCAGCTAATTATAGGCATTACACAATTCAAAAGTTGTAAAACTCCCGTGCGCACCGAGTTAATTGCAGAAAACATTTGAATTCGGGTATATCAAGGGTGGTCTAGTGACCTCGAAGCCCTCATAAAACTCGACTCAAAACAAAAAAATGAAAATGTAAAGGCATGAGGGTATCCGTGGAAACTGCTCAATAAATCATACTATCACTTTGATATCTTATCGAAGTGTTATTTGCTTGTATTGCGCAGCATTCCGCATATTAACACGAACCAGGTTACGGCGCTGGCATAGTTAGTTTTTATTTGTATAGTCAATGTTGCGCGACGTTTTTTGGGATGTTCAAAGCGATGCAATTCATATTTGCTCGAAAAAAATTTTTAGAGCTATGAAAATTTTACGATAAAATACTCAATACTCCGTTAAATCGGAAGTAGAATTTTTTGATAAGTTAGGTGTTTGTTTTCCAAATGTTACCGGAACAGCGTTAATAGCAAAACTAGCGTTTTAACTGAAATTGAGAGAATGAATAAAATTCGAAAAAAAATGCTAGCATTATTTTCAAGGTAGAAATTTTTCCCCCTCACGATAGTTTCACTTCATTGTCCTCAAAATATGATTTGACAGGTACAAGGTGCGAATTGTCGAGTTGGCACGAGGTGCTAAACAATCTCTGTTGTAATATTTTCTCCCGAAGGCACTTCACGGATATCCGATGTGCGAACATGCACAGAACTGACAGTAGCTCGTGCAAACAATGGGTGGCAATAGAGATCCTATCTTGGCATTTTCACTACCACAATGATATTACCACATCCTGAGGAAAGATCCTTATCTAGAAAAATATTTTGAGTAAGAACTTTTTTATTGATATTGTAATGAAGCATACTAATAATTGATGCGAATATATTTTGACAGCTGATAAATGAATCAAGAAGTTCGTTTCTGTTTTGTCATTTCAGAAGGACTGCGTTAATTGAATTGTTGGATTTTCAAGCAACACTTCATGTCGTGGAAGTTGGAAAAAGAAGAAATTAAGACTATCGGATACAATTACGTTAAGTAGGTAGACATATATATTCTTTTATCACGTTTCAAAGCATTATGTTAATATTAATGATTAATGATACTAGCCGAATAAAGTTTGTAATTAATATTTCAAATAAAAATCCATATCAACACAACATATATTGAATTCGCGTTCTTTCACGATTCAGATGAGGTCGCTATTATTATTACTGATTCGAGAGTTGCTGTGTTAAAATTGATTTATAATTAATTAAAACGAAATACTTACTCACCCAAATTCGGAATTCTCATTTTTCATTGCTATGCAAAGTCTAAAGTTTCACCGACTACAATATCATCTCTACATTATCAATTTAAATTTTGCATTTCAATCAGAGCAAACTTTGGTATTATCAAAAATTCTTGATGATCATTCTTGATGACATTTTTTCTGTGTTATAAACGTGATATTAAATTTCAATTACAGTAATAATTTCACTGACATGGCGGCTCTTGTTCATTTTGAACTGTCAATTAAATAAATAATTGGAAGCAAGATATTTCGAACAAAAATCAACTGCGGGTTGGCAATTCACATTAAACTATTTGAAATATTATTACAAACCAATTATCAGTGAAGACGATAGAGCATACCACACTGACTATTGAGAACAGTCACCGGAAATGGTAATTAGTCACTCAGCTCGAGTTGCCAAGCAGAATAAACCAAGCACATGCAGATGGCAAGCAAATTAATATACAATGGGACCACTATTGAGAGGTGCAACAACATAATAATACACTGCATGGATATCAATCCAATCAATTTCCGTAAACCCACAAAAGTTTTTAACGAATTGCAAATTGTTCTATCGAAAAAGAAGTTGTTAGAATCGAAGTTGACATTGCACTCCGTGTACGTGTGTTGCGCAATAATTTGATAGTACTAGGTGAATAACGATACGAAACACTGCTCATTTACGTGAGAAAAACGTGCAAAATGTCCCATTAAAACATGATTAATCATTTTTAATAGTGCCAATTTGAAATATACCATGTGAACTTGCACCTAGTATGAAAAACAGCAGCTACAAAAATAAGTAAACTCTTCATCAATATTTAATTAAAATAATATGCGTTATTTTTACAGATATACAACCATAAAGTTTTTGAAGTTAGGAATTAATATTTGTAACAGTACTTTATATCAATTTATTTTAATTTTACATTAATATTTCACTATCTAATATTATTATTTTTATACATATGTTTTAAATATATTTTTTTTAGTTTTAACAAATCAATGTCTCATTTCCGTTTTTTCATTCATTCTAATTTATTGGCTTAATGATGATAATTTCTAATTTACGACTAAAACGCATTTGCAGCAAAAAATTCTATTTCATAAGACAGCTCAATTGATAAAAATAATCCCTCATAAACTATTGAACGCGTGAAATAAAAAGGAGGAGCAGTGAAAGTGTTAGCTTTACGTTGTCAAACTTACGGAACTCCAGCTTGATTACACCGGCTATGGTGTTGCAACTTGGCGCCTCGCTGAGAACTGTGCGGTTGCAATTTAAAAAAAATGCAATTATGAAGTTGCGATATTTTGCCCCACCACAGATTGCGTGTGCTCTACCGTCTCCGACGTTCATCTACTATTTCCACTAATGAGCACGTCGATTTTTATCGGTAACAAGAGCGATAAATCATTATCACACACACACACACACATACACCAGTCGTTTCAACCTCATAAAAGTGAATGTTCATTTAAAGTGATAGCAACAAGAAACGGCGAGAAGATACTGTCACATACAAACGTCTGCTGAAAGTTATAGCATGTGTTCTGCTTTAATTTGAGTACTGCAACTAACATTCATACATTAAAAACAATCCATCAATACCCTATTTAATTTTAAATGTGATAAGTGATAGTAAAATAAGCGGTAAAATATTATCGTGGAAGAGAAATTCAAAATGTCAAAGATTGATAAATGCACAGGTTAGAGTAAACCGTATAAAGAAACAGATAAAAATATAGTGGGTTGAGTGATTATTGCGCGGGAACTTTGCCCCCTCTGGAGAAAGCAGAAATGATGTTTCTTATGATGTTTTCTTTGTGCTTGGAATTGAATTATGCAAATAAAACAATAAATTATTTAAAAAAGAAAAAATATATATAAAATCCATAATATTGCAACATATTGAAGAAAAAGTATATAGATTTGAAATTTCTATTGATTCGTTTCATTTTGTATTTCCCATATTTATATACTATTATTTATCCTAACTCTCTATTGTCTACATATGTGTGTATTAAATAGGACAATTTTGTTTTATATCCTGAAAAAAAAACAACATGTCAATAGGTTTTTATAATGTAATTAATCCTTCAATTTTTTAAAACGGTTGCTTCCATTATTGTTTTTATTCGTTTTTTTTGCCTTTAAGAGTTGATTAAATCAATAAATTTTGAATTGAAATGCTTCTGTTAGGTTACTAAAGCTTCTTGCTTCTCCTTATGTATTGCACGTACATGCAGAACCAGCATAAGTGGTTTTAACTAGTTTGAAATTTATGTATCAAATATTTTTGTAAAAAAAATAGTAAAATAATAATTATAAAAATAATATTGTTCCAATCAAAAAATATTTGTTGCAATAAATCGACATTCAAAAAAATAAAATAAAACTTACATTGGACATACTTGAAATATAAATGTGACTAGATATGCAATCCAAATGAAGGTGTTTAGAAGACATTTGCGATCGCCGGAAGGCCGCACGGAAACGCATTAAAAGCCCGTCGCACTTCAATTTTATCAGGTGAGCTCTTTTCAAATGAATTCTCTCAATTTTATATTGTATCCTGCAAAACAAAATGAAAAAATAGTGTGCGATTGGAGTATAATGAAGACTAAAATAGAATATGAAAACCCTATTTTCATTTTCCAATTATGCGCAACTCTGATATTTCGTCACATATTACGTTTACACTATTCGTTGATATGATGCACATTTTAAATTGAAAGTGGAAATTGCGTTGATATCCGATAGAGAAATTGATTCCATATATAGAATGCACACTTCATTTGACGTATCAAACAGTGCGATAAAACCACTAAGTATTTGTATTGTTTTTGGATTCTAAAAAAAAGGAATCTTCTCACATCCGGTGTTGATAATAGCTCATGCTAATAATCTTTTTGAAAATCGGCAAATGTTACTTTGGCCAATTTGCCAAAAAAATCATTGAAAAAATTTCCAAATATCTGATTATCATTTTTTTTGAAAGGATTCTTAAACTACAAATAAACTATACCGAAAAAAGATCCTCTCGTTCATGTTTAATTTTGTCAGATTGAAGTTTCAACTATAAGTACAGACATTGTAATATGTTGTGGAAATATATGATTTTTATATTTTAATGAAACTACAGTGCTCCACAAAATTATATACCCACCCTAATTTTGTCGAATAACTCGAAAACGGGAATACCTCCAGAAATGGTTTCAATTAGAAAAATATGCGCATTTATTATTAGTTTCATGTTACATTCACAATATTCAACAAAAAATAGCAATTTTAAAAATTTTGTCATTTTCACGAAAAAGTGGAAAAAATTTTTCCACAAAATTATATACCCACTTGATAAAAAACTCAGAAAAAAGCATCGAGAATTAGAATTTGAAAGAAAATGAACATTTATTAATAACTGGACCTCCATTGAGTCGTTTTACATCAAAAATTCGACTGTCCATTGATAAATAAAGTTTTTCAAGAAGCTGTTGATCGACAAGCTTCCAGGCTTCCACGATTGTCTTTTTGAGATCCGTAATTGAATGAAAAGATTTGTTGCCATCGTAAATCTTCTTAACCATGAATCCCCAGACATTTTCGATGGGGTGTATGTCGGAGAACAGGCTGGCCAGTCGAGAACTGGGATTCTACGGCTGCGTATCCACTGTATGGTGCGGCGAGCGCGATGACAAGGGGCTCCATCTTGCATGACAGAGTAATTTTTGTGTCTATTTTGACGCCAAAATGGCAACAGACCACGTCTAATGACGTATCGGTAGTCAGAACCACTTATCTTCGGATAACGAAGCACAATTTGACTCTTCCATGCGAGCTGATTGCCGCCCACACCATGACGCATCCTCATTTGAACTTTCTACGCGAAAACCGTAGCTTCTCTTTTCTCAAATCGTGTCAATAATCACGATAACCATCTGGCCCATCACAATTGAACATTTTTTCATCGGAAAAGACTACCCGAAAGAAGAAAACGAGTTGAATGAACGTTGCAGTTATTCTCACTTGTCTCCAGTTAGTTCGTTGATTCTTTTTTGCAAACTCCAGCCGTTTTTCACGATGTATTCGAGTCAACACTGGTGCCTTCCTCATTTTACTGTGTTTGATGAAGTTGTTCTTCGATAAAACACGCCGGACGGTTTGACTTGTCAGCATGAGATTGAATTCCCTTCGAATCGTTGAGCACGACACGGCCGAATTTGACGCTCTTCGCAAAATTTTGCGCTTATCACGGTCCGAAAGCAGTGAAGGACGACCTGTCAACTTTTTTTTGACCATATGCGGCTGGATTCTTAGCATATCGGCTAATAACATTTTGTGTGCGTCCGAGATCATTCCCAATTTGCCGATAAGAGAGACCTTGAGCCAGTTTTGCTTCAATTTCACCTTTTTCAAAGTCGGTGAGCGGCATTCCACGAGACATGTCTTAAAGAACAGTAAAATTGTAAAAAAGTTCGAAAATACAAAAATATACGAAAAAATATATCGAAAAAACGCCAAAAAATGAAGTGGGTATATAATTTTGTGGAAAAATTTTTTCCACTTTTTCGTGAAAATTATGAAATTTTTTAAATTGCTATTTTTTGTTAAATTTTGTGAATGTAACATGAAACTAATAATAAATGCGCATATTTTTTAATTGAAACCATTTCTGGAGCTATTCGCGTTTTCGAGTTATTCGACAAAATTAGGGTGAGTAGATAATTTTGTGGAGCACTGTATTTGCAAATGGTTGTCGGTCGTTCATCCTAACATTTTGTGGAGCAATAGAAAATGGGATTTTTTGCTGAAAATCGAATATATTGTGATGGACATCGAATATATTGTATTGTATGGAATATATTTCAGATTGCTGCGTTTGGTAGCACAACTTGTTGCCCGCAGACATATTTTTACTGTTTTAGGGCAACGCAGAGAGAAAAAACAAAAGTACGCAAAAAACTAAGAAAAATGAAAAAAATAATTTTTATTTTTATTTCTTTCTGCTTCTTTTTTTTCATTAAAATTTTCTCTATTTTTTAAATTATGTTTTCTGAGTTGTTTCATTAATTCACTTGCGAACAATTATATTTGTATTATTTTCACTGGTATCATTAAATATTATTTTAAGGTTATTCATATGCTCATCATTTTCCAATCAATTTCTCCACTGCTCTAATACAACCATGGCGTCGGCCCTTCCGTCAGTTAATAGCAGAGAATCAACTGGTGCACATTCTAAAAATGCCTAATCTAATCAAGGACAGATGGTTTGAAATTGATAAAAATGAAATTCTTAAACGAGGCTTACGATAAACAAAAAGTCTTTTTAATTTGCCGCGTCATTACAGATTTAATGATCTTAAATATTGGTAAAATGGTGTGGAGGAAACATTCCGACTTGAATTATTCTGAAAGACGATATCATTAGAAACAATAAAAGATGATAACTAAATATTCTTCCATACATACATACCAGCCGTTTGCCGTGTTGGATACGGTCGTTATTGATGCTGTATTGCTTAATGAGATCAACTTCTCGCAGCCTTTTATAGAAATCAGCTGAAATATTAGCAAAAGTTCGCGCGATTGAGTTGCGAAATAAGAAAACAATGGAAATTTTCAGAAATGTCCGAAAAGTTAGGAAAACGCAGACGGGCAAACGCTTCCAGACGACATTTATATATAGTATATTTTTTAATATTCGTATATTTCTTGATTTTCTGAAATATTTTTTGATCCAGAAAACGTGTATAATCAATAATGCTTTAATCGAATTTGCAATCTCCAGCTATTTTTGATTACTGGTTCAGCAATAGATCAAATTATCTGAAAATTTATATTGTTCAACTTTCACATTCATATCACTAAGATCGTAACATGTTCGAATACACTGGTATGAAAAACACATCTGGGTTTGTCGTGGTTAAATGTTCCTCTCAATTCACACCATTGTCACAATGGCACGAGGTGACATGAGCATGTTCTCACTTCATGTGCAATTATTTGCACATGTCTCGATGTCTCGGACCGCCAATAGGAAACTGAAAAAATGATTTTAGGAAAATTCCTTTAATACATGACATGTTTCTTGATCCTAAGGGTGTAGAAAATGCAATAATTTTATCAGGTTTAATTTGCAATTTTATTATACAATCATTTCAGGCAGATAAGAGTGTTTAAACCCGACTCCACCCTAAACGATCCCATTTTTTCCGATAACAGAACTATTATTTCACATCGATTTCTTATTTCTGTGTTTTTGAGATTTTATTTATTTTTCGACATTTATTAAAAAAAAAAACGAAATTCAATTACAGAATGTTAATCCGACTTTTGCTTATTTCGCTTGCTTTGGTAAACGGTAGGTTTGAATGATATATGCATACGGAAATTAATTAAAGCATTGTTATATTTTGGAAAAAAAAACAAAGATAATTTTTTAATCGGAAGATGTGTAGTTTTGATATTGTGCTCATTTAGAAAAAGTTCATTACGTTAGATTATCATGCATCTATTTCTTGCAAGTGTTTTAATATAAGGTTTGACCGAGAATTTAAACATAACAAAGGCTAAATATAATTTATGAAAACCCTTTTAAAAAACCTAATAGATTTCAGCAATTCAAGCCAAATGTATCTGCTTCAATGAGGGAACGGTAAAAGCCGACAAAACAATTATTTCCAATTCATACGACGATAATACGTTTGCGCCTTGCATCAATCAATGTGGTTTTATCGCAAATAGTACTGCTCCAACGAAGGGATGGACGGTAACCCTATATATTTTTATAATAAAAGCGGGAAGTCTATACACATCTGATTTAGAACTTCCAAATTACGTGGGCAACAAATGTCGATCAAGATGCTAAATTAATCATTTATGATGGCCCCTCCAATGAATATCCTACTTTTTATGAGTAATAATAGTCGGGTTCAATGATTTTACACATGCAAATTCACAGAGTTAAAGCGGGAAAAAACATCAAGCCAGACGCAAGCCGCAAAAGTTCTTCCTCCGAGATTTTTATTGAATATACACCCGGAAGTAGTGCAACGAATCAAAGTAAGTTCATATTCATCATTTTTGTAAAAATTAAATCTAAATCAATCACGATTATAATCGGTTTTATTTTGAAACAACCAGATCTTCTATCTATTATCGCAATAAAAACTTCATGTTTTCAATTTTTGACATTTTCAAGATATTTACAATGGAGCAATAGAAGCTGTAGATGGTCTCGGATCAACTGAAATTCCAACGACTACCGTTGCTGCTCCAACAACCAGAGCATACAACTCGCCAATCTTTAAAAAAGATCCATACTTGATTACACAAGATATTCTCATTGTTTTGAATCAGTATACTCCACAAGGAATGGTTGGACTGAATGCGGTATTTTAGCAATTCTTATTTATTTCAAAATGTTCAATTGCAGCTGAAAACGCTTATTACTACGTTTGTTGACAATTTATCTATTACCAAAAGAAATGATACGATCTATCAAACACGGCTCTCATTGGCATCTGTTACACTTTATGAACCGTGTTATTCGGTATTAGGCGAGGTAACGTAAAAACAATTGAAAGTTCACGTTCGAAAAATTTTGTAACTGCCGAAAAAATTTATTTACTCACAATTGTCAGTTACTATTAGATATTTTCTCCATAGGCTCTCTTATCACTAAAATAAAAAAAAAAAAACTATTTCAACTCATCACGTTTGAGCTCCATTCATTAAACGAACTTCAAGAATAAACTCTGATTAGAAGCAAACAAATAAAGACATAAAAAAAGTTAGAAAATATCCAAATTAAGCGCAGAAAGAAATTTAAAAATATTCTTGAACGGTGACTACAAACAGATACCTTGTCAATGAAATTAAACTGTTTCTGTGTGTCGTATGCGATTCGTGATGTGATTCATGTTGTTTAGATTGTCAGCATTGAGGAATTTTTTTTTGATTCTTATTTGATTGTTCTACATTAGCTGATTTACGGAAAAAATTCTTCAATACATACTTTTTGTTTGATTTTTGAAAAATTAGTTCGAAAACTGGTAATTATAGCTTTGCTAGGTCAATACTAGCTTTATAAGCAATTGGTGTATCATTTTTTTGGGGTTATAGCTGATTTTGTTTTTTTATTTATCCATTTTTGCTTCAATTCTGCTAGGCACCATATGTATAGCTTATAAAATCGCATTCTAGAATTAATTTCATTAATTGTTAATATGAAAAATTTTAGAAATTCAAGGAAACGATAAACCCAACATGTTAAAATAGAGAAATAATTACAAATAATCGCTAGATAATGACGAAATAACATTTTGAGCTTTTTGGTTTGTTCTCCACACAAAGGAACTACAATTTCAAAATGTAGTCTTCAGTGATTGTTTTTAAATAGTATCGCTGATGTGTAGTTTATCTTATAAGTGGCTTAGTTTCTGAAATTAGCTCCTCGAGTTTACAGTGGGGATAATTGTATTGTTTCGTCTGAATCCAAGTCCTCACCTTTTTAGCCCTTTTTTCCTTATAACTTGTAGAAGTTTGCTTAGGTGGTGAGTGTGTCTCGTATTTTTAAGTTAAATTAAGATTATTGAAACATTTAATTTTAGTTTTGGGAAATGAACAGCAGCGACATCAAGAATGGACTTCCAAATAACGGATTTAGCCAAAGTGGAAATGTTGACAAGTGCGTAGCAACATAACGTACCTGATGAAAAATTTAATCAATTTTCAGCGCATTATCAAGCTTAATAAACTTAGCATTTAATATTTCCGAAGCTAAACATTCAACAAGACCTACTGTGCAAAGAAGTGTTCTCTACTTTACAGCAAACAGGTTAGTTTTTATTTTTTAATTTCGGAACAATGCGTCAGTTACGCATATATTGAAATATGGTCGATATTGATTTATTTAGTAGAAAATGTTATTGACTTTGGCAATGAAAAACATTTTACTTGTTCGGTTATATTGAAGTGGTTTAGAAAAAAATAAATACGATAGTTTTTCTACGTTGTTTAACTTTTTCTTTTAAATGACAGAAAACGCTGCGAGTATTATAAAAAAAAAACATTAAAAAAAAAAACCGAATTTCAACCTTTTTCATGTCTCAAATAATTAGTCGTACAATAAAATTACAATTTATAAAAAGTGAAGTCCATAACGTTTGAATTACTTTATATAATATCATGGTTTATATTATTTATTATTGTTTTTTATTTGATGACGGTTTTCTCAATTAGATTACAAAAATTTTGCAAAAAAATGAAACTACATCGTGACAATTAATTATGAAAACTTTTGTTCTACTATGTAAAAACTTTATAAGGAAAAATTCTTTAACAAAATTTATGTGAAACAACAACATCATAAAGAAAATATCATCAAGAGATTTTCCAATTTAGTTCCATGCTGGGCTCTGCATTCTATGAGTCTCCTCGTCAAATTAGCGCTTGTTGCCACAAGAAAATCCGGTGTAGTCATTTTATTTCAAAAAATCAATCCCATTTTTTTCACACGGATTCTATCCTTTCTTTTCAATAATTTCGTCAAAACAGAAAAGTCTGTTTGGTTAAAATTAGAAAACTAATGACAATGTATCCTTACATCCTTATTAGTAAAATATCGGGCACTGCTCACATTTGTCATCTCGTTCAAGACTTTAATTTTGCTAATTTCATAAGCTACTAATTCATAATTTATTTTCTCAAACTGATTTGCCGATTCGCGATTCACTCCAAGCCTTACGGCTGTCTTTTTTGAAGACTCTATTTCTATCCAATATCCTCTTCAAATACCTTATTTTCAACGTTTTTTCCGTGTTCGAGTTTTTGTAACAAGAGGTACTGTTTTTTTTAGGTCAACTAATTTGTTTTTCATTTCCTGAACTCTAAAACGTAAAATTTCAAAAAAATTTCTTTAGAGAATATCTGAGAACGATAAAAGAACCAAATCGAGAACAACAAATTTCGTTTTTTGTAGTCAGTATACGTTATAGCAAACTTTGTTTTCATAATAAATTGTCGCCTTCTTCGGTTAAACAATAAAACATATGTTTCTACCTGTTATTGATTGGAATTATTTAATGCTTTTCATTTTTTTGTCGCACGATGACGATAGTTGATTACCAATTTTCATACTCATCACTTTCTTTTAAAACTGTCACTACTGTAACTTTTAAGCGAAAAAGTCACACTGGAAAAAACATCGAAAAGTTTGCAAAACCAAGGCGTCAATCTTGGAATTATTGGATTTAATGTTCAGGTAATCATTTTCATGAAGTCGATTTTCCTTTAATTAAAGGTGGATTTGCAGTCCCACGTTTTGCTACCCAAAATGAGGGAGATATTGAGAGTAGATTTAAGAGTTGGTGTCTTTCTCTAAAGCCTCGCTGCTTGTGAAGACTTTTCTACATTCTTTAGTTTTGCAGTTTTTTGATATTCTAAATGTATTATATCCTGAATGGGCAATAATGAGGCTAAAGGCATATGCTCTTAAATTTACCACCAAATATAGTTTGAAGAATGCATAAGACAACAGTAACGCATGTGCGTAAATCTATCGAAAAACAGCAATCCTCGGAATTCGGCAATATATACGTACTTATCAGGGATATGCGGGAATGACTCTTTGGAAAATAAATTTTCGTTTTGTTTGATTTTTAGCAGCTTCAATTAATTTTTACCAAAATAATGACGAAAAGCTTATTTGCCAACAAAAATCAAATTTATCGAAACAGAATACCGAGAAAGTGAGCAAAACCATATTCAAAATTTGGAAAATTACATTTTGCTTCTTGATATTTTAGTTTTCAATCATGTATTTTCAAACTCTACAGCAATCATTGCTTGAAAAAATTTCAGGTTTTGCGAATATTTACGTCTGACCCGATTCGAATAAAACAGGAAGGTCCCCGAATTCGAAAAATTTTCCCGCACATCCCTGATACTTGTTATTTCCATACATGAATATCATTTATCATATTACAATTTTTACAATTAATTAATCCAATTACAGGATTTGATCGATCAAGATAGCCGTGGTAATTTTGTCAGTACATATGATACAAATTGCACCGATGAGACATCAGTTGCTGATTTTGTAAACCTTTTCTTCTTCCGTGAAAAAGTTCCAGGATTTTACAATAACTGTAATAAACTTATAACAAGATGATGAATTTCCACGATTAACAGGGTGCCCGAGTACTCAAACAACCGATCCATCAAATGCGACAATCATTCAAGAACCGTCAGATTATGCTGGTCCTACTGGCTCTACGGAATGGTCACCAACCCCACAGAAAGCAAGATATTGTGACTTTGAGAACAAGACTTATCAGATTTTAAAAAGTAGTGTGACTGAAGAAGTTCGTGGAAAAAATAATAATTCGTTTAATATTTGAAATATTTATAGGATGGAATTATGAAGATCACAGTTATCTATGAATTAGAAATTGAGCAAGATTATCTTCGTTTCTACGAAGGATCCAAAGAAATTGAAAGGTTTAAAGCTGCGGTATTGTTGTAAATGAAGATAATTTTTATTTAGTTTTACTGGTGTTGATGTTACTGGAGCGACTTTCTATTCGTCAGCATCAACTCTTAACATAAAATTCACATCAGACAACAAAGGCGTATTCGGTGGATATTACATAAAAATCGAAGAGAAATCTAATTAATTGCTCATATGAATAAAGTTTGATGATTAATCTAACATATTTGCAATGAATGATCATACAAGACAATTTGTTTAATATGCACAGTGAGTGAGATATTATGAAGATTTTTTGTTATGTTCAGAAGCAAATACTCGAATAAAACTAATATTTAAACAATTAATTCTATTTGAAATTTGGTTTTTCTTATTTTTAGTTTTTCGCAAATTGCTAAAAAGTCATCAGCAAATTTAAATTATAACATTTTCATAAATTTCTAAATGAAAAGCGCATTTTGTGTAAATTATGATATTCTAAATTTAATTGTTGTGATTATGCAGAAGACCGAAGATTGTTCAGCTTTCTTGTTTACAATTCTCCTAACATTTTAACTTTTTGAATTATCATTTTTTACATTTATTAGCATTTAAACTGTTGAAGCTTATTAATTGTAAAATCAATATATAAATTATTACAGCATCAATTGCGTCTAGTCGTTTATTTAATTTAAAATAATGAGTTCCAAGGTGTCGATGAAAAAGGAGAATCTTTGCTTTTTTTTAGTAATATAAACAGTCTTCTCTATTTGTTATTAAGAATATGAATTTTTTACCATTTATGTCCCACAAAAGTATATATCAACGTCAACAGCTAAAATTTGACAACGACATTCAGTAATTATCTCGAATTTTTGTTATTTTACTCAGTTACCTATGTCTATGCATATTCACATATTTACAATTCATTCACACTATGTATGAAGAGTCACAAACTCAAATATGTCTAGGAATCGGAAATTTTTGAAAGTTGATGATAAATTTAATCCACGTGTTGATAAGATAGGAAAATTCCTTTAAAAAGAGCCAGTTGTGTTTTGTTCGCACAACTAATTTCTCATTTCATCAATTTTTCATATCGTCATTTTAGGTATGCTGCGCGTGCTTGGTTTATCTTTGTTTGTCTTTGTTGCTGGTGAGTTGTCTAATCCATTTAAAAATTCACATATTCATTTATTTCAGGCGTTAACGCCAGTTGTGCTTGTTACGAAAAAGGAACCCGTGTTGGTAGATCAGCTCCAATCAGCAGTGCTTATGATAGTAACACTTTCATGATATGTTACACCAATCCATGTGGTTTTGTTGCTGAGAGCAGTGATAAAAATTTTGGATGGACTGTTAGATTTGGTCAATTTATTAATGACAAAAACATATTGTTTAGCATTTGTCGCTTCGCTGGGGGTCAACCTCGAACTCGAATGGAACTATTTCAATTTACGATGGAACCGATGACAAGGGAAAACCAATTATCGTGTTGGTGATTTGCAAATAACAATGTCTAACAAAATAATTTATCTCAGAGTTCATGAAGGAGAGGATGTCATCGATGGAAGCGAGAAGAGCAGAATTCAAAGTACCTCCTTTAGCATTTACGTCAAATACCAGCAAGATGGAACTGAGCCAAGTGATTCAAAAGATACTTTTGGTGATTCAGATAATTAATCTTATTACAGATGTCTACTATGGAACAATCAAATCTATCGCTCCACTCGGGAAAAACTAATTTTGAGACATTGATGATTTTAATGAATATTGAAAAGAAATCTTCTAGAAAAGTCTGCTTTGACACAAAGTACAAGCTCAATGAAATAAAAATCAATAAATAATGATTTGCAAAAAATGAATTCTTGTTTAAAATTTTATCTTTTCAAATTTTCCTCTAAGGAAACAAATTTTTCAATGGTTCTGTTTCAAGTGAAGATTATAGTCAAAAATCAACAATTTGTAAAAAAAAATTTGAAAATGTTTTACGGTTTTTTTTGCATTAAAAATTTTCACTACTAAATGCCACTTGAAAATCCTTTCTTTTCATAATAACAGGAAACACTTGCGAATGTACTCAAACAAAATAGTATTTTTCTTAATAATATGTTTTTTGGATGGTTAAGGTCTCGACATTTGAATAGGGTTTAGCGTTGACCTTTGCCTGCGAGATCCCCACGCAGGAATTGTTGAATGAATTCAGGTCCGGCGAGGAAACAGGCCATTCTATCGACTTGATGAAACCCGGAATGTGTATTTGGCACCACTGCTTAGTTTTCTTGGCGGTAAGAGCAGTAGCATTATCTTATTGAATGACCCAGTTCTTTTCTCCGTAATGTTTCCTAGCACAAGGGACCAAATGCTTCACCAGAATGTCCTTGATCTAAACCTTTTCGTCGATATTCACACTTTATTATGAACATAAAAACTAGTGAGAACCAGTCGGTAAAATATGGCTCTGAATACCATGACTTAAGCGGGATGTGTCACTTGATGAAATCCTACCCATCTAAGGAAGTTTTAGCAATCGCTCAATGACTCTGAGAGTTCAATTCGGTCTCTACCGTTAAACGCTTCTCGTCAAAAAATATGGTCACCCATTTTCCTTTCTTATGTCTTTATACGTTTTTGGTTTCCTTTTTTCTCCGACTTGTTTTAGGGTCAGTAGCCATCTGTCTGATGGTCTGATGTGGGTTTCGGTTGATTTGCGATCAAACAGCTTCAACGCGGCGAGAATTTGGTCTTCCACGTCCAATGCGGTCATAGACTCTACCAAGCTCTCGATAACGTTTGATTTTATCATAGATGATTCTACGCGGCATCCCGAGACGATCAATGTTGCTTCAATGCGTCACATTTTGCTTAAACAACGAGACAATCGATGAAGGATGGTATGAAGGCTTTACCATTGCCTCAAAATATAACGGATTGGGCTGAAACTTGAAAAAAAATTTAAAAAAGGCGTAATGAAAAAGAATAATGAAATTTTGTGGGGGAATTATGCGCCACCCTGAATATTAGACGTGATGGTATTTAACGAAAAGACTACTTACGTAAATCGATCAAATACTCTTATAAATTTACGAGACATTGTTTTTAATTGTATTGTCTAGTGTAATCTAGAACATTTCGAAACAAATCAATTAAGTCTAAACAGCGTGCTTGTTTTTTGGATAGCTATAAGTACATTAATATATATTAAAAAATGGCCCAAAAGATATGCGGCAAAAATTTGAACTGCCAAATTTGCGACTGATCGTTTCATATTTCATTCTCGTTTATTTGATATTTTTCAATTTGTATATAAATTCTTGTTTCAAACATTAATGAAACGATTTCACGTCGACAGCTATAACTTTCGTGCCTTTTCGATTGTTTATAAATTGCAAAAAAAGCAAGAGACAAACAACTTACTTAATCCGTCGGTTCCAAAACTGCTGAGAATATACAAGGAAATTCTAAACAACAGTTATTTTTCTTATTTTTTAAACACAACCTTTTAGCTTGTTGCATTTCATGGGACGTCTTTTATATGTTTTTCTGTCGTTTTTTAGAAGACTATTATGAAAAAAATTACAATATCATGCATATGAAATGCATATTTTTCCTCCATAACTGAGTTAGAGAGAATGTTTGGCAATAAAGTTTAAAGTTTTATTATCTTGCTGAGAAAAAAATTCAATTTTTAATTTAAGTATTTCGTTAGTCAAAATTTCCTAAGCGAAAAAATATGATTTTAGTTAGTTTACGGAATATATCTTCGTGTTTTTCAATCATTGCTTGTTTTATATATTTTTCTACTTTTCTTTTTTTTTTCATATGGGTCACCGCAATTTACGTAAAATTTAAAATGTAAAAATTAAAATGAAAATTGATCAAATTCTTTTTAATGCTTCAAGAATATTTACAGTTTAAAATTATTTCATTTTTTAAATGAAGTGTTCAAATTAAAAAAAAATCTCATGCCGTAAAATCTCAAAAATATTACGATATTTTACGTCCAATTAAAAATTATAATTCATTAAATTTCAACGATCATATGTTTATATTTTAGCTGCAATAATTAAAAAAAAACAAAAGAGTAAGTATTAAAAATATTAAAGGGCCAAAACCAAAATACAGGTTTTTTTGTTCGCCATTCCTCCATGACCCTTCTTATTTTATTTTTTGTATGTCACCATGTATGATATTTGAATTCCTCCACAGTGTACACTAAACACAGAAACGTAGCACAACTTGAGCGTTGATACTGTTTTTGTCAAACAAAATCAAAGGAGTGGGACGCGGAAAAATACGTGTTTCGAAAAAATGGGAATCAAATTAACTGTGTTCTAGTCACTTGGTCCTATCATTCTGTGCCAGGCGCCTAGGCTTTCCTCTACCTCTCTCTTTTACTCTCTCTTGTTATTGAGTGAGTGGGAAAAAAGGCGGTTCGAACGGCGCGAAAGGATACGGTATCAACGGTGTTTCCGCCAACTCCTGTGTGGGCGGCGCTACCTCCTCCCTCCCCCCCCCCTTTTTCCCCGCGGCGTCCCTCAGTTTCAATCGCCATTTTTTCCGTCAGTTCGCTCGCCACCGTTTCATTTTTTTTTTGCCCGACCTCCAACATCTCAGCCTCCCCCCAATCTTCTTTTGATTTTATGATGATAAAGGTTATCGTCGTGATAATAAAAACTTGATAATTCCTTCGTAATAGCTGTTCATTTTCAGGATGGCGCAAATACCGCTATCGTTCTTCGACAATGACACGAAAAATATGTTAAATACATTGAATATTCGGCTCAATGATATTGACTTGAAACTGAGCATCGTCATTGAGCTACTTGCAACCAGGCTTCCAGACCAAAGGTATTTTGAGGGTTTTAACATAAATTCATACTGAATTTATATCTAGACTTACCTCAATTTTTACATCACCTCCTCAAACTGTTATCTCGGAAGCCCCACCACAATCCTTCACTCCATCTGCTACAAACAGCACTTCTGAGAAAACTAGCTCATTGAAGGTGAAAGAAGCACTCAGCATTAAAGAAATTAATCACTGAGATTCAGACGGAGCTCAAAGAGGATTCTGACGGAGATTTGGATATGGAAGGAGAGGAAGACACCGAAGAAATGTTCGAAAATGAAAGTCAGCCAAGTCAGCGCAACGCGTCGCCAAAAGAGACTGAAGTAGCTAAAGATTATTATCAACTATGATAACATTCACATTGCTTTAGGACGAGAAGGTTATGCTAGATGGACCATTCCCAGAAGGAGCTGTCAAACGTGCAGCTGAGAAGGCCGCTCGCAGTTTCCAAAGCACCCAGCCAAAGGTATTCAAATCAAGTTTCGAGTGTTTCATTTGAGGGCAGTCTTTTTTTCTTTTTTCGCGTTTCTGAACATTAACTTCACTTTATCTGATAAATGAGACGATGAGGCGCAGCGATTCTCTCAGTCTCATCGAACACCGTTCTTTTTTCTTGCGCGACACTTTTTTTTCGACATTCGCCCCTCAATTCGCCTCCATTTTTTATGGCTATTGTATCGTATGCGGCGAAGTGACCTCAAGATGGCACCCGAAAAAAATGACTGCGTTTGAACGCCTTTTTTTTGAACGCGAAGGGTGTAAACGCAACAAATCGAGCGATTAGCAAAAGAATTACGATCTCACAAAGAGATTGTTTTTAAATTTGAAGAAAAAGAAGAGATTCTGCCACTCGAAATAGTTTCCAAGTCAAACACATAAAACTCACATGGCAATATATTTATTGACAATACGTTATTATTTGACGAAAAATCCATAGATTCAAAACAAGCGTTTTTTTTACAGTGTTACCAATTTAGTTGTTATTGTTATTATTATTTACTCATATGGCGTTTCGCGTTGCAAAAATTGAATGACTTGGCACAGATACTGTACATTATCACACCCATCACAAACTATTCTCATATGTCTGTAGAACTTGATGAGTGTCCGTGAGTAGATATCGACTAGACGAGACAAAAGTGCGATTAGTATAAAAGGGCATCCTACAGTAGTCTCTCACTCAGCTTTGCGAATTGAATCGATCACTTGACTGAGTTCATCTAAAAGAAAATGACGTTAAAACTTGAATCAAACAGGGTGCAGTTCGCGAGAATGCGATATCAGAGCGTTAAAGATTTCGAAACGGAGCTGGATGCGCATACGCGGAAAACAATATTTCGAAAACTTGTCAGGCACTCTTACAAAACGAGTTTGCCGGTCATTGTATTGGCTCTTAAGTGCTACGCCTAGCTCACTTTTGTTGCCTCACGCAAAAAATTTTGCGGCTCGCGTCAAGCCAAAGAAAACGCAAATATTGACGTGTGCGTGAGCGCCACAAAAGTTTTGTGTATGCCCGTAAGGCTGAACCGGTATTTCACGTAGTGTTTAGGTGGTTTGGCAGCTGACGTGAGTGACGTGAACCGGGTTGGGATCAAAACTCCCTGTGAGCACAGATCGATTTTAAAAGACATTTGGTGAGAGGGATACTCAAAGGAGATCATCTGGGGTTTATATAATTTAATAGTAGATGTGCGAAATAGATTTTTTAAATCTTAATCTAACAAAATCTCAGTGACGAATATTTTCTCAAGTGTCACTATATGCTTATTTTTTGTTTTAGCTTAACTGGTTTAGTTCATATTGAAGGCATCAATGTAACATTATCTATCCATACGGTTTTTGTAAATTGATTGGGTTTTAAAGTTTCGAAATGGGAAATCAGCCAAAATTTTTCATTGAATGTATTCCCAGTTTCTTTCGCCTAGTTTAATATTATTTGAAAATTCTAAGCAATTGTAAATTCCAAAATCTAGATTGCTAAGAGGTGCGCCGTCAACGGCACAGCTGATGTCCAGCGTGCAATGCAAATACAGCGTGCTGGGAAAACAATAAAAAACGTAGTTTGAGAGTTTCGTCGAAAACCTTGGCACACTTTGCTCATCCAGCTTATGTTGGTTGGTGTACGGTATGTGTCATGTTTTGTACGTGTTTTTACCATCCAGCTGTTTGTGTGCCTTTATTGACGAATGGGAATTATTTTGAATGAGGGTTGAAGGTTAGAAACGAAAACAGTCTGGTGAGGGGTGAAACATTCGTGTGGCTTCCTGAGAACGCAACAATAGCAATGCACTGAAACCGGAAGGGGGAAGGCGGTGGTCTCAAAATTTTTTCACATCTTTTTTTTTAGTTGTTGTTGTTGTTGCCATACACAAAAAACATCAAAAAATAGAGTTGAGGAATACTGTTTTTCAATTAGTTTAAAAACAGGATTGTCGATCGACACTGACGTTTCAGTCGCTGGGTCAAAATTGATGTTTTTCTATCTTTATACGTGTGCGTCCTGAAAAACAGTTGGCAAAAACCTGAAATTTGGAATTGTGAAAAAAAACAGCGAAAATATGAAAAGTTGAGTTTTCAGGTGTTTGCGTGGCAAATTCTTCGCGAGTCAGTCACTGATGATGAACTTCGCAACGTGCAAATCTCATTGAGAACTTTCCATGGAGAAACCGCTGATCATCTATTAAGTCGACAATTACCCAAGGTATCGATATTGAACTACCGTAACCTGGACAAAAGGAGTGTCTCATTAGTTCTGTACCATATTTTTGCGCGGATTTCATTCCCACATAGACGCATGAAGGTCGAAGCAAAGAAAAAAACACGAGTAGCGGAATACTACCATCGGGTATCTCCTGTTAGTGAGAAGTGCAAACTCGGGTTGGATAGAATGTTTCGAGTGAGAGTTAAGAAACGTCGCAGTTCTATTTTCAATGCCTTTGTGTCCAACAGATTCGCGCCAAACCAAGTGAATTGCAAAACAACCTCATTGACGATTAAAAAACGGCAGAGTGTGAACACAAAAAAACGAATTCTAAATAAATGGCACCTAAATTGAAACCAAACTATTTTACAGATTCGCCTTGTTGTCGAGGCCACCATGCGTTACTTCAAATGGGACATGCTTTCAGCGGAGAGTCAATTAAGCAAAGCAAAGCTTATTTTGAGCCATCTCAAGAATAATGCAAAGGTTCGCAATTGGACATTGAGAGAGGGGCGTCCGAATAGGTATTGAATTATTTCGAAGAGTTTTACCAGATGATCATTTTTAGAGTTGCTCCTAGTACTCCACCAATGAGTATGGACATGATTTGGAAGCGTTATGTCGCGCTTCTTGGGCCTGCCGGACTCGCTGCAGCTGGAATGCTACCAAATGGCTTGAATCAAGCCATGTGCAACAACACTCAAGGAACTGCTGTTCCTCAAATCGACCCATCTCTCTTCAAAGTGGAATCATCATAATTAAGCAATGCTTTCGTATTGATTATGGTACCCATATATTTCTTTCAATTACCAATTATAATATTCCTTATTTTATAACAACTGTAGTTTCTATTTATAACATGACTTGTAAGCCATCGAATTTTCGACGTTCAAAATCCATTTCACAAAATTCTATTTGATTCAGTGTTTTTTGAAGAATAATGACGATCCACGAATCGAAAACATTTTTTCCTAAATAATTATAGCTAAGGTTTACATGCATTTTCTATTTTATTTCAGCTAGATTAATTATTTCTATTCTTTCAACTATCGTGATAATTCCAATTTTTACTGATCTTAAAATCGAAGTTCAGAATTGTATCGGAGGCTCTAATAAAAGTGTGAGTTTCGTAATCGAAGTCCTTCATAACTCAGTCTCTCGTCAACAACCAACTTTCCTAATCCAATACAATTACCAATATTCTACATCCCACCCATCCCCCCCGGTATAATTATTAAATGATTCGAACTGCTGTATTCTTTTGCGTTGCTACCTCAAGTTATGAGATATTCCACAAATTTCCAACTTGATTCCCTCAGAGAAGTTTGAATCAAACATCGTCACAATTATCTAAAAATTCCAAAACCAATAAACAACGTTCACGTTTCTGTTCTGCCTCTTCAATTGTTTCTTTCTATTAGTATATTTTTCTATCTTCTATTAAATACATTACATACCTTACAGTTCACCAATGTTTTTTTGTAAATAAACCATTTTATGAAAATATTTGCACACTCTTTATTTTTTACTTCTCAACAATCGTGGAACTCAATAATAGTATTATCCAGACGCAGTTTTCGATTTTTCAATGTCAACCGAACTGTTTTGTCGCAAAAAGACAATCAAGTGCTGGGGACGCTGAAACAAAATGAAAACAATTCGAAATTATGCAAACATGCATGTTTTTGCCTCTGAACATTATGTAAATTCAACATCATGTTTTAAAGCTTTGTGATTCTGTTTGACCTATTCGGCAAACAAACGAATATTGAAAAATGAGGTTCAATACAAAACATGCGGGTTCATTGTCTTCACTCGTCAACGGTATCTCGTTCTATGTTGTTCAATTGTTTTGCTCATACTGTTTATTCATGGAGAAAAGCCAGTTTGGTGGCATCTGCCATTCAATAACTATGTAATCGGCGCAAAACATGAAATGCATACATTAGCCGGCCATCGACCGTTGAGATATCCTGCAAACTCAAGGTTTCGGCTCAGTGAGCACGTTTCATTGAGAGGGCGTCGGAGCGAGGAGCCAAGTGGTTGGTGGCGATTCTAAGGTGTAATACCAACATGCCCCGCTTCGTGACATAATAATAAAAATAATAACCCGCGCGCCTTGGAGACAGATGAGACTCGTAGACCGCGTCCGAGCCAAAAGGTGTGCAAACATGCGCAAAATTCAAGCATGAACCGCCAAAACATCTTGGTGCGCTTGTGGCGCGCATCGCCATTTCATCATGTGCACAAATATTTGTTATTTCGTGCTTATTTTTCGTCGCCGCTGACTGAAACCAAGTATGATCCAGTTGATTCGCTGGGATTACCAATGTTCGACATGCGAGGGACTGTGACTTTCCAATTATTGATCAAATGTTCGCAAAATAGGCAAGACGATGCCGTTCACAAATCAAATTTCATCGTATCTACTCATGCTATCAAGGCGAAACGATTGTGTGTAATAAAGAAATATCTCAATTGGACAAATCAAAATTTGCGAATTTTTAATACTGCCAAATATATAATTTATCGGAAACGATTGAAGAGAAGACCCTCGTTTGGTCTATAATTTACTATTGTTTATTACACGCCTGCACAAATAGATTTATTGTTATTTACTCTTGAGATCACCAAATTATTGAATATGAGATCATTCAAACGGTAACCAGACTGCTATTGTTTTTCAAAGCTCGGCTCTTTGATGTTGTTGTTTTTCCGACTGCGGTATGCACGATGAATCCTTATTTTTCAATACATTATTAATACACAATCTTGTCTGTAAAAATACAATAATTAGTCTAGACATTATAATTCAAAAACAACGGTTAAATTTCTGGAGTCGTCTTTTGCGAAGAACCATATTTCAATAATATCTTCGTAATTTTCCATTATTTTTTCGCAACCGTATCGGAGAAGGGTTATCTAAAATTTGAAAAACTCAATCAACTGAAAATAGATGATTTGGGGACCTCTTGTGATGGCTGGTCCCAAAGTTCGTATGGCAATCCAATCTCTACCTGAATTTTATTAAAAATTGAAATTTGTTTTAAAACGCTATTTCATGAATCCAGACCCGATTAACGCTTAAATGAACACACTGTTCTTAATATTGTAAAATTGCCGCCGCTTCATAATTCGCGCCGCGCAACACCGGATGGTAGAACGAACTATGACAGATGGATGCATAAACCGTGAAACACCAAATTCTGGCACGGGAATGTCACTCATGTTGGCTAATTGGGTACCTTTTTAAAAGCTAAAGTGCGTTTAGAAAGTGATCGTTTCGAAAATTTTACAATAAAAAAATTAAAGGGGGGAAGTTGCAATTCGTCTTAACAAAACATTTGGGCAACGCGGTGGAAATCATTGGTTTTTTGAAACGGTACTTGTATTTAAATTCATTTTTGCAAAAAGTTTATTTAAAAAATTGTTCTTCAATGTGCTTGTCATTTGAGCATAAAGCATTTCTGCATTGGTGTGCCCAAATTTCGAATTTCGTTATATTTTACATTTTTACTCGGCGTAACCTTTCATTTGCGATAATCTAACCAACAGTATGCGTACACATTTTAATTATACCGCCAAAAAAAATTGAGTTCAACATCTGTATCCTCATAATTGACCATCATGGATTATTTCGGTGAATGAAAACGCACAAAAGTGATTCCATTACCAATTTGCGTCTATCGCGGAAATAGCGTGTGAGATTTAGCGCGAGCGGCACATTTTTTCGGACCGTCCGGCAGAAACCAGAAACCAGTTCAGTTCACCAGTTGCAATTGGGATGACGGCGCGAGAAGTCCATTACAATGGATGTGAATGCAACAACTCAACCCATAATAATTATCCTGTAACTACTTCTTTTCGGATATGTTCCATTTGAAATGTTGCGATTAGCGACACGCGTCGAAAAGTAATCTCGTTGTTTAATGGATTTCAATTACCCTGGTTTAATTGAATGGTTCAGTAAATGTTTATAAAAGGGATCTTTCAATATGAATTGAATACTTCAAAACTACTTGGAGGTGAAAATGAAATGTGCTTGTGTACTTATCATTATGAGACAATGAAAGGTTATGAAGGCCTTGAATACCATTTGAACAAAACCAGTTTCAAATCATTATCAATAGATAGCATAAAAGGATCATATTTGTTCAAGATGGGCAAGATAACTTTCAAGGGAGATTAAATAAAATCTAACTTGCATAAACTGACTTCGTAATAAACTTAATTAAACTGTTCAAGAAGACGTAGACTTACTGTTTACAACGCATATGTTTCGGTTAAAAAAAAAACTTATTTTTTACTGAAAAACTTTGTAATTTTTATAAACAGTGAAAATTTTTTAAACATAATTTTTTTCAATTTTTCACGTATATACATATTTGATGCATTTTTAAAATTTGAAACTCAGTTTTACTTATTTTTTCTTTAATAGTTCAAAGGTTTTCAAGATATTGTGTGTTAGAAAAGTGCTCTCCGAGAAAAAAAAACGTCAAATTGACGAGAGAGCTGTCGGTCGCATCGACAGATTTCAGATGATATAGGATTTTATAAAGCATAATTTTGCAATGGTGTTAATCTGAATGCTCTAGTACCAAATAAGCATCGGCTTCACAATCTCTTCTCTCAAGTCAAGAAGCTTTTCTTGGCTTGGCATAATTACTTTGGATTCATGTAGATATCGGGTTCTAAGAAAGTTCACACTAATAAATTACAGAAAAATGAACCAGAAATCACATCTGTAATCTATAGAAGATTGTTAGAAGAGACCAAAATCCTAACTGCATGGAAATGGCCGCATCAGCAACTTTCAGTAAACGTGCTATGTCTATGAGATTATTTATCTCGGTGAGCTGTGGCTTTAATAGCATATTGTGCTTTTCCTGAGGAATTCCGAAATTTCCACGATTTGCAGTAGCAACTTCGTTTTTTCCCTGCAGAAACTTGAAAGAAGGTGGAGTTCGCGGATTAAATCTTGTTTAATTATTTAACCAGATTAAAGTTCTGCCATGTTATTAAAGCACGAATTGTGCTGATAACAGATTATTATTGAGACATGGATTGGACATTTCGCCGAAGTCAAAACAAAATCTTCAACTGCAAGAAAAATCGTGCATTCACAGCCCTTGCTCGTCGACCCATGACTCATCAATAATGCGATCTTCTCAGCTTCAGAAAAGAGATATCAGTGCAGAGAATATAAAACAAGGAAAAATTGATAATTTCTCAAATTTTGCTTTATTGAAATTTTGTTTATTTTTTCTTATTCCATGTTTTCTTGATTTTCTTTTAAAAATCCTACTCCTAAATTTTGCTCTTAGCTAATTTTGCGCAAATTTATTATTTACACGCGAACACGTTTATTTCGTTCTAAATCATTAGAAACGTCTATGCGGTAAATTATTAAAAAAAACCCGGTGCAATTTTCTAAGAACGTTTCAAGGAAATCTAGCAAATATAGTTGTCCCTTATTTGCGTTATTTCTTCTTAACGAGCACGAACTTCGATTTCTGAACATTAGTCACTAGATATAATAAATGATTAATTCATTTTTGCACCTGTGGTTGACGTAGTTTTATCAATCAACTTACTTCGACTCCTCGATTCCTTAGATATTTTAACGATTCAATTGTTTTAGAAGGCGCTTTTGAAAATCTTTCAATTCCCGTTTTCTCTTTATGTATCTGAATAAGAACAATTATAGAAGCGATTCTAAAATGAAATTACTTTGAACGCATTCATACGCTTACAAAAATCATCTGAAATATCTGCGAAATCAGCATACGTTTTCTAAAAGCAAAAAGTTATTAAACCTTGACAAAATTAAGCAAACTCTGAAAATTCTTGCTCCAGCTTCTTCCCATTCGCTCGCAACAATTGCACATATTTCACATTCAGTTGGATTGAAATATGTATCTAAAAACCCTGGAATTATTTTTTAAGTGAAAAGTATTAAACCTGTCTCTACGTTAAAACCCAATTTTAGCGTAATAAATAGTACCCATACATGTAGCAGCTTCATTTTAGCGCATTTGAAGCAAAAATTAGATATGCACACCCTGGAAAATTTTGATATAAACAATAACTAATCAAGAATTTGTTTGAAACGTATCCAGGAAATAGCGCGGATATTGCGGAGCCAGACGCGTCCAGTGGAGCATTGTTGCGCCCCTTTCTTAGTGTAAATCGAATGCGGTTACCCAATTACAACGACCACCTATCGAATTATATTGTCATTCTATTGAATAGTGTTATGAAGTAAACGATTAAAAAAAATTTAAAAAATTTAGCACAGTTTATTCCCACATTATACAATGATTGTTTATGCAAGTGTGGTTTTTTCTCCAATTCGACGATCAACCTGCGACAGTTTCGGTTTTGGCATTGAATCTTCAAATACTTCAGAGAGACATTTCATATCAATTAATGCTCTGTTATCTTGATAACCATTTTCTGCAATAAAAAAAACAACATCAATTGAAACTATTCAATATCAAACTACCATTGGAAAGTTTTCGATTGGCATTAAAAAGTGCATTAGTAAATAATGCTTTTAAATCTGCTCCCGACCAGCCAACAGTCGATTCCACAACTTTTTCCATATCTACAGATTTGTCAACATTTAATTCCCTTGTTACTACCCGAATAATATCCCGACGCTCATCCTCAAAATGTAATTGTTGAAAAACAGAGCCATTAAAAATACCGACCTTTGATGGATAAGTGCATCTGACGTGATGATCGAAACGGCCAGGTCGTAAAAGCGCTTCATCAATTAAATCAATGCGGCTAGTACATCCAATTACGATAACTCCTGAATAAATGTCTGAAATTGAGATTACTAGCTTATAAGCAAACCTTTCATTCCACCTTCAGCTCCATCGATCTCAGTCAGAAGCTGATTTACAACACGATCTGTCACTCCGGTAGAATCTGAACCTCGTTTTGGGGCCAATGAATCTAGTTCATCAAAGAATAAGATGCATGGGGCGCAGGAACGAGCTCTGAAACAATGTTTGTTAATTCGATCCCTTTCTATTTTTTTGTACTTAGTAAAGACATTGCGAACATTTTCTTCACTTGACCCAATATATTTCGATAAAAGTTCGGGCCCCTGAAGAATAGATTTATTTTAAAATTATACATGACCTCTCAATTCACCTTCACAGAAATTAGATTGAATTTTGAAAATTCAATCATAGCATTGGCTAGAAGTGTTTTGCCACAACCACTTGGTCCATACAACAGAATCCCTTTGCTGACCGGTACTCCAACAGATTCAAACAATTTCGGGTACTGAACATTTCTATTTTTATTTGAATAATAGCGAGATCACACCTTTTTTGGCCAAACGATAACTTGTTCCAATAATTTAATTTGTTCGCGCATTCCACCAACGTCATTTAAGTTTGGCAATCTGAAATTGAAAATTCCCTAAATCATTCATTTTTTCTGGTTTCGAAAAATAACAATGTTGTATTCGGCAGTGTTTTCCTTACATTTGCTCGAAAGTTTCTTTTTCCATCTTGCCTGCGGTGAACGTTTCCATCGCATTTCGAATATCCAATTCGTTGACACGCGAGGAACCTGTAAGATTTCATCAAATTGATCTAATCAAATAAAGAACTTGTTCGTTATGGGTATTTTGTTGGTTCGACCATATACCGGTAATGAATTAGGTGCAATCACGATAAATAAACGTGTAAAAAACATTAAAAAAAAAAACTACCTCGGCTAGCACATTCGACATTCACTGTTGTCGCTATTTTTCGAATTTCCGATATCGAATATCCTTCTGATTTTTCCACAAGTGCCTCTACTTTACAATATTTATCTTTGATCCACAATTTGAATAGATCTTGACGATCTTTCTGAAAATAATTTTCTTTTTTGTTTTTGTTTTAAAGATATGTAGTTTCGCCGTCTCTGTGTTTAGTTTCTGCGAAATTAATTTGTCAATGAAACATTTGAATAGTGAATTTTGAAAAATTTCTTAATTTGATATCACTCTTCTTAATTGGATAAAAACGTCTAAAACCAGTTCAGAGCTAAGATGAAAAAACGTTTTGCTGTCGTCACCACAATCATTGATTTAATAGCGTATTCTTTAGCCATTCCCGGAATCAGGTTTGGCGCATAAAAATGTGTCTCATCCGCGCAACATCACGCTCACAACTAGATGTGTCTCCAAAAAGAGGTCACCGGTCTAGTATATCCAGCCCTGTGTCTCCAATCTCAACGGCCAGTATAGTATCTATCCGGTTTTGCGGCATAAACCGCCGCGAAAGGGCATTACATCGCTTTATTTGTCATATTGTTACGTGAACGTGGAGTCGGTGGTTGCTATGAAACGTCATGTTAACCCGCGTAACTTTGTGTGTTTCTAAAACGTGATTTCTTGTCTGAACCTTATGATGATGTCGAACGTTTTCATTTATACATAACCCAGTTCTGATAAGAACGAATTCATCTTGCGACTAAAATGCAGGTCAAAGATATTCACAATCGTTGTTCAATTATTCGTTTTTTTTTATTGTATGATGTAAAAATAAAAAAAAAACTGTATTAATTATATTTAGGATTTCTGAAAAATGACGAAAACGACATATTCGCCATTCGGATTGCCATTAACAGATGAAGCTCTTAAACTTGTCAACGAAACTCGCCTTAAAATAACTCAACCTATTCACCCAAATGTGTGTTGAATTAAGTTATTAATGAATCTAAATCGACGTTTAGTTTGACACCGATTTCAACATTTATCGTTTCGTCATGTCAGCAGAACGAGCTTACAAAAAGGAGAAAGATGTAATTTCCCACGCGGCAAAAGCTTTGAACAATCATTTACGCTACAGAAAATCGTTGAATTTGGTAAGCTTAGGTTATTTGTTGAGTTTTTCAAGTAATTCTCTAGGACAGTGAACATATTGTCGACTTTGATGAGAACCCGATTTTTGTCAAAAGACTAATGCCAAGAGGTGATATTTTGGACAAAACAGATGCTCATAATAGACTTCTATGGTATATTGAATATGCCACGATCACTATCGAAGTTGAAATATTTCGATTACTTTAAAATATTAAATTGTTTAGAGCATTGCTCATTCAATTAAGAGTTCGGAGGCTTGCAAATTTCAATTTCTTCAATTTGAGTACATGCTTCGAAGAGTGATGCAGCAAGTAAAATCACAATTCAGAAATTAATTACGATAGAACTAAATTGTCGTTATAGGAAGAGAAGACAGGAAAATTGAGCTCATTACGCCATATTGTCGACATGAATGGATATGAAATCAATCCATTTACGATGGTTTTTGTTTCGAGTGGAACATTGGCTTATTATTCTCAACTTTTTCATTTTGAGAACTATCCCGAACTGGTATTTGGTTGGCAAATTGACCATTGAAAAGCAAATATTTCAGGTTTCACCGGTTGACATGGTGAATATTGCAAAGTGGATTCATCTTCCGTACAAACTTGCAAAATCAATGATGCCTACTGGATTTTCGGATAAATTCCGCCTCCACGACAGTCATTTTTTGAAAACTCTTCTTGAAGATATTCATGTGGATGATATACCAGTATCTCTTGGAGGAAATGATTCAGTAAATAGTATTCTCATAAGAACTTCGAAAAATTTTTCGTTTAAAGGAGATAAAGTGTGTTGGCGCTTTGAAAATCGATTCTGAAAACTACTGGAAACCAACAAACGAAAAGGTGTTGGAAGAATTGGAAAATTTCCACATCGGAGGCAAAAAAAGCAAGCATGTTGTTTTGAATTTGACAACTGGTAAAAGTTTGAGCTGGTATTTTTCAACTGACGGTGATATCTACTTCGGTATATTTTATGAGGTAAATAAAAAGTACTATTTATAAAAAGAATTAATTTTAAGGGTGAACCTATTAATAACAATGACGAGGTCGATGAAAACCTAGATCATATGGAAATGGTATATCCATGGCTCAAACTCGCTGCAAGACTTGTTCATGAAAATGATTCTTTAAACATTACGAAAGACGGAAAGTAAGTATTAAAGAGAATACGAACCGGGTTTTATTAAGTTTTAAAGATACCATATTGTTTTCCGCAATGCTTCATGGCTTACCAAGCGAAATATTGATTTTTATGCTCAAGTCACTGATGAAGATGGAATTTGCAAGCGAGTTTTTACCGATGGAACCTTGTCAACTGCTGATAAACGTATTTAACTATGTTATGTTTTCAAAATAATAATAATTTTGTTTAATAAATCTTACTTTTGTGGGTTTGTCGAGCTCAAATTTGTGTGCCACAATTGGTCTTCCGCGAACTGCTTGCTCAACAAAATCTTGGTTTAGAGTCGTCAATTTTTGAGCAGTGATTACAGCGTTCACTTTGCACTTCTTTAATTTATTGCATAATACTGAAATCGTTTTGTAATCTGATGGATTAGTGTGGATTCGTTACAAGCTATTAACTTCTCCGTTGGAATTTGTCGTTGCTCTTGATCCAATTGTGGAAGTATGACATCAATATCATCAAGAAGTAGCAAGCTTGGCTTCTTGCTTTCAAGGTCTCGAATTGTTTCCGAAAGCGACTTTTCTATCGAATCCACACTTTTGCCTTTAAAATGTGAACATTTCACAAGGCGACAGTAGTAAACATTAGAACTATGCGATAATCGTCGGGACAAACGCTTCAAAAAGTACGTTTTTCCAGTACCTGAACATAATTTCTAATAAAATCTTTTTTTAATTACTAAAAAAAACCAAGATCGCCCAGAAGAAATGTATGATTGTTTGGTTTTTTGCATATGTGAGTAACTTTTGAAAGAATTTTTGAGTGACTTCTGAAAACCAAGATTTCAGAGATTTTGTTTTCTTAAATTTAAAAATTATACCCAATTCTGGCTAAATCGTTAAACGAGGAAAGTCCATAATTACGAGTATAATCAGTCGGAATTCGATCTTTTTTCGAATCTCTTTCTTTTACTTCTTTTTCAAGAGTTGCCGTTAAAATAATCTGAAATTAAATGTATGTTACTAAAGGAATAACAACTGTCGCGATATATACTTGAATATTTATTGTAGTGTTTAATTCAACCATAAAACAGCTATCCCTATATATTTTTTGTTTTAAATTCTTGATGTTCGGCGTAAGTTTAATGGAAATAGATTTTTCTAAATCACGAATTAACTTTGCGAGACACTCTCTATTTTCCTACCTCCAGCCATGAGATCCATCACTTTTCCGGAACTTGAAAGTAGTATTGGATGGCATTGCATTTTAGATTCCAGAGAACTCATTAGTTCCTGCATATGGTTTTGTTGATCAAGCCATTGTTTTGTCTAAGCAAAATTTTAAATTTCATTCTATCCTATTTGTCTCACTTTATCATCGACTTGTAAATCAGCATGTTTCAAGTAAACCATTTTTGAAGGCTCTACAGATCTAAATGATATTGTAGAATATTCGTCGTATTCTGAATTTCCAATCACGCAATGGAACTTGTCAGGTAACTGAAACAGTTTTTATCAAAAGAAAAGTAATAAAAATATTTGAAATATGTATGTACTTTCAAAGATGTCAGCATATGAGACAATGCCGAATTGAAAGCTGTGGTAATTAGCATTTTCGAAGGTCTGTGTAGATAGCTGAACATCACTTCGTTGTGATGATTTGGTGAAAACACTTGAACTATTCCGAATTCGTTGTGGCCCACATTATCTGAATAAACTACTTTTAGATTTTATCTGAAAGCTTTTCCTGTTTAACCTCTTCCTTCAATATAAATTGTAGCCTCGTCAACTGTTTCTTCAATGTCTTTCATCCAATAATCGGCTAGATGTCTTGGAAGAACTCTAGCCATTACTGTCTCCTTTTCCAATTTAATTGTAAAATTTGATTTAAATCCTTCATTGCTCAGTCCTTCTACAATCTAAAAAGCCAATAACATTAATCAAATATTCCAATATTTGAAAACTTTTGCCACATTCATTGCCAAAGTCTTTTTCTCATCATTTAGTCCGTTTTCTGTTGCAGTTTGGACATGCAACTCAGTTTCGTTATCAAGAATAACCGGATTATTTGTAGTGGGTGATATGTTCACTGAAAAAATATAGATAAGAACTAATTTTTTCAAAATGAATTGACATATTCGCAATTCTACAAATATTCCAGGCGAAACAAAATAAGGAATCAACATATTGTTTGAAACAAGTCGAATTTGATCTAGAAAATTAGCTTCAATATTGCTTCTCGATTGTGACTGAAAATTTCTGAATAAATTACTTCCAAATAAAACAATAACGTACTATCACGGAATAGTCATTATTAGTGGTTGGCGCAACTTCGACGTATGAGCAATTAGTGGTCGAATCAATCCTTTCAAGAATAACCTGAAATTTGTCTCTGATATCACTAATTTCTATTAATCATCACTTCTTGATTTTCGTAAAATCCAGATATTTTTGCGAAAATGGAATTCACAAAGACATGCGTCAGCGGTAGCTTTCCAAACAATTGAACATCAACAACAACATTAGGGTTATGACAATTTCGTATACGAAAATTTCCAACAAATTGTCCCCCAAGAATCTAAACTCCAGTGAAGCAAGAAATGTTCTAAATGTTACTTTGCATACCTCACTGTTCGCTCCGTTTTCCAATTTTTTTCCAATAGCCGATAAATATTTTGCGTATGCAAAACAATTGCTCTGCGAGTGATAGCTCAAAAATGCTGGATAACTTTTACTCATGAGCTCTGCAAGAAGATTACAAATAAAAGGAACAGGGCGCAAATGAAACTGTACGACATTGAATTGTTCTTATCAATCAACAGGCTACGTTGTAGTAGTAATAAAGGCAATGAGTGTTCGAATATCGCTGACACTAATGTGATCAAGAAATGCATATTGCTAGCCTCTAAAACAAATTTCTAAAAAAATTAAAAACAATATGATCAGCTTAATTTTGACATTTACCGAGTTTTTAAAACTTAAAAAAAAATTTTTTTGGTCAATATTTCCAAACATGTATATTCGGTGTTTAGAGGGAAATCAAAATTATGGTAAATCCGCATCTGTCTTCGCCGTGCTTCAAAACGTAAATTCTGGCCATGTTTTCAGTTTTTATTGTGCTTAGTTTATTACTTTTGATATTAGTTCCTCTTACACCGTTTTTCTCTTAAAATAGGGAAAGTTGTAATTTATTTCACCATTACATTAAATCGTATTTCTAAAATCTGATAGTCACCCGCAAAGTATCCGAAACCTTTTGTTAGCTAGTAGTTAACAAAAGTTCCTTGTTTGCCATTTTCGGCGTCCGCAATTACGCGTCAAATAGGATGTTTTCCCAGATGCGATTCCACTGAGAGTCTGCGCCTCCGCCCATCTCATTCTCTTTTCACCACTCTACTCCCCCACTTCATGCAATTTCGTACAGCGGCTTATTAGTTGAATGTCCGTAATTTGTGAATCGTTTCCTATTCGTATCGATTACCATTTCGCATTTGTTTTTGTTTTTGCTCTTATTAAAATTTTAATAAATAACTTATTTCAGACAAACTATGGGTCAGATATCAAGCATTCTAACACGCCGAAATGGACACATACGAGGAAATGCGGCTGAAGCAGAAGATCCCGAACAGCAATTAACATTCTCAAACACACCAGGTAAGTTTTTTTAACAGAAATGAGAACATAATGTCAACTTCTTCTTAAATTTATTTATAACTTCAAAGCTTGCAGAGGGATCTTACTTCGGAACACATTTTTTGATGTGTGGATGTTTGTTTAAGTTGGCAAAACCGGAAGCTTATTTATTTGGAGAAAATAGTGATTTGGATCTTCTAGGCACAAAAGCATCAAACGTAAGCCGATATTTTGTTAGGGAGATGCTGACTATTGTTTTCCAGTTTCCATATCCTATTGGACCATTGGGTAATGATGAAATACGCCCGCTAAATCTGTTAATTAACATTCGGAAGGAATCTGTAAAATTTCAACGGTGAGCACTTTTTTATATAGATAGAATATGTAATGTTCTTTCAGTGTAAAACTCGAAGACGGCTCATTCGACCCGAATTTGTACCAGTTAAATTTTGTATTCGACAGCGATTGTCCTTGTTCGGTTCAAGTGCATTTCAATGCTCGAGAATCTGTTCAAAACGGAGAAATGAGGTTAGAAATCAAAAAAGCGTCTGAACTGAATAATAGAGGAATTTCAGATTCATATACAGAAATAGAAGAGCTTTGTGCTCCGAGCAGTATCACTTCGATATGGGAAGTGATCAGCAATTCAACAGTTTTGTCTTTGATTCTTCACAGTGGGATCTAAATGATGTAGTTTCAATTACTTAATTGTTCTAATGTCAATATTTAATTTTTCAGATGTCATATACTTCTGGTTTAATTTTCCCAGTTGTCATTGCCATTCAAACGGAAGGTGTTGAAAAAGCGCAGTTGCAAACTACACTTTGCACAATGGAGGTAGCAACTGATTTGAATAGCTGAAATTGAATACAGTCTGCTTCAGATTGCTAACGATAGTAGCAAGTCGATTGTTCTCAAACCGCTTCGTCAAAAGATTGTCTGCGATGGAGTATCCTATCTTTTACAAGAAATCTTTGGAATTGAGAACAAAGATACGTTTGATGACGCTGACGATGGAGGATTAGAATGCATTATTTGTCTCTCTGAGATTCGTGATACGGTTATTCTTCCATGCAGGCATTTATGCATTTGTGGAAATTGTGCAGATAATCTTAGAAATAAGGTACAAAATAATCAAATTTGAGTTATACATACTTGATAATTTCAGTTAAACAATTGCCCAATTTGCCGATCGCCATTCAAAGCATTGATTAGATTGCGAGCTCATCGTCAAACCAGAACTCAAATGTATGTACCGAAAAAAATACTGGTTGTTATGGACATGTTTCCAGATTTGAGACTGTTAGCGTTGTTGAGGGTCTGAATGGCCTGCACGGATTAACCTCTGGTGACGGAAATTCATCGGATGAATGTGCAGCTAGACAGAGACATTCAACTCGAAGCAGAACCGCATTACACCAAGTTTTAACTTTGGAGGAGATCGGCGACAATGAAATCCAATGCGGAGAATGCATTGAAATGACCTATATCACAAATGAGACTGTTGATGATTCCTACGTTGATGTGACTAGTGCCAAGTTTAATTCAAAAATAAAACCATTCATGATTTCAGGAAGAAGAGTTGAATGAAGCTCCTAAGAAAATATCTTGCTCAGATCAACCAAGCAGGAGCGATAAAATTCTAACTGCTGAGGATTCCGAAGAAGTTCAAGATGACGAATGCTCGAACCCCGATGCTAACTCAGATAACGAAATCGTTTTGGGCAAAAAGGAAAACAGAAGATCCGCTGAGACAAGCCTTCGGGATTCCTCATCAAAGCTTCTGGGCAGCTCGGACAATAAATAAGTCGCTTTCATGTCAAAAAATTGAATCTGATCTTGTTTTTAACAATTTCTATTGTAATGTATCGGGTTATTCATACGCATTAAACACAAAAAAATGTTGCATCTGTTCACAGAATTGGGAGAATTTTCTTACCTTATTAAATATTTTAGATATTATGGTTGTGGTTTTCAAATAAATTAATTAATAAAATGTTGTGATGTAGAGTAAATGTGTTTCCAATCATCAAGAATACTTTATGTCTTTTAACTCACTTTGTAAAAAATACATTTAAAACACTCAGGGAGTATGAACGAAGGATCTGGTGATGTATACTTGATGCTAAGTACACTGGTGCTTTTTTTCTTCGCTGGGTGGTTGTTTTATACAAAACAGTTATTTAAAAATTACGAAGTGCATAACAGGTAATGTTTAAAATTAAAAGAAAAAAATCAATTTTAATTTTCAGAACAGTTCAATTTTTTTTCTCTTTCACTTTTTCGTTGTCATGTTCGCTTTTCGAATTGATTATTTTTGAAATTGCTGGTATCATGAGCATTGAGTGCGAATTTCAAAATTTGTGTGAATTCGGGCATTTTAATTTACAGAAGTCGTACAAGTTGTTGGAGATATTGTTTAAGTACAATTTTGTTCACATTGGTCTTCATCATTCCAGTTTATATGTCGTATCTTATAATATCAGGAATTTCTTTTGGTGAGAAAAAATAGTGGCTTCAAATATTCTAGATTTTTATTTCAGTTAAAGCAAAAATGCACATACCACTTTCAATCGTCTCATGGTTTATCTTTTTGTACTTTTTCTGGAAAATTGGAGAGCCGTTTCCAATTATGAGCTCAAGTCATGGTTAGCTTCTTTCATATTTAGTTGTCGGATAAATTGTCACTCTCAATAGTCACAATTTTACCAAATTTGATTCAACATAAAGACAGTTTCGAGACGCGTGTCAATTCTCCATCGAAAAGTTGCCTTAGTTCAATAAGATAATAATCTTGCTGCTTTGAATACTTCGTTTTACAGGTATATTCACAATTGAACAAGTCATTTCTCGAGTTGGTGTGATTGGAGTTACAGTTATGGCAATTTTGTCAGGATTTGGAGCAGTGAACGCACCGTATAATTACATGACAATATTCATGCGACCGGTAGAGTCAAGAAAATGTAGTAATGTTTACAACTTAAAAATTAGGTCGACGAACAGCAAGTCCAGCAGGTAGAAAAACGCCTAACCCATCTTATGGATATGATAGTAAATAAAAAACGAAAAATGGCAAAATTAGTACTTCAACGCAACCAAATCATTCAGGAAAATAGTATGCTAGTCGTTTTTTTTGTTAAAAACATATAGAATAATATTTTAGAAAACGGAAAAGATTCATTTTTGACAAAACTGTGGTCAAATTTCTCGGAAACTGGCTCAGAGTCTACATTGTCTACTCAAATTGGGTACTTTAAGAGTGCAACTATTTTCTTTGAAGTATTGACTTTCAGGAGATTACAGGATGAAATTAAACCACTGGAGACGCTGAGCTCATACTTGTTTCTTGATTTAGTCGAAGTTCGATACATGCTCGACCGCGTAGCGTTTAGGTTAGTGATATAATATATGTCATTTTTTCTGTACAGAATCCGTTTGCATCATTTCAGCAAAACAATCATCGGCATCTACTTTAACATTCTTGGCCACTTTTTCTCCGTATATTGCATAGCAAAAATTATGTTATCATTTTTCAATATTGTTTTCGATCGCGTTGGCAAGGCGTGTTGTTACTTGCGACATAACAAAAAGTTCCGTATTTCCAGGTAGACCCAGTGACTCGAATGATTGAAATTGGAGTTAACTATGTCGGAATCGAACTCGATGTTCGCTATTGGTCGCAGTATATATCATTTTTGCTGGTTGGAATTATTGCGATAACATCTATAAGAGGTAGACGAGACGGATCGGGAAAAAAAATCAACGATCATGTGTACTTTACAGGACTGCTTATAACAATGACCAAGTTTTTTGTTTCAATATCAAACGTTCGATCATCGAATATCATTGTATTGGGATTAGCCCAAGTAATGGTAAGAAACTCGCAATATTAACCAACATGGTTCTTATTGCAAAATCGCTCAAAAATGGTCAAAGTTGTGTTGTAATGGAAACGTTTTGTGTACGGTCAAATATTCTTTCAATTTTCAATTTAAATATGCATTTTTTGAAATTTTCAAAAAGACAGAGGTAAAATAATTATTGTGATCTAAATACCTAAGTGTTTGTTGTATAAGAGAAGTTTTTCAAGTAGATAACAATCAAGATACTAGAGTTTTCACTTAATTTTCTGAAGAGAATTAGGGAATCACTGACTTACTAAAAATGGGTATTTTAAGAGTAGAGCCAACATAAGATGGGCAAAGTTTTCTTGTGAATTGAATTCTAATTGAAAGTTTTTAATATTATTTAAATTTTTATTAAAAATAATCTTTGTTCTTCTAAAACAGAAGCCGCGATTACATCAGGAATGTATGAAATAATATTCAAAAATTAGTATTCTCAAGCTGGGAAAATAGTTGTATAGGTTGTATCAACGTGAACACAAATAACAAAAAATTTATTTTCAGGGAATGTACTTTGTTTCGAGCGTGTTACTGATGAGGATGAATGTGCCATTAGAATATCGGTATGATTCTATTTCTTTTACTTATTATTAATTTATTCATTAAGCACAATTCTTACCCGGATCCTTGGAGACTTGAAATTCAACTTTTACCATAGATGGTTTGATGTTATTTTCTTGATCAGCGCGGTCAGTACTATCACCGTGTTTTATCTTATTCATAAGTCTAGCCAGAATCGATATCATAGCTAACTATTGTTATTTGTGATTTTATATGATAGGTGTATTTCACTCTTGCCCTACTTAATTGTTGTGATACTTTTAACTGTTGGTTTCATTTGTTTCAATTGTTAGAACTAATAATTTATTTTCATATTTCTCTTTTTAATATTTTTATGGGTTTTTATTTCTTTTATGGGTCTCAATTTCGGCTATATTGTTCAACTATACAATCCGCATTCTCCGATGAAAAACTTTTTTTACGTTTATTCAATGATTTTTATTTCAAACCAAAAAAGGACGCATGGAATGCAAACACCCGCTTTGAAACGTTAAGAAAAAAGGATCCTAAATCTTGTGATAGTAATCTAAACGAGCTCGTAAAAAATAATTCGGCTTTGCGCGCCTGAAATGTGTGAAACTGGGCCGCCGGTAGTGATGAAAAACCGTGGGGACAGGAAAATACCGTAACAAGAATTGCCGCCGACAGCGGAACATCCAGCTGCTGGTGTTCGCGCTGGGCGTGGCGTGGATTTATCGGCGAAGTTATTTTCCTCAATCCGAAGACATTCGAGGATACATTCCGAAGTCGAATCCCCCGTACCGAAATATGCTGCGGAACATTCATTCAATTATTTTGGTAATCCTTTTACAACAATTACCAATAAGTTTGCAATCAGGTCAGTTGTCTTAACAATTGAATTCTCTCGTAAAAATTTCTGAAACGGTTAGGTTTTTTTTTTTTTGAAAAATCTCTAAATCATTTTAGGAATTTAAACTTTTTTAAATAACTTATTAGAGATACCAACTTCTTTTAACATTAACGTTTAGGATGTTGAAAGAAAATTAGTGAAAAAGACGGGAGTATTTAATTTTTTTTTTTTTGCAAACCATCCAGATAATCCTTTACAAATTATCTGTATTCATACTTTACTGCTCTTGATATTGATTTCTACATGTGATTTTCAGAATGTGCTGTGTCGATGTGGGGCGAATGGAGTGATTGCTTTGGCGGTTGCACTCAAGGATTGATAGTGCGTAATCGCGACGTGGTTCGTCCTCCGGTTCCAGAAATCACTGATGACGGTCGACGGATACAGCGTCTCTGCCCTCATTTATACGAAACCAAGTATTGCGATCAAAAGAAATGTCTCGAGGTGAGAATTTCTAATTTAAAAAAGGGCATCTCACAGGATTAGTAGTTATCATCGTTAGCCATCTGGTGTACTGAACACCGTGGTGGTGAAGATGAATAATGACCCGCAGAGATCCGAATTGCGAAAAAAAGATAATTTAGCTTCTCAAACACCACTGTGTGACGAGCTTTATTGGATTTTTCCGATGTGAAAAACGAAAAAATGCGCACCACATTAAGATATGTATCATTTAATTTGACCGTCGCCTCTTTTGAAATTTTAACATGAGTGGAATCAGGAAAACATCTGTCCCACTCTTGGAACTGCTTTGCATAACAATTTCTTGTCACATAAAATCTGTCTCTGATTTGAATGATCTCATTTAGAATGGTGACGTGTTTTTTAGGAACCAGTGGCAAAGATCTATCACACCTTGAAGCAAAACTATAGTGAATCGGCAAAAGCACTTGTTGAAGAACAAATGAAGAGGATTGGTTTCTTTGAAAACTCGAACCCAATGGTGATTGGTGGAATTCTTTAAATTTTAGACCATTAAATTAAGGCGTCTCAACTGAAACAGAAATTCATAAGTGAAACTGAGCAGCTATTGAAAATGGACAATGTTTTGAGCCATCAATCATCAAGCCTGTCTTCGCAACTACCGACTACGACTGAAGCGTCAGAAGCATCGGTCATTGATATTTCTGCTAAGAAAATTTCGAACAACGAATGGAAAAAAGAAGGTTAATTTCGCACCAATTTCGTTCAACCTAAATTCTCAATGTTCTCTTCCCGAGATTAGCTAAAATTCAAAACAATTGCGCTGATTAATTAACATAATGTGTCCCGCTCGCAGACTTTCCGTACGACTATTACTAATAGCATTAGTCGAGAAACTTGTTTTTTTGCAGACCTTGTGGCGGCTAACAAATGGATCCCAACCGCCTTCCGAGATCAGCCAACTACTGAAAGAGCAGCAATTATGACTACTACTGACAGAAATACTTCTACTACTGAAGCTCCAACAACCGTAGGATATTCTACAGCCAGACCAGTTGCATTGGCCGTTCCAAATGACTTTCCAGTCAATTCCATTCTTCGTCAAATCGAAAGAGCTTTAGACAATAAACGTCCAGTTGATGAGAAGCTTATTAGAAAACTTATAAGAAGAAATCATAAATTTGCCAAAATGCTTTTCGATCGAAGCAACCAAGGTTACACCACTACTACATCAAGCACAACGTCTACGACCACTACAACGGAGCCACCCGTTTATGAAGAAATTGAAGAATTTAGTACGATTGAAGAGCCAACAACAACTACTACAATGCCATATTACCCAAAAACAGGATATATTCCAAACTCGAGAAAGCACGCTTCCGAGATTACTTCACAGCTTTACATGACTAATGAGATAGTTCAATCATTAGCGGACGACCCAGTTCCAATGAATGAAAATCCAGGATGTTAGAAACAGAGAATGATAGTATCAATATTATAGTCTTCAGGTCCCCACAACAAGAGATGCTGTAGAATCAAACGTGAAACATGTGAAGACGGATCCCAACCAAAAATGGTTAAGCGCTGGTATCGTCCGGTATTCCAGATTTTTTTTTAAACATATAACTGTTAATTTTTCCAGAAGGGATCTTCCCAATGCATCGCATATCACTATCCGAAATGCTCAACGTTTGTCGAAATGGACGAGCAGCCAATTCTTTTTGAGCAAAATTGTCAAGATGTATGCTTCGGTAAACAAGAGAAGCGAATTGCTCCATTGTTCCACATCGAATTGGAAGACGAATGAATGAAACCTTAAATTTTATTAATAAGATTTCAAAAATCACATGACATTAATCAATATTTATGTTTACAACTTAACGTGCAATAAATTTTATTTGTGAGATTCGATGCTACTTGTGACGTGTTCCAAGGACAAAAGGAACTCGGCTAGACTTGATGTGAAGTTTTTTGGGAGATACTCCAATGATGAGTCGTAGTCGAAAGATCGTATCAATTCTATAACATTCGATTCCAATTCCACGAATCTTGTCAAATTCCTAACGGTTATTCCACGGTTCAATGTCTTGAAATGGTTTCGACATTGATTATACCAACCAAATTTTACCTCCAAAATAAAGCTTTCATTTTCGTTCAAATCCAAAGGTTCTGTTTGAGACATCCAATCAAGAAATCCATTATTTCCACAAAGAAACATTCGCTTACATAACTGAATATAAATTGAAATGAGTAAATGATAAATAATGTAAGAATTCATATTACCTTTAATGTTGGTGTATGGTTAAGAAAAAACATGGTAATTTTAACAGCTTCGTTACAAAGAACATGATGACCAAGCAAATAAAAACAAATGTTCTCTACTTCCTAAAATAGCCAAGTTTCACTTTTGAGCGTGAATGATTGACGTGCATTGGTGCAATAATTCGCACATTTTGAGACCAAACACAACGAGCGTTGTATAAACTTACCAAGGTTAGATAGAATGGTGTGATATCTCGTAGTATGGTTTCACCTTCTCTTCTTCAACCCATTTGAACGTACAAACGAATTGAAATTTAATTAATTATTTTTTTTTACTATCAAAGTGTTCAAATTTGAATTAAATTATAGCATTGTGTAAAAATTGCAAATTTCGAATTCTACTAGTCGGATGAATTTTCATTATTATTAATTAGAAAACTATATTGAATGTTTTACACGTTTTCTACAATCATTCAACTTACTTTATGAATAATAGCCATTCTGTTCATTGACACCTTGATTCCATCAACCACAAGTTTGCATGGTAGGCAAAACGGCTCAAATGGATGACATTTTGTGGTCTGCGTTGGTTTTGCTTTCCGATGGAACAGTTCTTTTACGCTGGTCTTATTCAGAATTTCATATGAATTTGAAAATTGGAGACACGAAAAAATCAACATGAATAAAGTAAACTGTTGCATCTTGAAAATAATTGCACACCAGCCAGCATATTTTACATTTATATAACATTGATAATAGTACTAATATTTGATTATTATTATTATTATTGTCATTTGATGAAGGGCACAAAGTGTTAAGCCCATTGAACTTTCCTGCTTAATTTTGTAGTTTTCTTTAAAAAAATATGACTAAGAGTATGTATGGGCTAATCAGGACTGAAAAGATTAAACATAATCTTCGGAAGAACGTCCAGCAAATATTTCTTGCATTGTCTAATAAAAACTGTCTAATGCTCGAATATTCTTTAGATTCAATGTGTCCGCTTCTCTGCCACATTGATGGACTTTTTCTTACTTTTTTGAATGGCATTTTTAAGGACCAATTTTGTTTTAATTCCCTAAAGAAATATAGGATCCATTTAAATTGAAATAACGTTCACGATTATACGAGTCTCCGTGAGAAAGAAGTGTCATAGCGGATAGATTCTCGCTAGAGCGCAGTGTAGCAGCGGAGCGTTGTAGTGAATAATGCGAATGGATTGTGCGTTTTATCTCCAATAATCCTAATTATGTCGATATTCACTTATTATAATTGAAAATTTTTTAGTTCATTTCACAATTGCAATGATTCTTCATTTTTTGTTTTTCAACGCATTCAATTTTCATTTAATATCGATTTTTGAGAACCACGTGAATTTTCCACCCCCATTTTACTATTGATCACCTGATTTTTGTAGTATTTCGTAATTAAACATCACGTGATGTTGTTAAATATTTTCCTATATTGTTCATTTCTATTATTCTAGCAAAGTGACTTATCATATCGATTTTTATAAATCAATAATCATTCAAGGAATTCGTCCCACTGTTCGACTGGAATGGTCAACACCCGCCGAACACGAACTAGGACTCGAACTGGAACAACACTAACAAATGGATCATTTGAGCCTCCGACGAAAGGAAGAAAGTAAGCTGAATTCTGCAAGAAATGCCGTGATGATAGATATGCGTTATCGGAAAATTACAAAAAAATCGAGAAAAAACAAAAAAAAACCCGAAAAAATAATTATTCAATCTAGTTTAAGCAATAAGAATAAAAGCTTTATTTCAGATCTCGTGCCCTTAAAAGAGATATCAAAAACGAGAAACCTGCGGAGATTAAAGCGCCGAGAAGAATAATTACCAGGGCAGCCAAGAGGAAATTAGAGACGTAAGTTTTCACAATGGAGTTCAGCGTTAATCCTACGCTCTTCGTCTATGCCAAACAACTTAAATTGGTGTAAATTAAATGTTCAAATTTATTTATTTATCAATTCATATAATAATTGTAATCTTCCTGATAAGAGAATTAGCTTTTTACGAGATCGTGTGGTCCAGTTCAACAGCAAATCTGCTGGATTTGAGGCATTTTAAATTTCATTAAATCAATTTTTCGCAACTATAGAATTAGATATTTTGTGCCTTATTTCTATTTCAAAAAAAAACTTACGAATCCTTTTGAAACTTACGAATCCTTTTGGGGCTTTTTAATAGAGAGTTTTGATAACGAGATTCTGTCAGAGATAAAATTTTCAAAGGTATTTCAGACCGCGGATAATACACAAATGACGAAAGCGTGATATCTATTTACGTTTTTATAGATATATTTCCATTTTATGCTGAAAAATATACGCCTTGATTTCAAAAATTAATTTAACAATTTGACGCCACCGGATGAACGATTTAAATATCTGAGATAAAAATTAGAAACTAGGCAAAATCATTTTGTTAGCCGAATAGATTGGAGAAATTAAAAAAAAATATATATACAAGTCATAAGAAAACTAGAATAAAATAAACGAAAAGAAAAAAAACCAAGAAATCATACGATTGAAGTAATTTATCGTTTTAAAAATTAAAATTTAGTTCGCAGAATTTTGCAATATTTTTACTGTCTCATGATTGCAGAACACGAAATGAAGATGCAAAGGGGCCATGTCCACCAAAAGCTATTAAGACTCAGCATAGTCGTCGATCTAGAAGCCGAACTCCGATTCCTGTAGTAAGTTTTTCTTCGTTCTCATATTTTTTGCTTTACTACTCATAACTATGCGAGACACGTTTTTGACGGTCATGATCATGATTTTTTTCCGTCGCCTTCAGAATTGTGTGCATATGAAACTCAGAAACGACACACACACACATACACATACACACACAGGGATATACTCATAGAAACAGTTTAAAATAGCGACGCCGGCTTCATAGAGCTATTCTCTCTCTCTCGTGTCTCCCGGCCGGTTGTAAAGTCGGAAAAATCGAAGGAAACCTCGGCAATGCGAAAGTGGGCGGCTCTCGCGGGATCGGTTGTTTTTCTTTATTTCTCCGATGCAAGTGCGCTTAAACACATTCATCTGCTCGCTTTAGTTGTCGCATCTCCAACTATTATTTCTGTTGTTCGGCTACTGAAACGAATAGGAACAAGCCTATCGTGTCGGCACGCGTTCGTGCTTCAAGCCAACATCGTTCGCCGCTAACCGTGCCGTGACAATCGTCATCAATTATTCGCGACTCGACCAATTTGGCGACAACGTGTGCATCACACGTTGCCGTCGCCGCAACGCCGGCATCTGAGCGCCAACAGTTTTCCATATCTCCCTATTCACTGACCACCCGATCTTCACCATTTTCACGTGAGCCCTCTACTGTTCATTCAAATCTTCTTTCCCCAATTGCTTCTCGTCGTCATTACATATCTCATCGTATTCCGCAACGAGCCATCGTTTCAAACGCACCGACTATTCATTCCGCGGCGATTGTTTTCAATTGTGAAGATATGCCGATCCCGAAAGTTCACGGAACACCACCAAATTCATTGGCTCTTCGTCGAATGCCGTTAGTTGTCATTCCAAGAAAGCGAAAATATAAGAACTACGTGTCTCGTCGAAAGAATACTCAGTTGCTGGCCAGCCTCCGTCGGTGCGTGTCCGATCCAAACATTTACAAAAGCTACAACCATTGGAAAGGGCTTTCTCGTCCTTTGACTCCAGTGAAGTCAGGTGCACCAACCCCAAAATCAACGTCTACTACAAGCAACCAGTCTCTTGTGGAGAAAAAGAAGCCTCAATCAGTATCAGCAACAAACTCGGTCGCAGTGAAAACGCCGAGGAAAGATGATGAGAACATTTCACCCAATGTTGCCGCAGCAGAGATACCTTTCGGCAATTCATCGATCACAAAACAAGTTTCTGGAAAGCTCACCGAACTCAAAAGCAAGAACACCGTGACGAATTCTACTAATAAATCTGTTTTGCGAATCCCATCTACAACCAAAATTCCTCCAAGTTCATCTACAAAAGAGAAGCCGTCACCATTTGCACCAGCAATTGGAACTCAAAAAGACCCGAACAAGCCGCCCGTTAGTAAGCAAAACTCATTTCAAAAACCGCCCCCGCCAACATCTACAAGTGTTGCGAAGACAAATAAGGTTCCACCATCTCCGGAAGCAATTCGCAAAATTGATGGAATTGAATTTTTGCCTGCCGATACCCAACAATCTTCGTCAACAGTTCAACCCGCATCAGGAGCAAAGGCGCTTCGAAAAGCTTATGGCTCAAAGAGCGGAACAACGATTTGCGCAATCGGTTCACCCCTCGGTGGACCATCAACCAGCAGTTCGAATCAACAACAAGATGATGAAAAACGTCTTATCGAGAAAAAATTGTCACTGCGGCGAAAAAAGAACGAAACCAGTCGAGAAGGTGGTGTTCTAGCAGTTTCGAAATCCGGAATCGAGCTGGTCAAAGAGCAAACGGACGAGCAAAAAGCAAAAAAGACGGTCAACGCCGTTGCAGCAGCTTTTTCAGTATTGCAAGATGAACCAGCATCGAATCAAACTGCAAAAGATGCAAAACCTCAACCCTCAACAGCCGTCGCAAAGCCAAAGTCTGCAGCAGCTCAAAGCCTGCTTGCGCAGCTCCAATTACCGCCTTCAGTATCTGCTAAAGTCGACAAAATTATTGCCAGCGGGGATAAAGCTAGACGGACAAAACCGCAGGTAAATATATAAATATGAAAAAAAAAACTGTGTGTGTGTGGGTGTACTATTCTGAAGGTCAATCATGCTGTTTTAATTATATCAATAAAAAAACAATTTAATTACTATTTTAGGTTCGAACAAAAGCTCGGGAAGCATCTGGATATTCAAACCGAAAAGCACCAATTGAAGATGACAAAGATGGTCATTTAATATATTCTAATGGAGATACGATATTGGCAAGATGTAAGTTTTTGTATTTCTTTTTTAATATTATATCTCATTTTCAGTCACAATACAGGATACACTTGGTGAAGGCACTTTCGGCAAAGTGGTTAAAGTCCACGATGCTGCTGAGGTACTTGAATGATCTTCTGGCACAATTCACCCCAGTTTTCTTTCAGCAATCACTGATGGCATTGAAGATTATCAAAAATGTTGGAAAATATCGAGACGCTGCCAAATTGGAGATCAAAGTTTTGCACAAACTACGCGAAAAAGACCCGAAAGGAGAAAAGTGAGTTCCATCATTCCGTGAAATTTTTTGAGATTTGGTCGCACTATTAATTTCAATGTTCCCATAATATCAACGTAGTCCTTTATTTCACGCTGGAAATTTTTGTAATGAATGTCCTCAAAATCATCGCCGCGCTTTCAACTGTGGTTTTGTTGAGGAATGACAACTGTTTAGCGGCAAGTCGAATTCTGCAAATCCGAGGTGCTCTGCTCTTTTTTCCCGTCCACGCATACACACATACACATATCCTTCGCGATCGACGCACTCATCGGATCGCACTCTCGTCATTCCTCTCTTTCTCTTGAGCTCTTCTTGTCATCGCGATAATGAGAATATCGTGGCTGTGTTGCTCCTTTATCTTCTTCTCACGACCGAGAATCTGTTCGCCGAAAACATGCACGATGAGATTGAATGAAAGGGGGACGACACTCGCGAGCCAAACGCCTCGCTTGCTTGCTGGCGAAGTCTATAATCGATTGTTTCGCTTTACACAAATCAATCAATAGAAGACACGAGCACCGCGGTTATTCGAGCAATACATTTGTGTAACGCGGGTAATTGATAACATGTTGAAAAAAAAGACTACACGAAGCAAGTTATAAGGGCTCATCCTTGAGAGAACCTAACGAACATTCTAGAGAAATTTAAGAGACAGGAGAACTTTTGGGAATTTTCTACCTAATCACATCAATATTGAATATCTTCATTAACTGTCTATTTTCAGATGGGTAATCCACCTTCAGGAATCTTTTGACTATCATGGACATATTTGTCTTCTGTTCAATCTTATGGGCCTCAGCATTTTTGATTTCTTGGTAACACGATTTAATTTATATTCAAAATCAATTTTTGCAATTTTTGTAGAAAACAAATCATTATCGGCCATACCCTATGCACCACACCCTTCATATAGCGTATCAAGTCTGTAATGCGGTCAAATTTTTGCACGATAACAAACTCACTCACACTGACTTGAAACCGGAGAATATCCTATTTACGAACAGTTCATACGTGACCGAGATTCATGATCGCAAAGTAAGTTTTAAATCGATTAAGCTGTTCATGATTATTTTTATTTTAGCCTGTAAGAATATTGAAAAACACCCATGTACGGCTGATCGATTTTGGAAGTGCCACGTTTGATAACGAGCATCACTCGACCATTGTTTCCACTAGACACTATCGAGCTCCAGAAGTCATCTTGGGTATCACAAACGTATTTGATTTCGAAACTTTGAAAATTTGTTTATAGAGCTTGGATGGTCACAACCATGTGACGTCTGGTCAATTGGATGCATTCTTTATGAATTGTACACGGGTGTCACGTTGTTCCAAACTCACGAAAATCGCGAACATTTGGCAATGATGGAACGTGTCTTGGGAGATATTCCTGTACGAATGGCCAAAAAAACAAAGTTTGTATTTATTGTTTTTTTTTTTGAAACAGGAAAATACTGAAATTGTTACAGGACAAAATTCTTTGTCGATGGAAGGCTTGATTGGGTTGGAACTACTTCGGATGCGATGTACGTCCGTGATAATTGCAAACCATTAAGAGTAAGTTTTGAAAACTCTTGTATAACAATTGAATTTTTATTCAATTTCAGAGATCAATGCAATCAACCGATCCAGAACACGTTGAGCTTTTCGAATTGATTGAAATGATGTTGATTTATGAGCCAAGCTCTCGACTCTGTTTGAAGGAAGCTCTCGACCATAGATACTTCAAGCGCTTACCGGCGCATTTAAAGTGATAAAAACATAATATTTTGATTAGCTAATTGAAATATTTCAGGATTCCCAATTCGTTGTCGAAAGGGTTCAACGGCGATTCATAAAACAGTAATACAATTCGTCTTCATCAAATATCTTATTTATGCGCGACTTAATATTTAGATAGATTTTGTTATAATATATATTTTAAGTTAATTAACCATTTTGTTTCCTTGGGTGGAACCAATTTCATCACTCATCCATACAAATGCGGGTCTCTTAGAAGCGTCCATCTGTTTTATTTTCTTGTTTTTTTTAATTTGTTCTTTGTATCGATTCGGTTCTTGTTTCCACATTGTATAATGTAGAACACCATTTTCTTAATGGGTTTCCACCTGTCATCACTATAATAGACTTATTTACTATAATATACAAACACATATATAATATATAATATATAATATATAATATACAAACTGTTCATATTTTTCTGTTCCAGTATAGCTCTACTTGGTCCTTATTAAAATTGCCCCGCCCCCATTTATCTCTTGTTTTTTTTTTCTTTGTTTTATTTTCGATAAACCATTGCTACTTAGATTCCAACAATTATGTTAAGGAATTTTGAACATCACGTTGTTCACTCATAGACAATTGCTAAACGCAGTCCCTCGAAAAGAAGACACGTGTTGTGATATAGATTGATCGAACATCACTCTTCATCTTTTCAACGAACTTGCTTAAAAACCAGTGAGATAAAGAATCAATGTTAAGGACCATGTAAAACGTATTTTTATTTTCTTACAAGTAGTCAAAGTTTTTAATAATACACCAACATACAAACATTAAACAATATATTCACACATTAAACAAACATTTATAATTTAAGAAAATTACACATCTTAATCCGATTGCTATGCAACTGTGACTTTATCAACTTCTTCTTCAAATTTGAGCAGCTTTTCCTTCTTCTTTTTAGTGGACTTGCATGCGATCCCCAAACATCGCAAAATGAAGAACACGAATTCAACACAACTCATTATGCTTGCACCTGAAAACAGACATAAGAAAACGAAATAGTTATTGATACACCTAAGAATAACCCAGCCTGGCCACCCATATCAGAAATAAGATTGAATATCGAATACGATTCATACTCGCGTAGAATTTCGTAGCTCATTTGTTCATAGTAGATTTCAATCATTGCTGCGTGTTCTCTAAAAACTCACTTACTTTTATTTCTCAAATTAAGTCGTTGAAATACCTGTAGTACTTGTTACAGTCTCGGGCTTGATCATCACATTTCGACTGAATACTTCCACTAGGCCATTTGGCAGCTGAATATGTCGTAGTGTATTGATCTTGTTTGCATGGGTGTGGGCAATTGCAATGGTTCTTTTTAATCGACAATTTTGCCCCTTCCGCAGCCAGGCATTTCACTAAAACTTTTTATTTATATGAGATAATATATGTTAACTATCTACGTGTCTTTTTATCACGACTATCGCAGTATGGACTTCTTTCCCAAGGGTTTGGAAAACGAGGATCAGCACATCCACATTTTGCAATAATTCTTCGTTGATAGCAGGATCGGAAGCATCCCTAAATCGTATTTTTAATTTTAAACTGTATTTTTGATTTAGATGAAATACTTCGGGCTCATATTTGTAATCTCTATAAATATTATTGAACGGCGGCATATCTTTTTCGTAACAATTTCCGTAAGGTTTTGGTAAACGATTGACTTTTCTCTGGAATGCATTTTTGCTTTTATGTGAAGAAATAAATTGTTACCAGTGAAATTCCAAAAGATGATATTGCTCCAATTGGCGCAGAATATCCAAATGTGTCTGGAAATGGGCATTCCCGTTGGCCATGTATAGCAATTCGGACACCAGCGGCTTCTGTAGTTGGCAGATAATCCGAGGCATTAACAAAAAGCATTAATCTCAATCCTAAAAGTATATGATAAGCCAACTTCAGGTGATTATTTTTCTAACCATAACTAGGACCAGCTCTTGTACTAACAAGGGTTTTCTTTGGATCAGCATTAAACGTGTAGCAATTACCAAATGATGGATCGATGTGTAATCTGAGAATTGTAATTTTGTTTCTGTTAATCATTAAAGTGAATACTTGAATTCTTTTTCTATATCACACTGTTGTCCGTTAAATGAGCACATTTTAATCAGTTCCGACTTTCCGTATCCAAGAGCAGCTCTACGTTGCGGATGCAATCCAGACATTTTCAAAATCATTCTGAGCATTTGGATTGAATAAATATAATTCAATAATTGAAAACTTTTCTCGAGCCTGGGTTGTAATCGCAACTTGATCCGTCATATTTCCATATCCCAACTGGCTCAATTGTTCAATGTACTCTTTTCGTAGAGGACTTCCCTTTTCAGGAATCTGCTTTCCTTGAAACTCCCAAACTCTTCTCAAACGGCTTTCTGGTTTGAACACACAATAGCCCATTTCCTATAAAAGATTATCTTCTAGACTAACTATGTATAACATTCAGTTACCAATTGACAGTAGCATGGGATTTGATCAGTTCCAGTGGTGTTTGGGACATTGCAAAACCCGATGTCGTTGCACTCGGGACAAATTGATTCCTCCCATGTTCTAAATAAGATATATCTTTGTAATGTGTCTTGGCCAATTGAATCAAAATGCAATCAGTGGCACATTTGATGCCAATTTTATGTGAGACATACTGAGCTCGATAGCACGGCCATGCACTTCCATCTTGTCTATCGTAATTACATATGCAAGCTTCTTCTAACGAGCGAGGGACACTTGTCTGAGCTGAAAACTCTTAGTTTAAAACGTAATCATTTTTTAGATGACGTGCCAATGCATTCCTGTTTTCCTTCAACACATTGACAATTTGAGTAGACCGGCTCGTATTGTAAAAACTTGAACGACTCTATAATGTTACGAAAATTGATATTACTTTCATTTTTTGCGCCTTGCTCCTCAGTTGTTTAGGTCAGCTTCTAATCTCACGATTAGTTCAGAACGTCGAAAAAGAGTTAAGACCCTGACGTCTTGAGTTTCAAAGGTCACACTTACGAGATTGCAAACTTCGCTTCCCTCTCCCAAAATCATCGTATTGAGCGTCATTGCTGTAGACAACGGCTTGATGGAACGCGTCCAACTAAATTTCAATTATTCAAACATATATAAATCATTATTTATATACAGTTTCACTAATTTCGGGAACACTTCTTGCTAAATGATTCTTGAATGGGTTCAGATTGCAAACAGTGATTGCTGGAAATGGCGCTGATTCGAACTCCAGCTGAAAGAAACGATCCGATCTACACCATCTTCAAACAATACCTCAACGTTCACAATTTTTTCCCTTCTTGCATATTTCTCGTAAACGTGTGTGAAAGAGAAACACAGAAATCCTAAAGATATTAGACAGACAATCGCCCAAATTGCTTGAACCCATAATAGGGATGTACTATAAATCTGAAAACAGAACGAATCGATTAATAAGTCATGGATCTAGTATGCATGGGTTTGTGACAAGTTGCGTATTTTTCAAGAAAAATGACCCGCTCGTACCATATTAACGCCATGAAAGGTAGTCTGCTCGCAAAAATGGCGGAATGATGCTTTTATTTCACTTTTTGAGGTGTCATTCTTTTCCGGCGGGTCTTCGCCCAAAGACCGTGTGATGTCCTGAATAATTTTATATCGTCAATTATGTATATTCAGTGTCATTCTTTTATCTCTCTATTTGGTTATATATTCTTAACTTTATACCTACAAACTAACATGTTATCCATTTTCACAATGATGAAATCTAATATTTCGTAAAAAAAAAATATTTTCTGTAGACTTCGAAAAACCACACTCTCTTCAAAATTTGGTCGAGTTTCAAAAGAAATCAAACTTCTCATGAATAAGAAATCAAGCAATATTTGAACTCTTATCGCAAAAAAAAAATATGCAACAAGTCGTTAGAAATCAAACCTTTGACATTTGCGCAAACGTTTTTGAAACATCTGCTAATAATGAGTTTTTTCGTTTTTCAACTTTTGGCACCAAATTAATCGCTGAGGAATCGATAGGTAAGTAGGTGGATGGTACACATGCTGGATTGATGCCGGATTTCATTTCATTGCAACATGGAGGTTCAACGGTGGTTTCAGTGATCGGCTTGGTGTTTTCTATCTTTGCAACTTGTGCACACTCACGAAGGAAGTAGAAAGGCCAAAAAACGGGAAGAGAGATTGAGAATGACTCGATTTGCGCCGCGCTGTTTATGGTGTCAGTTTCGAGAAGGCGGGGCCGACGTCTGTCAACGCCTTTCAACCAAATCATCGGTGAACAGCAATTCAATGCACCAACGTTATGGGTCAAAATCTTTCTCATTCCCGCACTTACTGAAAGCGAAAACAATTCCGAAATTCGGCGACAGAGTCCAATCTTTCCAAAACGTTCATCCATCATGTAGATGTTTTCGATGGTTGTAAATGACCAACGGAAACTTGAAAAAAAAGCAAGTTTAATTTTCAAAAGTTGTTCATTAAACAGGAAAAGATAAGAGGACAAGATGTATTTGTAAATCTTCTTATTCTTTCAATTTAGATATTTTTCATATAGTTATGCAGATAACTATTGAAATTGGTTGGACGAATAAAAGAATTGGACCAACAAAAAAAAAAACATAATAGCTACGTGAATTTTTGATAACTTCAACCAAAAGTAGTAAAGAAATGGCACTACAGAAATTTTGCAAAGATAATACTCAAAAATCCGGTAAAATTCCATAAAACTTCTAAAAACCCTATACATATATTTGCTAAATAAAATTGTTTTACCAGGTTTTGTAAAAAAAAAATCTGCTCAGCATTATTAAAACTGTAATTTTTATTCACGAATAACAAATTAAGAAAACAGAAATCGAATTTCAAATAATCTGAAACAGGACCACTTTTTAAATGCATCAGGGTAAACTTCGAGATTGTTGAAAACTGCAACCACCAACGTTGCTGTTTAAACTGACGTTTACAAATAGCCCATTCATCAGTTTAGGTTGCTTCTAAAAGGTCCGCAATAGGTCACTAGGGACCAGCAACAAATCTATCACCAATTACCACCAGTTTTTCAGTGGTGCACTGCCATTTCAAGCAAATCACTATTTTTTTTAGATCTTTGCAAATCTTACTAGTTATCGTGTTGAAATCTCGTTTTCCTTTTCGTAGTGTCTTCAATTTTTTCAAAAAAAAATTATATATACATATATATATATATATATCAGTTTTGCGGATTCTTCGGATTCTTCTCCTTTGGGAGGCATTTCTCAGAAGCTGATCTTTCTTTTCAACACGTTTGGACATCGCTGGATGGGTCCGATGTCGAAACTATTTTTAGCTCTACACTTTGAACTTGGAATGACATTTAACTAATATACAAAATACGTATAAACTTATACACTACATATTTTCACGCTACTTGTAGTCGATTTTTTTCAGAAGTACCTTCTTGTTTCTTTTTCCATTTGGAGTTGAAACAAAACACGACTTTTGGCGACATGCCCCTAATAAAAAAATAATTTCGTATATTTGTGATATGTGTTAATCCCAAGGGACGCCAGCACTCCTGTCCTAATGACAAACGAAGAAAAAATACATGTTCCAAATAATCTCTCAATGCGGAACGCACTTTTTGAATAAAAATCCATTCATCTAAAACTAGTACTCCGGGGAGTTTCGAGTCGAACAAAATCACAATGAGTTGTTCCAAGGTCCGAGCTGCCATCTTGAACTCGCTCGTGAGGTCTACATGATTTATACATTTCGCCGAAAAGCGGAGATTCATACGTTGTGCATTAGAGCTCTCATGAGATGAAAAATTTAAAGAATGTTTGAAGGGACCAAATAATTATGAAACAATTAATAATTTGAAGAAATAAAAAAAAATTAATTGAGGTGTGTAGTTTAATAAAATATGGCAAAAACACAATAGATTTTCAATTCATAACACTTATTGATTGCATTTTTATTGTATTTTTAAATTCTTAAAATTAATAAAATGAGGAAGCATAGATTTCTTGATTGCTCGACAAAAATTTTTCGTCTTATTATATTTATTATTATTAATTCTTATTTCATTATTTTGGTAAAACTTCATTTTTCAAGTGGCGTATTTAAAAATCCAAAATTTCTTGTAATCATGTTAAATATCTGAGCGATTGTGTAAATAACATTTAAAATAAACAAATTAGGATATCCCCGAATATGAAGAATTTCCGATTTGGTAATAAGCTTTTTTCATGATTAGTAAACAGTGATATTTTTAGTCTGTGGAGAATAAGCAAATAGGGATCATAATTACCTCACATTTTAATTTCGGCATAATAGAACACAATATACTAGCAGATATGGGAAAAACGGCGTCGAAATATTGAAATTGGTTGGTTCAGACAAAAGAAAAGTGATCAATTTTAGAGTTGAAAATTGATGTGGTTTTTGCGCTTTTTGGATCCATAAGAATAATGAATGGGAGCTGCGAATAACTCGAAATTGAGAGAAGCCAACGATACCTTCGTTTTGAATTTCTTCACCAATGCTTCAGTTTCCCTGTAAGCTTCACTCTGTTTCCGAAGTGCTTGCGGTGTCAAAATCCGATGAATGAAATTCCGACGAAACGATTTGGCGCCAAACGTCATGATGTGAACTGAAATCTCATTAGACTTCCAGACCTCATAGAGAAAAAAAATTAAAGTAACGAGACGATAGGATCAATTGTTGAAATTCATTTCGTTCAAGTTCTAGAAGAAGTGAAAAGCACAAAAGTTTTATTTCATTCAAAAATCGTTTGAGCGGCTCGCGATTAGATGGCGACCAGCGTTTAACAAAAAAACTAAGACGTTAATTACTTTTCTCCAAGGCGAAGAAGGAAAGTACCAAAGTTCGGGTTTGATGTGATAGAAATGTTTTGCGGCTCATTCTCACTTTCTTCTGAAACACCGGACCTCCGGTTGGGTGGGCAAAATGGAATAAAATAGAAACTTATCTGTTTTATCAAATACAATCTACATTTCTCATTCTTGAAATATAAAATTAAATGTGATCAAATAGACATTTTCCGTTTTTTTGCGATGTTTATTGAATGAGTAAATAAATGAGGTACTTCCCATAATTGAAGGAACAGATAAAACCGCCGAAATCATAAAATGCAACTTGTACTTTTGATTCTGAAGCTCGCAACTAACTAATTTGCCTAAGTGTAGAAGTAGAATGTTTCAAAAGCAAGTTAACTACATGTTGCGGATGAAATCCAACTTGAGCATTATCTCGATGTCCCATCTCATATCGGAACATACGAAAACGCTCTTCAAATTTCGCCAAAGGAATTTCATGCACAAAACTTGTTAGTATGAATGTCCTTCACTCATGTATAAATGCATTTCAATGTTGAAACCGTAATATTCAAAAAAGGTCAATTTTGAAGAATTCATTCATAACAGAACAATCAACTATGTATGTAGTTTGGTTATACATACATAATTCGAACATTGAAATTAACTTCTCCGGCAAAATTCAAGGTTTTCCTTCCTTCGTATTTCTTTGAGGTTATTTATGTTTATGGCTCTATTAAAGCTTTTGTTAGTCCCACGCCACGGATATTTGAAAGATTCATAAATCAAAATTGAACAGCGTGTAATCCATGAAATATTCAAAAAAAAAGGCCAGAAACAAAGAGATTTTCGAAAAAGATGAATTGCCCTTTCTTTACAGGAATGTGGCTAAAACGGTGGAACGAAAATAATGCATCTGAATTTTAAATTCATAAAAACATGTTCGAAAAAATAAAGGGAAGGAAGTCAGAATATCTGTTTCCGAAGTCGTCAGAAAAACCTCATTGTGAGAATTTTTTTTTTATTTGACAGCGTCGTGTGATTGCAGGATTGCACAACGGATCAGAATTTATTCGTTGCAGTAAATATATGTGGTATCATGTTGGAATAAAATTAATGAAGCAACAAATCTGCGTTTTAATATCGACTAACGTTGAAGTTTAAACAGTTTTCGCATTATTCGGTCGTTAAAAACCGAACAAGCGAAATAAAAACGTTGAAATAAAGTTGTTTTTAACCACTAATTTCCGTAATTTAGACCACTGAAAATTGTTTTTCTCACTTGAAAAAAAAAACATAGAAAACATGGTCCTCGTTGCTTTAGATGGGGCGGGTACGTTAATGATTCTCAATTAAAAACTAAACATTTTTGTAAACAACTGATTTATGCGTGTGTCTGCAATTAAAAACAATTCTAGCACAAACTTAATGAGTTCAAGGCAATTACGATCATTTCGGTTTTTAGTGTTTTGAAAACAAAAACAAAACTAAAAAACCAAATTCTCGTATAAGTATTAGAGAAAATCTGTAATACTACCCTATTCGTGACAAAATATATTAGTAGACAACGATTAAAGGCCTAAAAGTGAACTATTTCGAGCAACTGGTTGGTCAAGATAAATGCGCACCGCTCCCATTTTTCGGGACAAATCACTTGAAGGCTTGTTGAATCCTCGGGAGGCATTTCAAAATCGCTTTTCGTCCATCTAAAAGCGTTTTTGTCATGTCACTGAACTCTGATTCAAGTGCGTAAATTTTTTTGCTCAGAATTCAAAATTTAAAAAAATATATGGGCCGCTTCTGATTGGCTAAGCCATTTTCTGGCAGAGAAAAAAATTAACTCGTGGATGTAAACATTTTTTCTGTGAATACAATGGCATTGTTTGAGATTGCTGTTTTTCATTTGTTTTTTAAAATAAATTAAGAAGAGATTAAAATAGTAATAATAATGAAAAGTTTTGGTAGAATTGGGAAAAAAACTGTTCCACTATAATCCAATATTGAAGATTAGCTGTTATTGCACGACACCAAACTAAAGTTTCCAATAAATTAAACGAAACAAATTATTGAAAATTTTCACAGCACTACCACACAGTTAATTGGACCGATCTTTTAGTAATGAAAACGATTTGCATTTTAGATTTTTTTCGAAATAGTCGGTAACAAATCTTCAAATAATATTTCCAAATTCAGGGGTATTTCTAACTACATGTTTTGTTAAACAAAATTTGGTCAAATTGTTTAGAGATGGAATTCGAATATCATGATTTTCATAAAAAATAATTTCTTGAAATAATTTATTCTTTAGATTTTGGATGAAATACTTCAATTTTACTGAGTTGTAGAAAATCCATGTTTTCTTGTTTTATTTTTAACTCAACATTTTCAACAACATATGAATGCATATTTCATGCTAGACCATTAAAAAATCCAACGTGTTCCCATAAATAGATTTTTTTGATGTTTCATTTCTCCAGAGAACTCCAAAGAAAAGATTTTTGAGAAATGCTTCACAATCACGAGATTTATTTCTTCTTTTGAGTTTTGACACAATTGAAAATTTAAAAAAATTTTTAACAGATTTTTTCTAATTATTACTATTTATTCGATTATTAGATAAGCTGGAAGAATGGAGTGTGTCTAATATATATTTACAATAAAAATGGTGCAGATAAAAAAATTAAAAATGTAAGGGCCAATTATTTAAAAGTTTTTATTTTGCAGGGGAGAAGTGGGAAGATCACCCGGAAAATCGTTTATAAATTAATATGGATTTTACAAATAACAAAAGGTAACATGTCTACTAGCCCGAAATGAATCAAGAGACACTAACATGTCAAGTTCTGAACGAAACCGGGGAACAAAAATATCACTGTTGATTCGGGAGGGAATATGAATATTTGGATTTGCTGAAATTTGCATCAAGACACAACTACAAGATTTCGTACAAGAATTATCCAATGACAACAGGCAAATGTTGTTTATAAGCATTGTCGGTATTAAATGAAAAACCGGGGGAAGCCGACAAAAATTACTCAAAACAATTTTCAATGTTTGCTAAGATTCCGCATCGATTAGAACAATTGTACCGGGCTCATCCAATCAAGGTCATGCGATTGTTTTCAAAGAATATACATAAGATAATCACAATTGTACTCTACCATTTCTTTTTATATTATTATTATTTGGTTAGAGGTAATTTGATTATAATTCTAAAAAACTAAAGGAATCCCGAACGATTATGATGATCTTCTTCGATTTCTTCAGTTTCGATGATATGCGAATCAAAATCAGAAACTCTTCAAATAAGAAAACATATGCATCATAAAATTATGTAATTTTTCCTACCTTTCAGTTTGATCAAAAAGGGCGTAGTGAACTTCGTACTTTGATATCTTCTCATTCATCAACACCATCGGTTTAAATCTATAAATTTCAGAATTAAACAGAAAACGCATTGTATTGGTTACTTGTATCCCCAAAGTATCTCGTCAGGCAAGAAAGAAGTGCGAGCTTGAAAGGTCATACCAGTTGCTTCAACAATTCCTTCAACAGTCATAATCAATTCGAAATCTGCTTTGAGAATTGCTTCTCGAGTCATTCCGTGCAGTGGACTCTCCTCATCAATCACATGGCGAACGATGATTGGCCTAATATGGATCGAAATATTTATTGTTATAATTAAAGTTATACCATAAAAGAAGAACACGATCCCATCCGCTATCGTATCCAACATTCATGTCTTTAACTCCAATAAGTTCTCTATCTCCGCGCTATAATAATTATTTCCTTCAGGGCCCAATGCAAACCTTTTTATTTAATTGAACCATAAAATCTACACCTTAAATTATGCGCCAAGACTCTATCCTATCACTTTTTTTGTTGGAAATTTGTCAATTTCCTTATGCCGCCAATATTTGTTTATCATTGCGAAAAATGCAATTAATTTCAGTTATTAAATTCTCAAAAAATCTTTACTTACACTGTTAATCCTACTACACGCCATATATAGTCGAACATGTGACTCGGCAAGGAATAGTTTCTCTTGGATATCAGCCAATCTAATCATCAATGTCGGACGACGATCATTTTCATTTAATGGTCCAACAACAGCCATTCTCGAGAATCGCATTTCCTAGTTAATCAATTATATTTATACATTGTTATGCTTTTCAGTTTACTTGTCTGCGTTTCTTGGGTCTCAAAATTTTGGCAATAACAATTCCAGTTAAAATTGTTTGCAAGAAGACTCCGACCACGCATTGAACGCATAATGTCAAATAGGCCGGCGGACAAAGGTCCGTCATGTAACGAAGTCCGTATCCGATTGTATGTTGAGATTCCATACTGAATTTTTTTTACATTGAAATTTTTTTGTTTTCATATTTTCATGTATATTTTTTACGGTTTTTTGGATGAATATAAAGTAATTTTGGCCGACAACGTCACAAATTGAGTTTAGTTTCTCTTCTTATTCAGCCTTTGGCGACAACTCTCTTTTAATCTTCTTTTTCGGTTGTAGACTGAAAAAGTAGGGCAAAATGCACAAACCTGAATAAAAATGCACTTATCAAAGTGTCGACATTAGCAATGCAAGATTCATCCTAAAATAGCAAAAAAATGAAAAAGAAAACCGAATTTTCAATTTTCTCACTTTTTTTAACGTTTTTAGACGAGAAATAGCGTAATAAATTATAGCGAATATTGACCAGGATATCACAAATCCAAAAAGGAAAATGACACAGATTGTTCTCCAGTTGCATTCGATGATCAGATGGAACCAATTCCTGTAATTTCGCCATCTACGAAGACGGTGCGAACACCTGTCCGGTTCTTTCGTTTTTTTTCACTACGATGTTTATATTGTTCCAACAAATGATGTTTAACAGAGACCCTGGTCAATTTAAGCGTTCTTCACGCCTATTTTAGTTTTGAAATTAAAACTTTTCGATTTAAATTCTAATTTTCTTTCTACCAATTGTATTATTTAGGCAAACATGAAAGTGTAACATTGAAGTTTCGCAAGAATTTTTTTGATGAGAAAGGGACACCAAACTCTAAATGTTACGGAATCTAAAATGTGTATTTTTGAAAAGTAAAATTCAGGCATTTAATCTTAAAAAAACGATTCTCGATATTAGCTACTCTAAAAATAAGATCCATTAATTTAAACATAAATCTTACTTGTACGCCGCTCGAAATCGTTCAGGCAACTGAATATTGTTGAGTAATGTTCGACCGTCCTTCGAGACTAGACGAGCTCGTGGTGGTGTAATTTCCGGTGCAGAGTTTGACAATTTCCATCCATCTGAAAATCAACCCAAAAATTTTTTATTCTTCATTCTTCTTGGTGCATCCAAAGTTAGATTTTTTAAAAGATGCACTTCGCTTTTTTTGAGATATAAGGCGATTTGTTATATGAAGTGATGTCTTGGGAAAAGTTTTTCAATACTTGCAAGTCGTCAAAAATAAAAGCTAAAGAGTCTATTCAGATTGAAAACCACCCACGGAGACTTTGTTCGAATAACCGTTAACCTTTGAATTGGTCAGAAGACAACAATGCGGGGAAAATCACAACTTTTCATATGATAAGCAATGCATGTAATTCGGATACGATGAGAGGATTTTTTTGCTTTTTCATCTCAATTTATTAACATGCAATTACTAGTTAGTCTTGCTGATTTTAAACTTTGAAAAATGTATTGCAATGTTCGTTACATAAAATTATAACAAATGTTTGAAAGGTTAGCTAAAAGTTTTTAATAATGAAAAATACAGAAAAAGAATAATCATAAAACGAGGTGTTTTTCTATTAATTATTTATGTTCCACTAGAAAATACGAGATAAATGAAAACGTGAATTGAGTTAATCCATTTAAGATTTTAGTTAATCCATGTAGGTTAAAGAAGTTGTAGATAATATTGATTGAAACATAATGAGTCATAGAAAAAAATGTTTCAAATTTTTCTTCATAACTTACTTTTATCCTTTTTTGTCTTATTCTCTCCAGATAATCGTTCGAGCTCTTCGGCCAACGACATGCTCGTCGCCTATAAATTGAATAAATTGTTTTAGTGTACATCGCACTCAGACGCGCACACACACACGCATTCATATAAAAATGAGAATGGAAAAATGCTGTAGTAGTCTTCTTGAAGGAACACGTGTTTGAAATATGATATGCACTACGTAAATCGGTTGTGTTCTCAATTAAACCGCACAGAAAAAAAAAATGCGATGGTGAGCAAAGAAAACCTACCAGAAGCAGGGAGAGAGCGAGGAAAATGAGGTCGCTAGGGATTATGGAGCAGGAGGTGTGGCCAAGTGAGGAAGCAAGACATAAATGATGATATCAGATACTTAATGCTTGAATCACATTGAAACATTCAATGATAATTTCAGTTCAATTATTTCTTACGCGCATTTTGGCAATTGTTTCGACTTTGAACGCAATCTAACCTAACCTAGTGCAGCTTCTCATTCAAAGTTATTGAAAAAGTGAGAAAGAATGGGAAAACTTACACATTTTCTGTTTGATTTCATAAAACGACGATTTTCCCACACTTCGTCTGTTAGCTCGGCCATCAAAACGTTTTCTTTATTTATAACTAACTCAAATAAATATGCGAAGCGACAAAAACTTTTGTGTTGAATATAAATCGAAATTGTCGATGTGGCATGATTGTCTCAGCATATTGGAGCGGCGACAATAATTGTGTGGCTGTTTGGCTCAAATCGTTTTCTCATTTTTTTTTCTAATTAGAGGCAGAGCACGTGAAATGATAGTGACTTGGTAAATTTCGAAAATGTTTTATTGCGGAATAAAAATTGTGGAAGAGTTAAACATTATCCATAACGTGATTTGACCAATAGAATGGAGATATTAACAATAAACATTAAAGGGAAGATCGCAGTTGTTACTTTGTTATTTACCAAACTGCTTGTAGTATGTATTTGTTAGAAAATTTTTCTACGTCATTAAGAGTTAGAAATGAAATTTATTTCTTTATTAATTTACCGTAGGTCTGAGAAATGAATGATAATATATTAACAATGCAAATTGAATTATGGAAGTCTAAATATAACGAAAACTATTGGATTTAGAAATTTAAACCAAAAAAAACTAAATTTTTTTCATAGGTTTTGAAAGAGCACATAATTCAAATAATAACCAATCTTTTCTACTTGTAAAAAGTTCTACGGTAAATTTTTTCTGAATTCTCTCTGAACATTGGAAATCATTGTACAATGAAAATCGAATATTTACAAATAATTGTCAAATGAAATTTTGAAATTTATATTTCTATAAAGCTTAGTTGCTCATTTTCCGAAACATTTTTCAAAAATTGAATGGTTGATTCGTAGACAGAATAAAGATTTGAAAAAATAAGGCTTCATAATTTTTAAGATTGGAAACGGCACTGTGTCCTATTGTTATTTGGCTAAGATCTCCGACCATGGAAAATTTTGAAATTATTTTCACCGTTGGAAAAGTTCATATGAAACCCATAATTTGGCTGAATGCTCAGGCAAAATATGTGGAATTTGGCACAAACTAGACCGCAAACGGAATAACGAAAATGCAAAAATAATAGTATATGCATAAAGTTATACAACGGAGCAGGCAGAAAGGAAATGCTATAAATTTGGCAAAAATCGTCGGAACGAAAGTGACGACACGCTTAAAAATCGTGTTTTATTTTTCAGTTTGTTTGATTCAATGCTGTTTTTTCGAAAGAAAATTCGTGTGCCGTTTGGGAGTCGGCAAATGCATACACCTCTGTGAGACGTTTTCCTAGAGAATCAAAGTTCGAATTTGAATGCGGCTCTTGTTGCGCATGAATTAGTAGTTTTGACATTGGCGCTTCTGGAATTAGTGATTTTAAGCAATCCAAATATACTCATCTGTTTCTAGTGGATGGCTCAAAATTCGGACATTATGATTGGACAGAAAGTTATAAAACAACAACAAAAAACTGCGATTTTACGACCGCTCAACATTCTGTATGACATATATATTGCGAAAAAAAGACAAGTGTCTATATATAATCATTTTTAAAGGTTTTTGAAATTAAAAAAACAAAATTTTCTGTAACATTTTAAAGTGGAAGAAAATTCAAAATTCAACATGCCTCAGTTATTTTCAAAATTAATTGTATATTATCTTAAAAATATCATCTACAATCTCTCTCTTAATTGGAAATTAATTCGCTTAATAGAAATCACATTCCTCTATAAAATTTGACGAGATGTTTTCAATCTGTGCTGTGCCAAAATATATAACAATGCGCTACATATTGTTTCAAATTTGACATTTTAAATTAAGTAACTTAATTAAACCACACATTGCTTTGAATCTTCTTCTAGTAGCTCACATTGAATGTGAAATAATTTATGTTGGTATTTCCCACATCATAAGATGAAGTGTGTTTTTTGGTTCGTCATGTTATTAATAGACCCTCAGTTTTCTAAACTTATATAGGCATTTAGATTGGAAATATATTTATAGTCGGCTTCTGAAACAAACTGTTAGAAGAATCGGTCACTGCAAAAAAACTCAGCACAAACTCTGCGTACGCCTTTTATTGCTGTATTCAAAAAATAGTTTGGAATTTTGAATACTAGTTAAATTGTCCTGAATATCATTTAGTGCCTTCATTGTTTACAATTATTTTAATATTTACAATTTTTTAATAAATTTTAATGAAATTGCGAGAAATTCAATTCATTGGAAAAATTAAAAATATGAAATAATTGATTAAGGTTCTATCGATTCAAGAAGTCACTATTTTTTTTTAAACTAGTTTATTTATGAAACTCATCATTTATCTTACTAGCTTTTTGATCTATTGTGTGAAAAAAACCAAGTACGTACGAAAACAAGGAAATGGAAAAAATAGCCTGCGGGTTTACTGGCGAAACCGCAAAGAAACCAGGGCTATATCCCTAGCCTATTAAGCTTCTATAGAAAGATATTTCCAAAATCTGAGAAAACAAGGCGTGGGGTATATATTTATATATAAATCATTCGGGTTTTATAATCATATCACCAATCTAATGCGTTGTTAAACTCAATCGAGAAAAAAACCACACTTTTTTTTAAAGAAACAAGAAAGTCAACAGATAAATTGAAAAAACAATGAATTGGCCGATTTCCGCCATGACACAAAACTTTTTAAAGCGTCACTCTTATTCATTTGCGTGAACTCCAGAAATTCCAGTAAATTAGCAAAAGAACAACACTTCTAAAAATTAAACTTTCAATTCTCGTCATCTGATCAAACGAAGTCTCACACCCCCGGCCTCTCAAAAATTAATTGAAAAATTCAAACGAGAATTTTTTCAGAATTTGAGAAATCTGAAAAGAAAAGCAAGCATATGATGACAGATTTTAAAACATAGAATATGTAACATTCATCAGGTACTAGTAAATATCGTGGCGTTGTTTGAACTACTATGTTGAATGGATTATAGATATGCAGAAGGTACTAATAAATTAATTTATAAAAAATTTGGTTGAAAGAAATTAAATTTATATGGCATCTCATTCAAATGAATCGCTCGCAAAAAGATTTCCAGAATAATCGAATCATAACGGGTCAAATTATTTAATTTATGTCAACACGTTCCCGAAAAAACAACAAAAATAAGAGGTGTCTCAAACTTTCTGTCTGCAGTGTATTATTATTAATTCAAATAATAGAGAATAATTGGCACTTAAGGCACATCAAAAAATTAGACAAATTATTTATTTAGACTTTTTTCATATCAATGCATTTTAAATTCTTTTGTCTTTAACTAGTCATTAGGCTATTTCCGTTTTTTTTTTTTAATTTTATAAATTATTAGATATTGTCGAAAATCATAGATGAATGATTTATAAACGAAAATGGAATATAACATATATGTTTGATACTTATTTTTCATAACATTATGTGTTAAACTGGTAAAAAATAAAAGGAACATAAATACTGAGAAAAATCTCAAGATTTACACAAATAAAAAATCATATACATATAAATATTTTTTTAAAATTTATATACATATATATATATATATGTTCATAAAATATTCATCCTTATATAACGAATATTTTCATTAGAAGAGGCAGTGTCTAAATGTGTGAAATTTGAAGCAAGCTAAGAAAATTACAAAAAAAGAGATTCGCCTTGTTCAAGCATTTGACAGCAGCAATATCACAAAAGAAATGAAACAGCAACAAATTGAAAACGTTAATGGCTATGAGGCCTCTGAAGAAATAAATCTCTAAGAAAAAAAGAAGAGAAGTAGAGCGTCATTCTCATAAGGCACGAAAACCAAATATTTCTGGAAAAAAGTACGAACAACTTCAAGCTTCGTAAAACAATCGAATGGAATATTGTATTTGTGTGTTTGATTTATATGTACATATACATCTGCTTGAAATTGGGTTGAACAAGCGTATAATTTTGGCTTATGCTGTTCCCCATTATTATAAAGAAATACATAAAGAAGCATATTGGGTTGGTCGAAAAAAGCATTTAATTCAAATTCCGAACTTATGCAGCTCGAGGCCGATTTCGACCTTTTTTTTTCTCAAACCGTTGGCAAACATGCTGCGATGACTTTTGTTCTAAGCATGCAGAATTGGACTAACTAGCAAGAGGGATCTTGGATCGAATTTCATTTACAGATTTTTTTTTTCGCAAATCAGATGCTATTTTAAATTGGCTTTGTTCTTGAGCAAAATTCAATTTTTGAAGTGAAAATAGGAAAAAAATGACGGAAATTCGGAATCCCTCAGTAAATATATGTTCAATCTCATACTCAAGCGTTTTTTGTTTATTCAAAAGAAAACATGAAAATGCGCTCCATTTTGTTTACAGGATTCATCGAGTGTGAAATGTCAAAAGTACGCATTTTTCCTATATGTAGAAGAGTTTGATAGTAACGATTGAAATTAATTGTTTCTTAAGCGTTTCATGTTCGTTGAAAAAAAAGGGTGATGCAATTATTCTCTAAAATCTAACGAACGAAATAAATCAAAAACGATTAGTTTTAA